TTTCAAAGGTCAACTTCGATTCTTTCCAGTCTATTTTAGGATTATGTTTGTTCAACCACTCATGTCCTAGAAACATTTTTCCGTTACCCAGATTGGTTATGGCAAGATGTATCTTCTCGACGTGTCCGTCGATTTCCATGAGTAGTATTACAAATTCATTGATGGCTCCGTTTTTATTAAGAGCTCCATCTGCATTATAGACTGGAATAGGTCTCGGTATCTTCCTTGTCTCATATCTTTTGTCTTTCACAAATTGGGAGTCGATGCAACTCCCCGTGCATCCACTGTCCAATAGTGCTTCGACTGTTTCTGATTGGAGAGTATCTAATGTAGTAAGCTTACATTTTACGTTCATTTGATTGCCTTGGGTGCCCCTAATGTACTTTTTTGGGGAGGCAATTTCTATGATCGCTTGTATAGCTTCTACTGTTGGTAACCGGTTGATTTCTTTTATCGTTTCCCGGGTTACTTCTTTCGCTCTCTTTTTATGTGTCCAGGCACTCAGAATCCCAATGGATCTTTCTTCCTTTTGGTCTCTTAGCCTGTTTACTACCCATTCTGGGGTCCAACCTTCTGTTCTAGGTTTTTTTAGAGGGGTTCCTGACCTCTCTTCTACAGTCTCTGCTGCGTTTTTCTCCGTAGAGCTCGCCGCATCGGGTGTAGGAATCTTAGGTTCTATCGTAAATGCTGCGCTTTTTAGTGATTCGCCCGCCGTCGAAACTGCGGATGTCTTATCACTCTGTGCCGCTTTCACTCTAGTTGCATCTTTTTCGTTTCGGATTTCTTTCTTTGTCTGAGTAGAAGTAGTTTTATTGTCATCCGTGCTAAAGCTGCAGCGTAACAATTCTGAGTCATATGTATTTACAGTCAAAGGAAGAAATCGATTCGAAACGTCTTTAGGCTCAGTCTGTCGATGCGGTACCGCTGGCCTCTTTAAAAACCCTCAAGGAGTTTTTCCCTTTCCTCTTTCGTCATCTTTTCTAAGAACTCTCGGACATTAAATTGTGGCTTCTTTTTTTGTGTGTCTTTGCACTCGAAGCTCCTATGTCCCTTTTCTCCGCATCGGTAGCATCGTCCCTCAGTGCGGAACTTTGCTTTGTCCACCTCCATTCTTTCTCCGCTACCGGTATAGGTATATCCGGTTCCGTCTCTCTTCTTCTCTCCTTCTTTCTTTTGTTCCGAATAGGGTTTCTTCCCGGTATCGGAACCTTTCTTCTCCTTTTCTCTCTCTCTCCAAATATAGTCTATTCTGATAAGTTCCTTTTTCCACTCTTGGTAATCTCTGGGAATATGCCCGCCGTAGATCACCCTGTCTACTAGCGGCTTGTTCATGTTCCTTCTGAGTAGAGATATTAGGAACTCTTTGTTTATCCTATTTGTATATCCCGCCCATCTTTTCTTTTCCTCAAACTTTTCAAAGAAGGCTTGGGCGGTTTCATTGCCCTGTCTCAGGGTCAATATTTCGTTCTTGGCAGTTTCTTTTTCAAAGCTGTCTTTGAACCTTTCTTCCATTTTATCCGCAAAGTACGGCCAACTTCCGTATGTATTTGTAATATCGAGCCCCAGCTGTTGGGCGTCTACTTGGTTCTCTAGCCAATTGGTCCGAAAGGCCGCGGCTTCTCCTTCTTTCATAAAAGATAGCACAAAGCTTATCTTTTTTCGGTCGTCTTTGAAATATATGGCATTGTCTTCGAAATGTAGTAATAAGGACTCTCTAAAGGCCCTATACTTTTTCTTATCTCCGGAGAAGTTCTCGGGTTTCTCCAGTGCTGTTCTACTTCTTTCCACCTTTTCTGGAGGTGGCGGTATCTGTCTTTTTAATTTTCTTTGCAAGACGCTCACTTCTTCGAGCGCCTCGTCTAGCTGGGATTGGTAATGCATTTGTGTTTGTCTTATTGCTTTTTCTACTTCTTGTTTTACATATGCTTCCAATCACGCTTCTTTCGGGGGGGGAGTGTCTATTCTGGGTAATGAGTCCATCATTTCCCTGGTAAATGCGCTGTCCGTGCTGTTGGATGGCTCGGGCAGATCTCGATATTCTAGGTTTGACATTGAATGTAAGTTGGGGAGGAGGGGGAGTTTCTGATTTGATCAAAGGGGATGGGATTCTGATGGGTTCTATTTCTGGTAGGGGGAATTTCCCTTTGAATACGTAGTCTTGAGAGTAAATGTGTTGCTCTCCGATCCAAATGTAAAAATCTCTACTAAGCATAGAAAGGAGTTCACCAGTGATAAGCTGGATCGATACACCGCTTTCTAAGATCTTAGTAGTCTATCTGTCCTCTTTGAGTCAAAGTGGTCCTCTTCAGCCCACTACTGACTATGTATGTATGGTAACTATTTTTTGTATTTTACGAATTTTATGTAAAAGGTATAGTGATAAATTGGGGTCCGAACGGTTGTCCCAATGTGACCAGCTTATTAAGCTTTCAGTCCTTCTCCCGACTGGCGGACGCAAATGCGCGGCCTGGTCAGAGGAAATCGAAATGGAAACTATGTAAAATCGAGAAAATCCCAATGGTTCCACACCAAAGAGATTATAGTGATATAAAGTGTATTTACAGGGGGATGGTTACGAACGAGTCTTGGGATGAGGAGGGGGAGACGTTGGCAGGGAAAAATGATAAGATGGTGTCGGGGCGAGTGGGTAGGTGATGAAGTGGGAGGGTAGTGATAGTTTGGTTTGAACGTTTGAGTAGGTTTAGGACGAGTAAGATGATGATGATAGTGACGATGATGGCGGTTAGGATTGTTGCTGTTATATTCATAAACGGTACTTGTGGCAGTTGTTGATTGTGTAAAACCCTTATCCCCTATACCGAGTTAACGGAGGGATGAAGGCTCAAATCAAACAAGTAGCGTTACAAATAGCGATTGAGAATTAATCAACAACTGAGGAAAGTATGTACATGGTGGTCTACTATATATATGTTTCTGAAAGTCAGCCATGAGGCGCTGACTGATGTTTTCTTTGTAATGGTTCTAGACTCTTGTCACGTGATGGTCACGTGATCTGATATAACTACGTATTATGTTATCCGCACTAAAGCAGCAGCTTAACATATCTTTATCTGTCATGTGATCAGATATCAAAGAAAATGAAAAAAGGAAAACTAACGCTTAGACTAGCGCTTTTGGTTCAAGTCGTGACACAGAAGATAATGAGGATGTCATCGTACTAAAAGCAGAACTTTTTATATGAATGACCCTCACACCTGAACAAAGAAAAGAGATAACCAGAGCAGAAGAAAAAAGTATAGAGACGTATAGATGGAAAAAGAGAATGACAAATGTGGATGATTTAGTAAAGAAAGTTGAAGACAAAATAGAAAAGAGAGAGGACATCAGGAAAAATGGGGGTAGCTATATAGAGCTCTATAGCACTATAAGTACTCATAAAGCTGTTATAGTGGTCAAACCTGTTATAGAACCTCTGCCATCTATAGAGCCTCATATAGCTCTATAAATGCTCTTATAGATATTGGAAATTGTTGTGTAGCTGATTAAAAAAATTAACACAAACAGGATTTGAACTCTCAACTTGACTAAGCAACCTATAGCCACACATCACATTTATCCACTACACCATGAGAGCTTATAGAATGTATTACACAGTTGTTATATATTGACCTTTCATGGACTTAGATTATTTTTTTACTCATTGTCACTACTTACATTTGGATAAATCATTATTCTTATTTTGTGAGTATCAGGGATACAAACTACTATTTCACTAATACAGGCTACATAATTAATTAATACTGTATGATCTATTAGGCCTTTTAAGCACCTTGAACTATATTATAACTATGACCTTTACAGCTATATGAGCTATGTAGGCTGCTATAAGCTATAAGAGCCCTTATAGTACCTTGCCTATAATAATATACTTGACTCCAAACACTTCTGGCCTCTTTCTGAACAAGTTTATTAGATTAATCCAGAGTTTGAGGGAATTATAGATACTTCTCCCCTTGGTTAAAATTTTGCCTACTACTGTGCTATAAGAGCTATAAGAGCTATGATTGCACTGATAGTACTATAGTTTCTATCAATGTGTTTATATATATAGGTGGTGGCTATATAGCGCTATATAACAAAAGGGTTTTTCCTGATGCCAGATATTTGCACTTTTAGCATGCTATGTTGGTATTCCACATACTGTATATATAGACAGCTCACATAGTTAAGACCTCAGTGATTCTGTCCCCGCTGAGGTACACCCGTCTCTTCTCTGTATTTGTAGACTCTTCAATTAACAAGCGATTCTGTCCCCGCTGAGATCAGTCTAGTCACTGTGGGGACCGACTTATATAAGCCCAGCTTATATGCTGGAAATATTCAATTTAGCTTTTTTCAGCCAATCAGAACACAGATATCCAATATCTTCAGCATATAAGCTGAGCTCATATAAGTTGATCCCCACAGTGAGTGTCTCTCTACATATGTATTGTTATCTGATGGCATAGGGGCCAAACACATAAAACTCTGGTGCCAAGCACATTATTTACTTACTATTTCAGGGGTACATTGTATTGTATACAACATGTATCATGCCTGTGGATTTCTTCACATTTTTGCAGTCTACCCTTGGATTTTTTTTGGTACCTGCTGTCTTATGCAGTCCCTGATATTTTGTGCACCTTCCATATTTTTCTTTCGCAGTCTATCATTCTTTTGCATAGCCCTGTCTGTATGTTGCACCAAAAAACTTCTCGCTGTGTCGCAGTTTACAAAAAGGGCAGACAGAGCGTCATATAGGTATGAATAAAGCCGCAACAATGCCAATCGTGTTTTGAAGTCCAGTTGAAACCTCAACTTGAACATTGCACAACAACTTGAATTGTCTTTCTTTCTATTGTACATTGCATATCTCTATTGTGAGTATCAACTTTTGGAGGTACACAGCGCTCTTATACTTTCTTATTTACAGCGCAATGGTAGCTAAATTAGCTGGTTGGCTTATGGCTTTTGGGGACGTGCACTTATGGCTGGAGAAGGGGGGTATAAAGGATGTGCATGATGTTGATCTCTCCATCGAACTTGATGATTGGTTTAGGGAGCGAGGCATCGACACATTCACACTCACCACTTTCCCTATCTCCTACCAGAACAAACAAGGGGTTGTTAGACTATTGGATCATGTTGATTCGCAGACAGCGAAATAACCCGAGAGATCTGCCTAAATCCTACAAGCGCGTCAGAGAGTTGCCAGAGGCTTGTAAAGTGAAGGAGGAGATTGTACTTAAGGAGACAGGTCTAAAGGATGAGGATTTGCCTTGGAAGACTATCATTGATCCGTACGGACACCACCGCTGAAATGTAAAACATGTGTGGTTAGCATGATTGTAACGATTCGATATGTAAATTGATTTGTCCTTCTGCTAAATGCATGATATGTTTCTGAAAGCCTTTTAATTACTGCAAATTTGAGGTATACTCCGCATTCCCACGGTAGCCCTAATCAGTGCATAGTCCACATTGACTGTAGCGGTCTACTACTGCCAGCCTGAGTGCTGTGATCAGTGCAACGTCCTTCACGCAATGAATATCATCGTTCGTGTCTTCTACGTTGCGATTGTCCATTAATTGATTATAAGAGGTCTTTAGGAAACTCTTTTTGGCCGAGCTGTTACTCCCGCTGAAAGGCTTCGCCAACATCAGCGGGCTCTAACCAAGGCTCAGAGAGAGCTCGACCGCGAGCGCTCAAAACTCGAGCAGTCGGAGAAGAAAATCGTACAGGACATTAAGAAAAGCGCGAAAGCTGGCCAGATGGTAGGCATTGTCGTTTCGTCATTGTCATGGCTATCACGCTTTGCAGTAGAGTGCCTGCAAAATCATGGCCAAGGACTTGATCCGCACTAGACTCTATATCCAGAAATTCCATCAAATGCGCACTCAGTTGCAGGCTGTGGGACTCAGAATCCAAACACTAAGAAGTAATCAGCAAATGGCCGAGGCAATGCGGGGTGCCACTCGTGTACGCTCTGATCATGCTAGCGCGTGGTATAACTATTAATCTGCGCCTGGTGAATGCAGGCCATGGCTTCGATGAACAGGGGTTTGAACCTCCCAGCTATACAGAGAATCATGAACGAGTTTGAGAAAGAGAGTTCAACCATGGATATGAAGGAGGAAATGATGTCAGATGCGGTAGATAATGTCATGGAAGAGGAAGAAGACTTTGAGGAGGAAGGTGATAAGATTCTGAAGGAGGTTCTCGACGAAATTGGCGTTAGTTTATCGCATCAGGTAAGAGTAGTTGTCATCTCCCCCGTGAAGAAGGTTTAACAAGCCTCCGCAGCTTACCGATGCGCCAAAGGGGTTGGCAACATCCTCCCCTATTACCAGTGACCGCCAACCGGTTGCACTGGGAGATTTTTCAGGCGTTGTAAACCCTCGTCATGATGATGAGAAGGGTAATGATAATTCAGGCTTGTCAGACGAAGATGCCTTACAAGCTCGGCTGGATGCGTTACGACGTTTATGATGTATTAAAAGGGGGTTATACATATTAAGGGTAGGCAATCATGCGAGCTTGAGACCCACGACATTTTTACTATCTTGTATACTCATCGCCCAGAGAATACCAGACCCGTTATAGAATCCTTCGACACTTTCATCCTAACAAAAAGCAGTGATTAGCACCCTACAATATTCCAGATCATCTGCACATACACTGTCCAGATTTAGTAAGATTGATATCTGCTGTAAACGAGTGAATTTTTCTCTGACGTCCCCAAATATCGACTGGGACGATAAATATGCGACAACAGATCGGAGATCGCGGTCGAAACAAATTGCTCCCAACTACGTTGTAAAGACGCGTTGAGCGTTTCAAACGCAGCGAGAAGGGAGGAGCGCACCTCAGAATATCGTAGTGTCATCACATATCTTTCCCAAACTGGAAGAACCACATCAAGTGCGAGCCCAAACAACATTCGGTAGTTATTATCTGTGAGTAATTCCTATTTGTGTGTCAGGATACGCTTTGGAAGATGAAGGTTTCCGCAGACCTTGTATCCATCTGTCAAACCCTCCCATAGCCTAATAAATCGCTTCTTTACAGTGTCTTGATCATGTGCTTCCGTATATCCATCATCGTCCAAAACATATGACATATCTTTGTAAACATCGGGTATGAGAGTCCGAAGCTTGGGTCGCACAAATTGGTTGAAGAGCTGCTCCACTCCAGCCTAATGTTTATCAGTAAAGCCATGTAGTCAACCAGAGGCAAACTTACTCTAAGACTCGACCGCAATTTTGGAGTTAGGGCATCTAGGCCAGAAATAGTGCTTTTCAAAGTATCTTTCTCGGACACAAGGAATGAGTTCAATGTTGTAGGATCTTGGAGAAGGTCTCTGGTAAGACGATCAACGTGTAAAGACGATACATCGATATCATTTAGGAGTGTCTTCAAACTGCGTTCAGTCGCTGTGTATAGTTGATGTGTATTTGCTTACTGCGTATGAATGGCGAAATTCCCGGTCTGTTTTATCCCCACGGATGCCATTGACTGTGGTCCCTGCTTTGCGGGACACATCGTCAAGTTTCATTTTTATCGCACTGATATAATCTCGATCTATAATGTCCTTCAGGAGCTCTGTAGTCCGTTTAATAGTGCCGAGAGAGCCAGTCGATAATAAGCGTAAGAAGACAACCTTGAGAATGTAGAAGGTATCATCGGGTGTTGTCGTTCCTGCTGGAAACGGAGGAACACCAGTACTAGACAGTTGATGTGCCTGAAAAATCGAGTATAAGAGAATGTGCAGATACGAAGGGTGATTCGCAAACATACTCTGTGAATGGCAAAGCGTGTATACCAGATCTCCAGAGGTATATAAGATGATGTCAATAGATCGTTGAAGATTCCGTCCGAAGCTGTTGCCTGGATGACCTCAGTGCCGTCCGAAGTTACCTGACTCTGGGTTTTAACAGAAATCTCGTCCCGATCTTCGTCTATAGCGCTGTTGTCCTGAAAACGATCGAAATCGTTATATTTCAAAGCAAGAATGATTAAGATGAAAGCAAAACACAAGAGATAGATTCACTATACCGTGAGTTGTTCTATCAAGAACCTGCGAAATAGGCTCCAGCGACCAGCCATTCCGGCTATCTCAGTTGATGCCTTGTCTATCTCGCGAGGGTCGATAACCTCGTCTTCTACAGAAACCTGATGGAAAGCTTGCTTTTGTGATGATGTATTGAGTGTGGACAGAGGAGATCTGGATACGTCTGCAAGCTTGCACGGTGTTCAATACATGGTCATATGTGGGAAGCTTATGGTTCAACAGCTTTACCTTCTGTTTGATGTACCTATTTGATTTCCACCCTTGAATAAATTCTTCGACAACGCAGTCACACTCTCCCAGTAAGCTCTTCAAAACAACTAGCATCCTCCCTGGACCATAATATTTCTCAACAACAGATTGATGCTGATCCACTATCATAGCTATACTCTCAAATAAAGCAGTAAGTGCAGCCACGAAATAGTGCGAGGACGTAGCTGAAATAAGTTCAGCGTATAAACAATAATAGCCACCAAGTAGGGACTGATCGACTTACTTTGGTCAAACACCATGGGCTGCACACGTATGAGCTTCACAACAAAAGATGAATACGCCTGTAAACCTTCGGCTTGGCAGTCGATGACTGGAAATAGCTTAAAAAAGCGGCTTGTAGCAGTAGCATCGCGAGATTGAGAAGCTTGTTCGAAATGCCGCTGGAAAGTTTTTAGGAGTTGTTCCCGTGCAGTCTGCAGTGCCTGAGCTGGCGGAAGAGGATGTTCTGAAGTCGGCTATAGTGAGCTGTACGTCAGTATGGGATCACTTGTCAGTCAGGTCAGAGGTCCTGACTCGGACGTACTATGACAGACTCAGCAAAGGCTCCGTTTATTACGTGAGATGGTAGACTCATTGCACGAGAATAATGTCTAGTAGCTGATTCCCAATCTTGACTGAGGATGCAAGATTGAAGTTGGGTCAAGCAAGACTGAAATGAAGTCAAGGGAAAAGTTCCTGTAAGAATCCAATTGGACTAGCCTTCAGCTCCAACACCTGTCCTACCCTCTCAGTAGCTTCTGTAACGCGCCTCATTTCTTCGTCAAGCAGACTCATACGTCCGCTGAGACGCTGAGCCGTCTCGGCAGTAAGGCGAACATTGTTAGACAAGTGCAAGGCCTCATTGTAAGGCTCTGTGAGCAATGGAGCGAGTGTTCTTAGACGGACCAAGGAACTTTTTATAGGTTCCGGGGGCCCACGAGTGACGGATTTCTCAAGCTGTTCGACCTGGTGATTCAGGAATGCTGTTCCCAAAGTACGGGACATGGCCAGCTTACTGCTCGCTGCTGCTGCTGCTGCGGTAGGAGCCTACAGCGAGTCGTACGGTTAGCCTGGCTTGTGAGATACGAATCACTGACCTTGCTCTCTGCCATGACTAGTATGATGATATTTTGCTCTTTCGAAGGTAGATATGGTTTGAGGTAAGAAGATGACTTGAAGTATAAATCGCTTACTAAGCAACTTGTTACATCGTTCACTATTATTTCCTCTGGACAGTGCTGGTGCGGCTTAGCGGCCAATGGATCTAACTCCCACTGGCGCTCACTGTGCCTTGTCGTCCTGCAACACCTTCGATTTCTTGCCAATCAGATGCCAATGCACCAAACTGTTTTGCAGGTTTCATATATCTCCCGAACTCCATGACTGTTCAGCGCAAGATCTTGTTAATCGCCAACCTGAACTGAGGCCTTCCGTACAGTCTAAATGCACGCTGCAATCATGTGGTAATGCTAGTCTGGAATCCATACTTAAGCCCAAAGAAGACGGCGATGCCCGACCATCTGTGCTGTGTTCGAACTGCATGCAACCTTTTTGTATCGCGTATGTCTGGTCGTTTCTACCACTGTTTTCAGGGTTAAATACTGTACAGTCATCGTCACCCCAAAGATCATTCATGTTCAGGCCCAAAGAAACCTGAAGCTCCTCGGAAAAATGAGGCTGCCCGCCTGCTATTGTCAAAGAACTTTCCATCTAAATCCGCTCCTTTAGCAGCGCGTTCAGTGCAACGAGGACCCATAAAAGTTTCAGCTTCAACGAATCCGAAGACAGCGTCGCAAATAGAGAAGGTTGAACAGATGAAGCTTCGACATGGAGCTATTGCCGGCGACCCCGAGGACAGTGCATCGACTGTACCGATGAATCAACGTTTATATCTGAAGGCTAAGTCAAGACTCTCGAATTCGGTGGAGCAAGAAATAAAGATCTGGTTTCGCCAGGTACATGCTGAATTCATCGCTAAAATAACTGCGTCAATGAGATAATGACTGTTTCTAGTCCATTGTCACTGGCAAGGTCATAGACTTACTTATAAAGCATTTTGATGTTACCGACTCCGAAGAATATGTGCGTTATATCTATGATAGTTGTTACAATACCTGATTTAGTGTCCAGTCATTTGCACTTGCTAAGGTGCAGAGTTCGGGAGGTTTGATGCCTTTACACAACGAACAACATCTAGCAGATCAAATTGCAGATGGGTCAACTTTATTCTTAACTTCCACAGAGTTTCTTGAAACTACACAGTGAATAGAACGGGATGATGGACACCAATGTTCATGGATTGATTGAAAGGTGGTTCTTCAATGATGAAGAACTGATAGTATGATATATTAGTAGAATCCTCTCATTCTGCGCCGTCGAGAACAGTAGTTTAGCGCTAAATTCAAAGCTCCTTATAGTTTTGAGCACATGCGTTAGTATCTCACCTGACTGTTCTGCCTGACTCGGACAATCCCAAGGATAGCTCCGGCATTGATATTCAAGATAGGGGCCTTGGGGCCATAAATTAAAGTCAGCAAAGTCGTCAACGGTCAACGTAAATCCCTATTCCTGAGCTACATCCCATCTCAAACATTTAACATGTCCCAACCGACGCCCGAGCTAAACACTTTATTTGATCCCTTAACTTGTACGCGCAAGGGTCTTTGCCCTGTAACGCAAATTCGCAACAAGGGCGACCCATTGGAGAGCCACTCACTTTACTTTGAGCAGCATGGAACGGGACCAGAAAAGATATTGTTCATAATGGGGTGAGGCAAACTAGTTCTATTCGTAAATTATAGTACCAGTTGACATTCGCATCAACAGGTTGAATGGTACTCTCTTTGCTTGGGGATCTCAAATTGACCACTTCGGCCACTCGGACAAGTATACAGCGCTGGCTTTCGATAACAGAGGCGTTGGCCACAGCGGATCACCTATGGGACCATACACGTACGTCCAGCGTCAATATTGTTTTATTGATGTCTTGGTCACTAGAGCAATATTGATAACGAAGTATGCAGAACAAGTGGTATGGCAGAAGATGCCATTACCCTCCTCAATTACGTTGGGTGGACAGACAAACACAGTTTACATGTTGTCGGTATATCACTTGGGGGCATGATAGCTCAAGGTAGACCAAATCAACCCCTTCATCGGACGGTCAGTGGCTGAATTGCTTTATAGAGCTCTCAACTCGCATCCCCGAAAGAATCATATCCTTGAGTCTTGTTGTCACCAAGGCCGGCGGAAGGATCTGGAACAACTTTCCTTCAGTAAGCTATGACAAACCCCAAGTGCGCAAAATAATGAAAATTACTTCATTAGCTTAGCAACGGTATCAAGATGTTCAGGTTTGCAGGTATATTTTCTATAAAGCGAGCAAGCCACTAAATTACTACCAGAACTTGGGTGATGACACCTGAGGCGAAAGCAGCGTTGTTAGTCGACTTATTATTCCCGCAAGAATGGTTGGACGAGAAAGCCTTGAATGACTCATCTGGACGGACGAACAGAGATGTGCAGTTTGCGGTTCGTACACACATACATGCATATCTCAACCTTGCTCATTGGCCTGGACCTGGAGCAGGCCTGGAAAAGGCGTGACAACACTATACCTCGCCAGACCGCCATTGGTTCCTTGTCCCAGATGTCAGCAGCCTATACTCACCATTGTAGTGATGAGCGATTACGCACTCTTTCATCAACAATTCCCAAAGTTGCCATTATTGGCGCGGACCAGGACAAGCTTGTCGACTCGCATAACAGCATTTACTTGAAAAAGCAGATGCCAGAGGCCGAGTTGATTATGTTCGAGAAAACAGGCCACGCGATCTCAGGTCAAGACGTACCCAGATTCAATAGAACGTTGGAGAGAATATTTGAAGAAGGTCGAGAGAAGATAGGAAGAGCTGAGAATCGAAGTCACTAAACGCACGCCCTTTGCGTCGGATAATCCGTGCTTGTTTGAATTACAATATTCTTTGTATTTAACCATGGGCGAATTATCAACATGCTGCTGTAGTCTTCACCAAAACCATCGGTGAGCACAAAGAAGCCGTGATAATACACTCACAATCAAAATAGCCAGAGAATTATAAGATTTGTAGACGTTGGCAGACTGCCACAGGATATTCAGAGAATCACTAGGGAAAGAAAGTCTGTGGCATAAGTACACCCTCTGATTGTCCTTATGTCAAAGCGTAAGGGCTATGCATTATATATGCGAGAGAAATGTAATATACAGCGAATAGATGCGCCGCTATAACATATTTCAGCTGTCAGTGACAACCTAAGGCGCATGTCAGGTAGATATACTCACGTCTAAAGAGGCAGAACTGCCAAACCGAAGTCAACGATACTATGATAGGTCATAACAATCTTCATTTCTCTCTTAGAAGCTCCTTCATCTCTGATCTTATACTGGGATGTACTTTCCCTATCGCTTTCCTCGTTACGTGAGGCTCGATACGCAAATTTTTCGGCCAACTGTCCCCCTGTTCTTTTTGCCGCTCCATTAGCACCTTCAAAAGCGGCTTCTTCAACATTTTTTCCTCCTGCTTAGTGAGTGGTGGTGGCAAGACTTCGCTCGGTTTTACCGCCGACATGGGCAGGATTTTAAAGAAACGAGCTATTGAAGGTCGCATGGTAGATGTCTAGGCAACAATCGAGATATAGTGAGCTTTGTTGTTAATTAAACACACCAAGGCAATACTCTTGAAATTTGGAACTTACTGACTATAAGCACCTGCAAGAGCTCGAGTATGGAATTTCAATGGTCGAAGTCCGTCAGAGTAAAACAAGCAACGTGACTAATGTGACTCTAGAAACCACGTTACGTCACGCGTATACACCCCTTTTACGTGACTTGACCGCGACACTGAACACCACTGGCACCGTTTGGTTCCAGCTTCCTGGTAGAAAACCTCATCTTCAACTATACACGTATATTTCTTTTGCTTTCTTTGCTCTGACTAGCACCCCGTCACTAAGGTTTCGATGAAACGGAAAGTGGACTCCACTGAGCCTACGGAAGAGGATGTTACCAGTTCGTCAACCAAAAAAGCTGTAAAGAAGCCTCGTGAAAACAATAAAGGCAAGAAGAAGGAAAAAGATGATATCGTATGGCCGGATTACTTTCATGACGTGCGTAGCAAATTCGTCCCCAACCTTCGTCCCTAACTCATGAAGCATCCTTATAAAGTTGTTCAAGGTAACTACAATCTCTCTGAATCATGATATCCTTGTAAATTACTGGACGAACAAAAATAGGTCTTCAAGGTAAAGTGTTCACGCAAGTTCTTATATAACGTTAACGGACTCACGCGCTATGAAAGGCACTGAACACTGTACTCGCATTTGTTTCATCTCGTAAACACCTGGCAATGACTTTTCCTGTGGTTCGATCATCTGTCGAGAACTTGCTGAAACGGTAAGTTTATCACCCTATATAGAGTATACGCGGACTCTCAAAATACCAGAACAGTCCCTTAGATCTAGCTAAGATTGCAGAATTAAAGTGAGGATATCATCGCGTGCAGCTGTTGTAGCTCTATTCTGATTGCTGCATACAAAAGAGCCTTGTTGCCAAACCTCATCAAATTTGCATACATTCCTCGAAATGAACTCCGTATTCATGCAACCCAGTCTCAAGATCAGAAGACCAAGCGGAAGAGTAGTCCCGATTACTCTCTATCTGCGCCCTCAACTTCTCAGTCGTTTGGGGAATACGAGTCAGAGGAACAGGTTCTCGTCCTTGAATTCGCAGAGAACTCGAGAGGCAAGAAGGAAAACCCAAGGTAGCCTGTTAGTTCATGACTAGTAATGACTTGATTGACTAATTCCGAACTCGCAGTCTCGGACTATCCCTGCCGCCATCATTAGCCCCTGCAGGTCTGAAAAAACTCGTGGAAAAGCGTAACGAGCGGTTCTGTGAAGCTGTTAATGAGTGAGCCTTGTTCATTTGAAGGAAACACCAGCCACTCAGGTCCTTTTGGTAGGCTAATAGGTGCAGCTTCCAACGAAGATCCTGTGGCTCTAATACAAGCAGCTAGTTACGATCATATTCCTGTCAACCCCTCCTCAAAGTCAACATCCTCCGCGAAGGTCGACACGAAAGATAAAAGGACCATAATAGACCCGAAAGACCGGCCTACAATAGATGCAGTCATTGCGGAAGTAGAGGAACAGGATTGGTATAAAGGCCAGATAGTGGACAGACGGATCTTTGCATCACGGGAAGCAGCTAATGGTATATCCGTATTTCCTACCTCAGCATACTTTTCTAATGTTTCATCACATCTCGTCCTAAGGTACACTTGACCCACCGCTCTCGGAGACGATCCAACAGGCATTGAGCAACTCACGGAAGATAACATCACTATATTCTCATCAGTCATCAGCAATCAATGCCCTTTCAAGAGAAAAACACATCATCGTCTCAACAAGTACTGCATCTGGAAAGAGTGTAATATACCAGGTACATGAAACTTAAATTTTCGCCTAGTAATGTACAGTTCACCTTAAATTCATCAGGTTCCTTTACTGAGGTTTCTAGAAGATGATATTGACTCAACTGCGGTTTTCATTTACCCGACTAAAGTAACTCTCCTTTTTATGAGAGCACTTTTCAGATGTATAGATTTCTTTACAGGCGTTAGCCCAAGACCAGAGATCCGCGTTAGAGCAGCTATTATGGTCATGTCCAGGCCTCGAACATATTAAGGTGAATATTCCTCCAACCTTTTCTTTATGTCGATCAGGTTTACTCAGAGAAATAGGTCGCTACATATGACGGAGATACCCCTCAAGATCAACGAGCAGGTTCGTCGTTTTTGCAGTGCCAATTAATAATTCATTGTTTTTGATGTTTTATTTACAGGAATCCGTGAGACTGCTTCAGTCATATTCACCAACTTCGTACGCATATACAGATAATATTTCGCGCGTCTCATCTCAGTGAGGACTAGGACATGATACACGCATCAATTCTACCCCATGAAGAGCTATGGCGGAGGTGAATTGTTGTTCTCTGCTGCATTCAAAGATCGCTTATGGGAGTAAACAGGTTTCTGAAGAAGATCAAGCTAGTAGCCGTCGATGAATTACATTCGTATTCGGATCTTTTTGGAAGGTATGAGCTGATACCCTCACACCGACTTTTGTAAACTGAGCTTCAATTTCAGCCATGTAGCGCAAGTGATCAGGCGCTTTCGCAGAGTCTGTGCTGCGGTGGGAAGTATGCCTCAATCCATCAATTATCAAAATCATTGAAAATTGATAACTTATAAGATCGACGTATGCGCTTTGTGTCATGTAGCGCCACAATATCCAATCCTTCCAGACATATGAAAGACCTTTTTGGTTTGGAGGTAAGCCCCATCATTATCTACGAGTCATTATCTAACATCACCTGTAACTCCTCCCTTTTTATTCGATAAGGATATTGAAGAAATCACCGAAGATGGTGCGCCGTCAGGACGTAAAGATTTCCTGGTGTGGAATCCACCTCCGATCGATCCCATGGCTCCCAAACTCGGGCGTCACAGTTCGATGTCGGAGGCCACTGCTCTCATGAGATTCCTGATGAAGCGTGGCGTTCGAGTGATATTATTTTGCAAGGTTAGGACGAAACTGTTCTACTGCAAAGAACGATATTGACCGGCTCTTCCTTTCAGATTCGTAAAGCTTGTGAACTAGTCAGTCGAAAGCGTGCTTGATTTTGGTAACACGTATCTGATTTTATATCAGGCCATGAAAACTCTTCGAACAGACCTTAGCGCAGAAGGTCGGTTGGATATTTTGGAGAAAGTCATGCCTTACCGAGGCGGCTACTCACAAGAAGTATGCAGAGTAGTATCCACTGCCTTATAGAACAGGCTAACAGTGCAATTTTTAGGACCGGCGACGTATAGAAAACGAAGCTTTTTCTGGAAATCTGCTCGGCATTGTCGCCACTAATGCCCTTGAGCTAGGTGTTGACATTGGCGTACTTGATGCGGTTATTATGATGGGTTTTCCTTATAAAATCGCTAACCTCGTGAGTGTACACTACAGACATCTCCTAGTAACACGGACTAATGTTTGTCATTTGCAGCGTCAGCAGACTGGTCGAGCCGGACGGAGGACTCGGGACTCGTTAGCTGTATTGGTAGCGGATGGTCTGCCCATCGATCAGCACTATGTAAACAACCCCAGCGATCTTTTTGACAAGCCCATAGACGATCTTATCATCGACCTCGAAAGCAAAGTCATCCTCGAGCCACATTTACAATGTGCGGCACAAGAGATGCCCTTATCAAAGGAAGACGACGTATACTTTGGTCCTTTATTGCGTGAGCTTTGCGATTCCAGCCTAATAAAGACCAAGGATGGCTGGTAAGCATAACGCACCTGTAAATCGAAGTTATCACTGAATTGACTGTAGGTATCATACGCATCCCAATTTTCTTCCCTTTCCCGCAAAACACGTGTCTATTCGCGGAGCAGAAGAAGAGAAATATACAGTGGTGGATATTACTAAAGTGACAGCGGAAGGCGGACCCAAAATTATCGAAGAAGTTGAACTTTCGAGGGCCCTCTTTGAGATCTATGAGGGTGGCGTCGTAAGTGGTTATATATGATCATATATGCTAACTAACAATGCACCCTGTGTCAAGTTCATGCATCAAGGATTGACTTTCATTGTAGGTTCTTACATTATTGATTCGAAAATTCCGAGGTCTGATATTGTGTAGGTGACAGAAATTAGTCATGATTCCAAAATTGCAAGAGTCATGAGGGCCGACGTCAACTGGATCACCTCACCCAGGTACGATATTATTAATACTGGCTTGTTGATTACTGAAAAATCAAATTCTCCGATATATTTAGGGATTACACGTAGGTTATCTACTATATACCCCGAAAACTTTGAGAACTGAAAGCAAAACAAAGCGATATAGATGCCGTACAAACCTATCGCATAAGGGAAATTAAAGGCTCGCCTCACAGAGCGTTTTATGGTAGTGAGTGGAGTCTGTGCGTATGTACGGGTACACCACATGTTAATCTTCACTTAGGGGTGGACGCCAAAACAGTGGTATTCGGTACGATATGTTCTCTCAAAAAATGACATTGTATTTAATAAGAACGACAGGTTTTTTCAAGATAAGGTATGCACATAAGTTGGCCAGTCTTTCGGGCAGGACTCATTTTTCTCAATAGGAACAAAACTATTCTGGACGTGGTTGACGTTGACTCGCCTTCTTGGGATCGTCAAGCCACGGGGTTATGGATAGACGTCCCAAGATATGTCCTCAATCTCATGAAATCTAAAGGGATCAATGCTGCGGAAGCCATACATTCAGCTCAACATGCGTTATTAAATCGATTTGCATTAGCAGCAGATCTAAAGACGGAATGCAAGGCGCCACAAAAGGAATATAAAGCAACGAAAACGGAAAGGAAACGGCCAGCACGGTGTGTGTGGTTTCTGTTGAGTGTGATTAGTACTTATAAGTGGTCTTTTTCAAGGCTCATATTTTATGATTCCGCTGGGAGAAGTGGCGTCTCGTCGAAGGCTTTTGACCATGGCAAGATCATTCCTGTGACTTGGGGTGTGGCAACACTAATATTGAACGCGCATAGTCTCTGATCTACTTTATCAAGCAAATGATGCTATAGAAGGATGCAAGTGTGAGAGTGGATGCAAAGAATGTATGTCCGATTGGTGTTGCAACTTTTTTCAAGTTGTTAATAACTCTTAGGTGTCCATAGTCCTTCATGTCGGGAGGGAAATGAGGTATCTTCAAAATTGGGAGCTCAGCTAATCCTCAGAACCATTCTGAACCTCGAAATCAACGAGGATAGCATACCGTCGCAGATGGACGAAACTGACACCCCTGATACGATTATAGAAGCAGATTATGTTCGTCCTGTAGACGGAGTGCAAGTCGAGGCAGGTTGAATAGTGTAACTTACTACATAACTATCTAGATGGGTATTTCTAATCATAATGCATGTTGGGCATTACCGCAGCGGATCAAAATCTCCCCAGTCGTCTTTCGTTAGTGGTTTTGACACCTTTGACCAAGCAGGTTGCGGGGCTGATGAAGGTGCCAGTAAGCCATTGAAAGAAGGTGGAGATGCTAATAAGGGAGGAGTAGATAATGAAAAGCCAGAATGTGTAGGTTGAAGCCCGCTGTTATCTGATTGACTAGTCGACAAAGCTGAAGATATCGGTGACTGAGAAATTGTCGATAACGAGATATTATAGTTAGGCTTTTGCACGGTGGTTGCATAAGAGGAGCTTGCCAAACGGTGGGGCTGCATGGGTTGCACTTTAGGGGCGATGTTGAGCGTTTCAGGTTGTAACGCGGAGGAAGGGGATACATCGAAAGAAGTCGAAGTTAAAGGCCGTGCACCCAGACGTGATGGGCGAGGAATTGGGTAATCTCGGGGACGAAGGCAATGATTGCGTGTGAGGCTGCAGTTGTAGTTGTAGAGTCGCAGGCGTAGCTGTAACGGGAGGACCTTGGATCATAGGAGCCTGGTGCAAAGCAGTGAGATATAGACTGTCAGGATACACGAAAGAGACGTGCCTGAATCGGTTTTGCCGTGTCATTGAATATACTACCCCACACGTCGTCATCCCAACCTTGTGCATTTTCGGACGGACTATCAGATTTAACGGAGGTTCCTGTACCTCGGCCAACAAGGCTCTCGAAATCAAGGCCTGTGTTAAAGCTGGGTGAGACTGCTCCATTAGCAGCGGTAGACGAGCGATCTTCTAATCTCTGCGAATCGCGAAGGAACTGATTGTGCTCTTTTTCAACACGCTCGCTCAACTTGCGTATTACGCCCATAAAACGCTGGAACTGGTCAACATTTAACACTGTGAAGTTATTAATATAGTTAAAGCATTTTCAGCGACTGGTTGAAACTTACACGGCCCCATTGACATCATCCATAATTGAGGGAGGACAAGTGTTGCAACAGCTTCTCTATCCACCTTGAATCCCATGGCCTCTTGTACCGATAGGGTAGCCATCTGCTAGCGAATCAGCAAATTATAAACTGTGTCAGTTATGTACAAGTTCTTACCATTACTGCAGGTTCTTTGGTCCGAATTTTGGATAGTAATGGTACAAGTTTCTGCGTCAGATTTGTCTTGCAAAATATATGAGTGACAGAATCAATAAAGGTTGAGAAAATCTAGACCAACTTGATCAAGTGTCTTGACCATGGCCAAGAACGTCATAAGAGTAGCCACTTTGACAGTGAGTACCTTTGTTTTGGTAAATACTAGCTATAAAAGAAAAACAATTATGTATAGACCTAAAACTCCGCTAGTTTTAATACTCACTGCAACACGAGGGAACAGTACCCCAGAGACTTCAGCATAATCTATCGATTCACAAAGATCTGGTACAACTGTCAAAGCACGTTCTTGGACCTTGGTGCCGTAAGCCACAAAAATTGTAATATTAACAGAATGAGCATGAACTCACTACGGCGTGCTCGGATTCAAGTGCATTGTAGACCAAGGGTAACACCTCTGCATCAATACATATAGTGAGCGACTACACTCTGATTTCAATCTAGGACACCTACGTTCGCGGAAAACGCCCTTCTCCGTCTTATTTTGGAGTAAATGAAGATTTTCCAGGAGCGTTAACATGTTTTGTGGTGGGTCCTTGATGGTAAATAGGGGTTTGAGACTTGGGAGGACCAGAGACGCAAACTGGTTTGCAGAGAGGATGTTAGAGATAGCAAACACGTTCGGTAGGATGTACGGGAGTAAGTGGGTGTCTTTCATCTGGAGTAGAGACCTTTAGCAACAGCCTGAGTGGCGTAAGACACCACGAACCTCCTCCAAGAGAGATGGAAGTATTTTCCGAGTGCGGAGGCCTTCTGAGAACTTGTCTAGAACGGAAGTCAGGCCTCTCATGAACGAGATTTTCTCCTCTCGTGATTTAGAGGTGAAATTGGACCGGTCCAAGAAATTAAGCGTTGATATAGGAAGGGAAGAGAAAAAAGGATGCGAAGGAAGCGTTGTTGGCGTGGGTCGGGCTTGAGATCCTCGAGTTATAAGAGAACGTAGCAGTGCTTGCAACGGATGTATAACTGTGTTAGTTTGAGAAGCAATAGTCACCACTAAGCTTATTACCTTGCAGATCGTTATCCAAACCATCCATTCCGGGTACAGCCTTTCCTGCATTCTCGCGTAGACCTCCCAGACTTCCATGGTTGGTAAAAGGTGGGCTGCCTTTGCAGTGAACAGCATATATGAGACATCCAAGTGAGTACATGTCAGAGGCGGTGACCAAGACTTCGTCCAAAGCATATTCAGGAGCTATTTCTCCTTTAGGACTGCTGCACAGTTAGGATAAGGTAATACGCACCAATATAATCGAAAGAACGTTGTACATAGGAGGGCATGCGACCATCAAATGTAGGAAACTCCCAACGTGTGGGTTTATCGTCTGCCCCTGTCAAGGAAATTGTGAGTCCCAGACCTGATATTTTCCAGTCGCCCTGTTACATGTTATTTAGATTACGTCTCAACCGTAATGCTAGACACCAACTGCATCGTTAATTATTACACATTCGGGCTTGAGGTTCGAGTGGATCAACCGTGCTGATGAGTGAAGAAAAGACAAGCCTTTGCAAATCTGGAGCATGCCTTTTTGGATCTTGACGACCATCAGTTATGCGTCACAACAGGATATCTATTTATACGAACTTCGATCTCGTCCAGCTCGACTATTGGGTGATGTCGGGATCCTCTTGGTATTGAGAGGTCCAAGGACGATAGCACAGGCTCAGTTGCAAATATCAGCTCGTTTCGAGTCTCTTCCAAAGGCTCGACCATTTCTTTAATATAGTTCTATGAGTAACGTCTAGCAGAAGGTATACCCGGTTGACGTCGCACCTAGGATAGACGGATGGCGAAGTTTTCCGAGAGCAGCGCCCTTACACAAATACTTCTAAGAGCCAACACACCAGTGTAGTTTTAGGAAGCACATTACCTCTGCCTTCAAGACCTCCAACGTTCTCTCTTTCGCAAGCGGACTCAAACGATCCATGTCCGGTCCTCGTTTGTCGAAACTCCAGACAGAAACGCGCTTGTTCGTGACTTTATGCGTAGCTACCTGCACCCGCCACAAGCCTACGTTTACAGATGGTAATCCTGCCATTGGCAGTGGACTTGAAGATCCCGAAGGACCAGGCGTTGATGATCTGCTTCCATTTGAGGTTGTTCCAATGTTGTATGACTGAGAAATGGCGGTGCGAGCAAAAAAGGAGGTAGCAGCTGCGAACATGCTTGAATACGAGTAAGTCGCCATGCCAAAGATATGATATAAGAAAAGAGAATAACCTGTTCTAAACCCTTTGCCTGTTGTCCAGATAATTTGTTTCCGCAAACTCGTGCTGAGAATTGCCTGTCAGAGCGCAAGCCAGTGCAGTATTGGGCTGCTTACTTAAGCGAACCGAATCCCAGCTGAACCGAGGTCACGCGCAGTACAGAACCGTGATGCCACTCGGCTCAGTTCCGTCCGTGTCTTCTGCTGGTGGGACAGCTTATAACATTTGTTTTTGGAATTACATCTCTTTCCCCCGACATCTACGCCATGAGACCAACGATTCGTGTTTTGCAATCCCTAAACCAACATGCGACACGTAGCAAGAGTATTGGTTTCATCGGTCTAGGTCGAATGGGTACCGAGATGGCATTCAACCTGTTCTCTAAAACATATGCAGAAGCTACAGACGCCCAGTTCTATATCTGCGACGCTGTACCTTCCAGCGCTGCCTCATTTCGTCAGAATTTCCTTGGTCACTTTCCAGGTGCTCATGTGCACGTAGTCCAGACTCCAGCAGAGTACGTGTTCACACAGAATATCATAACTAGTCTCTGTCATGTCGTCCTAGGGCATTAATCGCGTCACAGACTGTAATGACAGTGCTACCATCTTCTCCTGAAGTAAAGGGTGTTTATTCTGGATCAAGTGGAATTATACCTGCTCTGAAATCGCTGCCCACCAAAGCTGCTGAAAGCACGCTGGTAATTGACTCCACGACGCTAGATGTAGAGGTCGCGCGCCAAGTGGCGAAAGACGTCATACAGACTGGAGCCCAGATGATTGACGCTCCTGTTTCTGGTGGTCTGTAGCTTACTGCATGGAACTATGCATATCCGGTGACTTATCACATCCACAGGGGTCACCGGTGCTAAAGCCGGCACACTTGCGTTTATGGTTGGGGGATCAGAATCGTCCTTCGAGCTGTCTCGTGCCCTTCTCTCCCATATGGGCAAACGCATTCTGCATTGCGGTCCCTCTGGCGCCGGCCTTGGTGCCAAGATATGTAATAATCTCGTTTTGGGCATCGAGCAGATTGCTGTCGCTGAAGCCATGCTTCTGGGTCAGAAACTTGGTCTAGATCCCGCTATACTTGCAGGCGTCATTAACAGCTCGACTGGCGGCTGTTGGGCGTCATCGATCAACAATCCTGTACCGTCCTCACTACCTGGAAAATCACCGCCCTGCGAGCGTAATTTCGAGGGTGGTTTTGTCACTGCGCTAATGCTGAAGGTATGTTAGCGATGTCATCGGGATGAAGTGCGCTGCTTACGTTGTTCGACAGGATATGCTCCTGGCAAAGGATATTGCTGCAAGTCAAGGTAGTCCTTTGCCGCTTGGAGAGGCTGCACAGGGCATATACTCTGACGCGATAAAGCAGCAACCGGAGCTGGCTACCCGTGACTTTTCGTCTGTGTACCTACATCTCCGACAACAAACCGAGGGGAGAAAGCATGGATCAGAAGAGAAGTCATGACAAGGGTCGTGGTGATGTGTTTGTACGAAAGTAACAATGCATTGAGTATCGATGTTGTGATTGGTTGATGTAATGTCTGAAACGCCTCGTTTGCCTTGTAGCATGTCGAGTTTTACATGGCTAGTTTCAATGGCAATGGCGTACAAGCGGCGGAATACAAGGTGCTATACAGCAAAGATCGATGAAACGATGATTATATGTCAAGTGGTGGTACATATGAGGAGGACGCCGCAAGGAAATTACTCGGACGCCGATGCAAGCCTGATCGATGTCGTTTTGAAAGTTGAAAATTTTATGATGGTGAGATTAGAGGACAGGACAGCTGCAAATTTTCGTAAGAGGTACGACGAGGATGGATAGCATGGAGCCGTATGTGGTATCTAGTTTGACCGAAATGAAGGCGAGAGCGCTCGAAGGGGTATCGGTGTGGACTGTTGTGTTGTGTGCCGGCGGTAGTGATGGCAGTAGATGATACATCGATGATAGATGATATAAGGGTGCTTACCGCTGAGACCGGGTTTCAATATCAAAAATGATTCGCTGCGACGTCGACGGGCTGGAAAGAATCATTATGATAGAGAATGGGCAGTGATTACATAAGAAGCTGATTCCTTCTCGGTTGGTTGCCTCCGCGACGTTTCTGCAACGAAATCTGTCTTTTCCGTTCTCTTTTCCTTCAATCCTTGTCCTTCCTCACGCAATTATACCCTTTCTTTCATCGCCCACAATCTCTCTATCCCCAACAGCAGACACCATGTCTGCGACCACCGAAAAACCTAATGTCATCATATTCGGTTCGTATTCGCTTTTCTACATCTTTGTCTGTCATCTTGCCCATTCATCACCACTCCATCCAATTCAGGCGGTCTAAACACCTGCTCGCGTTCTCTCGCTGCTTTGCTTGTACCCCTCGAGGGTGAACGTCTTGTCTCAGTACGCCATTTATCCCTCCTTTCATTTCGTCCATGTCCTGACAGTCCAAATCAGCATCTTCGCATCGTCGATAAGTATTCCGTCTCGCCTCCCACAACGTATGTCCTGTCTATATCCATATCCATATTTTTTCTAATGTCAGACCTTCCATTCGTTTATCCTCTAGCTATCTCGGGGCAGAATTCCCAAAGATCCTCGCCCAACCCGACGTGGAATATCGCCAAGTCAACTTGACCGTTCCTTGTGCGTCTCTTTTTCTTTCTGCCTCAAATCATTCTTACCCTTGCTTTCTCAGCCGCCGTCGCTTCCGCTTTCGATCCTCCCGAAGGACAGGCTGCCTATTCTTACGTATTTGACCTCACGGGCGAGATTCGCTATGATCGCACTGAAATGGTACGCAAGTTACTCAAACAAATTCACGCCCCGCGGCAACTTACGTATCAGGATTACTGGTAGATCGCAATCAAGATGACTTTCAATGTATCAAGACTCGTTGGCCTTGAAGCTGCTCGTCGCAACGTCCAGGCTTACGTTCGCTTGCAGTTGCCTGTCTACGAATCGTCTGAGAAGAGTACGCATGACGAGAAGGAAGACGTCAAACCAGCCAAACCACTCGATGTTTGGTGGCATGAAACCGTCCGGATGTTATCTGCGATTGAGGGGTGCGTATGTTTCACCAGTCTGATTAAGCGCTGGCATTGAAGCTTGAAGGATCGTCCTAGTCTGAATTTGGTTGTTCTCCGGGTTGGATTTGTTTACGGCCCATATATCGACTTTGGTATATGTAGGTTCTTCTTTTATAATGCAATCTCCCGCCACTCAACTAGTATGTTCAGATACATCTGTCATCACGGTCGCATCTGTGTACGGATATATGAAGAAACCCATGAAGACTCTGTAAGCACTGATGATCCGATCTTTAATAAATGTGATTGATTTTCGTTGAACAGTTGGTCACCCGGAAAGGACCCCATGTACACTGTCCACAGCGATGACGTGGCTGGGGGATTATGGGCTTGTGCTCAGTGGATAGCACCGCTAGGTAGAAAGGAAGCTGATATAATCGCTGGGGAGCAGATACTCTTCCATAACGAGAAGAGTAAGGTTAGCGAAGTTGAGGGCATGCCCCCTTGTGATGCCAAACTTATAGCCCCGCTCTTCAATCTCGTGCGTTCAGCTTTTAAACAGTTTCTTGACACCTCCAACTCAGAATTCCAACAGGTTGACGACTCGGAGATTACGCTCCTGAAAGGTGGAGAGATTGTGACCGCTTACTTTGGAACGACGTTCGAGTTCCACAGCTTCATGATAAACGCCTATGCCAAGGCAAGTTATGATCGATCAAGGATTATGACGCTTTGTCTGACATTTACGGCTTTTGTTGTACCCAGTTCAAACTCGAAGATGTCGTGGAAGAGATTAATGAACATCACGTTGGAGTCTGGACGGAAATGCTCTCAAGTTCAAATCCACCCATCACACAAACTCCTTTGACTGCGTACATGGATACCTTCACATTATCACGACACAAGTTAGCCTACAGCAATAACAAGATAAAAGAGGTTATGGGATACAAACTGAAACGACCCGAGTTCAATCATGACACAATAAAGGAAATCGTGGAGAAATGGAAGGCCGAAGGTTCCTGGCCTAATCTTTGACAGGGTATTTAAGGATCTGGTTGTATCAATGTTTGGTTTGAATAATAATGACTATCATGTTGCAAAGTATTTACTTGTTGTTCTTTTGTCTCTCCTTGGCTGTCCCAGCTTGAATGTGTTATTTTTTTCATATCCCATGTGTTCTATGTCTGCTCGGTCGACCCACACGTAATATAATATCCTTATGTTCATAATGGATCATATACTCTCATCAGTCTCGGGTGCTTAAGGGCTGGTCCTCACCGGGACTCTGAATTGTTGGGACAATCCAGTTGACAATTCAAGATACACAGTAGCTCAGCCCGAACGACTGCCGTTCGTGATAAATAATATTGTATATGCGGCAATCTTCGTTCAGAATAATATGCTAAAAAGTATGCTGAGTTTCTAGTATAATTGATCACGATACTCAGGCAACCTCAGATGGATTACTCTCCGTGACAGGTGGCAATACTTCGGGAGTTGGAATAACATGGGCCAGGAAACCAGGCAAGAACCGTTCTATCCTCGCATGTGTCGCGGTCCATAGAGTGCGCTGCTGCTCATCCCGATCGTCTTCCGCTTTAGGCGGCACTAGAATGTTAGCCGCATTCATCACCAGGACGACGTTCTTGAGCGACTCGGAAACTGCTTCATACTAACAGTTTCACCGATGAATTGCCGTCCCTCAGCGCGTGTCAATTAGGTCACTCACTAGTTGGTCGCTCTTATCTACCATGATAAGTCTGTGGAGCAGGTCAAGGATTTCTATCCACACGATCCTGATGTCCGCCTTCTGGTTGGTTTCCCGCACTTCAAAGTGCATGAAAGCTTTGCAGAGCAGAGCAGAAGCCCGAAGCCGAGTTTCTGCCATCCCTTGCGGGTCAAGCTGCTGTACTTGGGGTTTTAGGAGTTCGTCTAGAAGGGGGAAAACAGCATTATTGAAAATTTCTTCAATTTGACTGTGATCGCCTTCATCATACACAAGGTATGAACCCAAAAGCATTCGTTGAAGTTGGCTGATGGCAGTATGACGAACCAAACGGCAAGCATTTGTTGACTGGCGGCTAAGGGATGATACCAAGGGGAGACAGAATTGCCGCCATACTGATAACAACATAGTTAATTATACGCATTTTTTCCTGGTGATATTGATTATTCACCTTGTTTTCTCTCAAGGTTAGAGGATTCCGAAAATATTGGGATGAACTTCTTCAACTCAAATATCAAATCGATGGCTTTCCTGCCTCGTTCGACAAGTGGTGAACTGATTGAACGTGGATTAAGTTGATAAAATGTATCTCGAAGAAGCATCCACTTACCTCGCAGAAGCTTGGGGTGCGGACCGCCTTCCTCTCTGACGTTGACCATCTACCGAAACACCAGCAGCACTGGCGAAATCATCCAGTAGAGTAACAAGACCAGTGAAACTATCCATCGTCACATATTGCGTCGGCTTTTCCGAAACAAAGCTGACAGCAAGGTCAAATGAAGATCGGACAGCCTCTGGGTGTGATATCGTCGAGCGAAGGAGTGCGAAGACAAGATTCCACTCTGTATGTGAGCTAAGATACAATTAGAACCAACACCACCAATCAGTCACAGTAATTTACCTTACGATATCAGAATGTTTCTGAATTATCAAGCTCACTCCAGATACAACTTGTTCTGCGACGGAATTTGCTACAATAGATGGCAAACCCGCTAACAGGTCGAATGAAACATATATTTGGTCACGTAGTGAAACCTATAAGGGACAGCGCATTAGTCTCACTGATATTAATGCTCAACAGCTATCCACCTTTGTTGCCAAGATAAGGCATAAACGTAGAAGTCCCACGACGGCGCGTTCAATAAGCAGGACACTATAATGCGTTGATGCGCCAAGCAAAGCTGAAAGATGTTCAAAGAGCACTGGCCTAGTTTGCGAAAAGTTAGTGAACGTTCTCAAAAGTAACATCATCGATCATACCATAGGTCTTCGATATATTGCGAAGTCTGACATGCAATGCTAACCATAGTTTCCAAAAGAAAAACTGAAGCGGGATCGTAAGGGAGAATATATGAACCATCGTCCGCAAGAGAGGTGTTGAACGAGGCTGAGATGTCATCAGATCCTTGTTTCAATTTAGCAATTGTTCGCTCATGCGCAAGCGCTTCTAGGGCACGGACAGCTGCTACTAAAGCTTCTAGATCAAGTTGCCTGCCAAAGATAAAGCGTCGCGTCAGTATTGTGGATAGCAGTACTGAGTATGTACAGACGTAATCTGGCCATATAGTTCGTCCAAGCGACAAGACGTAATACAGTCAATGGTACACAGGGTATTTTCTATATCCGCATCCGTTGCTGACGGGACAAGGCTATCTGAGCTTGCACCATAAGGCGTCATGAGATAAGATGATAAGGTTGACAGAAGTCCTCCATCACTTCTAGGTGCAGACCGAGATGGCTGACTTCCTCGCAGCGGAATCATGGAGACACCACCAAGGAAATCTTCCATTTGCAACATCCTCGTAGGTAACAGGGAGTGCATGAAGAGATTCTGGAACATTTCAAATATCTTATACAAGGTCCCATGTAGTTAGTAACATATAACAAATCTATTCCAGCCACTTACCTGTGTCCAACCTTCCCGCAATGCGTTGCCATTACCGTTCACTATATTGAAGAGAACAACAGCAGCCAATTGTCCTTTGAAATTCGTTCCAAACTTCACCGACAAAGAAGAGACAGTGACGGATTGTCCTTCTACCTCAACTATAGGATAGTTCGGCACATGAGCCGGCAGGTTATCCGAGAGGAGACTAGTGGCTTGAGAGAGCGATATCACGACAAAATCGAACACATCCGGAAGACGGAAGTGACCAGCCAAAGTTGCGCATTGTCGAAACCCAGATATTGCTCGCTGTATCACGTAATCATCATCAAAACTGATGAAAGCATACGCAATGGCAGAAATGAGAGGTTTCCATGCAAATTTGAACATATCAAGATCGAAAATTGGTGTATTGCACATCATGAATGGTCCTAGATTTCCTTCAGCGAATCTTTACTTCAATAACAAGAAAGTTATTTACCAGACTGTCGTGAACGGGTGAGTAGTTCTTTCCAAGCGTATTCAAAGCCCAGCTGCCCTGTATGCTCTTCTGGCATGATAATTTCGCGTTTGCGAATAGAGTCATATATGTTTTGCTGTCGTAGATAAGCTAATGCGTAGTTAATAATGTTCAAGCACTCACCAAGAATTCTGGCGAGAAATCTGAACCATCGTTGACACCTCTCAGATTTCTTTGATAGTCTTCGATCGACATTCGTTTCTGTTATCGGTTCAGATACTGCTGCAAGCGATAAGGATAGATACCTTACTCGAATTTGTGGGTTATGGAGGTCTGTATTCAACAAAATGATTGAATAAGCCAACACATACACCGAATCTTCACTTTTTATCTCGGCTATAACAGCGTATTGAGCAGATGACTAAACAACTAAAGTCGGGACCGTACCAGGCTTTGATGCAAAATACTTCGCCGCAAATGTCTCTGTGATTCGAGCAATTTGTTGTGCTTCCCCCGGAAGTCTGAAAGCTTCCAGCAACTCTCGCATAGCATCAGCAACGGGTTTCTAGAAATTCGCACATGAATTTCAATGGCTCGATCGTGCACAATAAAACCACTCACATCGTGGAAATTAAACAGTCCGATGAATTCTTTCAGTAATTCAAGGTTATCTGGTTTTGATAAGTAATCTCCAAGCAAACGTTTGTCTAAGCGGGTGCAGTTTTTCAAAAACACTGCTAAACTATGTGCCTTCGATACTTCCGGAGATACATCTGCATATATAAGTTTATTTTCCTCCAGGAATGCAAGGCCGACTTTCGGTTTCGAGTTAAAACGAGCAGCTCCTGTCAAAACCAGCTTTTTGGTAGATTTGCTCTGAAGTAATTCTTCAGGCGAAACGAAATTCTGAAAAAAAAAGGAGGTTTAAAATGATATCATGATAAGATTAGAGTCATACTTACTGAATGCCATAGCTGACCTGACTGTAAGTAATCAAAAGGTCAGTAAAAGGTTATAATTCATAAGTGAATTACAGACACCCTCGGCACGTGCTGTCATGTCATTGACAAAGGCGAGCAGTAAATCCAAGCACAGATACTGGGAATATAGTTGCTGCGACTCGGAACCAGGTGATGAGTGCCAAGGATAAACACCCTGTGCGTGAGCGTATTTAATAAAGAATGTCGAGTTTGGACAGTATCGAACCGTACCTTGCTCAAGAACTCGACAAGACGTTCATACAAATTTTCACAGTTTATGTCGCAGTCGTAGTTAATATAAAGATTGACCATGAAGTCTGGATGGCGCGCAATCTGACTGAGAGTCTCCAGCATAAGATGTCGAGTTTCTCCCCGAGCAGGTGCTACTGGGGGTCGTGATGGCACAGGACTCCCTTTGTCCAAGTCTAGCTCAACATCAACGGGACCAAGCACTGGGGTAGAAGCAGCAGGAGTGCCTGGGCGTGGCGAAGCAGGGTTGCCTTTCTTACTAGGACCTATGGTATTTTGGGATTTGGGAGGTGGAGGCGGAGCTAGGCGATCAATAGTAAAGGCTAAAAACAATTCCTGCTGTAGCTTGAGATGCGCCCTCAACGCCTCGAAGATAACAGAGATGGTGCGAAGAGCACACTGTAGTACAGATGGATTGTCGGATCGCGCCAGTTGAAAGAGATACTTGCACCCAGGATCCAATATCAGTGCTTCGAGGGACGGGTACTCTCCTATCTTTGTGCCAGAAACTTCTATAGCCGCGTTGAGTATGCCCAGTGCCGTAAGTCGAGTAGAATCCGTATGAACTTGGTCGCTAGGATCCAATATATTGACGAGTACACGCAACAGTTCTAAAATTGCAGGAAGGCCATCTGCGTGACGTATAAGTTTTCTCAGTAACATAAAAAAGGACAAGAACATAAACATACAGGGTCTATTGGGTACAGTAGGGCTATCCTGCGTTATTGGAGGACTCTCGTTTACGTCTCCCGAGGGTGATGGATTATCTTCTATGGCATTAGCAGGTACTACAGTAGCTTCTATGGCGTCATTGGTGATATTGGCCGACACAGACATTCGAATTTCGCTTTCTTGGGTGTCTTCATCGGTTGCCAACAATTTTGCCTCTTCCGCTGTAGGGTCGAGATCATGAAGGCGCGAGAAAATAGTCCGCACAAGCGAATGCATCGTCGATTCAGCGGATCTTCGGAGCGTTTCTACATTTTCCTCATTAGTACAAGGCTGTTGCAAAACCGCACGCACGCACCACTAAGCCTCATCTGACAACAAGTAGTTAACACGGTCTCCAGCATCTCACATACTTCGACGTCTCCCAATAGCGTTCCTATGCTGGTCCCACACATGCAGTCATGAATGACAGCCATAATCTTCAATAACACCACTTCATCGCCAGACGAGTCGCTAGCTTCGAATTTACAGTGGGATACTGTGCTGCTGAGTTCGACGAGGGCAACGTCAAGCATGAGCGAATTTGCCGAAATCAGTCCACAGACAAAGAAGCTATGGAGGGCGGAGAGAGCAGCAGACGTTATAGGCCCAGTCGACAAAGGTGAGCGAATTAGCGCGAAGAATGGAGCCAGAAGTGATGGCAAGGGTAGCGAGAGAAGGTCTGTAGATAGATTCATAGTAATGCAGCAGGCCGCTACAACGGCTACCAAAGTAAAAACACGTACCATCCACGTCTCGAATCATCCGCTTGACCTCTTGGAAGCCCGCCATAAGGTCTGCCTCTTGGTTATATCTCCCCGAACGCTGAAACTCCGGCGTAGGACTGAATCTGCGAAGTCCGAGATCCTTAGCGAGGGCGGAGTCTCTAGCAGTCAATGTGTATACAGACGAAGCCCATCGTGAGTTTTTGCGCATCACCGACGTTACTGCCAATATCTCCGAGAGCACGACATGTTTTTGAGAGACATGGGGTAACAGAGTTGGAGTGGTGTAGACCATGGGAATACGGTGCCCTGCGTGAACTTTCTAATCGTATATCGGTACACGAAAGGCTCAAAATTAAAGGAATTGGAAACGTCACGATATACGTGGACCGTGTATAGAAAGCATAAGCAGTAGTACTGGTTCGCGTCACATTGGCAATGTTTGATTCTAAGGCCGTTGCCAAACAAACGTCACCCTTTACGTGGCAACTCAAGCTTTCTGCAGAACGTGAGAATCACAATTTTGCCCATTGCATCATAATCATAATTGTAGCTATAGTATATGTATGAAGAACAAATTGACACCAAGAAAATACAGGCAGGCAACGAGATGAATTAGTCACTTATTAGTAGATGTATATAGATCACGGGTCTCTGTCTGCGGATGCTGAAAGGTTAACATACTTTCGTACTCGTCACTTCCTTCCTTGACGACCGCTCCTTCTCATCCCAGGGATCCTCCATAGGGAAATAAAGAATTTGGTACTGGTCCTTTTTTCTTTAAAACACATCAGATATTTTAAACCTCGAAAAGCTCGAGTCAGCTCACCCGAGTCTAGAGTTATTCACCCTGAAGAATTTGACGACATCTTGTGGATCCAGTTCGAGCTCGCTGTGTGACGACCCTGTAGCGCTAGTACCCGCATTTTCTTGCGAAATGTCTTCGTCAATTATGATAACATCGTCATCACCATCAGGCGTCGAGCGCAAACGTTTGGCCTTGTTGCCTTCAAAAGGCGGTGAGGCCTTGCGCTTCTGCTTGCTTATATTGCGTTTAGACAGTGGGAGCAAGTTAATGCATGACGATGCTACTGAGTTCGATTGTTGAGCAGAAAATGCAGAGCGATGAGGCGTAAGCGCAGAAATGCCGGTTTTGCGTAGCGTCTTTTTAGGTAGACTGTAGTTCCAAAAGTAGTCAGTGATGTATATTAGGCGATCAAGGACGTTGTTTACAGAGAGGGATCAAATATAAGCAGGTTGACGGTGCCATTCTTTGTTAGTTCATAACCAACTATTGTTCGTGAGTGGCCATCGTGTTGCAGAATCAAGGGCATGCGATCAGTCGCAATTACTGGTGATGCTCCTCGTAAAATATCATCCACAGTGTTAGATTTCCTTTGGCTCTGCGGCGAGAAGTATTCCACAACCCAGTTTGTTAGCGCGTCGACACCTACGTATCTGATCAGTCTGCTTCAATAAAAGAGTAAAATAAATACGTACCGCGAGGTGACTTCCTTAAATCAAAATCAACTAGCTGCGACCTATATGACAGATGAGACACATCTAAAAGATTATTAGATGTCGTACGGTATACCACGACACGTGAACGCGACGTAAAGCTCTGGATGGTGTAAGTAAGGCAAAGAATATGCGCCGATGGTGTCCAGCGACTGACCCGCTGTTCCGATGAACTTTTTCGTACCACAAAGATTATGCTTTAAATCCTTGGCTCCAGCTCTGTCATAACCTGGTAAGCCTCATGGTTAGTAGGAAGGTCCATAATATATTGCTTGCTTTCGAATTTACCTGCTTGCCATGCTCCTTCAATCCAAAGCTGCAGATTTCGTACACCTGGCGATATTGGTTCCTCTAGAAGGGAAGAGTAGAGTGTCTGCTTCTGTTGGTCCATGAGCGCGGTGCATGCCATGAGGAAATTGCGATAACTGGTATAAATCGAGGAAATGCGTCACCAACACAGACAATATTAATATGGATGATACTCACCCACAACCCCAACCTGCATCGAATGATTCTCGACCAACATGTACAGTCCGTTCGTAACACAGCACTGCTCGTCGTGTCGTTCCTTTCTGATGTAACCTCTTCAGCGCATGTTTGAGTACCGTAATCAGACCTGATAACATTCAACTCGTGGACAATTGCATTGACATCGAAAGCCTTACCAGGGCTAAAGTTAGGAGGTGGATCTTGTGACTGCGAAGGATACCAGAACATATCCTCCTCTGTATCCTTGAGCAACTCCTTATATTTTTGTTTTACAGGTTTGAGGATACTAGTAGAGAACGTCAGCTTGTTCCGTGGTCGGACCGGCTTCGCATGATAGCTAGCTGGCTCTAAGGCATGTCATGCTGCATAAGAGGTGGGTTCAAGTTCAACAACTGGTATATCACATACTGTCAGACTCCATCTTATGTTTCTCGAAATAGTGCGTTTCCCTTTGCTCGGCGGTGAAGCTTGTGAGGTCTTGACGACAAAGCTGACACATAAAAGGCTCCCTGGGTCAATCACGCATCAATCCAGCATATGACATAGAGTAAATTCACCACAAATCTTACGATGGTTGAGCATGAGTCTCGTATAGTATCTGTACGTCGTCAGAACCATCGTCGTGACCACCCCTTGGGCTCATTGAGGTCTTGAAACCGGTATTGAGCGGTATTGGCAAGAACCGGAAATGATAATATAACGGTGCTCCGTATACACAGGTGTTGCCACTTCAAGTATAGCTAAGTATGCCGTTCACAGTTAGAACTTAGGAGCAAGTGTAACACAGCAGCTCGTGCTACCACATATGGCATGCGTTACATAATCATGCATTCGCCAGCCCTCGACGCGCGTTCCAGGTATACTTGGTACTACAGTTTACCGTACAGCACTTGCTCCTTTCTTTCACCCCAAACCAAACAAGGATGTCGAGGTCTTACGATCGCGGTAACATATTGTCGAATCATGAAGCCAAGATCCCCACTGACCCCCATCCTCTCCAGCACTGACTGTATTCTCGCCAGATGGTCACTTATTCCAGGTCCGTCGCGTCAATTATCGCAAGCATGCTGCAAGATCTGACCCATTTGACGATATAGGTTGAGTATGCCCTAGAAGCTGTACGGAAGGGTACATGCGCGGTGAGTGATGCCATACCTCATATATACAGACACCCATATGTGCTGAATCCCAGGTTGGAGTTCGTGGCAAGAATGTAGTAGTCCTTGGTGTTGAGAAGAAATCGGTGCTCCAACTACAAGACCCTCGTACCGTTCGTAAAGTCGTCATGCTGGACGATCATGTCTGCCTTGCTTTTGCCGGTATGTGCATAATACCATCAGCATGCATCTTCTTCCCTCATTTCACCGATCATATAGGCCTCACCGCCGATGGCCGAGTCCTTATCGACAAAGCACGAATAGAATGCCAGAGCCACCGCTTGACTGTAGAGGACCCAGTGACTGTCGAATATATCACAAGACATATTGCTGGTATTCAGCAGGTCTGTCTAGTTTGCGTATGACGTCTATCAATATCTGACTGGTGTCGTGCTAGCGATATACTCAATCGGGTGGTGTCCGTCCATTTGGTATTTCTACTTTGATCGTTGGCTTTGATCCTCATGATGCACGACCAAGACTATACCAAACCGAGCCAAGCGGTATCTACAGTGCATGGAAGGTTCGTTCGGGTTCTCCCTTCAGGAAGCTCGTGGTGGTTAACCACGGTTCGTTTAGGCTAATGCTATAGGCCGGTCATCTAAAACAGTTCGCGAGTTCCTTGAGAAGAACCACAAAGATGATATGACGCGCGAGGACAGCATCAAATTAACCATCAAGAGTTTACTGGAAGTTGTACAAACTGGAGCGAAGAATATTGAGATCAGTGTAATGGAAGAATACGGCAAAGTCTCGGTAAGGACGTACGCTTTCAAACTCTGATAAACAAGTCGCTTACATTTCCAACAGAGTCTTGAACTAGAGGAAATTGAGAGAATCGTAACTGAAATTGAACACGAAAAGGAAGCAGGTGAGATTAATGATGTATCTCTGCTGTGTAGCATCCTGATTTTATCTATTATTGCAGAGGCGGAGAGAAAGCGCTCAAGGCTGGCGGCGACTGCGGCTGGTCAGGCCGCCATGTCCACCCGTGCCGGTGCAGAGTCATCAGGATAGTAGTTTATCCCGCTGTATTGTATGGGCTTTTTACTGTTATAAAAGTGTTCCCAGACAACCTCATCAGACACGTCCAGGCACGTCCATGTTTGAACTTAACTACGATTGAATTCATGAAGTGCATACAAAAACTTGGTACATGTACTTTTAGAAATTTTACCGTGACGGCACTCTGATCAGTCACAAGTGTGAAGACTGCGTTGACTACTTGCGTATGACATTGTAGGGTGTCAGGCTGAAGCCACGACAACGTCAGCTTGATGGCCAGGAAACCCCTCATTATCCAGGGAGTCGAGACCGGTCAAAGGCGGAATATCTAATCCTGCGACTGCACAACGTAACGCTCTGTCCCAAGCCTCCTCTACTCGGTAACCCCCTCCTCTCATGATGCCTTCGCGGTCTTTCCGCACGGCTTCACTGAGTGGATCGTCGTAATAATTTCTCATCTGGTATCTGTCGTCGTACGCATAGTAGTCGTCTTGTAGTGGGACGTGGGGAACGTCAGGAATCACTGTACTCTGAGTAGCACGAGAGCGCAGAAGTTTTGAATTGCTTTGCAGGGTGGTCGTCGTCGCCGAGCGGGCCGAGGTCCTTTTGAGAGCATCTGCACGAGACCTGGCTATCACTTTTGCGGCGTCCTTGTTGCTTGTTTCCAGCCGGTCGATGATATCCCTACGCCCCTTTTCGCGCTCTTCGCGCTCTTCGTCCTCTAGACGCTTTGCTTCAAGAGCACGGTGCTCTCGGTCTCGTCGATCGCTGTCTTCCTGTTCTCTAAGTGCTTGAGCATATTGTTCCTCACGATGAATATTGAGCTCTATGAGGGTAGCGTTCTCAGCACGGTGCAAAGCGATACGAGCTTCAGTCTGTTGAATGTCGATGTCGTTTATCAAATTGAAAGCTGGGAGTGCGATGAATGCGAAGTTTGGTGATATCTATTAATAGATGGCTCACTGATATCTTCCACTTCTTCTAGGTAGTCATTATAAGCACGAAGATCTGAGAAATCTTCCCGCCTCTTGTTAAATCTATTCGGCCGTGAGTCCTGTGACAGGCTAAATATATGGTGGGGTTACTCTTTAGCCATGCGCCTTCTAACAGCAACTTCTTTTTCGACGGTTAGGTCCTCGAAGGTTTGCGGTGTAAATGCGAGTTTGCGCAACACCTTTGAGCAAATTGGGCATGGTGCTGGCCCCAGAGTGAAGAGACGATCTATGCAAGACTCGCACCTAGAAGATGGCAGAAAGGGAGAGGTTGTCCACGAGGGCAGAGATGGCAGAAATGTGCTATGCTCACATTTTATGGTAACATGAGCTGACGAGTAGTCGAAGCTTTGGATTGAGGTATCGGTCCGATTTACACACAGGACATTGATCGTCCATGGACTGTTGCGTATTATTGGATCGGTGGAAATGAATGGCGAGGCCATGTTTACTCACGAAGTACTCTGAAGTCCGTCCTGAAGCATCCTTTACCCCTCCGCCGAATATGGTGGTGGATGTGCTCTGTATTTGGGGTGTGTTGGAGCGAGTATGGGTGTTGGAGGCGATGATGCCACCTTTCCTGACTGTCTTTCCTTTGAGCCATCCGCCGACGTTTGGACGGTTTGCCATTGGGGGTGGCAAGGGAAGGCGCGGTGAGAAGAGAAGGGCGTGTCACGGCGTGACGGAGATATCACTCTCTGCCTCTCTGCCATGCAAATAGCAGCTATCTGATAAGATAATCGTTCCCATTCTATCACGTGCAGTTTCCACGTGAGCTCGGTTGTCACCTCTCTTGACGTTCGCCAGAAGAAGTTGCCAGTTAGTACCTTCAGTGGTTACAGCTTTCTTCACAAACCAACCTGTCACCCTGTGGGAGTCGTCTTTCCAAACGCTGGCCCACTCCCACATCCTTCATCAAAACTGTTTCTTTTGTTTGTTTCATTTCGTCTTCCTGATCCCGCTCATGTGACTGACAAGTGACTTGTCATACTTTAGTCTGACGCTCTCCTTCGCCTTTACCATAATTTTTGGGCTCACTCAAAAGTCTTAATCTTCACTCATATTCACACCGCACAATCCGACTTACACACCTCTCTTCTCAACCTCATTTCTTGCTCTTGGCATATACCAGCCTCTGCTTGACAAATCGACTCCTTGCTTTATTGCCCCCGACCGTCAACAATTGTCCCAGGCAGTTTCAGTGCATCGTGTTCGCAACTCGACTCCATCATGGACCACCTTGCAATGAAGAATCCGCGATCTACCTCTTTACCCTCGGCTTCACAGTCAATCCTCAGCAACCTTTGTCACGCACCATACAGGCGTGATTCTGAAGTCATGATGTCGGAAGGTCCTATGACTCCTCCCATATCACCGGGGCACAGCGAAGATGGTGTGGAAGATGCCATGATGCGCGACCGCGACGCCCGCATTAGCACTACCAATAGCGCTTTGGATATCGAGTTCTCTCGGCGTACAATCGGCCACTCGCCCACCTCACAGACTTGGCAGGAGCCTGATACTCCGATGGAAGAACCCCCCCGCTTGTCACCGGCTCAGAGGCCGATGAGGGTCTTAGAAGACGAAAAGGTTCATGTAGAGAAGACTGGCTTATTAAAGCTGACAGATTTCGAAGTCAAGGGAACTTTAGGTTTGTTTGAGATGCGTCTCCTCTCATATTTAGTATTCATAATATATGTTCTATCTAGGGACTGGAACGTTTGCCCGAGTTCTTCTCGTTCGCATGAAAACAGCGACTCCTGGTTCCCAGAATATTTTCGCGATGAAAGTCTTACGGAAAACGGAATTAGTCCGCCTGAGACAAGTCGAACATGTAAACGCTGAACGCTACATTCTTTCGCGTGTCCGCCATCCTTTCGTTGTCGACCTTTTTGCTACTTTCCAAGATAGCTTGAACATCTATATGCTGTTGTCGTATGTCCCTGGCGGTGAACTTTTTACTCACCTCCGTCGGGCCCAGCGCTTCACTCCTGACGTCACTCGTTTCTACCTTGCCACGATCATTCTCGCCTTGAAACATCTACACTCCTACAACATCATCTACCGTGACCTCAAACCAGAGAACCTTCTTTTGGATTCTCGTGGATACCTTCGTCTTACCGATTTCGGTTTCGCAAAAATAGTAGACGACCGTACTTGGACCCTCTGTGGAACACCTGAATACCTTGCTCCCGAAATCATCCAATCTGATGGCCATGGAAAGGCAGCAGATTGGTGGGCCTGTGGCATTTTGTGCTATGAAATGTTGGTCGGATATCCACCCTTCTTTGATGAGACTGCCTATGGCATCTATGAAAAGATTTTGAGGGGACAAGTACACTGGCCCAAAACCATGGACCGGATGTCGAAAGACTTTATCAAAGCATTTTTGCACCCTGATCGTAGCAAGCGCCTCGGCAACATGATCGGCGGTCCTCAGGATATTCTTGATCACCCATGGTTTAGAGGTGTCGATTGGGATGCCCTGGAACGCCGTGAAATCAAGGTAAGTAACCCTAATCCGCGCACATGTCTATTTCTGTGCTTGACGACATATTTCTCGCAGGCGCCGATCATCCCTCACACCGCTTCTTTGGACGATACCCGGCATTTCTTACACCTTCCCATCCCACCTATGGAAGAAATGCCTGGACTTGTCAGGGAAGAAAGACCGCCACCTGTCCATGAAAGATTCGATCCCACTGCATACCAATTTCTTGAATTTTAATTCGCCTAGTTCGCGTTATTTATCCTATGGCCTGAAAAGAATACTCGGTCAAAACTATATCAATAATACAGCTTGTTCACAGCTCCGTCAACTGTTTCCTTACCACTCGACAGAGGGACGATAGGCAGGTGTATGAAGAGCGATCGGCATCTCGCTTGACTGTCCCTCTTGTCAGCATACCTTCCTTTTGATCTTCTGTGTTCCATACTCTCTTTCTCTTTCTCTCTCTATCTCTCTTTAGGGACTTCTCTCTCTCTCCGGTAACTCATATTCCTTGGTCTATAAATCTGAAGTGTATCCCTTGACCTCTTTACTCGTGTATAACTTGACTGCAGGGCTTTGCTGCCTTGATATTTATTATCTCGATACTTTTTTTTTTTTTGTCTTCTATGCTGTCTTCAACTCCCCTAATATTTCTTGCATACCGATTCCTTTTGTGTACCCCATTCGGTGTTTTGGTTATGCACTTTTTGGATTTGGGTGTGTAATGACACATTGTATTCAGTTATCCTTTCCGGCACTATGCTGGACAGCTGTTGATAGTAGCGGGACATGAGTTGAGGATGACCTCTCACAGGCTCAAAACACAAGCGTCACTTGGGGAAAGTGGATTTTTATAATTTCATACGCAGTCCTATGAGGATAAGTAGAATTCACTGAAGAATAATTATTGGGGATTGTCACAAGTTATTTTTTAGAATTAAAGATAATGCTGTTCTTTAAAATTAAATTTCACCATAAAGGTCATGAATGATGCTTGATTAAAGTAAACCACTGACCACAGTCAGTGGAGCTTGTCCAAAGTGATCTGCAAGACCCGATTATCGTCGTCTTTGGTGATCATCAGGCTCGGTGGCATTTCGACCTTTGGTGAGTTCTGGATTGAGCTCAGCGGTGGGGTAGGACACCTCACCAACATTGCCAGCCCAATCAAAGTCAATGAGCATCAACCTATTCTGATCGTCGCAAATCATATTTGGGTCACGGAGGTCTCCGTGTACAAAGCCTTGGGCATGAAAGGATTCCACAAGCCCCCGCAACTCCTGTTCCCAACGCCCTCTATGCTCAGCACGGCATTCTGAATCAAGGTCCGATCGGCACAGCTGACGAAATGTAGTCCATAGCAACTGTGTTCCAGCCACCAGGAAGCCTCTCAAAACCCAAAAGTTTCGGTGCATGGTGCAGGTTGGCACAGAATTGATGGAGCTCTATCGAGTGCTGACGTGTGAACTTGATGATATTTTCCTTCCCATCTTTCGCCTTGGCGATATGCAGCAGGCGGTAGGCTCGTCGGTCAGGATGACGCCTTTGAATCCGGAACTCGACGTCGCCATCAGACTTGCAGCCATACTTGCACAGCTTGGTGATAGCTGGAAACCGGCGCAGGTGCACGTGGGATCTCAGGGAGGCGGCGGTTCTTGGAACTTCCTGGTGTCCCCTATTATGCACGCTAGAACAACTGATGCTGCGGTGAAGGCAGCACAAAGGGCGTTTCGGTTGTCACCATCATTTGCAGATGGAAGGCACGATGGAGTCGAAGTGAGAGGGACAACCCGGTATTGGTGGTCAAGAGCAACTATTGCATAGAATGCAACATCAGAACCTAGTGTAATGTGCAAGCTCAGGTTCGACCGAAAATGTAGTCATGACTAACTCACCAACAGCAGTCAGGCCGAGACATGGCACCCTCCAGCCACGAAACACATCCCGTTCTTCCATGCCCTTGCTATTGGAGTGTGCAGCATAAGGTTGCATTAGAGCACTCTCAGAATGTTCGTGAAGCCACTCTGTAGCACGGTTAAAAAGCGTGTTTCGTGGATCCATGGACAGCTCGCCACACTGCACAAGGATGTAAGCATGACAGAGCAATAAATGCTGATAGGAGATGAAGGTTTGACCTTGAAAAGAGAGGGCTAATCGTTTTTTAAATCTTCGACACGACTCCAACTAACCTCCGCTTTCGAGTCTTCTACGCGCGCGCCCTCTGGCACAGTGCACAAATCACACATAGCGCTGGGATCATCATTTGGCAGGTAGACGACATAGTCAGCAGGCATTATAGCAGTTGTATCCGAAGTCTGTAAGACGTTATACTTGCTCCCAATTCGCTTATCTAATTCCCACGCTCGCAACTGCCGCGACTATCCTTCCGAAAAATCTATAGTCTCAGCTATACTCATGGCTCGCAGGCGCAAAAACAGGACGCATCTCAAAGGTGCAGGAGCTGCAGCGGCACAAAAAACTCAGGATGGCGTCCCAAAATCCTTCATCATAAAGCATGGACAAGTGGGCTCGTCTTTAACACAGCTCGTGAGGGACATGCGGAAAGTCATGGAACCTAACACTGCCAGTCGTCTGAAGGTATGCTTTCTATCCTTCGTCTTATGATGATTAATATTAAAGGCTGGTGTAGGAACGAAATAGGAATAAACTGAAAGATTATCTGACCCTCGCACCAGCTCTTCATGTGACCCATCTTCTGGCTTTCACTTTGACACCGCTTGCTCCATCCCTGAGGATGGTCCGTCTGTCTGCTGGTCCAACCCTTAGCTTTCGAGTAGAGAGATACAGCCTGATGAAGGATGTCTCAAAAACAATGCGAAGGGCTCGCAGTATGGGAATGGAGTATCTATCACCACCTCTGGTCCGTTTTTCTTTTCCATCTACGCTCGTATTGAAGTATTGACATGTGGTATGATTACATGTATAGCTCGTATTAGCCTCGTTCCCACCTCCATCACCCACAACCCCTCACCATCTCCCGCTCCTCATGAAATCATTCCAGTCCCTTTTCCCACCGCTTTCTCCACAATCAATGACACTCTCATCCGCACGGCGCATCGTACTAATCGCGTATAATGCTGACAAGGGTACAATCGACTTTCGGCATTTTGTCATCACTGTAAAACCATACGGTGTTTCCAAGCGGGTGAGACGCGTCCTTGAGGGCGCGAAGAAAAGCGTATCAAGTACCTCCAGTGCAAAAATGTTGAACCTCGGGAGCGAGAAAGATGTTGCAGATTTCTTGCTCAGACAGAAGGGGGAAGCAGGGCCTGATGATGAAGGTGGCTATGAGTCTGCAGCGTCGTCGGCGTCTAGTATTGGTGGGGATGAAGGTGATGCGGTATCGCTGGTGGACGATTATGTTGGTAGGAATAATAGGAAGGGACAAAAAAGAGCAGTGAAGTTGGATGAGATTGGCCCTCGAATGGAGTTGAGGTTGATCAAAATCACGGAAGGTGTACCTGGTAAAGAAGGAGCTGTTATGTATCATGAATTTGGTACGCTTCAATTTTATCTTCCTATACTCATCTTCAAATTTAACTTTGCACACCAGTCAAAAAATCAAAAGCAGAAGTCACTGCACTGAAGACGGCACATGCCGCCAAAGAAAAGCTGAGGAAGGAGCGTAGAGAGGAGCAGGAGCGTAATGTCAAACGGAAGAAGGAGTTACAAGGGAAAGATTCTGCTTCGAAGGAAGACGACGAAGACGAGCCCGAAATGTCAGATGAGGGAGAAGAAGTCGATGAAGGTGAGGGCGAAGGCGAGGATGAGGGTGAGTGGGATGATAACGAAGAAATCAGCGAAGGGGAAGAAAGTGATGAAGAAGCAAGCGACGGCGGCAGCGATAGTGAAGAAGATCGGTCGGAGATGCCACCACCTAAAAAAGTACGGATACGAGGTAAACGGTAATGCACACCATTCCTATTACAATACATGTTTGAGGGACCAGATGTTATGTTTACTGGGCATACAACTCGTTTGAACAAGTGAATACTGTAATGATAGTTACACGATAATCTTGTGATTCTGAGGACGTTATGGTAAAAAGACCGGTCTGAGTTATCGAGATACGTGATATGAAGACTACGATACACGACGATTCCAATGTTAAAGTGGTTTCGGGGTGATTACTGTAGTATCCATAATTAAATAGGGATATGTTAGCCTTCGAATCCCAGTCTTATCCGTTATACCACTCCTGTCTTTGCTCACTCATACGATATGCGTGGCAGCGACGTGATGCATCCAAGAAAATTTCCAAGTACAACTCGTAATTTGCCGCGTTGACCTTTGGCATCGTGATTTCTTTAACAGCTCTCGAATGAAATTCGGTAGTACCACCGCCAAGGTCTAGAAACCCCACAACAGGAGATGCATCGTCATCGTCGAGAGACTGCCCTGGATAAAACACGATCCTATGCTTTGGTTTTCTCTACACTGTGGACGGTATCTGCGGCCAGCAGACAAGTGGGCCATGATTTTTCGTACGTTAAACTTTTGCATTCATCGCCAATGTTCAGTAGGACACGCAAGATAGCTCAGAAGGACTCCAGGTCATCCACGACGGTGTGAAGGGTATCCCACGAGTCTATGCTCTTGTCAGTCACATAGGCATGTAAGGAAACGTTCCCTGAAATGGATGTAAGACTAAATAGCAGGCTAGGTCAGAAGATGGGTCACTTACGGAAAGATGCGTCTCAAACTCGCGATCTACTAGTTGTTTTCATTCGATTGCTTGGTCGCCGTCAGAGCTAATACCGACGCAATCTGTGAAATTTGTGCTGATAGTCATTTGCGACGTGTAACGTGCCTTGCCTTTGGCTAGAGGAATGCTGTTTACTTCGATGGACATGAGATTGTCAGTGTGGCGGCGAGGAAGAGTGCTGTATGGTTCTGAATCTCCTCCTGTCAACGTGCGTGGCTCAGGCGAAGATGTGGACATTGTGAAACGCCTAAAGCCTGTGGATTATATGAGCGGGGATATGTATGCAAGACACATGTAAAATGGAATCTATGGATATGGTGTAGAATGTCAAGGCGGAGTAGTCTTGCTCGAAAGTCCTCCTGTCCAACTCTGCCATACATTCTCAGCACGCATCCTCAGTCCTTCCCAGTTATCTAGCGCAGGTCGAACATCCAAGTAAAACGACACATCGCTCGAAGAGGGACCTGGACGACCTGTATAGAAGTCGATAACATATCGTATGCGAGTTCCACAACGCTCTACAATCCAGTCGTGACGGTCAAATGGTGCTGTATATCTGCAATAGGGATTTCAGAATATAGTGACTTGAATTATCCCAAATTTTTGAAAAACACACCCTAATAGAGTCATACATCTAGCTTTTGGGCTCATTTGACTGGGTTTGCCTTTGAAATTGATGAGCTTGACTCCGCCGCAGCGTTCTCCGCCTCTTCCAACTTCCCATTTCAAGACTTCAGCCCATGCGCGTTCATTGACAGCATTGTGAATTGGGACGATTGTTTTCATATCCGATGCTTGTGGGTTGTGATTTTTACGAGCCATGGCAGCAAAAAACTGAGCCTCGGAAGGGTAAACCCAGTTACCATCGTCTGCTTTCGGTATCGACGAAAGCTCCCTTTCTGCCGACAACGAAGGAGTGCTTTCAGACGGGGAACCCTTCGAGAACAGACCTCCCCATGTTGCACGTGAGCTATGGTCTACTGGGCATTTCTCTGCAGACTGGCTTTGGTGGTCGACAGGACATTTATCTGCCATTGCGAACTTGAAAAGGGAGCGGAGCAAAGGCGTGATTATGTCAGCGCACGGTTGTATGGGTCCGGTTTCTTTCGTAGCCGGCAGATCCTGAATAGCATCCGCTGGGACACAAGTACTACAAAATGTGGGGGTCACTACACCTCGCACCTATTTGTTACCCAGTTCCTGTCTTCCACCGTTCCCCGTATAATCTATCATAATGCCGTCGTCAGAGCCAGTCTTTTCGACACCATTAACCCGGTTGTTTAAGATCAATCACCCAGTCATGCTGGCTGGTACGTACTTCACGCAACCCAGTCCCATATACGAACAAGGATTTACAATATGAACACAGGAATGAACGTAGCCGCTGGGCCGAAATTGGCTGCAGCCGTTACCAATGCAGGTGCGTATCTCATTAATATACCATGGTCGTGATGCTTATTTCTCGTTCTCTATAGGTGGCATTGGCGTTATTGGAGGCGTGCGGCAGAGCCCAAAGTTCCTTGAAGATTCTATCAACGAGCTAAAGAAGAATCTGGAAGACAAGGATGCACCCTTTGGAGTTGACCTTTTGCTCCCCCAACTTGGAGGGAATGCTAGGAAGACGAATGTTGGTCTGCGTTGTGATTGTAAAGTCCTATGACTGACTCGGCCTTCGTCATCTAGTACGACTATACTAAAGGACAACTTCCAGAACTCACTGACGTCATTATCAAGAACAAAGCTGCATTATTCGTCAGCGCTGTCGGCGTCCCGCCGAAAGAGATGGTGGACAAGTTACATGCGGCCGGTATTCCAGTAATGAAGTACGTGACTTGCAACTTACACATAATCATAAACGTCGATTAACCACCGTTCATATAGCATGGTTGGTCATCCAAAGGTAAGGTCACAGTCGCACTTTGTGGTATGATGTATTAAACCTCTTGCAGCACGTGAAGAAAGCACTTGCTCAAGGTCCGTATCTTGAAGGGTACACAGTACTAGCTGACTTACTTGGTATACATTTATTGTTTCAAATTTCAGGTGTTGATATTATATGCGCTCAAGGTGGCGAGGGTGGTGGCCACACTGGAGATACTCCCTTCTCGATTCTCATACCAGCCGTCGTCGACCTTTGCAAAAATGCTAAGAGTCCATTGACTGGCGAGCCGATAGTAGTTGTCGCCGCAGGAGGAATTGCGGACGGACGCGGTCTTGCTGTCGCCCTTTCGTGAGTTTAAATATTGGTGAAGATACCTACCACTTGAACTTGGCTGATATATCCATCAGCTATGGAGCTTCGGGTGTATGGGTAGGAACTCGTTTTGTGGCAAGTGTGGAAGCAGGCGCGGCCCCGAAACACAAGGAACTTGTACTTTCTGCCGGCTATGATGACACTGTCCGGACTCTAGTTTACTCCGGCCGCCCAATGAGTGTACGCAAGACAGAATACGTTGCGGAATGGGAAACACGTAGACGAAAGGAGATCGAGGAACTAGTTGCTCAAGGTAAAATTCCCCACGATGTTGAGCTGGAAATGCATCCAGAGAAGTCTCTGGAAGGGAGAATGTGTAAGTGGGGACATAGTGTCTATTATGTCGATTTTGACTGAGATATTGATATTTCATTGATAGGGTTAATGGGAAAAGTTGCTGGCTCAATCAATGTACGTGTTATGTCTCTTCGTGCGAAACTCGGTAACTAGATGGCGTTTTTAACTTGAAGGACATCAAACATGCACGGGAAATGTTCGTTTTCTTTCATGTATGCATACAGTTTGGTGCTGATCCTCTTCATATCATTACAGTGTAGACGAAATTGTTATCACAGCTGCAAAAAGCCTCAAGACTGCCACAGGATTAATGACTCCCAAGGTTAAGCTATAGTGCCTGTTCATGTTATCACTTCGAGGTGCCGCAGGCAATGAGCTGACTCTCGTCGTAATCTTTATTGTTCGCTGTCTGGTGAATTTCCTGCCATCCTTTCTATATCTAGTTAATGCCCAGTCATGCACTTTTTTTGCACAATTAAATATGTATTGACCTCAGATAGGTCAGTCACGATTCTCTGTCTGGGGGTAACTGTAGCTGTCTAGGTAAATGTAAGGATCAATGTAGTATACAGAGTCACACCGAAATCACACTTAAGCTTTCGGGTCACATGTTAAAACAATCCATATGCAACTTCTACTTCTCCATTGACAGCAGACCAAATATATAAGATGGCTTTCTATCTCTCTCACCTTATCACGATAAATTTGGCTACGTTTTCTGTTCTTGAACTATCATGTTGGGTTTATTCTTCTCTTTCGTGGGTCATGGACTCCTAGCAATGTTTGCATGTTTGCTCATATCGTCGCGGTTCAAACATGACTTGAGGCAGATTCGACTCGTGCTTACCTTGGCTAACCAAACGTTAAAGAAGTACTTTGCCTATGGGTTGCCGGATTATGCAAAGCTATCTGGAGTTCCCGTACCAAATCCATATCCATTTTTTGACATCGACAAAACAAAGGCTCGCCCATACAGACCGTTCAGATGGCCGTATCATCAGAATATGTGTACGTTCATCTCATGTTGGAGGTTCCAAATGTATGACTAATGCGACAACCGCAGCTCTGAAGAAGCTGGAGCCTGACTGGTGGATCGAGCTTGAATCCACTTACCGTGAACGTATCGCGCAGAGGATAGATCTTTACAAAGAACATGGAGAGAAGATTATCAACTCTCTTCCTGGTAGCGAAGCAGCCATGAAGGAGCTGATGGAAATGGTCATCCAGTTTCTCTGCGCCAGGTATCCCAACCAGTTCTATTACAATGAGTGGACGGGGATGTTCCATAACCACATCCTTGCTTCGCGGTCGGATACGCGAAAAATTAGACCATTGGTCTTCCTCCTTCAGAATGTCCCTGAAGATTTTCTCATCGTGCAGAAAGATGAGAAGACAGGACTGTCTGTGTTGACTGCTGGGGTGTCGTGCTCTGCTGTGGGGTGGAACCTATCACTGAAGATTGGACAGCCCCTTCACCAAATTCATGGCCCCGTCCCCTTCTATAAAGAGAAGATGTCGTTCTCCATGGATAGGTGAGCGAGAATACACGCTGAAACGATAGAGCTCGCAACTCAATTGCAGTCACAAGGTATTTCTCCAATATGCCTTGCGATAAGCCGATCCAGCGCGGTTCATGGGGCTTGGAGATTGGAGAGCCTTTGTATCTTCAAGCTGAGGACCCAGATTTTGCCATGCGTACGCAGCAAGATCCACAGCTCAAAGTATCGGATATTTCTCTGCGTGTTGATTGGCAGACCCTCCGACGAATGCCACGTTCTCAGGCGATCGTCTTTAATTTCAAGGCTCTATTTACGCCACTTACTCATTTTCGTCGGGAGCCTTTCGTCCCAAAACTACTCCTAAAGGTACTCTCCGAGGGGCAGAAGTCGATTATGGAATATAAGGGTACATGGCATGTCGAACATGTGGTTTTACCTGCTTTGAAACTGTGGGCAGACGAACAAGAGGAGCACAAGTGGGTTCCTAGAGACTGGCAGGTTAGAACGTTGGATGAGGATCCATTTTACCCTGGATGGGGTTATAATCGTGATTACGATGATGACTCATAGCCTGTATTGCATTTGTCTATGGATACACTGCAATCTGTCGCCATGTAATTCTGTCCGACTATGCAACAATCCTATGCACAGAACCGTGAACAATAATGAGATCAATCCGAGTCTGATCCCATGAGCTCAGCCAGTTCACGCTCTTCCTCTTCAGAGATATCTCGTTCCGTCCTACTTGCTTTGGGTTGGGGGACAGGGGCTAGGACGACAGGCTGGGTACGACCAGCGGGATTTTCGGGTTTCGAATTGAGGAGCTCTGATTGATAAATAGTTTTGATAGTAAATTTCATGAAAATGATTCTTAGCATCAATGAACTCACCACTGAATCTCCATTTGCGAATCGTACCGTCCAAACTTGTACTTACAATCCATGGTTCTATTCTTGTCTTTCCATCCTCGCCCTTGTTTGTACGCATCCAGAGCCTAAGTGCTGTTACGTCATGCCAGTGTGCGTCTATTTCCCCAAGGATCTCTGGTTCTTCTAATGTAGAGACGTCGTACAGTCGAATGATGTCTCCAAATCCTGTGACTACGTACGGTTCCCCAAGACCAGTCAATGACAAAGGGAGAACCGCCCTAACTGCCACAGGGTGGGCTATAGCAGGAAACGCTTTGAGATTTTCCGTTTGTGATACGCTATATGGAACAATTTGGACAGTTTCGTCGGATGATGCTGCACCAGTCTTCTATTAGTCAAGCGGAACCAAGTTAATTCTTAGATCTACACACCTGTCCATAATTGTTCATTGCCATACAGCAGCTCATTTACTCGAGTCCGGTGATGACTGAGCTCTTCTTTTAATGTACTCCTCCACCTCGGCGCACCCCCAGATTCTTTCTCTAGGTTCCAAATCTTAATGATACCCATAGTATCCGCAGTGAATAGAGTAACTGAGCCATCTGATCCGACAATCCCATCGATGGATTCAACTGGTCGTGTATGCGAAGTAATAGACCCCATGGATGAAAGTGGTTTTCCTTTTGTTATGTCAGACAAGTCCCTGGGACGTCCGCTCAGCTCGAGGAGAAGCGTGCTAACAATAATCGAACTCACCAGAATCTCACGATCTTGTCTGAACTGCCGGATACAAGAAGGTTGGCCTCGGGCAAGACGAAGAGAGTCTTTACGAAATCGTCGTGTGCAGACGTCGAAGATAGAATTTCTTTGGTCTGCATAAAGCATGAGTACAACTCTCAGCCTCAAGAAATATACAGACTTCAGTGTCCCATAGCTTGATGGTCTAACGCGATTTCGAGATGAGGCACAAAACGGGGACCCAGGCACATAGCACGTACTTTATCCCAAGAACCTGTGATGAGCACTTTCTGATCGCCTGATCGAGGCGTCTTGTCGCAAAACTCCAGGCAGGTAACGGGAGCTGTATGTCCCTGGTAAAGCTGCAGAACTTTTCCCGTCTGAAGAAGCACGTAAGGAAATCTGAATTGATGTTGATGCTATGAGGACATACCTCCAAACTTATTCTTTTGGCAACGTGCGCGTTCTCAGCTATCCAAACATCGTTGCCACGAACGCGCATATCTAAAGCTTTTCCGACGAGCTTTATCGGTGAACCGAGGTCCTTCGTTTGCTCTGCTTTCACTTTTCTGGCCTTTGAAAGGGTGATATGTATTTATCTGCGCAGATCCAAGTGAACGAGCAACACACTTCATTCAAGACGAGCTCAGCCTCTGCTCTCATCAAATTGGTTGCATCTTGAGTAGACATGATGGCAAGCTCGAGAGCGTATAGAGCAGACAGGATCCTTGCTAGATGGTAATTATTAGCGCCGCCCAAAATGACATCAGGGGTTATCAAAAGCCAAAAGGTGTCTGTTTGGCAACAGCCTCTGAAACAAACAACCGCTTGACCTGATCAAAACAGTGTTGCATATAACTTGCATATAACAATGAGTAATCGCCTGGCATCTTTTCGTGGTCCTTCGACGCCTACGTCATCGCCTGTCCAGCAGATAAAGCAGCCCAATTCCCCTGCTTCACCATCAAGGTCTTCCGAGTCTACATTTCATCGAAAAATTCGGACACTGCTACAGGAGCTTCGTTCAACAGCCGAAACTTGGGATGATATCGTCATGATAGATGGTCTCAAAGCCTTACAAAGCTTGATTGACACTAGAACAGATCTCGAGTGTGTGTGCTCTACTATCGCTTCCTGCCTTTTATGATTAAACCTTCGTGGTTCTTAGTAATGCTCTGGCCTTGATACCTGCCGACGCCGAACCACGAACTCGAATTGTGGGCCCAAGGGTCGCAATCATGGAGAAACGCATTGTTGAACTTGATCTTGTCGTAACCAAACTTGTAAAGTATTAGTGCATATCAGTTGGATCTATACCCTAATATCCGAACGCAGCAGAGGCAATTTCATAGAATGGATAGCATCATCGAAAACATGGAATCGGTCCTGTTTGAGGCGCATAAGCTAAAAGGCTGGCAGTGGTGCCAAGAGCCTATGTGGGTCTCTTGGTCGTTGGAGAAATTCGGTAGGTGATTGGCAAATAAAGGTCTCTGGCGCAAAATAACCTCCAGTCAGTGTCTTCAATACCTCAAATTCTTCCAGCATATCACCGCTCTCTCAGCATGCACATCGAATTGGTGAATGTCATTCGCAGCCATTCTGTGACATTTGAAGTTTCGAGAGAGGCTATAGCAAAATGGATGGATCAGGAATATCTCGAAGAGGGTGGTTGGGAGGCAGAATGGGATGACATCTGTGCAGCAGAAGTAGAAAGGTGGAATACAAGATAACACAACAACAAAAATGAATAATACAGTTTGAAATTTCAGAAATCTTCGCCATCTGAAATATGTATCTCCTCTGCATTTGCTTCCTGCGCAACACCCTCCGAAGGTTCAACTGCGTCAGCCCCTCTTTGGAATACAGTTTTCTTGGCTGCAACGAAAGCTGGGCCATTCGTTCCACCTGCCTGCTGCTCAGCAGCTGCCATTGCATCTGTAGCCCCTGAAGCAATATCATCGGTAATTTGTCCATTGCCCTGTTTTGCTGAGATAGTCTGTGCAGCAAGGTACGAAGCTTCGGTGTTAAATTGAGCCTGTACACTCCGTTTGATACGAAGCATCTCGCGGAAAGTATCTTCAGAGCCGGTCTCAATTTCGAAACTATTCCATTCCGACCAGAACTTTGGATTCACGCGAGGATCGCAGAATTGTGAAGCATGGGCGTAGATGGCGCGTGCTCGGTCAATTTCACCTAGTTTCCGCTCGAGTGCAGCAAAGCGGAGACACATCTCGGCAGTTTGGCGGTCCGGCAAAACATCCAGCGCGCGTTCGTAGATAGGCCTGGTAGCAGGCAGCCCATAGTTGGCGGTGGCCTTCGCGATATAAATGCTGAACATCTAAGAAATGAGGTTAGTCACAGCTACTATGTTGGAATCTCAGCGATATCTACCTCGAATTTGTCTTCATCCGCTACAATTTGAGTAGCCCGTTCATAGATAGTCATGGCTCTCTTTGCAAGACCAAAATCCTCTTCAAGTTGGCCATACATCAAAAACAGAGGTTTGCATGATTTTGCGGGACATTTTTCTAGTGCTTGCTCAAAGAGATCGCGTGCACGCTCCAGCTTAGAACCACCCTGCAATAGGAGTTGTCAGGGCCAAGTACAGCTTGAATATAATTTTCAATCCTCACATATCGTTTTACGAACTTGGACAGATAGATATTCCATATCTCGAAAGATATAGGGAAAGTGAAAACTTCAGTACCTCTTTCGTACACCTATATGATTTTGTGCTTAATGTCACTTATTGAATCAATTGAACTGTAACTTACTTTGAAGCTGTCTTCCCAATATTGATTTTCTTCAAGGAAGGCAGCATAATTAACAATTATTTGAGCATTTGCGATTCGAAGCTCCATTATTTTGTCGTAGACGGCTTTGGTTGACTCTACTGTTCCTAGTGATTCTTCCAAATCAACATAAAACGACCACAGCTTCAGAGATTTGAATAAACGTGTTTGTACAGATAGTGACTAATGGAAATGTCAGCATTACATATAAATGAACTGAAACAACTGCATACATGATCGTGATAGTTGATCTTTGTATTTTTCGGTATTGCAGCAGCGCGTTGCATTACTCGAATACCATCATCATAATTCCTGTAATAGCCGTTAGAGCTGAACTGCATAGAGTATTCGTCCTAAGCTTACTCCTGGCGGATCTCCATCTCAGCCCACTCACACCAGATTTCGGCGAGATCTTCCACGGCTTTAAAGTTAACTTTGGTAGCCTTTTCCAGAACCTTGCGAGCACTGTCCAAGTCTGGTTCTGCCGAACCACTGGCGCCTCCTTCCTCGTAATACTTTGCGAAATTCACATAAAGCCTGTGGAAATTTGCGGTTGCCTTCCTTGGATTGATGGTCTCCAGAGCTTTCCTGTATGTCTCGGCCACCTTCGAATAGTCAGAAACAATGTCAAAGAAACACAGTTAGATATACCTTTTCATCATCTTCACCCCAGAGCGCAACCCTCTTCTCCCATTCCTGAACGTCGTTGGGATTCCTTCGGATCAAAACATCATTCACCAAAAATGGTCTCCTATCCATCAAGCCTTCAAACTCTTTCATTTTCGCATCTAGCTCCTGTTCAGTCTCCTTTGCGTCTTCCTCGTCCTCTTCATCAGGATCCTCCAGACTTTCCATCATAGCGCTGATAAGGGACTCGCTAAACTCTGCGTAAGCGTCGAATATTTGTGTGAAATCCCTGATGGTCATGACCGATGCTATGCCCTCTTCAAAAGTACTCTTTGCTCTGTCAAACTCTCCCCGCTTGATCCAGTAAGTTGCTAGTCCTGTCCAAAGACGACCAGCCTGGTCCTTATATACATCCAGGCCGTCCTTGTGCACGATGTGCTCAATGTTCAGCTTACTAGAACTTGTAGGGTCCACATCCTCGTCGTATTGGGGGATAGGTTTCCCGTCAGCATTCAACGTGACAGGAGGGCCTGCAACGCGTACGAGCTGACCATCAAGCGAAGCAGCTTCCGGGGTTTCCTTCGCAGCTTCCAAGGCTTCCGCCTCTGCCTGGGCAAAAAGTTCGTTGGACTGAATGGTTTCCTCAACATCCAAGCCCACTTCCTCTGAAAAGCTTTCAACTACCTCCAGGAAGTCGACTAGTATCTGATACGGACTCTTTCCTTCTGGACTGATGTATTTCCCCAGAGAGGCTTTCCTAGATAAACCCAGCAACAGTTTCGCTGCTTCCAGGGGTCGAGGAGCAGAATCCGCGGGCGCAAGAAGAATTGAAGTATAGTACTCTGTCATATTTTGATCAACGGTGAGGTAGCGACGGTATACCGATACTGTCGTAAAACCGCCTTGAGACTCGGCCCACATGAGATAGCGGACCCATATACGTGAATGTAATGATGGAGGAAGTGTGCGCAAAGCTCTGTCGAAGGTCCTTCGTGCGTGTGTACTTGATATTGCAGCGGGGCACATAGGATGTTGGAATATAGAGAGGTACAAAAGCCATAATCTTGGTAGCTATCGACCAGTGAATGTCAGCAACACAGTGAGACCTTATAAACACAACGTACTTTCGGAAGCCACATGAGAGCCCTCTCGTATGTAGCGACTAAAGATTTCCATTCTTCCCAACCGACCACTCCATCAAGACCACCTTCCCATTCTTCCTGATCCTCTTTCTCTTGCTCCAACGCGTCTTTCATCTCGGGGAATTTTTTTCTTCCACCAGCCCTCTTCTTTATTTTGAGTTTCCCCAGCACATACGACATTCTAACCTGCAGATACGCTTTCCAGAGCTTGTATGAACCAGGGAACTGAGAAATGGCAGCTTCATAGAGATACGTCAAACTTTGGAGAGAGTTTCTAGCCAGGGGCGACGCGAGTGGGCCAAGTAAAGCCCTTACTTCGTCAGGCAAATCTGAAGGCTTTTCCGTCTTTAGCTGGGCATTTATGTTTTCTCTTGTGTTCTGAATTGCGGTCCACCAGGCTCGAAAAGATTCGGGATTTCTGAGCAAGTCTTCCTCACGGCGGAGGTCTCCAGTTGTAACCAGGTCTTCATGTGTCGCTGGAGTCGGTATTGGGAGTGTCAAAGGAAAAAGAGAGGACAGCGATTCAAAGGAGGGGCTTTTCTGTGCTACTGAAGGCATTTTGAAGAGTAAAGAGGCAAGGCAGGCTAGTATCGCCCAGTCAAGGATCCAAATGCTGCTTTCGATAATATTCCCACGAGCCGACTGCGTACATTTCCTTTCCTTTGGGACCGTGACTGTTTGGGTACTTTCATTTCGACTTCATCCATTCAGTGCTATCGATGGTGCATATTTCCTTATCATAAGCTTCAAGGTGAATGCAGGAGCTGAGCTCAATATCTAGCATAGTGGGAAACGGGTTCGACAAACTCCTGCTGCAATCGAGGCCAGAAAGCAGCGCGAGAAGTCCAAAATCCAGGACTATCTAGCTTTAACCAGAGAGGTGACCTCTAGGGTGCGCGCTTTAGGTATTTTCTGCTCTTTCTTGATGCTCATTGGTCCCAAAATAAATCCAGAAGAAAAGCCGGGATTTCAGCACAGAGGCTCTCGACCTTACTCAAACCTTGCTTCAATTAAACCCAGAGTTCTACACTATCTGGAACTACCGAAGAAACATCTTACTCCACGGTCTATTTCCTAATAGGTCGGTATCCTAGAACGACACATCACTTCTTTACTTATGCGCCTGCTCATGAGCCTCGCAGTTCACCGGAAGGCATCAATGACTTGTTATCAAGCGAACTTTCGATGACGACTGCGGCCCTTAAGGCAAACCCAAAGGTATATGGGATCTGGAATTACCGTCGATGGTGTCTAGAGAACGTTCCCGATGGTCCCGAAACCGAAGATGGGTTATCTCATAGTTGGAAAAAGGCCAAATGGGACAGGGAGCTATATGTAGTGGAGAGAATGCTGGATGCAGATGGAAGGAACTGTGAGTTTTCTGAAAAACAATACCAGGTACTGCCCTACTTATTTATCGCTCACAAGTCCATGCGTGGAACTATCGAAGATACGTCCTAGCAATGATGCCAACTCGGAGGCCCGAGGCTTCCGAATTGGCTTATACAACTCGCAAAATCGAGGCCAACTTTTCCAACTTTAGTGCATGGCATCAGCGCTCCAAGATCCTTTCCTCCTTGTGGAACGACGTCGGAACGAGTGCAATTAGTTCACGAGAAGATGGTACGAATTTGACTTGTTTCTAAAAGCAGGGACTGATACCTATCTTTACATCAGAATTTGAATTCGTCAGAAATGCATTATACACAGATCCCGATGATCAGAGTGCTTGGATATATCATAGATGGCTGGTGGGATCTGGTAAATTATATGTCTTGAGTTGACTTTCGGGGTGCCTTGAGCTAATTCATCCTCATATCTTCCAGGCCAGGAACGGCAGACTCTGGAGCGTGAGATAGGCAGTATCGAAGAGCTTTTGAAAGAACAACCTGATAGCAAATGTAAAACAGCCACGTATACGCTTCTTAATTCGAGGCTGACGCAAAATAGGGTGCTTGGAATCACTGGTTCACTATCAGCGTCTTTTACTGCGGAACAATCGGGACGAGAACTCGAAGGAGACAGCGCAGAAATGTCTCGGGTTTCTTCTTATGTTACAAGAAATCGATCCCGCTAGGCGAAGTAGGTACAAGGAAATAGGTGAGTACATATTCAATTCATCCATGGCATGAACTGATGGTCTTGAAGCGGAGGAAATTCAAGAACAAAGCATAGCATGATTTCTTATCACTCTTATTTGTTGTTTTTTAGATGATATGGCTCAATGATATACTAGTTGCTGGAGTTGGTCATGATGTCCTCATCACGCAGTAAAGGCATACAAACAATCAAATTTCAAGCATTCACAAAATACAACAATATCGGCGACACCGTAAACTCATACAACACATTCCAGCAAGCAGCGTTATGTTACACATTGGAGGTGGTGGATGAAAAGGCGATGCATTTAGCATTTGCACTCGCCAGCCTTGCATTGGCAGCTGTACAGGATCTCGGTGAGCATCGTACTCAACTGTGAACGATACTGAATCATACGTTGCGCCACAAGTGCAAGCGCTGCTTCCGCAGTGCTCAGAGACGGGGGCTTGAACGTTCTGTTGGGGATGATATCAGATTACAGCATGAAAGATCTGGTACCCAGTAGTACGCACGGAGATCATTTCTGTGGTTGTGTGGAAGGGGTGGTAGAGGTGTAATTGGTGTTTCGATGAGTATTAGAAACAACTCTTCAACGTCGAATTTATATCTAATCTTTGTTTACCTTTGTTTACAGACAAGCATCGATCTAATCAAGATAAAAGTGCGCGCTTTTGTGAAACAAAGGGAATGCTTGCGTCACAATCAGGGTGGCGTTTACCGGTTGATCCCTTGGTTGATTCTCCAAGAAATGGCTCATCGGCTTTAGGCTTGATAAGGAACGACATTAGGAGCAACATGGATCTTGGCTGTCCAAGTACCGCGCGATATGGGAATGGCATAGTGCCACTGACAGCCTCCGCCCTTCGTGCCTGTGAAGCTCGTACGTTTTTTGTTTGCCTGAGTTTCTTGGGGCGGCATATTCCGCTGGACTTGATTGTCTTTCACTCTCATGCCTCTCATCTTTTGGGCTTAGTATCCAGATGCAGTATGCCCCATAAATTTGTTGACATGCGGTGACACACAGCGCAGACACCGAATGGCACAAGAGTCTAAAACATTGCTCATGGGCGGGACAAGCATGACGCCGCATGGTTTCCTATAGCTCTCTGGCATTACGGGAGATCCCCAAAGAGTCACTGATCCCTTTGCATCCCGTTGGCACCTATCCAGTGTACTATTATAGACTGTGGGATGCGCCTTTGGCATGACGTTTGGTGTATCTTGCGTGGCTTGGTATGCAGTGGATCAATCCGACACGACACCTTAAACCATCTACTTCGGCGCTCCCGCCCTCGGCCCGCATATATTCTGGTCTTGCCGGTTGTGCTTCTTTGTTTCCCTGGACATCCTGCTGATCGCATGTACGACTATGTCAAGCAAATCTGCTCTGCGCTATTTGTCACTATTTAAATCAGGGGCTCAAAAGTGATGCCATGCTACCGGTTTTGTCCACTGGCAAGTCCAGGGTTGTCTAGCCATACGATGAACTCAATCAGTCTTTAGAAAGTTTGGTGGACAAGGGGACAAGAGGCCACATGTGATGTGACTCTGTTACCTCGCTTGCAAGGTCATATGCCTAGCCCCTAGTGTCTTATCGGTTGCGGTATGGTATGCATCATTGGAGTGCCCTCGGGTTCGCACCAACTATACCATGGATAGGGGAATCAAAGCTTCTTCGAGCGGATGTGGCTTTACAAATTCAAAGAGTGCATTGCAATTGAATTGAGTTGACAATAACCAACCCCCATTTGATACGGCCGCTTTCATTGCAGATAAGCTCATGGCTATCTTCGGCGTGTTGATTCAAGGGGGTCTGCTCGTTGCTACACCTTATTCTGGCCCATGGGTCCGTGGAGCAATCTTGGGGTTGGATCATGTCAGGCATGCTAACATCCAGTCATTGTTTTGTAATAATCGGCCTAGCAGATGCAGTGTTATTCTGGCTGATATACAGTACCATTACATGAATAACCGTGCTTTTGGGGTCACATTCCCAGTAGTTCGAATTCTGTGAGTTTTCATTCCACCTCCATTTCTTCGACGTGAAGCCTTGGCCTCAGCTCGAACAATCCTTCAATTTCTTCCAGACTTTTACCACTCGTCTCGGGCATAAAAAGCCAGCAGATGGTGACGGTGAAGAGTGTCGTGGAACCGAAAAAGAAATATGGTCCGCTAGGTGAGGCCCGTAGAAACAGAGGGGCGGTCAACGCGACAGCGAAGTTCACGAGCCAATTTGACAGCTTTTACGGGACGTTAATGACAGCATGACACATCGGATAATAAGACCCACCTGTTGGACAGCACATGCTTTCGCACGGAGGCGGGTGGGTATGATCTCGCAAGCATATATCTTCCCAACCTGTTGAGATCATCAGTTTATCATTCTTATGCGGAGTATCTTACATACCACAGCCCAAGACCACGAGAAATTTGCCACGAAAAGATAGATTAGAATGATGACTGCCCATTGTGGTCCTTTACCTTCCAGATAGACGTCACCATCAACTTTACCTCCATGGCTCGCGTATAATGCCCCCACACCCATAAAACATGCCACCATGCCCAAACCGCCAGCTATCAATGGAAATTTTCGCCCCCACTTGTCTACCCATATCTGCGCAGGTATGGTGAATACCAGATTAATAATACCCGATACACCAGAAGCAAGAAAAGCGGCACGTTGAGAGGTGAATCCTGCTTGTGTGAAGAGGATCGGTGCGTAGTATAATATGACGTCAATCTAAGAAGCATGAGGGCATAATTAATGGCTAGTGCGTGAAGCTTGGGCGAGGTTTGACGTACCCCAGTGAGCTGCTGGAAAGACATTAAGAAAATTCCAAGCAAGGTGCGCTTAATGTATCGCTTTTGGAACATCTCGGAATACGATGCCCTCTTCTCGTTCTCGCTTTGTTCGAGGCTGTTCTGGATGCTTTGCAGTTCACTTTCGACAGAGTCACTGTCGCGCATTTTTTGAAGGACTTTTCTGGCGTCGTCGATGCGACCATGTTGAACAAGCCATCGAGGTGAGAATGGCATGAAAGCCATTCCTGACGCGAGGATGGTCGCCATACAAGCTTGGGCGATGAATGGGACTCTCCAAGCAAGACTATTGTGTATGTTAGCAGAAGCGTAGGCAACGAAGTAGCCAACCGCAATGCCGATTGTGATGAGCAGTTGGATCATGCACGCAAGGGCGCCTCTGATGTTTTGTGGTGCGATTTCGCATAGGTAGACTGTGACGACGGATATGCTCTGTCCCTGGCCTATTCCGGTGATGAGGCGAGCACAGATGAGGGCGGTAAAGTTACGTGCAGAGGAAGATATCACTGTGCCGATGATAACTAAGAGGGACCCGGTGAGGATACCATATTTGCGTGATATGCGGTCTGCGACATAACCGCTGCAAAGGGATGACAAAGCTGCAGAGAGCAGAATGGAGGCGACATAGACACCTTGGATGGTCGAGGTAAGATGGCCGACGGAATTACTGAATTGGACCATCTGAGTGACAGGGCCAATAGAGCCTGAACGAGTTAGACCGGTCAGACTGCGATTGAATGAAAGGGTGGTGGCAGTGGCTCACCTGTATCCAGGCCATAGAGCAGGCCGGCCAAGGAGGTGTGAATGGCGATGAGGAATATTTTGAGGGTCGCAGAAGGCATTGTTGAAGATACAGAAGGATGAACCCACTTTATAGTCCGGAACAATTTGAGCATGACTTGCGCTTGAGTCAGTCATGTTTCTGAGTTTCTCCGGGTGATAAGACAGTGTCGTAAAATGGAGGTCAAGAGCAGCATTTTTCCGAGGTCAGACGACGAGCAGCCTCGCGGACTGCGAACGCGACGGGCTAGCGGTACGTTGGCGGTATGCTGTGTTATGTATGAGGTGGATAGTAATAAGAGGTTATAGTCAGGGTGTCAAAGCCACAGTCAGATAAAGCCGGTGCACGTGAGATGCTGTCAAAGCAAGGCCACACAAGATGGTGGCTGTCAAGACAACTGTGTTGGTTGGACGACATCGAACGGTGGTCAGGACTGTGGACAGACAGCAGTGTTCTCTCTCGTCGGGACCCATCGGGTCTCCTTTTTCTTTACACGCCAAGGCCTTATCCTGGTTCCACCTCTTTCTCTTTCCCTTCACCCCCTTGACCGTTGTACTTTTTTTCTTAAGCTCCATCACGAATCAGCTTCTTGTTCTTTTCTTGATAGTCTTCCTGTCTCCAAACCCTTCTGCGCTTATCCAGCCAGCCTCTTCCAATTCCGACTTTGCATGTTCTGTTTATCGTCTTTCCTTCATCCCCTTCTCCGCTACCTGTTCTAATCGAACCCCATATCGCTCAACACCAAAAAAATCTCTCACCACGCTGGGCGTGTTATCACATATCAATATCTTCAAAAACGATGCAGTCCACACTTCCTCGCCTTCCGCAGCTCAGCCAGCCGCCTCGCAGAAGGGGTCCTCCGACCTCTCTTCGCATCGAAACCCCCGTACACAACCCGCTTATTGCACTCATCTCCTCAGAAGACACCACTTCTGCTTCTGCACTTTCCTCCCCTGCCTCTGAATTCGCATATAGTCCCCTCTCTAACTCCAGGAAGCCCCGCTCTCTCAGGAATCTCAAGGGCCTCTCAATCACTCTTCCCTCCGCTCAGTCCTCCTCAAATTCCCTCTCCTCAGTCCCCTCCGAACCTCCCAGTGCTTCCGACGCAGCTCACACCGACATGTACAAGTCACTTCGCCCGAGGAGACCTTCAGTTTTGTCTCTCCCTAATACTGCTATGCCTGCTCTCCGCAAGGAAGAGGATGGCTCCCCTACCATGCCATATGTAGACGGCCCCGTACAGATACTCCCTGGTATCTGGTTAGGCTCCGAAGACAATGCTCGTGACTGGCCAGGACTCCTCGAACGCCGCATCAAGGCCATTCTCAACGTCGCAAAGGAAGTGACATCCCCTTTCGACTCGGCGGCTACACAGCCTCTTCGTCCTTTCCTGTCCACACCAGAGCTCAATACCACCTCGGGACAGTCAAATTCCCATTATTATCCGCCTCACATCCCCAGCGGCAGGCCTGGTATGCACTACTTGAAGCTCATGTGGTCTCATGGTCAGTCAGATCTCGTGAACGAAGGATTCCCGATGGCCATGGCTTTTGTAGACGCTGCTCTCGAGCGCAATGAAGGCGTTTTGATACAGTACGTAATTTCAACAGACAGCTATTTTCTTGCCCTGACCGAGAACTACAGTTGCCAATGTGGTATTTCACGGTCAGCAACGTTTGTTATCGCTCTGGTCATGCGAGCAGCGGCCACGCGCTCTACCTCCGTCCCTCCTGAGGTGTGGCAGCTGAAAGGCATGCAATCTGCTTACGCTTTCGTCAAGGAGAAAAGCAAGTGCATAGGTCCCAATATGTCGTAAGCTATACCCGTTGTCCATGAATTAGTTTCATCATCTAATTATCGGCATAGCTTGATTTATCAGTTGATAGAATATGAGAAGACTCTCAGAGGTGGTCACGCTTCCCCTGCTTTCTCAGATAAATCATCTTTCATGGACGAAGACAAGGAATGGGATCGTCGTCGTTCTGCGTATGCAGACGACGAGGCAGACGATCGCGAAAACGATATCATGCAGCAAGAAGCCGAAGACCTCGATCGCGCGATGGAGGAACGCATCATCGCACGTAAGCCATCAGGCTCTTCTATTGCCTCTTCTGGAGTAGGCATGGGTGCCGCATGGAGAAATCGTTACGGCCGCAAACGTGCCGGCTCATCTGCAAGTGTTCGCACAGCAGGTAGTGTACTCAGCGAAGATCTTGTGGAGGCCGACGAAGAGCAGGAACTGCTGGGCATAGGCGGTGGTTTTGATAATGCAACTGAGCCGCGAAGAAGTCCGTGTCTATCAATGTCCAGTGAATCGCCTGGTGAAAGCGAGTCTAATAATCAACATCTGACACCTTTCAAACCTCTTACAGCTCATCGTGCATCCATCTACAGGTCGAGTTCTATGCCTTCGGCGCCTGCAACGCAGATCTCATTCAATATCCCGCCGCCTCCAGCTAGTGGATTCCAGCCAACGTTCAAACCTCCAGGAACGAAAGCGAAACGTCGACCCCCGCCTCTTGGTCTCTTGCCACCTGTACCACCATCTCCCGTTACACCCGTTGCTGTGCAACAAGAACCCCAACAGCCGCAGACGGCGCGTCTACGCGCCAGCACTGATGGCTGCAAGACTGCGTTACCGTCTTTCAAACACCGCCGACACCCCAGTTGGATCGCGTTTCCCCCTAAAACATCGCCGCGGCAACCTGTGGTAGCCACGCCGTCCCAGACGCTTTTCGTTTTCCCGCCCTCCCCGACCAATGCTATGATGTGCCTCAGAACGCCCTCTACGATGACTGTCACCTCGAATGTCAATACGAATACGTTCCCGTTCCCTGCGATATCCACACCTCGTGTTGCGACTGCACGTACTCATGGTCGCGTCAAGTCGTTTATCGGAGTGGGAGTATCTGCGGCTCCTACGACAGCATATTCGCGTGTTGATGCGCGTGGATGGGTAGGCCTGGAGCAACGGCCGAACTAGCGATAGTGAGCATAGGACTGTTGATAAGCCCATTCTGCTTGCCACGGTTTGATACGTAATTTGTCCCGTGTGTGTTATGTTTTGTTTTGTTCTTCTCTCTGATGTTCACGGACTGATGCTTTAAGCATTCTATTTACGCTGCGTGTGCTTTCTGTCCTCTTGGACTGCATTGTCTTTCGCATTTCTTGTAAGATTATATCATTCATCGCCTCTTTGTGCAGTTTCGATTCGTGTTCGTGTTCGTGTTCGTAGTAGTTTTATGCCATGTGTCTTTACTCCTGTTCACCAGACTGCGTGGCAGGCCAGTGAACCGAGTTATTGTAAGGCTGCGATGGGCTGATATGGCTCTGGCTGTGGATTGGGCAGAGGCGTGGGAAAAGTGCACCATATGTGGGCGACGCGTGTTTGCAACGAGGCATCCGCGTTCTTGTCTGTGGATTCGAAAATCTTGTTTGCATCTCCAGACTCTCTCCTCCTCCGCATACAGGGCGCCCTCGTTATCGCTGAGACTTTGCTGCAGGATATTCGCGTGCAATGGACCGCTCAACAAATCTGCACGACCACCTGTTTTCTCCTAGAGGATCCCCTCCTCCTGGTTCGCAGTCTCAACGTCCACTTTTTGCCAATAACCAGCCCCCGTCGTCTTCATCATCCCCAAACCATCTTGATTCTCTTTTTCAAAATCTAAATCAGCCCTTATCTCAACAGCAATATGGCCCTGCTGCAAATCCTTACGGAAATTCTGCTCCAGCCACGCCTAATATCTCTACTGCGAACGATGACGCAGCCTCGACAGGTTCTGCGCCGGCAATATCGTCAACAACGGACAGACAGAGCGCTCTCCTCTCTCTTCTATATACTACTTCCTCCTCGCCTGGAAGCATCAGAGGACCTCCTACTGGACCTCCTGCTCAGATGACTCAGCAGGTCCCCACTCCTCCCGCCTCATCCCAGAGATCGGGGCAGTCTCCTTCAAACAACAGTGAATCTCAAGGAAAATTTCTGCTAGAGCAATTAATGTCTGGGTAAGTTTTCCACCGATATTACTCTCACGGATTTGTGTACATGGTGTCTGCAACATGGACTAGCGCTCGTATACATGATGTTCGTACACGTATGCACGAGGACATCACAGCGAGTTCACCTCCTCATGTGTACTTATTTTTGCCCATACGAATGTTTGGGACTGTTGCAGCCATTCCTTTCCATCATGGCAGGCATGCCTTGCGTCCACCACGAGGCTGGTCTGTTCTGCCATTTTTCTTCGTCTTCTTTTTTACTTTCATCACCCGCACTCGTCTCTCTCAGCACTCCTTTCTTCTATGGCGACTTGGGAATATATCGATATGTTTTTTACTGACTCCTCTCCTTCCAACAGCACTTCGCGTTCTACCTTTCCTGACTCTCCGCCAGTCACCTTACCTCAGTTGGCTCCTGCTTCTACTCAATATGCACCCCAACCAACGGCATCGCAGATGCAGCAAGAAACGTACGCAAACTATCATGAAGGTGGTGGATACCTCCAGCTCGAAGAGTCGCAAGGATTGCAAGATCCGCAGATACAAGCACAGCCACCGGTTCAACAGCAATCCCAGCCTCAGCCTCAGCAGCAGTCGTCTCCATCCCCAAGTCGCAAGTCCATGTTCGACTTCGTCTCGCCGTTTGATGCGCTGGCGTCATCGTCGTCGACTGTGAAGAAGAAGCCTGTTCCCGCAGCGCCACCCAGTGCATCGAGTGGCAACGAGGATTCATGGACTTCGGCATCTCTGGGTTCGCTAACAAGCACCAATGCAGCCGATCCGAAGCGCAAGTCTGTAGAGAATTTGATTGAGCAACTTACGAGGACGCAGCCACCACCCCCTCTCCAGCCGCCATCTCCCTCCTATGACCCTTATAGCACTACGGACGAGTTTTCTCAGGTAGAAGTACAGCCTACGCAGCAACAGCAACGTCCGCCTCCTCTTCCACCTAAGCCTATGCGTGCGGCGTCGCCGAGGTCGTCGCCACCGAAGATGTCGGGGCAACAGCGCCCCCCTCAGGTTCGCTCGGTCGAATCCCCTGTAGGGCCCCAGCCTTTGCCCCAATCTGTTAGAAGAGATAAAGAAAGCTCCCCGGGTCCTCGTGGTCTTGGGTGGAAAGGAGAGGGTAAAGGGAAAGGTATCTCCAAGGCCAAGAGTCAATCAAGTCCTAGGTACACTACAATTCTTGTGAAGTAGCTGGTTTACTCACTGGCCTTGTAGCTCTCAGGCCCAAAGTATTGTGTTTGATGTTTCTCAGGCACTGGACGACATTCAGGCGCCCAGAGACGCCGTTAAGTCGACTGCTATCGCGCTGGTCAAGCAGGACGCGGTCTTTTTGCCTGGTACTACCATTGGCGCTACGCACTGGATTGCTTACGCCATGACGAAAGGTATGACCTACAATTCTCATGCTGACCTTACTGCTGATTACTGCCCACCAGGCCGTGTTCGTGTTATCTCACGATCCAGCGGTGACCGTACACTCCTTCAATTGCCGTCCCCCTTCCCTCCTTCTACCTCGGTCATCGATATGGCCGTCTATGGTAACAGGCTTGGAGGTGTCACTTCAGATGGTGGTTTTGTTGTTTGGGAATTGCCCGAGGTCATCACGGACGACGTACCGTGAGTGGTTATACGTTACTTTTACATACTATGATGCTGAATGCCTTTTGTAGTGGCAGACTCCTCTTGTGCGTCGTGCCTAGCGGAGATGTAGATTCACTGCAGTCCGTCAAGTGGCATCCTAAGCAGCCCGACACGCTTGCTGTGGCCTCAGAGTCCCAGATGTTCGTGCTTGATTTGACAGATGCCGCTCAGATTTACAGGGGTGAACCTTTGAGTCATGCAGACCTTCACCGCATTGCACAGGTTTTCTCTGTACCTTCGGTAAGTAACACGCGAAACTGTCGAAGGAAGGTGCTTACCCCTAATATACAGCGTCTCGTCGCATTCGATTTCGACGTCCCTCATTATGCGATCGCCACTATATCCGAAGATTCAACCTTGACTCTCTGGAACGTCCACGACAAACTGCCCTTCTGGTCCCACAAAGTTCGTGGAGATGATGTTCCGTCGTCGCTGACCTTCATCGACGATGGCATTGTGATTGGGAGGAAGAATGGAACTATCTTCCAGCTCCTCTCAGTTATCACCAAAAATGTCTTGTCGACTTTCAAGTTCGTCAATGGCAACAGGGAAGATCCTGAGATGTTTGGACACGTCAATTACGACTCGAGGATTCAGACGCTCTGGGTTGCCAATAACCGCAGGGACAGTCTCATCGCTCTCAAAGTTGGCTTCGATGTCTCTAGCTCTCCTTCTGGGGAGCTAATTCGTGGAGGTTACTTTGAACAGACCGTTGAGTTCTCTGGCCCTAAGCCCACCATCCACTTCGTTATTTTATCGGCAGACGCCGATCCCACAGGTGATGAAGCACACGCGGCCTGCATCGCAGCTAAGGTACCTCCGGGTGAACTTGCTTTAGTTGCTTTCTCTGTCCACTCTAGTGGTGTGGACCAAGTCCTTATTAGAAAAGAGTGGTTTGACACCGCGCTTATGACCGCGCCTTCAAAGTTCCCTCCTTACTCTCAAGCTGCGGTCGCTGATAAAGCTCCCCGTCAACATCAAATTCCGGTTTCCAGCGGCATTAATCTGTCGAGTTCTCAGCAGGTCACTCAGACCATTGTTCCGGCGAGATTAAGGACACCTCCCTCTGAAGAGGTCGAAGGCGATACAGCACGTGATGAAGTTCGTGTTCCTGAGACAAAGGGCAAGGCCCCCAAAGGCAAGAATGTTGCGTTCAGAGATCGTGATGAGAACGGAAAAGAGAAGGAGAGGGAAAGGAGCGCCAAAAGCGGTGATTCGGCGTCTGGTGATTCGGTCCTTACCCAATCTCTTGCGAAGGAGATTAGGAAGAGTGAGGAGAGCTTGCATACACGTATCGGCAGGCTCATTGGGAAAGAGATGGACAAGCAGCGTGAGTACTTTTGGATATTTCGCTATATAGTCATTGATTCTGACTCGCGATTAGATCAACGATTGGAGGAGGCCCGTGCACATGAGCAGGCGGAGGACTTTACTCGCCAAGAGAAGATTTTGAAGCTTATCTCGACGGAACTCACGAGGAATACAACTCGTGTTGTCGAGATGGCTGTTAAGGCTGAAGTGCAGAATTCTGTTCTCCCCGCTTTGGAAAATATCACGAGGACGGAGGTTAGGTCGGCGCTCAACGAGCATGTGGGACGAGGTCTTGCAGAATTTATACAACAGGTGAGTCTCTCATCTTATACGATTTTATCATATCATTGAAGGTATTTTCCATCCGTCTGATAGAGCTTGCCAAATGAAATTGAGAAACTGCTTGTTCGCCCTGACATTTCCAACCACTTTGCTAGTATCTTATCATCCAACTTGAATCCTCTCATTGAAAGATACGTCAAAGATGTCATTACTAAATCATTTGTACCCGCGTACTCCCAACAAACGTCGTCGATGCATCAAGAAATCATCCGGGAGATGCGGACTGAAATTATGAGCGTTAAAAAAGATTCTATTGCTTATCAGACCGAGACTGCCCGCAGTCAAGAGGTATGTCTCGCGCCATTTATAGCCACGTCCGTAATGCTGACAATTTGACTTCCCTTAGTCTTTGATTAGAGATCTTGAACACTCGGTTAGAATGCTGTCGGATCAAGTGAAGTTCCTGACTATGAATGCTTCTGCTGCCATGGGGCCCGCCCACCACCGCTTACCTCCAAGTGGCTCCCCAATCCCTACTGGGCCCAGCCTTGGACAAATGAACCAGATGAGGTCACAGAATCTCCCCCCCACCTCTCAGGCGCCACCTCCTTCTTACGGTGGTCAGCCTTCGTATCAACAGCAGCAGCAACAGCAACAGCAACAACAGCAACCACCTTCGATGCACGGGTCATGGTTCCCCTCTGGTATCGCTGCACCTCAGGCGTCTCATCCTGTCGCGCCTCCGCCCCCGCCCCCACCCCTCCCGAAGCGCACACCTCCGGCTTCAACTGAAGAGTGGGATGATACATATCTCGCCGTCTTGGGTACCCAGGATCCAAGGCAGCTGCGGGAGCTTCTTTCACGATCCAACCCGGAGATCGTTATGCCGATGAATAGTCCAGGACCTTTGTCGCAAGCTGTCGTGTTGACTCTTTTGCACCGCGTAAGTTTTGCACAATGTGAACGTGTGTGTCTATGTAACTCACGAATTTCCTTGTAGTTGGCGGCGGCTGTTGGTGAAACCCCGCCAGTTGATGAAGGCTTCAAGTCTGCGCTGTGGTGGCTGCAAAGGACCGCTGCAGTCTTAAACACCAGCGTAAGTGTTCTGTCGATGCCACCATGTACTTTTATTAACAAACGCCCCAATAGGACCCTCTTATCGCTCCCTATGTTGCACGTGTTGTGCCCAATGTTCAAGGAATGCTTAACTCTACTAAGCAACGACTGGCGATTCTCCCTGGCGGATCTCAGCTCGTGGACTCAGCAAGAGCAATTACTGATATTCAAGATGCATTAAACCGTAAATCCATGTGAAAATATGCAAAATCCTATGGCAGATAAGAAAAAAAATAGATCGTACAGCTATGTGGTATGAATGTTCTCGGTCTTTGCTCCTCGTCCTGATGTTTGAAACGTTTCCTTGCGACGACTTTTTGATTTTGATTTTCACGATTTTTACGTTTTGCTTTCTTTGTTGTACGTCTTGATGACATCCAATCAAACTATTTTTTCCATTGTAGTACTTGTACTTTCAAATTGCGACAGTAGTCAATGTGCGTTGATAAACGATGCAATCTTGTTTTCTAGTTGCTTCTGACCATGTGTTAAATGGATTCGGTTAGCTGACAAAAGCTGCTGGGAAAACGGTATCTCCTGCTAATCTCCTGCCATGAGGAGGGAACGTGCCCAGTGATGGGTCTGGCCACTGGCAAGGTACAGGAGGACAGCTCGCTGAAACGCTTTGTGGTAGCCAGTAGTACTACAATACCTGTACAATGAGCTTTTCTGCGTTGCTTTTGGCAAGGGTGTACCGCCGTTTGCGTCACGATCTGTATTCATTCGTGAATTAACGGCATGTATACTGCGGGCGCTACTTATGATAATTTTGGGACCAGCGTCTCAAAGAAGCCCAGTTCACGTTCTGCGCTTGAAGGGGAAATGTGTAAAGGCATGTGCATGAATGAGCCGCTCTTCTCTGATCCATATCTTCTCTATGCCCTTTTGCCTCCTGTCAGTGCTACCAGGATTCGGAAAACTCTGCCACTTGGAGATCGCCCTTAATCCTCGAATTGCATATTCCGTCAGACCTTCAATCGACTGGAACCCATAGTACGTCGACATAGGCGTCAAATTAATCAATCTCATACACAACTTCAATATAAGCTTCAGTACTATCACCAATGGTCAGTACCACGTCTCCACTAGCCTTTGCCGAAAGGCGTTCTCCAGGAAAAGTCGGAAAGAGGGTCGTGGCATATACCAACGCTTTCAAGCTCACATGGGATGTGGGGAAAGTCAAAATACATCATTATGACGGTAAGCTTCTGAAACAATCACCTCAATAACTCTCAGTTATGAATTTGATGTTGGGTTGATGTTTGGGATGGTCCCAGTCGGTAGGAACTCTATTTCACAACTTGACCGAGCCGCCTTTTAACATCTGTTCTTCAAGCCATATCTCCGCTTTTCGATCCCAAGTCGGGTGGGAGTGGCGAATCAGCATTCACAATCGGCTCACGCAAGGGTATGGAAATCATTACTCGCCTACAGACGGAATCACGTCCAGACCTGTTTCACCCCCGAGTCGCATTCGATGGCAAGAAAAATATATGGTCCACCCATCGTCTCAATTTTGTTAATGGAGGTGACAGCGAAGAGGTGATGTATTTCACCTCTGACAACTCCTCCAGCTAATATTTCTTCAGTTTCACCTGCCTCTTAACCGTATGGATCCCGACAACCCCAGACCAAATCCTAGGATGGTATCCGTCAGAGTTGTATTTGTAGCCATCGTCGACCCTCGGTAACTTAACGTCCTTTCCGGTTTCTCTTTTCGATTGCTGAATATACCAAACCAGTGTCTTAGAGCCTCTCGTAGCTGGAGCCGTTAAACGCATAGAGCCAGATGGAGAAATTGCCACAACAATTAACATGCTGAATGTCTTTGTTCGGGTGTCTCCTATCAGGTTATTACAATTTCGAGCACTACGCCATTGCAGCTAAGACTGATTTTTCCCAGCTCGTGGCCGCATAATGCGCGGGCTTTTTTCGCCAATAATGTCTGTACTTCAATAGACGGTCTACAACTATGGCGAGGTTATTTTCAGTCAGTACCATACTGTTACATCATGTCTGCGCTGATGCCATAGCTGTGGTACAGGAGCGTACGTCCTACTCTCGGAGGAATGATAATTAATGTGGACATATCCGCCGCCGCCATGTGGGTTCCCCCTTCGAAACAGGGCATTGCAACTATGCTGAAAACCTATTCAGTATTCCCCCAAAGCGTTCTCTTTTACCTCTATGTGCTGAGTACCTGAAGCTGAGAGAACCAAGAGCCTTGCACAGACTCAGAGACGAGCAATTTTTCGAGCTCAGGACGTTTCTCAAAGGACTACGGGTATACATTGACCTTCCAACTCACAAAGGAAGATCTCGCAAGATTGAAGATGTCGTCAGGAACGCTGGAAGAATTACATTTGAAAGAGGTATTACGACTATTACCATAGCGGTCAGTAGCCCCTTCAAAACCCTCGCATCATCCTAAGCACTTTGACATCCCATTTCAGGAACATTTCCGACAAGCGCACCAAAAAACTATTCCTCTAGACGGTTTAGGTATTAGAGTTGGAAAAGGTGAAATATTCCCGCTGGAGGTTTGCGTAACAGCAGAGGCCCAGCTATACAAAAAAAAGCTCAGCCCAGAGCGAGTCAGCCAGATGATTTCGTTCTCTCCTGGTAAACCCGAAGCTAGATTACGGGCCATTCGAGATGGTTGGGATGTCAGTAGCCTTTCATCTCACTGATGCAGTGGTTCGGACTCTTTCATGATATTTGTCTTCCAGCTCCTAGATTACGAAAATTCAGATTATGTGCGCAATGCCGGTATCCGGATATCGAAGGAGCCCATGAAAGTGACAGGGCGTATCCTACCTCCGCCAAGTATACAGTTCAAAACTTTACAACAGGCAAAGGTACGTCTTCAATATCACTTGTGTGCCGTCTGAGCCTACATAAAGCTTTTCTAGGAACCCGGCGTATGGGACATGATGGGGAAGCAATTCAAATATCCAGCAAAAATAAGCAGTTGGACAGTGGTATGCATATATTTGGCCATACTAAGTTATAAGTTAAGTATGATTTCAGGTGAGTTTCGCAGCTGAAAGAGCGACATCAAGTGCGCTACAACAATTTGTCTCGGACCTGACCAAAGTCATGAGAGAGCGAGGTATGTATGATCAATAATTGAATCAAAGTTTATTCTGATTTTTGCTAGGAATGAGTACTAAAATTCCTACACGACCGTTATAATTTAATTGATTTAATGTCTTTGAATAGTGGTTTCAGATCCTCATGATATCGCCATAGGACACGAAGCGAGGGTCGAAGAGGTAAGAATTTCGTTCGACTAGTAAATAATAATAACTGACGTGAATAGAGCATTGGAAGAGCTGGTGCTGCTGCCAAGGCTGTCTTCGTACTTGTGATTTTGCAAGAGAATGCTGCTTTGACATATCAACGAGTCAAGCGATTTGGTGACATCACACAGGGTGTCCCCACTCAGTGTGTGGTCAGTTTCATTATTTATTGCTGATTATGTTGTTCGACTAATAGTAATATATTTAAGAAATGGGTGTCTCACAAATTCAATCGATATGACACTCGAAAAATGAATCAGTATCAAAATAACCTTGCGCTCAAGTTGATTATATTTATTCATCGGCGATGGATGTGTTCGACTCATGGTCGTATGTTACAGGATCAACGGGAAATTGGGTGGGATCAATAGTGGTCCTACCAATGAGGCCATGACCCAACTTGCAGCAAAGCCTACCATCGTACTAGGAGCCGATGTGAGCCATCCAGCTCCTGGAGAAGGTTTACGGCCCTCCACAACATCCCTTGTTTCCTCATGTGACGCTCGTGCACTCCAATATGTAGCCTCAGTGCGTATACAGAGATCTCGCCTCGAGATTATCCAGGATTTACGAGAAATGGTTGGTGTAAGTGTGATGTTTAGGTTGGAAAGGGACTATACTAATGTTGACCGTGCACAGCGTGCACTCACTGTATTTCAAACAAAGACCACAGTGCTTCCCAGACGAATGTTTTTCTATCGCGATGGAGTTTCCGAGGGCGAACTTCACAGGGTGATTAATTACGAGATCAATGCTATAGGAGGTAGGGCTTCGGAAACTTCGTTGTCTGTTTAGATATTTATTTCGGCATCAGAGGCTATATCGAAGGTTTATGGCGCAGCGAGGAGTACTTGGCCTGCTTTGACTTTCATCGTCGTTGGCAAGCGACACCACATTCGCTTTTTCCCTCAACCACAGGATGCCCACACTTTTTCAGGCAACTGTCAGGCTGGTTTCGTCGTTGATAGTGATATTGTTCATCCAGTCCATTACGATTTTTATCTTCAATCGCACGCTGGTATCAAAGGAAGTGAGTGATATGTTGTATCCACTAGGTGCTTGATGGTTGACTGAACACAATTATCAACCAATAGCAAGCCGGCCCAGCCACTATATCGTTCTACGAGACGACAATGGTTTAAATGCTGACGCGTGTGTAGTTCTGTTACTCTGATATGCAACCTTTCACTATTATTTACCTTTACTTTGTAGTCTTCAAGAGCTTTCGTATGGTTTGTGCCACGCATATGCCCGTGCGACACGCTCAGTATCTATTCCCGCCCCTGTGTATTGTAAGCGAATTCGTGTTATCACAATTACCGCTTCTAACCAATAGCATATGTAGACGCAGACGTCTGTGCTTTAGATGTTCTACGGCCATGCATCTTATGCTGACGCTGCTTTTCTAGCTTGTATGTCGAAGGGCCAAGTTCCATTACGATCCAGCCTGGAATTTTGAAGACAATGTTTCTGTTCATTCCGACGATGGCCCCAGCCTTCAAAGTTTCCAAGATCACTTTAGCGATATCTCGCGCAGCCTGGAGAACTCAATGTATTTTTTGTGATGAGGCTATGGTACCATTTCATTTAATCTGCACAGGGTAGTGGACTAGTGTCCTGTTATGGTATAGAAGTATTGGGTTCTGTCCCTCGTGTGATCTACGAATGGTCCGGTTTGAATATTCTGTAGCGAGTAAATCAGTGTAGGACTAGTATGTTCCCTCGAACAACGTGTATCAGAATATTTGCTGTCCTGTCCTGTCCTCGGATCCGCCCCAGTAGGAGATCGCTGGTCTAAATTGGGCCGGTGACGAACCGGGTCATAAATACTGAACCGAATTGGGTTGGCATGTGTGGGGTTTACCCACGGATATACGAACACAAGTGAGCCGTGCTGCATGCAGGACACCCAGCACGCAACCACCTGCATTCACCTTTCACAGATACTTAAACCCACACCATTGCTGCCGTTTCTCTATATTCGCCGTCAAAATGACGGACTACGAGCCAAGGCCCTCGACTGACCAAGGTAGACACGCTTTTTGACAGCGCTTCAGCGCATATACTCACCATAATATCTCATACAGAGTCTGCACCCCTTTTGCGCGATTCAGAGGCTGAGAATGAGGAGCATCGAGAACACCAAGAAACGCAACGACCGCGCCCTTTTGCAACCCGCATAACAGAAGCCGTTCAAGAGCCTCTCACCGGTTTCACAAAGGTGCTCCTTGTAGAAGTCCTCATTCTTCTCTTGATAAGCTCTGTCTTCATTGGTCTCTTTGCTGGAGCCCAACACAAGCTTAACTTGCGAGATGGTGGAGGTGGAGGTGGCGGTGGTCGCGAACCTCTTCCTGGACCTCCTCAGACAGTCACAGTCACATTCGTGTCAAGGACCACCGATATCATCATCTCGCCGACCACCACCACAGCAGTATCTACCGCGATATCTACCACTTTCGATACCATCACATCCACTGAAATATCTACCAAGACTAAGACTGCTACCGAGACAGACACCTTGACCTCCATATCTACTTACACTACCACACAGATGAAGACGGAAACGAAGACGCACACAGAGACAGAGACAGAGACAGAGACTACTACCAAGACGCGTACAGTCATCATAGGTCCCGAGCCAACAGGTCCTCCGTCTCCACCTGATTCACCTTCTCCTCCTCCTCATGTATGAACTCCCAACCTTCTCGACATATACGTTGCTGATTTAGTTACAGGAAGAGGCTTGCTTCACTCCTGAATGCGTCGTCTTGGCCGCGTCTATACTTTCTTCTCTTGACACTGAACAGAATCCTTGCGACAACTTCTACGACTATGCCAGTATGTACTTCATCCTTCTTATCAGCTTAATGACATTAATCTTTGCGTGCCTTCTTAGATGGTGGCTGGCTCAAGTCTCACCCCATACCTGCCGACAAATCTAATGTCGGTAACTTCGAGATTGTTGCCCAGGAAAATAGGCAAATCATCCAAAGCATACTGGAAAGCAACATGGAAGTGGATCCTTTGTCTAGCTCTTATGATGATCAACTCCTGGACAAGCTCCGCACCTTATACAAATCGTGCATGGATGAACCAAAGCTGAACTATATTGGGCAAGAACCGTTGCAGCGTGTTGTAAATACCGTCAAAAGGTTCTTCAAGGGCAAGAAGAGCGCAGCTGCTGCCACTGCCCCGATTGCAGGTCCAAACCAAGGTCTTACAAACTCACTCGCTTTCTTGCATTCGAGAGGTATATCATTTTCGTTCAATAAGCTGTGGAGTTGACATTGATACAATTTATGCAAGGTGTGAATGCCTTGTTCGAGTTTTATATCGACGGCGATATCGGTGTTGACCCCAACTACATGACTCTGTGGTTCAATCAACCAAGCTTGGGTCTGCCTGCTAAGGTGCCAATTTTGTGTCATTTTCTTTTACATTATATCGACATATCTTTTTAGGAGTATTACAAAGACCGATCGGTAATAGAAGTCTACCAAGACGTCGTCGAGCGGCTATTAATTTCACTCAACGGTGAAGGAGACGCTACCGAAATTTTGTATCCCGTTCATGAAGATGGCATCGTAACTTCATCCTCTCAAGCGGTGATGCAAGTAGAAAAACTTGAAGACACAGATCATGTTTGGCCTCCCTGGCCCTGGCCACCGTGGGAGGGTGACGATGATGGGGATGACGGTGACCACGATAGGCCACTTCCTGAGGATCCATTGCACAGAGCTCACGAGCTCGCAAAGAAGGTGGTCGAATTTGAGGCTGAGATAGCTGCAGCATCTCTTGATCTGTATGTTAAAGTCCTATCTCCATTAGAACGTTTCTCTGAGTTTATCAATTGTCTTTATCAGTGACTTGCTCCAACAAGATCCATTTGGAACATATAACCCTGTCAACATCAATCACCTCAAGTCCGCGTTGCCGCAGATATATTTCCCCGACTACTTTGCAACGTTTACCCCTCGTGCCTTCCCTGAGCGTGTTATCATTACTTACCTCCCGTACCCCGCGTCTCTTTCGCGTATTTTGTCGAAGACCTCCTCTGAGGTTGTAGAAGCCTATCTTATCGTACGTGCAGCGCTGGAATATGGCCCACATCTCGGCATGTCGACCGAGGTTTGGCAAGCAACGCGAACACTCCAGGAGACATTAGGTGGTATTAAAAAGGGTGCTGTGGGCGAGCGCTCGGAATTCTGTACCCAGAAAGTCGAAAGTGCCCTTGGATTTGCTTCAGGCAGATATTTCGTCAACGAAACCTTTGGAGGAGACTCAAAGAAAAAGGCTTCTGATGTCATCACTAGTATGTATCACTCTCATACTTTAATCTGCCTGCGATACTGATCTGTGCGACGTTTGCAGACATCATTGAAACATTTGAAAGCTCTCTCAAGCACCTTCAGTGGATGGACAAACAATCTGCCAGAGCTGCTGCTGAAAAAGCTGAGGCCCTTCGCGTCAAAGTTGGCTATCCTCTTTCCCCAAATACTCTCGATGCGAAAGCTATCGTGGCGTATTACTCTCTCGTCAAGGTACACGTAGACACATTCTTTGACAACATGATGAGTGCTGCGTCAGTATATCCCATTTTCTATTTCTGTCCAGATTTATGGATTTATTAATGCGTGTTTGATAGTTCGAGCGATGGGTACAAAATGTGGCAGAAATTGGGTAAACGGAGAAACCTTGACGAGTGGGAGATGTTTGCGTCTACTGTCAATGCGTATTACAATCCTCCGGGTAACGAAGTGAGTGGTGGTTCTATGTGTTTCCAGCAGGAATTATATTTACACGTTAACTAAAGATCGTGTTCCCTGCTGGAATACTGCGACCTCCTTATTTCTCACAAGAATGGTACGGTTGCACCTCGCTAACGAGGTGCCCAACTGATAAAATCACAGGCCTGGATATCTTTCCTATGGTTCTTTCGGGATGGTAGCAGCACATGAATTAACTGTGAGTCGCGTATTTTGTGCATATTGTAGTCGGCTGTCTTACAAAGGAACGGAATAAGCACGCATTCGATTCGTCCGGTCGCTTGTATAACCAGCATGGTAAACTCGAGGAATGGTGGACTCCTGCCACGAGTGAAGAGTTCCAGAGTCGACAGGATTGTATCATAAAGCAGTATTCTTGCAAGTCATCCTCCTGTTTCATTTACATCATCAGTGACTAACTGATAGCCACTCCCACAGCTTATGCGATATATGACGGGAAAGGTGGTTTGGTACACGTAAATGTAAGTGTGTTCTATACCGGCCGCAGCAGGCTGAACTAATCGGTTTTGTTCGATAGGGAAATTTGTATGCAGACATTGTGCCGTCTATTTTCATGCACTGACTGACGTATGAACAGGACTTCTGGCGAGAATATCGGGGACACTGGTCTTATCCAAGCATATCGTGCATGGAAAGCCCAATATCAAGACTCATATGATGCTGGGAAGGAATACCTTCTTCCTGGCATGGACTACACGAGGTAAGTTACCCGTGATCCCGTAACCAACGATCTATATCACATCCACATTTCAGAGAACAACTATTCTTCATCTCCTTTGCACGAACGTGGGCGCAGAACATCAGGGAAGCTGCAGCCGTAAGTGCCTCTTAATTTGGCTAGTTTTCTTGATTGATCACATCGGAGTTATAGGTGCAACGTGTTCTCACTGATCCCCACTCGCCAAACCGATACCGCGTGGACGGGACGTTGTTCAATATTCCAGAATTCGCCGAGGCATTTAAGTGCCCGAAGGGAGCCAAGGTACGGCTCGATTCACCTCGGCTTGTAACTTATTAACCACGTGTCTTTCATAGCTCAACCCTCCGCCGGAGAAGCAGTGCATTTTCTGGTCATAGGGATGGCAGGATGGACGCTGGATAGACATTTGATCTTGTGCAGTCGTGGTTGTTTGTACGGTTGCACGAGTTTCTTGTATAGTATCTATTGAAAACACGATATATGTACCTCCTGGTTTTAATTGTCACATACAAACTAAGACTTGATTGACGCTAGCCGTTGATTTATTTTAGAGGACGCCCTTTGTACTTGGGACGTCATTTCCGCCTGTCCGCTCGATGGCCTGTCGGATTGCCAAAGCCAGTGCTTTGAATGCAGACTCGGAGCTGTGGTAATGCTCAATAAGAAGAAACAATGTAGTGGAGATAAAGTCCTACCGATGGTGGTCATTCTCTCCCCTCAGGACATCGACATGGAGGGTTACGCCGGATGCAATGGCAAAAGAGTAGAAGATGTGGGGGATCATCTCTGTGGAAAGATCACCTATTTTTTCGCGTTTGAGACCCAAGTCTGTTACGCAGTATGGACGGGAGCATATGTCAATGACTGCTCTGCTGAGGGCCTAGACGGGGTTATAAGAAGTGATATAGTTGAGGAAACCCAAGCGCTCACTTCGTCAAGAGGGGCAAAGCCAGTTCCGTATCGGCGGATGCCACGCACTTCGCCCAAAGCTTCCTTGAAGGCGGTGCCGAGTGCGATAGCGCTGTCCTGTAAACGACGAAATCTCTGATTGGTTTATGGAGTGACATGGACAACGCGATGATTGAACTCATCTGCAGTGTGATGGTCGTCGATCCAAAGATCACCTTTGCACTTCATCGTCAGCGACATTCCGCCGTGTTTTGCAAGGGCATGGTACATCTGGAGGTATGGCTCAACGAGATATGTGGGTAAGCGGTTCGTATCGCTGACCTACATGATCCAAGAAACCAATGCCGGTGGATATGTCGATCTGCTGTGCATTTGCAGAGCCTGGGGCGCAGTCGAGGTTTATTGAGACATCGATCTGGGTTTCATTTGTTTTTCTCGATAGCGTTGCTGTTCTTGCAGCCATGTTTCGTGACGGAGCCTTATCAAAGCTGGTATCTAGAAAAGATAATGACACGGCCCGCCACATCCGCCTGGAGGTAATCATCGGAGGGCGATGGCAAACAAGACCAAACACCCGCTTATGGCCTCTTGCTTCGTGCGCCATCCGTCCATTCGTCTTTTGGTCGGGGCACGTCCGCGCCAATTTATCAGACAGCCCGTCCATCATAGAAATAGTTACAGAAACATATTCAGCTTCTTTCGCAAAAAGCAAGAGTCAGGAAATACACACACCCCACCGGTTCTCAGCGAAGATGATCTGTTTCATCCGTTCTCCAACTCACCATTTCCAGCCGTGAAAGCGCGCGGGCAGGTCGTCCAGTCCTTGGCGCCTTGTCCAGTCTGTGCTTCAACACATGACCTTTTGCACCCACACCCAGAGGCCCAGCCTCGCGCAGTCAGCTTCGAATGTCCAGACTGTGGATGGCCATCGCATTGTTCAGAAGAACACTGGGAGTTGGATGAGGAGCACAGGAAGTACTGCTCAAGGCTTAGGGAGGTCAACGAAGACGAACATGATCTTAGAAGTGGAAGAAAGATGCACGAATTTCAAATGCCTGGTATGATTCGGACACGTTTTCCATTATAACTCATTGCACTGATTCACGTCCTGCAGGGCCACAGGCATATGAAGAGGCTATCTCCTTCGCGAACTGGGATGTCTTCTGGTACACGCGTGGTTTCCCTTCGATGGATACCGAGCGTTCACGGCGACACGCGAGCAAACTGTTGACTTACCCTCTGACAATAGGTTCTATTCTACATCAGAATAGCGGCCTGACTTTGAGCAACCAACGCGTGACTCCCGAGGGAAGTCGATCTCTGGCAGGTACGCCGTCGCTGACACGTTCACTTCCACCCACGCGCTAATAGTCAGATAGCTCTTCGTACTACTTTACATGTCCCTCCTGGTTCTCCCGATACGGAAGAAGCAGGAGCATCAAAACCTCAGATGCGCATCTTTATCCTTGGAGCGCGGGCAGAATCATCACTGCCGCCACACGTATGGGAACAGCTCTGCATGCTCTTCCCTTCGTGCCATTTCCATCTTCACTTCATAGGACCGCAGGTATCCTTACCCAAGCCACCGAACGCCTCACCGTCGAAGCCTCCTGCTGCGTCGAATGATTCGACACCATCGAGCGCAACCTCAGAATCTGAGACACAGGCAAGCGAGAACGAATCGTCTGATGCTCTCAAAGAGGCTACAGAAGAAAAACCGGTTTACCTGCCCAATGTCTATGAGCCTCCGACTCCCGCACCTATCGCCCGCCTGAAGCGCACTAGGTCCTCGATCGAGTTGTTCGGCGTCCCTTCATATACCGTTCCTTACACTCCACAGCTCACTATCACCGGCATGCAAGCCACCTATATGGAAGTGCATCAACAATTCCAGGATACTTTCGATCCCTACACCGATCTTTTCGTACTTTTCTCCCCCGGATTTGGATTCCCCTCGCCAAGTTCTGTTTCTGAGCTAGATGGCCAACCTCTGTTGCAGATAGCTTCTCCAACAGAGTGGGGACCCGTTATTCCTGCTCTTTTGGCGACGCGATGCCCGATTTTCGTGACAGGCTTCTCTCCTGCCGATGTTGAGAGGGACATTCGCTCGATCGAGACCGCTCCAGAAGTTGCGGGCGAGTTTGACTGGGTGGTCACTCCCGGACCGAACGCCTTTGGAAGTGAAAAATGGGAGGTGGCCGATTTTGATCCAAGGGTCATGGTAAAAACGAATTGGGGAGTGTGGGGTATTAGAGGTAAAGGTAGAGAAGTCAGGGAGAAATCTGGCTTTAGCTTGTTTTAATTAGACCAATGATAAGGCACCGCTCAGACTAATATAGCAATTGAGGAACCTGACACAACATTTACATTTCACGCAATGAGTGAACGCTAGTTGTATCAACAGTTTTTATCCATTCCTTTCCGAACTGCAAACCATGAAACCATATTTGAGAAAAGGATAACTTAGGACGCAGGGCAGTTGCTATCGGAGTAGAGAGTAGCATCACCAGGGCCCGGCTGGATTGGGTTGCATCTAAGAGAAAAGACCTTTAATATGCATTCTACATCGCGTGTCATGGTGTATGACTTACCCTGGGAGCTTGGCAAGAGGGGCTCCATTAATTGGCTCGTTGACGACGGGGCTAACTTTGCAAGCGCCAGCGATGGAAGCACTCTGGACGGTTAGGTAGGAACAAGCCTCGGTGACACCGCTTCCAGTTTGGTCGTTGGGGTTGTTGCAATTATCGATGGCGTTTTGGAGAGCAGTCTGATCCCAACCGTTGAAGAAGTCACCGTGCCACGAGTATCCAGTGGGGTCGCTATCAAGTAAGGTCATGAGCTTTATGAGATAGTGGTACTCAACTACGACGGCATAATGGCGTACCCAGTAGCGTAGACGAAGGGCCAGCCTGTCGAGTTATCCCAACGGCTGGCGAAGGAGTGCACGTCCCAGGTCACCTCGTAGAAGAGTTTCATCATGTAAACGGGATGGTCGCTGGGACAGACACCGTTGTCCAGCCCGGACAGGAAGGCCATGTGAGATTGGTGGTCAGCAGAGTCGAGGTTCTTTACTTGCTTGTGAGACATGGCGGTGACACTGAGAGGTAGAAGGCACTTACGACACCATCCCAGCATGCAGGCATGTGGATGCGAGCGTTGAAGCCAGCCTCACAATCTGTGTAAGGGAAACCGTGGCCTATGTTCGGGCATCAGCGCTGCCGCCTGAGACCAAAAACAAAATGATGATAACTGACCGTCGTAGCCGGTGGAGTTGGCAGTGTCGTAGCGCAAGCATGACCACTGGATGGCCCGCTCGGCAAGTTCTGCTTGAGATCCTTGGCCTTCAGGGTATCTGTCGCGCAATGAGTCTTGGTCTTTATTTTGTATGACGAGACTTGATTTACTTTTTGGTCCTCAGCGTGGGGTCACCACTGATCATCCTGAAGCCAGGAGGGAATGCCTTGAGGCCAGGTCCGCCATTGCTGACGTCTCCGTTACCACGGTTCTGGTAGTAGACCAAAAGACCTAAGAGAAAGTCCATGAATGGGATTTTCTAGCTCCTGTTATATTTCGTGAGATTTACCTCCGTTGGAAACTTCTTCGAACGTCCCGTTGGTGGGGTCCTTGAAGTACAACTTGGGGAACCCTGTCGAAATTTAGAACACGTTCACCGCAACAACAACAGAAGAACGATGGTTACAGTAATTGGAGAGATCCTATAACACGTAATCAGAAATGAATTACTGTGACTTGGTAAGTAAACTTTACATACCTGGGTCACTTCACAGGACGTGCACGAAGAGGCACGGAGAGTGTCGTATGTATTGTTAGGAGCAAAGTCTGAATAACGAAGCGTTCATGTCCTATTACTACTTATACTGAGGGCATACTAACTGTTCGCTCCGTGCACCGTCTATATCATGATACGTTATGATCAACACGGTTGACGGGCCTATATATTCACGGTACTCACGTGTACATGATTAGAAGGGATGATTCCGGGTGAAACAATAGGATCCACACGTTCTGTGAAGCATCCGTAAGCTCAAGGCATGATCGTAGCTCCTCAGGAAAATATACCTTGCACCAATGGAGTAGTGCAAGCAACACGGAACCACGCGTGTGCTGACCCAGAGGAAAGAAGAGCGACGAGAAGAGGTGCAAATACAGAGGACAGCATGTTGAGGCGATTAGTTATAAGTGCAGAGTCCTTTTATGAGGTCGACGGATCTTTGCATTATCCGCTGACGACCATCTCCCATCTCTCGTGCCTTTGATTCATGCCACAGTAATGAAAAAGATGGGGACTAGAACCTCCAAGATCGGCGAAGTAGACTGATTTTGAGAGTACAGATCCCAAAGTCGGATGGGAGAGCACAGATGCGTTGAACAAGGCAAGTTAGCGTCCCTGGATATCAGCACGGGTTGCCAGATGTCGATACGTTCCAATTCTTGTGCATGTGGAGAACGAGGGGGAAAGCCGGAGAACAACCTTCTTCTCCCTTTTGTGCAAGTGCCAAGACTAAATCACGCACGACGGCTTTTCATAAATTCCACGAAAGCGCTGATTGATTCCATGAAAGTGATGACTGGAAATGGATCTCTCCTCCTTGAGCATTGGCCACGATAATCATAATCACCGTGGAATGCACAACAGCTGACCAGCTGGATGGCTGCAAGCCTTCATCATGGGGTTGGTTTGAGAAACTCGAGGTATTGCTGTCAACGGTGATTTTGAAGTCACGAAAGACTGGATAGTCTTGGCAAGCATGATCATGACCAATTAACATTTACACTCTACTTTGGTCTCTGTTGAACTTAGAATATATTTATGTGAGACGACACTGAGACGACGCACATTGACACTGTAGGCTGCTTGCAGCCTGGGCGAAATTTGCTCAAGGCGGTTGCTAGACACCGGGCCACCTCATTGCCGTGGTGATCCCTGGGTTTGCACTTGGAGATTGGGAGTGTCGGTTGATTTCTACCTGTGTTTCACAGAACCATGTGTATAAGGAGAAGTAATTGTAAGGAATCATTTTGGCATGATGTTATAAGTTTAGGTGGCACTTGCCGCTACTAAGGGATTAGTAGAGGAGGATGAAAGTGGCGGTTGACGTTCAAGTTACTCGCGACTCACGACGCGTTTTTCTTCAAACTTCAAGCTTCAAGCACGACAATATTCACTGACATGTACAGCTCAGAAAGGGTTAATGTGAGTATCAATGCCTGTTGGTTATGATATATGATAACCTGGACCGCTTCCTTCTAGAACATGCTGACAAGCATGCACTTTAACTAATAACTAAAATTTCGCTGGATTTATTTTTCAGTCATTAGTCAGGAGGCATTAAAGCGATTCAGTAGCTCATCATTTTTACCTCAACGTATGTAGTATCGTCAAAAGTGGACAACATATCATATCATACTAACGTCTCATTAGGAACTAAAGCTTGCGGATCTCGGGAGCAGAACGATCACGATGATGTTTTTGATCTTAGGATAATCAATCACAATGGTCGAGCGGTACTGGGAATGCCAGAAAATGCCAGCGAAATTTACAGTACCAGTACCCATGGGGAATCTCCCCCATTGACAACCATCACCTGTGAACTCACAATCTGTCAGGTCATCTTTTCTACCGCATGACCTTCTCTGGACTCTTCCCCTTGTGCCAATGCGAGCATACCACCACCTTATACACGACAAACATGAGACGCCTCAAGGGGAAGCGTAGGGTATTATCCCAGTATTCCCTGTAGATCGACTTACTTCTCCGGTCTTTGATGTTACGCGGTATTCAGGCATCATTCAACTTACAACAGTCGCAATTTCCTTGGTAAAACCCTCCCCACTCCGCTGCCACTGGCACGCCTGCTCGTTTCATGTGGAGAGCCGAGCTTCCATTTGTGTTTCGCCTGGTTTACACCACAAACCGAGATCATTGATAGAATCTGTGCAACCGATTTACCAGGCCATTTCGACACACACCCTTGGTTTTTTCTCATATGTTTCTGGATTGGCATTTTGTTGAGTCGAAGACCGCATGCAGTCCAACAAATTGATTTAAGTGGAATTAACGACTCTTACATATCCTTCAAATAGCACCCTACTTGGTTGCCTGGGACTTACATCGGACAATTTCTCAACTGCGCTATTCTTGTTCATCATGTTCAGTCTTGCAGCTCTATCTTTACTTGCTCTTGTTTTGGTGAATGGGACCAACGCATCCAACTCAAAGCGTGGTTTGGCGTTCGCCGACAACACCAATCCCACTGATATCTCGGTAGCAGAAAATACCGAGGTTTCTTGGGTGTATGACTGGGGAACTACTCCAGCCAGCTACATTGCCAGCTCTGGCCTCCCTTACATCCCTATGCAATGGGGTACAAGCGGTGTGGAGAGTTTCGCAGCTACTGTCACATCTCAAGGCGCTAAAACTATATTGGTGCGCTGCTTTTAATGAGTTTGTATATAATGACAGCGTTGATATCATTGACAGGGTTTCAACGAGCCAGACCTTAGCTCGCAATCCAACGTCGATCCCTCTACCGCTGCTTCCTTATGGACGCAGTACATCCAGCCTCTCAAGGCCCAAGGTGTTACTCTTGGTGCCCCTGCTGTGACGAACGGTCCCACAGGCATCCCATGGCTCCAACAGTTCCTCGGAAACTGTTCCAGCTGTGACATTGACTTCGTCCCGTTACACTGGTATGGTGAGGGTGTTAGCAATTTCGAGAGCTATGTCGAACAGTTCCACTCGACTTTCCCTTCTTACCCGTTGTGGGTCACCGAATTTGCTTCTACTTCCACTAATTCCACCGGTTTGTGTTTTTGTGGTACCGCATTTTTCACCCGTAGCTGATTTCATACACTTCGCTCGTGCGGCTGGAAAATAGACGTGGAGACTTTCTTGACTGCGGTCCTGACTTGGTTGGATGCTCAGAGCTATATCACAGGCTATGCCTGGTTCGCCTTATTCGTGAGTTTCTTTTATATCATCATCGTGTTTATGCTCAGCCCTGATATTTTTATTTCAGCGTGACGACGGCACCAGCTACTACAGTACGTATCTCCCTTGTACATCGTTGCGATCTAATGTGACCGGTCACTTCCAGGTCTTCTCAACTCCAGTGGCCAACCCAACGCTTTGGGCACATCCTACTTCACTCAGGCCTAGTGACTCGTCGAAGACAAATATCAGAAGCTTAGGTAGAAAAACCATAGTTTCACGTTCGGTGTATTTGGTGTGTATTGTACTACTATTCCCGGAGAAGAAAGAATTAAAATACGCGCTGTGGGCATGTATATCTGACCTGCTTAAGCAAAAAGACAGCGTGGGTGTGAAGGATTAAAACAGAAAATACTGGGTTTCCGAGTGTGCTCCTGGGATAAGATATGCCGCTGAGTTTCAAAATTAGGAACGGTCAGAGTCATTTTCGCGGACAACTTGAACTCTCCAGACTGCTTCCACACACATCCACTATATCTCTCTCCTTACTCATTCCGGTCACTCTCAAGCATTAGCTTGGAAATCAATATATCACGGCGGTGGTAGACTATCATTCCCATATGTGTCTGAATCGAGGATTCGAAGCGCTATGTTTAGATAAACTTTACCATGGTAATGGATAGCTCAAGTAAGTAAGTTACGAACATTATCCGAGTCTCGATTACAGTCCAATGACTTATCGTTCTTGTCTTTTGGCCCTCTGCAAGCCAAATTGCTTACAATTGTAGTCTGTTTTGCATCCGGCCGTGCTTTATGGTAGCAGAGCTCGGTTTTCGTTCCGATGCCTTTCGTGGATTGTCTTCCACCAAGTGCCCTGAGAGCATGTCTCGGATGCTCTCTAGAATAGGTCACGAGTTTAAGGCCCTTCATATACTCTCGAATCTTGCCCCTGTGTGGCACATGGAATGTCTACCAGGACAGTCACATCCCGCACAACGAAAAACACCGAAATTTGTGAAAGTCATCGTGTTAATCTGCTCTAACAGATGAAGAGTCCTTATCAACGATGAGTGAACTATGGGTGCAGTAAGTCTTCGTCGAGATGCCTTGATTCTCGTTTTCCTCTGAGATTTCTTGTAGATGTCGTCGGGATGGGCAAGCACTGGATTTATACGCAGCTGTTCATACCACATGTATTTCTGCCAAGAATAAATCCAATTACTCTCAGGCAAATCTTTCAAATAGTTTGCGACGAATCCTTCATCTTTCAGGTTATCAAGTGGCAGCACTCACTGATACCATGCTTACTTTCACTAGTATTTCATTGCTCGTTCTTGCTTTCGTCAAGGGGTCCAGCGCGTCTGATGCCAAGCGTGGCCTAGCTTTTGCCGATACCTCTGACCCAAGTGATATATCTCTTGCAGAAAACACTCAAGTGTCTTGGGTTTACGACTGGGGTGTTACTGCGCCCAGTTACCTCGCCGACTCTGGCATTACGTACATCCCCATGCAATGGGGCGCAAGTGGTGTCGAGACTTTCGCATCTGCCGTCACTGCACAAGGGGCTAAGACCATCCTAGTAAGTGCAAATTACATCGACTAAAACCTATCTGAACGTGTCACTTCTTAGGGGTTCAACGAACCAGATATGGCATCCCAATCCAACATCGAGCCTGCAACTGCTGCTTCTTTGTGGATGGAATACATCCAGCCTTTGAAAGCGCAAGGTGTCACTCTTGGTGGACCTGCTGTCACCAACGGCCCTACCGGAACACCGTGGCTTGCTCAGTTCCTAGGAAACTGCACTAGCTGTGACATCGACTTTATGCCACTTCACTGGTACGGTGAAGGTGTCGGAAATTTCTATAACTACATCTGGTCCTTCCACGGTGAATTCAGTGCCTACCCCCTTTGGGTGACCGAGTTCGCGTCCACCTCGCCAGATACTCCTGGTTAGTACTTCTGATTGCATGTCGATGAGATTTTGTTGAACCACTACCACTGATAATTAATACCGACATGTGTAGATGTAGAGTCGTTCTTGAATGCCTCCATTGCTTATTTGGACTCGCTCGACTGGATAAAGGGCTACGCTTGGTTTGCATTCTACGTGAGTCGTATAGTGAAATTGTTTCCAAACGTGAACTAACGCGTCGTTTTGTCTAATTTCTCAGCGAAATGACAGTACCAGCTACTACAGTAAGTTGTCTGCACCTTGGATGTTGTCATGTGTTAATATCTTTCTTCGTAGGTCTTCTTGATGCTAATGGCGAACCCAATGTTTTGGGCGAGATTTACCTCGACCAAACTGAGTAAAAGGAGAAGCAGAAGGTTCGATGTCTGTAGTTCCACTGAATGTCGTGATTTGCATGGCATATGATATCTGTATGTATATATATATTTTATATATATTTATAAATGGAATTTCTATGCCTTGAGGATCGTTGACACACAGGCAAGCGATGTGGCGTAGTGTACTTCGTAATGATGTGAAAGGCAATGAATGCTGTCAATGGTGGTGCAATGCAAGTTTTTATCTGAAAGGCGAGACCTGTGCATGTTTATTTCTTGTCGTTGTTCTTCACCCAAATGGTCTTAACCGGCACGACCAAATGATTCACGTGCTTCTATTCCGGTAAACATGTCAAAGCTGGATGACCGGAAAACAACAACGCGGGTCAATTTGATTCGAACTTTTCCTAGAGACTCCCATCTACACCATGTCCGTTAAAGTAAATAGCATTCCTTTGCCCGATAACATTGACTACAAGAAACAGTCAATACCCGTCCCTGGAACGAAGAAAGCTGGGCAGACAGGTATGTCACTTCCATACGACGCACTCGCAGACATAATACTGATATTGCGCTGACCAGCTCATTACCGCAACGGTGCGAACAAAGATTTTACACTGACAGCAGCATGCTGATAATTTGCTTGTAAATCAAGCCATTTACGGTCTTCTGGACCATGATATTCCCAATGCCTTTAAAACCCTTCCCGAGATATTCGACAATGGCTATCTCCTCGGAAAAGGTGCCAGATTTCTCGGCCACCGACCTGTGATATCCACAAGCCCCCTCAAGTTCGGAGATTATGTCTGGCAGACGTATCCTCAAGTCGATGTGCGCAGGCGTCGTATTGGGAGTGCTCTCGAGACATTGTTTAAGAATGGTGTGCTTGGAGGCGGTAGTGACGGCTTGCAGACTGTCGGTATTTGGTCTCAAAACAGGCCAGGTACGGTTCTCATCTTGTTGAATGTCGCGTGTAAACTAACTCCAGGGAAGAGTGGCAATGTGTTGATCTCGCCCTCCATGCTTACAATAAAATTGGAGTCAGCCTTTACGACACTCTGGGAAAAGATTCAGTGGGTAAGTCGGCGTGATAATCCGCCATTCTATCTATTAACAAGTTTTCAGAATATATGTAGGACAACACGTCCATTGATGGCCTTCATTCACTGACAAATAATTAGCGTCAACCACGCGCAGCTTACCGTGGTCTTTGCTACCTCAAATCACATACCCGCTCTCCTGAAAACTGCTTCAAAAATACCAGTTCTGAAGATGATTGTATCATTTGACCCGTTGTCTCCCCAGGTAAAAGATGCTCTAGTTTCATGGGGTGAAACTGTGGGCGTTCAGATCAAGGAGTTGAGCGAGAGTAAGTCTTTGTTCCATTGTAGACACCAGTTGTTACTTATGCTTGAGGAAAGTCGAGGAATACGGCGAGGCCAATCTCATTGACACTATACCCGCTAAACCCGATCAACTAGCGTCAATCTGTTATACCTCTGTAAGTTATTCTTCGACGAATTATCTACGCTGCGGCTTACCTTTTACCAGGGCACGACAAGCAACCCCAAAGGTATACAGGTCACTACTTCTGTTCTTGGTTTTGGTCGCTCATGTAAGTCTAGGTGTTGTTCTAACTCATGCCAACCTTGCCTCTGCCGCATACTCCAATCTCTTTGGCTATGTGTATCCTGAGAACTCTACAACCATCTCTTACCTCCCTCTGGCACATATCTACGAGGCAAGTCTTCATATATACCTAACCTGCATTATCTGAGAAACATCCAACTCGCATAGCGAGTTGTCGAGTTGGCAACCATAGCTATAGGTGGCTGCATTGGCTTCTTCACCGGAGACCCATTGCGTCTCCTTGAGGATGCCCAACTTCTTAAACCGCACGTCTTCCCATCCGTGCCGCGTGTTCTTAACAGAGTCTATCAAGCTGCCATGGCTGCTGGTAATGTTCCTGGCATCAAGGGCGCAATCTTCAGGACAGCTGTGCAGACAAAGTTAGATCAGTTGCATCGCACAGGTGCGAACACTCACGCGCTATGGGATACTATAGTTTTCCGGAAGGTAGGTATTGCCTGCGTTCGCTTGATTGCTGGGTCCCTGCTCATGAATTTTTTCTTTTTCAGATTCGTGCTGTTCTGGGAGGTAATCTTATGCTAGTAACCTCTGGTTCAGCGCCAATCAGCGCCGAGGTGGTAGATTTCCTGAAGATAGCGCTTTATTGCGAAGTTACTGAAGGTAAATGATTAGGCCTCCAATTCATCGAGATTCATGCTTACATTTCTCTTACTATTTTAGGGTAAGCATATTAGCACCTATAACCATATACGCCTCATCTTTGGTTTATTCAGTTATGGAATGACTGAAAACTGCGGGACTTGCTCACACACCTGGGAAGGTGACCCTTCTTGCGGCGGCACTATCGGGCCCCCTCAGCCTGTAAACGAGCTGAAACTCGTCGATGTACCCGAAATGAACTATACGTCCGAGGACAAGCCCAACCCTCGTGGCGAACTCTGCGTTCGAGGAGCAAACTGTTTCGTGACGTATTACAAAGGTACGCATCGGCGCGCGTATGGTCGCTATACACTTCTGACCCAAGGTATCCGTCTACCTAGACGAGAAAAACTCACGAGATACGGTGAAAGATGGCTGGATACACACCGGTGACGTCGCTGAGGTCGACACTTATGGCAGGTTCAAGATCATCGACCGTGTCAAGGTGAGTCGTGCCTCTTTCTTCATTACGACTTGCCTTTTTGAGCCATCGGCCGTTTTCAGAACATCATGAAACTTGCTCAGGGCGAGTACGTCGCGCTGGAAAAGATTGAGAACATGTACAGCACGTGTCCTATCGTTTCCCAGATCTACGTCCACGGCGACTCGTTGCAGTCATACCTCCTTTCCGTCGTGATACCCGAGCCTGCTGGGCTAGCAGCGCTGGCATCTGATGTGCTTGGTACCAAGATTTCACCAGAGAATACCCTGGCGCTTGAGAAAGCAATCAAAGACCCCCAAGTCGTGGCTGCCGTCCTAAAGGTGTTGACAACGGAAGCGAAGAAAAACCAACTCAAAGGGTGCGTGTTTTATTTCAATTTCGATGCAATGCCTTCAATTCACGATTCTTTCTCTACACTAGTTTTGAAACCGTGAAACGGATTCACCTCAGCTTGAGTCCATTCTCCGTCGAAGATAGCACCATGACGCCCACATTTAAGTTACGACGTAAAGATGCCTTCGCCAAGTACAAGGCTGAACTCGAGGCTTTATATGCATTGGGTGAACCAAAGCACGAAACAACCAAGCTTTGAGATGCTTTGGACCTGTATATATAGTTTTCGTTTAAAATGAAATTTTCATTCAGAGTATCAATATATTTAAAGAACATTCATATACATTTTAATTCCTCATTTTTCCTTTTGTTACGTGTATGACAGACCGATAGAAAATCCGAAGACGGATGATAAGTTAATGCAGAAAAAAAGCCCAAGGGAAAACAAAACAAAAGAAGAGATCAGAAAAAAAACCTGGCAAAAAACTTTTGCCTGTCGTGACATGGTCATAACATCGGGTATGATGATTCATGGGTGGACCGGGTAATGGATGTGCGCCTCTCAAGCAGCAAATTTTTTAAGATGCGAGGGTAGATTTGCTGTGTTTAGAAATCCTGTACGATATGGAACTGCCTAAGAAAGCAACGACGATCATGATCACCACCCAAAGGTAGCCACCGAGCAGGTTGTTATCTATTGAAAGGGCAAAAAGCGAACTGAAAACCGTACGTGAGTATGACAAAGAAACAGCTTCAAGTTCAGGAATGGATTGGATTATACCTGACTAAAAATGGAGCGAAAGAGCGAGCAAAACACATCGCAAATTGAACGATACCGTTGGTTTGTCCTAAGGATGCTGCATTCGGTGCATTCTCTTTCACAAGGATCATACTCAAACTAGATGTGATGACGGGAGTAATAAACTGTCTATCCCATTTATATAAAGAACTGAGCTACTCACGAGTATGCCAAAGCACCTATTTTTGACATTGCGAGTACGCATGCAATGCCAGACCAAAGCAGAGCAACCGTCGGAGTGGATAGCAGGCCTGTTGTCTTATCCAAACCACTGCGAGCTATGATGTTGAGCAGTGGTAGGATTGCAAAGGTATACGGCCATATCCCCATACAGAAATTGTACATTTTGGCGCAATCAAATGTGCGCAAGAGATACGACATGATAAACAGCTGGATAAATGATGCAATGGCACCAGCCGTAGCGAGAGAGTAGCCGATTTGGGATGCCTGCACGACATGTTCAGTATTGAATATGGTGGAGAAAAAAGGCCATGCTCACCGAGAAAGCTAGACCCCCGGATAGAATAGGAGAATAGCAGAATAGAACAAAAACGACGTCAAAGGAAGTGGCAATAAAACTCAGCGCGCATCCGGAACTCGCCAAAGCAGATATTATTGGTTTGGACATGAGAGCCCCTACGCTCATGGGCTGCTCTTCGTTCAACACCACATCATTATCAGAGCCACTTATGTTATTAGGACCTTTTTTCTCATTCTTCTGACGTTTGCTAGGAAGGGTCTATAAAATGGGTGATTGATGAATATGACAGTTTGGCAGGAGAGACGAGCAGAATTAGACGTACCTCCTCCAGAAAAGAGTAACCCAAAACGATACCTATGGCGGCGATAATACTGGCTATCAAACAGGGAAGGAAATAAGGATTCTCCCTGAATATTTGGTAGTCGAAATATTGAGGATACTTTGTCGCGCCATGAGAGAAGGTCCCACCGAGTAAAGGACTGGTAACATGATTAGACAGATTTGTGACAGGGGTGATGGTACATACCCGATGATAGAACCAAGAGGCCACATGAGACCGTAAATAGGGAACGCAACGGCCTGGTTTGAAGAATCGGTGATTTCGCACAGAACCGAATGTACAACGGCAATATTTCCGGAGAATAAACCGCCTGGTGGAGATAATGAGGAGCATTTACGACAGCAGAATTCGAGAACATACCTAAAAATCTAGCGATCAACACACTCGCGAGGGTCTTCGAAAGACCAAACATGATCGTAGTCGCCGCTACACCCAAAGTCCCCAAGAGCACAACAGGACGACGACCAATTATATCTAGTATAATCGTGAACTATTATGATCCGGAACTCTTTATCAGTAAAACAACACTAACTCACCTGAAACGCGAGCCCACTGATATATGGAACATAATTGTGATAGAGCGAAAGTACTCTCCTGCCATGGTAAGCGTGGTAGTGAGCGACGGGGATGTAACAGGAAAATAAAGAAGCAAAAAAACAGCAAAAAAAAAAAACACTGACCACCAGCCCGCTGTAAAATCCGATTCTAGAAGGATCATTGGTGAGGTGTAAGTCATTCATAAACTCGTTTACATATGGAAAGAGCTGGGTAAAAGCAATAGGATCAACCAGCCTGACTGTGCAGAGAGCAGCGAGCTGAGCTTTTGGAACGGGAGTGACGGCTGGTCTAGCTGCCTTTTGGGATTCAACATTTTGTTCGGGTAGGAGAGGGCATGTCTCATCATAATTAGTCGTGTCGCTGTTGGCAGGAGTCATGGTTGAAGACGATGACAGTGGCAAGGAAAGAGATAAAATTTAGGAATGCTGGTATTTAAGCCGCGGCGGACGGCAGGCTGGAACGGCAAGCAACCTCTGTTGACAATCGCATCAATGTTAGGGCAATAAACACGATTTACGTCTTTAAGAATGAATTTACATGTTCAGGAAGGCTCTCGAACCGTGTATTGAGCCCATTTCTGCCAAATCAGCGCACGAAACATCTCACGGACCGGCTACGATATCAATCTAAGCTAGTACTGACCATAATAGTCGTTGTCGGGTGGTGCAGGCAGATGACTTGCATACGAAAGTAGGACGTGATAGTAATAACAACAAGCTGCCATCGATGCCCAGCAATCCCAAGCAGGTCGTGGTTCTTGGTCAAGCCGTGTGGCCTGTGTGAGCATATCCTACCAGCCTGAGGACAAATACACAACAACAGGAGATAACGGCTCGCTGTGGCTGACCTCTCATGTTGGCCTTTTCTCCTTTCGCCATTGTCTTTGCCGTCGTCCGATACACCGTCGTCGTCGCCCACGTTCTCCAGCTCCCATCTACCGTCTTTCCTTACCACGAATACAACGACCATGAATTTTAATATCAACGATAGTCCTGTCCTTGTCGCACCTCGCCCAGTCCGCATTGCCAATCCCTACCAGCACTTTGGCCGCCCCACCCAGCTCAGGCTGGTATCTGCACCCGTAGAACAGAAGGACCAGTTCAGGCTAAATGCAGACATCGACAATAATGACGACCAAGGCTTTCCTGCCCGCATTGACTCTTCGGCTTGTTCGGACAGAGACCTTGCATCTCCACGAGCTTCTCCTAGGTGTGTTTTTTTTTTTTATCCCTTGCCACATCTTTCGGGCGGTTGTCGTCCGTTTACCAGATCACCACCCAATGGCAAAACCCTGATCTCTTTCGCTATCGATTCCTTATTTACTCTTCTCCTGTTTTTCCCCACAGGTCCAGTCTTCCATCAGAAGCTCTCGAAGAGTTCCTCTCCATCCTTCGACCCGCAATATTCCCTCCCTCTTCACCTATCCTACGTGCACGTCGGAACGGCATGAATTCTCTCCCCACCTTTGGCTACCCGTACAAGCCGAGGAACAAGATTGAGATTCTCCATCACAAGGGGGATCAGATTGCCGAGGAGCTTGATAGGGTCAGATCCACGCCATTGCGATCTCCTGAGCCCATGCAAGAACATGAAAAACTTGAAGAGCTCGAGAATTATGACCCGGATCAGCACCCAAGATATTACACCTCTATCGCGCTTGGTGCGTAACCTCCGTTTCTTAAGTCATTGTTTGACCACCAACTTGCTTTTGGTACTTACAGCTTCGCCAATTTCTCGAATGCACACTCGCAATCCTTTCCAGCGTCAACCTTCCTATGAAGTGGCTCTGACCAGTTTCATATCATCAAGCCGCTCCTCTCCTTCCGTAGCCTCAACGCCTATATCACCTGCTACCGTTCCCCTTCCCCTTCCCACTACCGACGAAATGCTCTAAATCTAGTAGACAACTCACTCGTAATCTTGCTCATTTCCGATTTTATACAGTATCATGACCATTTCAAATTGTTCCCTGTGTCTTCTGTTCCCTCTATTACGTTCATTGGATCGCATCAATCTTATCATCATATCAATCGTCTTCAATCATATGTATACCGGCTTTCGCAGTGCAGTGGCATGATGCGTCATTCGTGTTAAATTTTGTTCTCACATCTATATTATTGCACTCTAGTCATTCCCCGTCGCTCCATATTTCCCTCTACCCAGCCTTCATTCGGTTTGCCGTCATTTGACGTCTTTGCTTATGCGTTATGGATTCTGTTTTTTTTTTTGCATTCTGCTCAGTGCCTCTGACATTGGGTCGGTCGCACATTCTAAACTATTCAATAGCGAGATTTGGCGACATGTAGTATGCTAGTCTTTTAGTTGCCCACTTAATACGAACCTAAATGTATGTTTATTCTTTTCTTGCACGGTTCATGATATGCAGTCCGCGCCTGTGAAAATAACCTTGAGTACAATTGGCAAGGTAGCATTGTTCTATCATACCATCCCATGAGGATGGCTGGCCTCATTTTACATATATACATACATTAGGTATCGTTATCAAGAATGTCAGATATCTGTTAAGAACTAACAAGGTCGATCATGGGTATAGCGGACTTCGTGAAGGACCCCCGACGCCTTCCGTGAAATAAACAGCGTCCCCCTGTTTGTCTATATAGAAACAATCCTCTAAACGTACTCCAACCTACATGCCAAAAGGTATCATCAGTTTGAAACTATTGGCTGCATGAACGTGCCATTTCTGACCTTGCCCTCTATGTATACACCTGGCTCGTTGGAGAATGTGTGTCCCGTCTGGATGATATCGTTACTTCCCCCACGAAGATAGGGAGTTTCATGTCCCTCCAAACCAATACCTAAAACGAAGGTATGAATATCGCAGATAATTCAAGACCAAAACATGGACGCTCACCGTGACCTAGCCTGTGAGTGAAAAACTGCTCCACACCACGAATTCGGAGGGACGACCTTGCGCTTGCGTCTACTTCAGCAGTCACCACACCAGCTTTGGCTGCATCGTAAGCGGCCCTTTGTGCGGCGTGCACATCTCCCCAGTAAAGGACGTGGTCCATGGGAATGGATGAGTCTTCAAGCATGAATGTCTTGAAACCCGCGTTTTAGAGAATGGCTTTTTGCTATACCTTAACACTCACCCGCGTGACATCGCTGTTGTATCCGAAAAGTGCTCCCCCGCAATCGATCAAAACAAAGTCCGAGGTGTCCAGAACACGATCGGAGCCGCTCCCGTGTGGCAAAGCAGCATTTTCTGGACAAAACAGCACATTCCTCAATCGGGTGTTATGGTCTTTGTGCGATTGGATAAGTATACATACCACCAAAAAGCACGAGCGCAAATGTCTCCGTCAAACCAGCTGCTGACAGAGCCTTCTCCATCATACGGCGCACCTGCGATTCTCGTATGCCGATATACATTTGTGCTTGCACGGCCCGAATAGCGAGAAGAGTAACCTAGATAGATCCAGGTCGAAGGTTTTAGCTTTGGATCACCAGGTCGTAAGAGAGAGGACGATACCTCATTTGCACACTTCATGAGCTCGAGTTCGGTCTGTGATTTCCTTTCTCGAAGTTGGACGATCTCTGCAGGAGCCGAAGTGACCTGGATACCCAGCACAGCCTGCTGGAGGCCATCTACGATGAAGTGCCTGATATTCTCATCTACATAGATATTCCCAATCTCCGGAAGCGATTGGATGGCTATTGAATAAGGGTTGGCATCTTCGGGCCACGCAGCATAAGTGACACCAGAGCCTGGAATGGTAAGCAGACGGGCCCGAGTCTCCTCAAATGCAGGCGTGAGGATCGTTATCTTGGCCTCAACCTCGCCATGCTTGAGAACAGGGGATACCATTAGCAAAAGAGGCCGCTCGGACAAACCCCACGATGAGCCAGATATGTTTCCGAAGAAGAGGGCATTTGCACCTGGTTCGGCTATGTAGGCCACTATATTGTTGTCGTGGAGGATGCGGGCAAGATGTTTCTGACGTTGGCGAAATTCGGATGAAGTGATGGGGTTTGCACTAGCACAGTGCGTCGAAATTGGAGAGAGAGCTTCAGAGAAAGGTTGCTTTGTAGTACTCGGGTGAACCAGATGGAAAGAGTATGGCGGGACGAGGACGAGGACGGTAATAAAAAGGGCTAAAAATACGGCCAACTACACATGTCAAATGCAATATTCAGCACTTTCAGTAATGGTATTTTGACAAATATATGTTGCTCACGATTTTTGGGACTGTCACAAAGTAATGCCAGTCTTTCCGCCTTATCTGAGGAGTAGGGTTACAGTTGTCATCCTTGTCTACACTCGTGGAAACACAACCGTTCTCAAGCTGGCCCATGGTTTCAGTATTTGGGTGAACACGTACAACCTGTAAGTTGAAGGTTAAACGATAGTAGGATGGCCTCATTGCTGGTGCGCGACGAGAGTCTCCCGAACAAGGTCACTGTTCTAAGCGATCTCACTGCCTACAACACCCGCAATACGGCACCGTAAAATGAATAAACCTAACTTAACCGCCGGCGACCTCGTAAGGAAACCGAGTCATTATAGGAGCTTTTTCATGTTTTGCCCATGGATGCTGCAGAAGATACAGAAACACTCATTGCCCTCGTATCTAGCCTTTTGACAATACCTGTTCCGCATCAAAGTCTTATTCTTGACTCCCTCGTCCAATGCAACGGAGACGTTCAAGCTGCTGCTGATATCATAAACAATACAGATCGCAAAGACAAGGAAAGACAGAGAACACCCCCAAGTCGAAGAAAACGACGAGCTTTTGACCTCGATGGCTGGCTAAAACCCTTTTCTATGGCTGATAGCAACGCTGAAGGGACACCAGATCGCAAAAAGCGTGTAAAGGAAGACGTCGACGACGCACTCCCACTTAACATCGCATCTAGTTCCAAGATCAAGGACACAACTAAAGCTTCTTCCAATCCAAGCCCATCGAAACCGGTAAAAGATCTGATGTGTGTCCTGCGCCAGCCACCACCGTCTGCGCAGAAAGTTCCTCGTTTGCCTCCCCTGACGCTCTCCAATCCTTCTCTGATATCGCAGCACACACCTTGCACAATGCACCTGTCTATTCTACCGCCAGAGCTGGCCTGCAAACTGTTCTACACAATGATCGACTTATCCCAGGACTGGAAGAGAAACAAGTGGTGGCTCTTTGACCGCATCGTCGAAAGCCCTCATCGAACTTCGTTCTATGCGCGTAAGACGGATGGCGTAGACACCGACCCATCATGGCAGGAAGCCGCGCAGTTCTGGTGTGTATATTCCAGTCGAAATCCAATCCCAGTGTATGAACTTGCGTTTTATCAGGTATAATGGCAGAAAAACCGACCCTCCAGAGGTCTTTCCTGATGTCATGGAAGAAGCATGTCAGTATATCGAACGCGTCGTGAACGAAGAAATGCGTAAACGGGATAGATATCCATTGGAGTGGGCTGGCAAAGGTACTGAAGGCCAGACATGGCGCGCTAATGTTGCTGCCTCCAACTGTTATGAAGGTGCAAAGGAGAGTGTGGGTTTTCATTCAGACCAATTGACCTACCTGGGCCCATATCCCACAATTGCATCCTTGAGCCTCGGTAAGCATGTATAATTACTATAGCATGCAAGGTCACTTCTCATCCACCATCAAAGGGACTGGGAGAGTTTTCCGTCTACGAGAAGTCATTCCTAGTGATGAAATTGGCTCTCGGTGCGCTAGAACATTTAATATTCCACTTACACATAACTCTGTGAGCTCGTATCCTTCAGTCTGCTTTACGTGGTTAACAAACTCATCGCCGTTGTCTTTCAGATGATTATCATGCATGCCTCTACTCAAGAGCGCTTCAAGCATTCCATCCCGCCCCAACCAACACTCGACGTCTTTCGTCCCTTATTCCCTCGTGATGAGCATTTGGCTCCTGAACCCTCAAATTGTCGTATAAATATCACTTTCCGGTTCTATCGCCCAGATTTTCATCCCAAGAGTATTCCGCGGTGTAAGTGTGGCGTGCCCACTGTTTTACGCGCAGATATGAAGAATAGACAGGATGGGAAGACAGATCGTTATTGGTGGTCGTGCTATGCTGGCGCACAAAATGATGGAAAAGGATGTGATTTTTGGCGCGTGATGGATATGAAAACTGAGGGGCGAGGACCGACAATAGAAGATACTTCAGGTGATAAAAGCCCAGCATAGTTCGACCAAAGATAGTGTGTTAAAACCCATTTTTTTTTATGGCGCACGTTGATCTGTATTGTAGGTTTCTAGAACCATGTTGCACATCACTACATCTCGGATTTCTTTGTATACGTAGTACATGTTGGTACATTATTGTTATTTTCATATGGGAAATCTAATACATCAAACACAGAATTCTTTGATGCATATTGGTATACCGTACTACAATCACAGAATGCAATGATACAAGGTCAGACTGTGATGGCCGTGCGATGTTGTTCCGAGTCCTTGCTCCCGTCCGAGTCTCAAGGTGCTGACAGAGTGATCTGAACCATCCATGATGACGATGAGCAATAAATCATGATATCTCGCCAAGTATATGCGTACCTTCATGAATTCTTCGTAACTCAACTGTACCCAGCCGTCTTGGTCGGTGTCAACGCTACAAGGGACGAAGCATCAGAAGAGTATATAGTCCAAAAATGTGTCAGGCACTACCGTTGGAACGCCTCTGTCAATGTCTTCACCGTGACACAGGCTCTTACGAATCGGTCAAAGGTGATCCCAGGGGGTGGACCGTAGGAAGATGCTATGCCTGATGCTATACAGTGGCACAACCAATCATATCACGACCTGTCAGCTATCAAATCGAAATCACTAACCATACTTGTGCTCCAACATTGTGAGGAGGGGGGGAGAGAGGTTATATCCGAAACTTTGTAGTGCCTCGGCCAACTCCCGCCCTTCGATAGACCCTGATTGGTCCCTATCAAAGTGCTTGAAAACACGCTGCCAATCAGCGATGTATTTCCACAGCCCAGCGAATTCTGTTAAGAAAGAATGCCTCGTTAGGGCCGCAAGTAAGATATCCCTGCACCGTACGTATTTACCTGAAAAGCCAATGGTTCCGCTGCGATCCGTATCCTATTTCATAATCAACAGTATTTGTTAAGAGAGCAGGGGTTTAGGTACAGGAGGACGTACAAAGATGTTCATGAGCATCTTCACCGTGTCTAGGTCGAATTCTAGAAGACAATAGGGGTGAGAGGCGCGCTCAAAATTTGATGTTCCTTATTGCATAGCTCATGGATTTTCCAGAAAGAAAGAGTGCCTCTTGAATAGGAACTATGATCAAAGAGCAACTCAATGGCCATGACACGCTCTCTCAAACGATGGGAAAATCCGTGTTCTACTTGCTCACAACAACAAAAGGCAAGCAATACTCACTGGACCAATTTCCTGAATGCAGAAATCGGGGATATTGATTAACGGCTTTGTGTTATCTACCCATGTGGACAAGCACACACACCATTCACCAATGCACTCTGCAGCTCGTTTACACTCAAAGAACCAGAACGATCGGTGTCGACGGTAGTGAACCATTGCCATAGCTGGGGGTCTGCGCCCGCTGGGGGGCCATATGACAATGAAGAATTGTGTCGTGAAGAATGCGAGTGATGTCGGTGCTGAGAATGTGAACTAGAATGCGAGTGAGCGCGATCCACAGAGTAATTGGGGGATGGACCAGAGTAATAGGACATTTGATTTGGTTAAAGCGTTCACAGAGGGAAAGTGGGAATCAGCCAAAGAAATATGACTACAAGTATAAAAGCGGTGGGTGGCTGTGGCTGAAAGCGCTGGCTGAATACGTGGCGGCGTCAAAGTACAATTTCAGCTCCCTCTGCTATTCTGCAAGTATGCCTGTGGGGCTCAAAGTACTTTGTCACTCTCCAAGAGCTTGATGAGTCGCAGTAACTGCGCCTCATAGCTTTGGGATGGTGTCGTGATCTCAACAACCAGGGGTACCACTAACATATTAAGTAGTCCGCTTACTACTATACCCGACTTCCCAATAGCGATGCAATTATGTGCCGCCTATGATGGAACCGTAGACTCTTAAATTTTCATAGCACTGTGCTAGACGCTATATCCTGTTGCCTACCCGGAATCAACTTGAAAACATGTATCTCGTGAATCATACCCACCTCACAGCTTCACGCTCTTGCATTAGTCGACCCATTGGCGATAGCGGCTCTTGCTTCGAATGAAACCCGGAATTCCGAGTCATAACGATGGTCCGAAGCGGCTACCTTGGTCGCTGAAGTTCCGGTAGAAGGATATGGGTGACTACAAGTCCTTTTATGCGGTCAGCTGGAATAAAAATACAAGAACCAAGGAGCATCAATGGAGCAAGAAGTTTTTCCGTCCGCTGATGACGTCCATTTGGATAATATCGTCAACTTGAAGACGCCGTCCGAGAGGAATTTCAAGGCCAAAGAATATTTCAGCGACCTTGTGCAAAACTGATCGGTTACCAAAATTTCATCTCTGCCAACGCACGGAGCCTAGGTTGCGACGCTTCAAGGTGGTGGACCGATCAGTATCGGTGATCGTTGCTCTCGATATCATATGTGCCTCGACATGTTGGCCCCCGAATCGATATGAATCCTTGGCATGAATATCAGTCGGAGCAATAAGATGTACGGGGAGCGGTGACTTACCCCAGTGGTACGGAGGAAACAAAGGACCTCAGCGGATAACTGCGAAGGTCCCACTGATGAATACAGTAAAATTATAGCAGTGGCCAAGCCCCGGTCTTCTTCTAACGCCTGCGGAGCAAAGGGCTCTTCTAGAGAAAAAAAATGGTTTCAAGGGATTGATTGTTGCATACCACCAGTCAATCATCACCGCTGTCATCACGAGATAAAACCCACCAGTAATCGTTGTACACATTTAAGTGTTCCAGGATGCACGTTCGCTGTTGTTGCGTAAACGCCAATATGACCACAAGCATGTGGGGGGACCTGTCGAATGGTAAGCTAGGGTTATCGACTAATGCTGGTAAAATACGTCGCATAAGAGGCTACAGGTCACCGCCACCCGCACCTCATATAACACCGGGAGACCAAGGTACGAAAAGGCGTATGGTGCCACCGGGGTGTGAGCGTGCGTGCTTTTGATAAATGCAGCGACCATCACGACCCCTTGTCATGGTTGTTCAGCATCCGAGAGGTAAAATTTTCACCGCGGTTTCAATAGATTTGAGCTTCATCAGCTTGAGAATCCCCCAAAAAATTGCAGGCAGGCAGGTTGATGTGCCTTCGGTGAATAACCCACGCTTGGAGCGGCGCAGCAGACCATGTTGACAAGTTTGTCGCTCCTTCTACTAGTTGGGGTGTACCCCCAAGACATCAATAGCCTGGTTTCTCGCCAAAAATACAGCCCTAGAGCAGCACGTTAGCTTTCTTGTACAGGAAATAAGACGTGGACACCGCATGTTACATACCCGAACTTATGAACGTCAGTTGGCTTCCGTATTGTTATCAAGAAAACCTGGGCACAGGTCTTGATAATGAAATCCTTTTCTGGAGCTGTTAAGATGCGGATGAGAAGCACAAAAAATAAATAAATAAAATTCCCACCTACCACAGGAAGGTAGCCATAGCTTGCAGGCTTAAGATTTTAGGCCTAGGTATTCAATATTCGCCATGACCTGATGATCATGATTTGTACTGCGGTGCCTGCTAGCGCGATAATAATAAACCTTTTGTGCTAGTACGGGCTATGCCATTCCAGTGAATACAAACGCGACCAACCGTCGTTTATCGCTGTGGCATGAGTGCGGCAACATAGCATGGGTACACGGATAAAATGGTGGACATTGGTCTTCGTCGACGAAGTGATAATCCTTGCGGAGGCCGAATACAGTCCGACCGCGGTAGAAGCACGACCAATTAGTACAAGACCGTCGTAGCAGCTCAGATGAGGTATTCTCTTTTGTTCACGAATACATTAGCGAATGGGTCTGATATTCTGTGGGGATCCGTGGACACGAGGCTTTCTGCGTGGAGAACAACAACATTCAAGGTTGATTCTCGTCATGTTCGAGAAGGAGGTTTCTTGTACGACTGTTTTGGCTATAGCGCTATCATTTGGCGCTACGGCTAAGCAGGATTGGACATCAAGCTTCGAATGAGAAATATTACCATATCATTATGTATGTGCGGCATTAGTATTGTTTGTGCAGATACGGCGTCGCGTCAGAGCCGCAATAGCATTCAGCACGTTGGGCAGCTGACAATGGCGGGCTGAACTCAAACAGCGGGATCTTCGACACCCACGGTTAGTCAGGAGTTTGATGATAAGAGGTGCGGCATTGACATATTGAATGTCAGATCACTGACATGCGCTGATACCATCACAGATCAGAGACATGGCCAGCGTAGTATTCTGCTACAACTTCCGTGTACCGCAGGCATTCTGTAGTTGCGAACGCTGGATTGGGAGAAAACAACCAGTCACGGAGTTTTTGTCGGACTCTTCATTTTTGGGTCCTCTTCTAGCGCCATTAAATCTGTAATTATGCCGAGGACATACCATATGCAGAAATGACGACCAAAAAGAAAGCCATCCCGACCAAACACAAACGGTTTGCACCCAAGCTTCGATTTCATTGACGACCATTCCGGTGTGCATTTAAGATTCGATCCACAATCTATACTTTTGCAGCACTACACAGGTTTGGTGTCCTTTCTGTTCTCCACTTCATTTCCTGTACATGCACCAACCATAACGACACCCCGTCGTCGTCCTGGATCTTGCTCAACCCTTGTCGGGCACAAAGTTCGCATTATGGCAACCAGTCTGTACGCCGTACCAGCACCAAAGCGGGTACTCGCATCACATCTACACATATGGCCGCCTTGAGGCTCCAGTAAGCTTCAATAGACTTACTCCACGAATCCAGGCTTAGTGCTTCTAGCTGCTGTTCGCTTTTGTGAGAAAAATGTGATTCAACCATCTCTTACGACATGGCTAAAAAAGGAAAGTTGAAACTCGGGTTTATTATGAAATATTACGCACAAGTCCGAGTCATCATCATAATGCTAAAAATGTATTGGGAGAGTAAATTGAATCGGACGAAGACTGCATGACGAAGGCATGATAACATGACAAGTGGGATAAGATACAATAAAAAGCCACGGTTTACTAGGATAACGAGAATCGATGAAAGCGAGAAAGTAATGATAACATTCATACTGCAATGCAAAGAGTAGATAATATAATGGTAAAATAGAGCAATGCTGAATACAAGTCTGTAAAAAAAGAAGTCAAAGAAAACATAGTGATGTTTCGATGAAAAAAATTAAAAATGTTCGAGTATTGACGACAACTCGACCGTCAATTATTTGTCGTTCTATGAGAATGGGGAAATTTTCTAATGAAAGAACCCATGGCAGTCCGACCCAAAGTGTGGGCAACCATCCTCGCTAGACGCATCTGCAGTCAATACAGCTCCAGGTCCAGCAAACACCACACTCGGGTCGAGATAACCACCTGATGGGCTCATATGATTTTGTTGATGGGGGTACGTCGACGACCACGAATGCGACGTAAGAGTAGGGCTGGTTAAACCGGCAGTGGCAGCGGTACCATCCACAGAGAAAGTGAAGGGATCCAGGTCAGCAACGCCACTGTAAAATGCATCACTGTCGTTCTTGAACGACGTTTGGATGGGCGGGAGATGGTGAGCGAAAGGTCCAGAAGTACCCAGATGAGGTGGGGGAGACCCGGAGCTACCCGACGGCGAGCTACGATGCGTGGCAACAGTGCTCGTCATAGAGCCAGAAGTTGTAGGAGGTGTATACGTAGACCAGTTTCCATCCTCGGTAACAGCAGTGCTTGGCGCACTGTCCATGTATGAAAAGCCCACCGAGAGAGGTGGTAGGTGAGGGCGTGATTGGCCCGCAGCGGAGACGAGGGTTAGCGATTGAGGATGTTGCCCAACACGACCGTACGAGTTTATATTTGCAGCATGGTGCAGCTTGTCGGCGAGATACTGGGAGCTGTCCTGAACGTGGTGAACGTTGTGGTATACAGCTGCTTGGTGTAGTTGCTCCTTCTCAAATTCTGCAAAGCGACGGCTCCGTTCACGCGTAACCTCTGCTTCACGGGCAACACGGCTCTCCCAGACGGCGCGAATAGTCTTTTCCCGCTCGACACTCTTCGAGAAAGCCCAACCCATCTCTCGGAGTGCGCGGAGACACACTTCAACGCCTTCTTCCACGTCAACGTCCCATGACATGCCTTCTTCTTCTTTGATATCAACCTCGATATCTTCCATTTCAAGTTCACCTTGAGCAAGAAGGAGTCCAGCAAAGAAGCATCCATCTCGAACAAGGCCAGCGTCCCATGCGAAAAATCCGCTCGATGAGACAGCGAGGTGCCTCTTCAGGATCCCCAACACACCAGGGAGAACCTTGCGGCAGCGACGAGTAGCATAGGCGTGGAGACGCAATGCCGAGGAGTACCTCTGGGCAGTAGTAGAAGGGTGGATGGGGCCAGAAGTGGCGTCCAGCGTAGGGCTACCGTGCGGTGATTGTGTTATGATGTGTTGCTTGAGCGCCTCGCGGATCACGTTATGGCACTCAAAGATGAAGACCTGCCAGCCGCTGACGAATCGTTCGACATCTTCGCCTCTAATCAGGCCGCCACCCATGCCGCCTATTCCCCCTGCGCCGCGGCGAAGTGCCTCGAACTGGTCCCAACACCTTTCGAGCTCATCCCAAACTTCTACGAGACTCTCTTCATCCACACCTACACCGGCCTCTGCACGACGGCGAGCACGAGTGCCGGTGAGTATAGCGTGGATGCGACGACAAATGGCTGACACGGAGAGTGCGAGCGAGAAATAATGTGTGGTGAGAAGATAGGCGAGCGAGGCGCGCGAATGACCCCGAGGGTCCTGGAAAGAGGATAAAGAGAACTCAGCGGACACTGGGGAAGTCGGAGACGGCATCGATGATGGAGGCGCTGAGATAGATGATGAGGCTGAGGCAGATGAGCAATACTGAGGTGGCAGAGTGCTTCTAAAGGCAATCAAATCATCATCATCCCTGTTAAATCAAGTCATCACCATGAGCCAGAGCATCTTTTACAACGAAATATAATACGTACAACAATAGACGTCCGCCTCGCAGGCCAGTAGTGACACCTTCATGGGTATGGGCATACCAGAAAATCCTGGCACGAACCAAGGCATCACAATATGGTCCCTGACCGCTGTTTACGGTGGAGGGGTTGGCGAGACTGCAGAGGGAATATATTTGAGATAGAGTGGCCTCATACATAGTCTTTAGATAAAGACCTCGTTAGCAAAGAAGCTAAGAAGCCAGCTAAGCGTACTTACTAGTCTATCCATCGGAGCTTGGATGCCTATAAACAAGGTTACGTTGCAATCAGCATCGTCCCGGTGAAGACGGAGATATTGTACTGACCCTGGGTGAGAGGAAGAATCAACAAGAGGACTCTAACGCCATCCCAAGTGCCATGGCGCATAAGTCCATGTGCATCGATTAGACCAAGGATCTCTTTCGCCATGGCCTCTGCGCGTATTTTACGCATACGGCGGCGAGGATCGGTTTCCTGGGCATCTTCTGATGAGGTATCTGAGCCGACAGAAGACGTAGGAGATAGAGGCTCGTCTTCCTCGACACCATATTCGTTGACGCCAAACGATGCTGCCCAAGTGACTAGGAGCATTGCGAGGATTTGACCCTCGATACCGAGGGAAGTTGAGCCTTTGACATGTGCAAAGTAGCGAGCAGTAAATTCAGTCGGCTCGATGATGGGGCCTGTATCATAGCAGACAGGAAAGTTAGTAAAGAGACAACAAAAAAAAATATTATAGTCACGTTGTACGCTGAATCTGCGAAAGAAGGGGGAGCTGAGAAATTCGAGCTTTAGTTGGGGAATATTTGTTTGTTGCGTAGAGATGGGCGAGATGGGTGACAGAGGCGTGGCGGTGTTCACTGTGGCTGGGTTCGCAGAAGATGATGCAGCTGAATCATCAGATGTCACCTTTCCATAGACGGCTCTAACAATAGACGGTTTGGATTAGGCCCATCGATGAGAACGAGGAAGAGATAACCTACTCGGCTTTTTGTAGGCGGCGGCCACGTCTCAGCAGCTTAACAGCCTTGACTTCGGCAAACTCGTCTCTATGAAGCGAATGAGAAACGTAAAGGCTGATGATGATGAGCTATACTTACACGCATTTGATGCCTCGCTCTCTGCAATTTGAGCAGGATGACTGTTGGCCTGAAGGGCTTACTGGGAGATCTTTGAGGTCGCATCTTACTCTGCAGAGAGCAAAGACGAATTAGCTGTGGAGAGACTAGCCCATAGAGGAAAAGCGGCACCTCCTCATACGGCAAGCTCCGCACGCAGAGAACTGTTGCCTAGAAGACTTTGGTTGACCAGCGGCGCGTCGTGCGTAAGGTGCGGCGTTGGACGAAGCGCTACGTGTCGAGGACGAGGAGCCTTTCGGAGACATGTGGGGATGGGGATGGGGATAAAGAAAGAGATGAGTGGAGAGACCCTGCACTTGTGCGGGTAAATGACGAAGGGTGTCTGGCTATGACGGGGATGCAGATAGTTTTAAAGGTTGGCTTTAAAGTACTGTTTCCAAGCACGAGGAATGAGATTGGCAGGTTTGGAAGAATTTGTTATTGGCATCGATGCCGGAGATTCGATGCGCTTAACCAAAATTGCACAGGTCAGAACTGCCTGGAAGAGGAGGAAAAACACGAAAAAACCGGATGCCGTAAGTCGAAGTCGATATCTTGGGAACCACAAGAACGGGGTGGGCCATCGGTTATGGGAGAGAGATCTTGATCTTTACACATAATTACAGCAAGAAAGAGTGATTTGGTAAAAAGTCACCGTGGTAGGCCCATCAACACGAAAGGCAATCGCGATTGAAGCAGCTGCCGTGGACCACTGAAACTTTGCCAGTCTGGGTTATACAAAGGCCCATCTTGGGCGAAGCCAGGCGTGGAGCTTGTGTCAAGGCACTGATTGCAATCATTGGATGTGACCATTCATGGCACAATTAAACGGCATCTCCATTGGCAGGAGAGGTGCTGGGCGCATTGCCAGCCTCATAGCGCTAGGCAGGGCAACATACGAGCCGGAGGACATCTAGCACCAATGGGCAGATTTGCATCCGTACCCGGACGCTCATCTCAATGTTGCCGCATTGGAGGGCCACAGCCTGCAGCAATCCCCAATAGCCGGGCGAGCTTTACGAATGCTTCGCGGCAACTTGGCACGGCCTCCGTGACTTTCGTAAGTGTACCAGAATGAAGTTTGTTCGTTAAAATTGTGAACATTGCAAGATGCGCACTAAGACGCCGGTAAGATGTCTTTCAAGCCCCGCTTATTGCGCTGTCGACCGTTACACGCCAGTCCAGTCTGCTTCCGCGTAAATTGGCTGGATTGACACTCCACTGACATACCCAGTTGACTTTATTTTCATTTCTTCCGTAGATATCATAAGCACTAGTGGCGGACCATTTCGACGGCCGCCATGTCATAACTTCTTCTTATGTCACACTCGTCGTATCGTGCCAGTGTTTGGCCTCCATTCCTCCATTCACTGACCCGTCTGCTTTGGCGACGTCGACCCCCGCTGCAATCGCCAGCCGTCGAGAACACGCCTGTGGGTTGCATGTGCACCTGACAGCTCCCACAGCAGCGCGTCACCGAGGACATGGTGCTCCCATGTAGTCACAGCGAGCGGTACTTATGCTTCGGCGTTCGAGTGGTGTCTTTGGTGATCAGCATTCTATGATAGCAAAAGTAATTTTCGTGCTCTATATGGGCGGGCATGCCGGGTCGTCGATTACGACATCCCATAATGGCCAATTAAGACATAAAGCAACGTTCCACGTGTGGTCAGCTTTTGGTCCCATAGTTCTTTTCGACCCTTCGGTAAAGAACTGATTTCATGTCCAAAACATATCGCACACCAGAAGCACTCGACTCTCCACGCCACTTGCCGCACTTTCCTCTCCTGTCAGATCCTCGACACAGCCTTGGCCTCTCGCCCAACCCCCGGACGTGACTCCAGTCACCTTCTGTCACAACCCTCCTCCCAATCCGGTCCGTTATCACCGAGATGGTCTCTCATCGCACATACGTCTTCCATCACGGTACCCTCCTTTTGGGTGAATTGCTCGACCAACAATGCTACAATGACGCCCAGCCCCCGCTCTTTGCTTTGCTTCCGAGTCACAGACTCTACTCGTCAGTCCTCGAACCTCATTCCGTACTTCTAACTCCTCGCGTAATAATATCCGCTCGTGCTTCCTTGTTTGATTCAAGTATCTTTCTGACCCGTCCTCAGAAGGAACCTGGGCATTTGCCGAATCATCTACGATCCCGGCCCTCGACCAATAAACACGTCCACCCCCCCTGCCTTATTCATCGCCCTCTTCAGCTCGCCTGCCGTCCTCTGCTCGGTGTTCAGCCGTCGATCGCGCGCCATACTCTCGTAGTCCCCGCCATATCGCGTCGCCAATCGCGCCAAGTATGCCACTTCCCCACTCGACGAGTACCGCGTTAAAGTAGATGCCGTTGCTGATAACTGTTCGAGAGCTGTTAAACACAATGGTGATTAATTTACCACCGTAAGATGCCGATTCCCCATCTCCCGTGTCTATCGTGAGAAATAGAAGTGCCCTATCCACGAAAACACAACTTGGAAATTTACAAGATGAAATGAGAGTCATGGTCGGGAATCCCTCCTCTGTCTCGTGATAAAATGCCATAATTCTCTGCAATAGATCGCAGCCTAGAAGGCTTGCGATCTCCGACTCGCCCCATACACTATCATCAATGAGCTCATACACTTACCTTTGACGACATTATGTCCATCCTCTCCTCTCGCTTCGTCCTTGCCTTGCGATTTTGAGCTACCCGCCGCCCAAATGGCCAGCTCTTTCGTATCCACGTCGGGTGCCTCGAGCTCCTTTATTTCTTGATCGCGTTTCTTTTTTAATAGCTCTTCTTCATTGGATTCAGACGGGACCTCAACCTGTATAATGTTACCGGTTGAATCCCGGATGATTCTACCAAAGCCTTGCGGTATACCAGACGGTGTGATCGAGGATGCCGCGGGCGTTGACGGTGGCGCATCAGCCGTTTTTGACGTTGTCTCAGATGAAGTTGATACATTTGGTACAGCATCAGAGCGGGACGACGCAGAAGTATATTCAATCAGGCATTCCTCTCCTCCCGCTTGCAAGGGATTGAGTGTATGAGCCAGACCCACGGCTGCGTAGCTGGAACACAAGAAACAATGAATATGTCAGTGATGGGAGTCGCGAATAATGAAGCATGAGATGAAAGATTGCCACACAACGTGAATATGCTCATTGAACTAAATGACCATGGTAAAAAATGAAGCAGAGGATGTGGGGTATATGCTTAATGATTTCACCCTGGACTTTCAGTCCTGAGAGATGAACTTGATATATGGCAATAAAGCTCTATACGATGCTGGCACACATGCCATGATGAATAGGATTCGCTCACTTTTGTCGGATAGTCTTGTCCTTGTCCCATACGTCCTGTAGAACCTTGGGTCCACAGATTGCTGAAAAAGGGAGAGTCAATATTTATCTCTCGACAGGCCAGAGAGCATATAGTCCAGGAAATATGACTCTGAGTGGACTAGAAATGTTCGCTTGCGGTATGTCCCACTAGAGTAGGCCCATATTTAGAGGGCACAGAACAGTCTTCAAGTCTCCGCACAACAGTGATTCATTATCCGAGAGATGTGGTCGATGTTGAAGACAAGTATCAAGTGAGATCTTACCAGGCATCTTCTTCAGCAATTTTTGTGCCCTTTTGGAATGCGATATGGTCTTGTGAGAGGAGGATTTTGTTTTACGCCTTTGACGTGGGTTTGCCATGATATGTTGACGATGTTGACAGAGGCGATATTACTTGCGTGGTGATGGTGGACAAGATGGCTGCCAGTGAGCAGAATGTGCGGTAACGTCGGTAAGATTTTTTGGAGTGTTGGTGCAAACTTCGGCGAGCGCAACTTAGAGTATTGCCTAAAGTGGAACGGGCGGACCAAATTATATTTGTGTAAATCTTGGGCCAAATATACTACCGCTGTCAAAACGTAGTAGAGTTCGTCCTTTGCAAATTGAACTACGGTTAACATGTAGAAGACACAATCATAAGCTATGAAATGCAAACAAGAGCGATGTATGTGATTGGATACTTGCCCTGTAAGCATGGTAAGTAGGTAGGATGGTTGACCACAATTATACCAACGCTGATCTCCTTACCGTGGTTGCGCTCTGTCCAAGCCCGGCGGTAACTCTAACAAATCAAAGGCATATGTGCCTCGAGTTTCTTCAAGATCAGAAGTCCTCAGCTTCACATACGTGTTCAGACCAAAGCGAAGTAGCAAGGACCCGAACCACGTCCGTTGTACATTCTAACCATCAAAATGTAGTTGCCGGCGGTATGGCGCGTGGCCGGTTATCAGAACACCCTTGCCGTCGGGATGAACAGTGACCATGATTGCCCGAACTTGAGCTTGTGTTTACTTTTGCCCACACAGCCTGGAACCCCAGTTTGCTAGTCCACGCTGATAAGCGTACAATCAACGAGGGCGAGCTGGACCCAAAGCCTATACTTCACTCCACCTGTGTGCGACCACGTTCCACGGACATACCACTGGCATGACTTCCCCGCATCTTAAGGCCGTTATATTCGACGTGTGTTTTTAATTCAGACTCATTTTCATCGTACCCCATCCGTGGATCTGTCGCTGACAGTTCTGGTCCTAGATTGGCGGTGTTGTCATCCGTAGTCCTTTTATCCCAGTTGCAGAATACGAAAAGGAACTCGGTGTACCTCCAAACTACCTGAATTGTTCTATGTTCGTGGCACTCTTTGCTTGTTCCTTGTACCTGCTTCATGGTATATTCATAGAGGGGCACGTGGAAAGCAAGGCGCGTGGCAGAGATTCGAACGTGGAGAGATCCCTCTCTTCGCTTTTTACCAAGCCTTCGGTAGCGATCTCTCCGACGTTAAGAATAATAACGTGTGGTATATGGAATACTGCAAACGTAGAGGCATAGGTCGGTCCTGATTCTTTGTTATCGTAGTGACTGCATGCAATCAACTCAGTCTGACGTCGATAGAGTGCCCAAAGCTTCCTGAATCATTAGACGTAAACGGACGAGAGGTAAGCCTAACCTTCCTTAGCACATCATATGCATATCAGAGTTACTGGACTGGTTTGGATTAGTTATTTGGCAGAATGATGCGTGGCGGGATGTTGTTTGATGACCATATGCTGAAGGCTATCCGTAGATTACGAGGTACTTGTTCTGGCTTTATCTTGGACACGTCTCATTACCTGGTTACAGATATCGGTAAATGGCGAATCATAGCCCTCACCAATAACTTCACGCAATATAATGGCCCCTCTGATTCACCGTTATCATCTCGAGATGCAAACGCCGAGTCAGTTGCAGTTATAAATCAAGCTGCAGCCTCTGTTCCGTTATCCGAGCTCGAATTCCTGGGTTGGCAGGAGGGTCCGACCCCACCCCGTCTGCGCGCTCTCTTTGATGATTTTTGTGATTCGAGTACGTTAGGCATGCGGTACGTTTTTAAGTTTTCTTTTTGTCTCGTCCCTGATAAAACAAGGTTTTTGATCGTGCTCAACGTTTCGCTCTAAACAGGAAACCAGAACCTGATTTTTTCCTCCTGGCATGCAAGCGCAATGAAATCCAACCGGAACAAGCCGTTTTCCTGGACGACATAGGAATGTGAGTGTTGTCAATGAAGTAAAATTATCGTTATGTACAAATGAATGACCCATGATGCACGGTGATGACAATAGGAATCTTAAAGCCGCAAGTAAACTTGGAATGGAGACCATACGTACGTGAAATTCCTGGAATTCAGAACAAAGTTGTTCTATGACATGTTACAGCTGACAAAAAATTATTTTCGTAGATGTTCCGCTAGGGGGTACCCTGAATGCTCTGAAAACGTTGGAGGGAAAGTTAGGTGTTGACCTCACCAGTAGTCCAAAGGGGGATAGCACTATGTGTCCCTCAAAACTTTAGATATGACCCTTGATAGTTACGCCGTGGAGAGGACGAGAATGGATTGAGCAGTTTCTGCCTGCAATCAAAGGGCACATGTTGTCTATTGTCTAATTATGGTTAAATTTCGAGAACATCCTTGACCCGTTGCTAGTTCACATCAATCCATTGTTTAAGTCTATGAACAAAAGACATCGCGACTTGTAAACACGAGGCACGTAGAAGGTACTAGTCAACAATGCCTATAGGGCGTCTATGTAGGACAAAACTAGAAAGGCTTGTCTGATGCAGGTATTTTATCTTCGTAATAGCTGCCCAGCTGTGATGTTTTGATAAGCTCCGTTGATGCAATGAAGCTACTGAGAAAAATCGATGACTTACCAGTGGCACGTTGACAAGGAGTCCTTTCTTAACGATCGGAGTTACGGATAGCAGCTATCACAGGTGATAGGTATTGAGCTCAAACACGATATCAACATAACAGATAGACATACAAAAACAGCGGCAGTCCCAGCACCGACTCCCCATATGCTAAGAGATGGACCCCATCGTTTCGCAAGCTAGAGTAGGAACAAAAATGAGCAAGAAGAAAATCAACAAGTCAGCGCGCTCAAGGACAGGGTGAGCGCAGAAAATGTGATGAAAAGAAACTCACAGTACGGGTAAACGCAAATGGCGAGGTCGTTTGGTATTGGACTCGAGACATCGCTGGTGGGGAGTAACGGCGGTGGAGGTGTTGGTATACTTTGGGTCAGCCCAGTCGGGACAGAGCGGAGGCTGGGCCTATTGCCACGTGGTTCTTCGCGCTGTATCCCGATTTTGGCATCGAGCCCGCTAAGAAGCGATGCAAAGCTCGGAAGCGCTGGTGAATAAGTACTATAGCTAAAATCTGGTTACTTCGTTCCAGGAAACAGCCTGTAACACAGCAATCTCAGGAGGTTCTGGTTGAGGTGAGAGCTTCATTAAAGCGTTGCTTGAAGTCGGTCGCGTCCGAGCATGGACGGAACCTCGCGCGGGCGATTTCGAAGTCTGCTTGGGGATGTCGAGATGTTATTTACCCAAGTCACTGACGTAGAGCAGAAGCAAATTAACATCTCCATGAAAATCCAATTTGGGTGTGATGAGAAGTCGGGAAGTCTCGGTGTAAGTCATTATGTAGTTTCTTCGGCCAAACAGAATAATCTGAATAATCCAACAAGATGACAGTACTACGACACCGACATGCGCCTGAGGAAGCAAGTTTATTCATTATGCTAATGATCTGGCCGCTGTCATGGCGGTCATACATAGTTCGCCTCTTTCAGTCAGTGCTCCTAGATGTCATCATTGGACAGAGAGTCACCAACTCGAACTCATCAGGTATGATTCCAAAAATGATAATTTATCGCACAGGAAGGAGGATGGTTCAGGGGTGGCCATTTTTATAGGCACAATTTCTCACCATGAGACATGGCGCAATGTCAACATTTTCCTAGGATAATGATGAGGAGCTTGATCCTTATCAGGCCCATAAAGGAAAGAACGTGCACTGGCCTAAGTGAATATCTGAATGGTGATGTCAAAAAAAGATAATTCCAGACGGGCCTTCTTGCCACCTGTCTTCCCCGCTAGGTACTACGTATGAGCGTCCAGGAGGTGCGTCGCGACGGAAATGAAAGGCTTATGGTTTTGACGGATATTTGGAGTCTTTTTGGGGAACTAGTGAATCCACTTCCATTATTGTCGATGTGACTTTTTATTAGAATGGCGGCAGTAAGATGCTGACTTCAGACCAATCAGGAACTCTGAGAAATTTTCTTTTACTCGAAATTTGAAAATACTCAACTTCGAAGTAGGATCTACGTTATCGTTCATCAGAGGTGTTCCGCAGTCCAGTCCATAACCTGGAAAAAAGGACCAACGTCACGGTATATATCACTATATTACAGTGATACACCGGAATGCCAGTGGAAGCCGTATTTGCGATCAATAGGACCGGTCACGATAAACCAGTTTACTAAGTCAAACAAGGTATATTATAGCCACTCACCAAGCATAGGGGCGTATACCCGCACAATTCCACCCATAATCGAAGCAAGGGCTTCATCATGGAATAACGACACTCTGTATTAGTAAAAATAAATTAAATATACCATGGTATTGATGCTCATAATAGTGTAGCGTTGTGGTTTCCCAGGGATCCGTGGATTTATCATCACTTCGTCCTATCTGATTATCTGTGGATACAAGGAGCTGCGATGCATTTCGTGTTTTGCCGCACGATGAGGTTGATAGTTGCCGGCATCAGACCCTCCTGAGGTGGCGTAAAAAATAGACCCATCAAGAACGAGGGTTTAACGACGGTGATCAGGAAGCTTTCCTGAAGAAGGGCAGGGGAACACACTAGGGCACTTGGATCAGAATCGTCCCTCAAAAGTGGTTTATCGTATGCGACGTTTTGACAGGTGCTGCTAACCATGTCGGGCAGGGACTAAAACGGGAAGATAAATGTGATGTGGTGTGCGTCGGTGTGCAGCCACTCACCAAGACAGATGGCATAGCCCAGTCGAGATGGGAAAACGTCATTAACTCTCCTTTTCTTGCCTTATCATTATACGTTAGCCCAAGGTCCGAAGCCTCGCGATAGCAGATGTTTAGAGGAGGCCCCCGCAGCGGAAATGACTGTCCAGGCAATTTGACGGTAGACGTTGGCGGGGGAGGCCAAGGGATCAGTAAGTGTAAGAGGGAAGGAATGATAATGACTACAGGATCTTGCAACTCATCTTGCTTGCGGCATTCTGTCGACTGATCGGGGCTAGTCTGTAACTTCGACCAACACTAATCAGAAATGCGAGCGCAGCAGTTGGTCGAGGGTGACATGCAGATAGCCCAATCATCAAGGTTCCCATCTCGTACAGATAGAGGCCCCGTTTATGAGTATTTTCTAAGCTGAACTCGCACGTTGCAAGCTTAAGTTCGCGCACGGTCCACAGCAGAGAACTAAAGCTATATACTTGCCTTCCATATGAAGTAACGCGATTACGTACTGCGCTTCCGATGCTCGCGCCACAGCTGACCAAGTTGCTCCCACCCCGACGACGGTTTCGCTCCTGCGGCAATTCTCGAGTTGGGTAACGCTTTACACAATCACACACAGGACCTCTTCCTCATCGTCGTTACCCCTGCCAGCATGGATTTCTTCTGTGAGTCACATCCAGACCGCCGGTAACTTGAGCGCTGATAGTACACATCTTTAGTTTGCCTGCCGATTATGAGTACGTTAGCTGTTATTTACTCTCGGGTCACTTCATCATTCTCTGCTTCGTTTTCTAGTTGGCTGTCCGACAAAAATAAAGCCCGATGGTGATCAGTCACCTAGGATTTGTCCCAGGTGTCATAACGGTTCGTGACCTTCTCAACATGTTCCAATGAAGAAAGAATATGAATCAGCCACTCTTCGTCTAGGTGCCATGTTCGCAGCAAAGTCGCGCACCTGGTTTGAGTTCTGTTTCGTACCGCTGATTCCCATGAAATCTCGCCATGTTTGGATGTGTGGCATATGCCAGTTGCAAGTGGCAATGCAGCCTGGGTAAGCATCACACTTCGCTAGAATCATTAAGGCTTCCTCTATCGTTTTACACCTATATTGCCTATATTGCATCGGTTCATCGCTTGAACTTCAGATGGGAGCCGCCTGTCGCTCACCCCGGGTATCAGCATCCTGGCCAAACAGTTGGCGGTCCTGCCCCTAATGGGTATGGGTATCAGCCGACCTACACTCAGCAGCAGAAGTAAAGCCGCGGAGCCACCAAATCCACTTTCGTCATGTACTCCTATTGATCCATTCAGAGTTGTTGTACGTTGTACTAAGTAACCCCCCCATGTTGCTTTTCCTTGGACTCGCTTAATGTAGCCTGAACTACTATGATAAACGCTCGATAAACACTAGAACATGTATTCTTTCACTGTTACGCTATTTTCTTACAAAATGCCTTTTCGAGCGTCGTTTAAGATGCAATACTACAGCTGTCACAATAGCACCACATAAGACACCACCAAGTGCAGATAGCGAACATGTGAGGTCCACATCTATAGAAGAGCTCGAGGAAACCTTTGAGAGGACGACTGGGAGCGGTGCCGTATCAGGCCCTCGAGCCTGTTGAAACTGTGTCGCAGAAAGCAATGGATCGGTCAAGTTGAGCAAGCCAATCATCGGGGGCTGTGAAGACGTTGCGCCCTGATGTACAACGTACACGTTCTGCGCGGTAGCGTTCCATGTGAGCTACTAGACAATAAATGCACAAAGATCGGATCATACCCGCAAAAATACATCGCCAAGGAGCCAGTCACCAGAATTTACCTTATACAGGATAGGTTGCTAACTTTAGTACTCATGCACGGCCTTGGAAAAATACAACAGCGTACTTTGTCATTGGCTTGCACGCCTCCCGTACACCACCCATTCGTGGTTCCTCCCTCAGCCCAGTTTATATCCTCAGGATGGACTGAATATTCCTTGGAGGTGTCAGTATTACCTAGTGTAAACCGCACATCTACGGCTCTGCCGCACCGTACTTCCCAAAGTTGGGTTTGTTTATTGTATCGCGCAGCTCCACCTGTTCCCACTGCCGCCCAGAAGGCATTTACGTCCACGGTAGGCCCCAAGATCAACGTGGTCCCACTATCGAGCACAGCTATCGGTGTGGAGGCCCCAGGAATAAGCGAACGTGACAACGACAAAGAGAGGTTATCGATGGTTATACTTTGGAGAGGTAGTTTCCAGAAATCGTAGGAGCCCCAGCCTACGCTAAAAACGGGTGTAAATGTCAGCTGATTGATATCCTTTACAATGTCGGAGTCCAGCTGTCCAAGAGTAAAAGAAGAATCAGAAAGGCCCAAGTCTTGGGTTTCATTACGGCTTAGCCTAAATGCGAAGAATCGATAGGGGTCATCGAGATGGGCAAATATGGTGTCAAGAATTGTCTTCCCGACCGTTTGTGGAATAGTCGCCGCCAGCGGGAAAGCGAGCCCAAGCAGGCCAGAATTACCAGTAGCGGCGAGGTCGAGTCCGCCGGTCTCATTAGCCATTGCTACGATGAACGTTTATTAGGTCTTACAGTTACGAGAAACTTGAGGTCATTCTTACCAAATGTTTGCGACGCTATCTGGTATGGTCCCAACGAGACATCATCATAGCCTACGGTTCCAAATACAGTGCCCATCAAATAACGGATGTGAAATGGAGTAGTGGAGAGTGAGAGCGACGGCGAACTCAGCTGTGAATAGTTTGGGACGGCGTGACAGTCTGTATCCGTACAGTTCGATGATACGACCCACTTTGGAGTACGAGCAGCAAATGGTGAGTAAAATCAGTAGGCAGTAGAAAACGACTTACGAGATCAGACGATCCGGTGTCAAAAGTGACCCAGAAATTTTGACCGCCGATTCTGTTCAAATGTCATAAGTATGGGGTGGTGTGTGATTCGAAGAGCATACTGGATAGGGATAAGATAAACACTGAGAGCCCAGGTCATTTGAGCCTGTGAACGATAGCTATACAACAACACTCACAATTCCTGTATATTCGATATAGGCGCGTCTGTATTCAAGACATGGGGCAACGACTGCCGGCGTCGTACACGTCGTAAAGAGAGGCGCATGCCCATATTCAACAAGTTTGAAACATGGCTCTGGCTATAGGATGGCAGGTGATCGCGTGAAGGCACCATGACCGCAACAAGAGAGATGCCTTCTAAAGTAGTACAAGCGGAGGAAAGATGGATGGATTGCAACAACTGATGATCAATGATATAGAAGTGTTCGAAAATGGTGCGGTCCGAACGATAATCGATGGGCTATTTCAGCAGCATCTGGAGATGGTTATCTTTTAAACGTGACGGCGGACTGAGTTGGTTATTCCATAATAAATATATTGCACGTATACGGGAGGTACTCTGACCGAGTGCACCAGTAGCGTCCCTCGAACTTAGCTATAATAGTAGTATTTCTGTAGAACAAATGAGCATGTCTTCTACAACATTGGCTAATAGACTTACATGTGTGATAGTATGCTTCGCTGATGATAATGCGATGACCTCGGTGAAATGGAAGCAATACTTATCTGGCAGGTCTTTGCCGATGTTCTGCTAGTCCAACGTTGCATTTCAGTGGTACCTAGAAATGATATATAAGGATGAGTTGGCAAAGAACAAAGGGCGCAGGTGGACTGAATGTGCTGTCTACGGCGAAGAGCTGTCACGGTGGCTTATAGCCTTTGTGGCCGTGCTCTTATTCCGGCGCTTTCGGCTAGTTTCACGCTCAGGCCACGCGTCACGCAGCACCACCGACCTTTGAACTGCACCCTTTCCTCCGTCTGCCATCCTCTCTATATTCTCTTCTGCTCATCCGTTCGACTTCACCATGCACACCAGCGAGTACGACTATCTCTTCAAGCTCCTCCTCATCGGCGACTCTGGTGTCGGCAAGGTGCGTCGCTTTTATCTTCTTTTCAACGTTCGTTGTTTCGTGACATGACAACAATGTGCATTTTCAGTCCTGTCTTTTGTTGCGTTTCGCGGACGACACATACACAGAGAGCTACATCAGCACAATTGGTGTCGACTTCAAGATTCGCACCATCGAACTGGAGGGAAAGACCGTGAAACTTCAAATCGTAAGTCGTCGTCATGTCCACTTTTCTTTTTCCTTCTATCCCTATCTACTATCTACTCCCATACATGGGAGCTGTACTCTTTATGGATTCCAACGTCGAAGGACAATATGGCGACTCAGATGTACGGGAAAAGGCTGTGGCGCTCCCTTGTACTACCATCATTTTGGCGTGTCTGGTCTGTAATGAGTCACTTGCTAGATACTAATACTTCTTTTGATTTCTCAAAGTGGGATACAGCAGGTAATTGCACATCGTTTTAGGGATGAATTCTATTATTCAATGTGTTATTTTTGTTCCATAGGCCAGGAGCGATTCCGCACAATTACGTCCTCGTACTACCGTGGTGCTCACGGTATTATCGTGGTTTATGATGTTACTGACAATGGTGCTTTGTCAATACCCTCTTCCTTCCTCGAATTGCCTATTGAACTGCAACATTAGACACATTCACGAACGTCAAACAATGGCTGCAAGAGATTGACCGTTATGCATCGGAGGGAGTCAACAAGCTCCTCGTTGGCAACAAGTCAGACTTGACTAGCAAGAAGGTGGTAGAATATAGCGTGGCGAAGGTATTGTGATATGTTTTGGGCTTTGTCATACCGTGCCTTAACACACTCAACAGGAATTTGCCGACCAACTATCTATTCCTTTCCTGGAGACTTCAGCGAAGAATGCTACAAATGTCGAACAAGCTTTCTTGACGATGGCTAAACAGATCAAGGACCGGTAGGCCGCCGTTGATCTACATCATGATTTCGAGATTCTTACATGGTATTATAGAATGGGATCGACTTCTACGCCTTCAGGTGCTGCGAAATCGTCGACAGTAACGCCAGGCCAGTCTGTACAACAGTCGCAGTCTGGGAGTTGCTGCTGAGCAGCTTAGATCTATTGGCAGTAGTTTGGAGTGGTTGTGCTTTTTATCCATACCGTTCTTTCATCCGGCCTGGTTTCCCAATGGCGGTGCGAAGTTATAGCATGCACCAGTATGGGAAACAGGTTTCTTGTTAACGTATTCCCCTCACATTTACACTGTGCTATGCCGGACTTGTCCTATCGCGAGTTATCTTTGCCCCTAAATCTCTGAAAGAAGCACTGATTATCGTGCGGAAGATGTAGTGAGGTTCAGAACCACAAGATGGGAGCGATTCGCAACAACGTGTCGATACTCGTGATACAGAGTACTGATATCAGCACAGATCTCGGCCCTATCGAAAAGAAAAGCGCACATATAAGATCCTAAGTCGCCTTGAGCTCTAGTAGGCCAACATCCACCATGGCTCGAAACAACCGCGGTACAGACTTGAGAGTCACGACAAACTCTTTCGAAATTACACGACTGCCAACCAGAGTATTTTATCAGTATGAAGGTATACAGTTCCTTCTTATTCTTATTCTTAAATTAATCAAAGAGAATCTTTGGCATTGATGGTGGATCATCCTATTAGTTCGTAAGTATTTCAGGGTTTTGTTAAATTACTACCTGCTGATCTTCCTTCTTTCACTAGAAATTTCCCCTGATGTCAAAAATGCTCGACGCTCTCAAGAAATAATAGAGCGGCTTCAAACGCATACAGCCCCTGATGTGTTTACGCCGCGGTGTGTTTACGACGGAAAAGCGATACTATATGCTCCTCATAAGCTGAACTTGGCTGGAGGGGCATCCGGTAACGTATGTTATCGTTCACAAAAAAAACTCTTACAATCGGATCTGAATTCTGATTTTCAGTTCAATGTATCAATGACTGACCGGCCTCCCCAAAGTTTCTCTGGCGATAGGCCTCCCCCAGGGGTCTTTAGTGTCAAGTTAATCAGTGTCGCTGCTGCCGATGTTGAGTTCAGGTAGGACCTTATTGTAATACAGCGCATATAGTCATACAATCTAACCATTTTTAAAAATTAGCGCGTTGAACGCATTTATCACTGGAGCACTTCGGCAACAAACGCCTCAAGTGCTAGTGGCGACGAACCTGCTTCAATTCCTAATTCGTCAAGCACCGAATCTGTACGGTTGTCTGGTCTATCCTTTTTTTCTATATCTCTGGTCTATCCTTTTTTTCTATATCTCACGTCGACCATTCTTACTTTCAGGAAATATCCCAATAATGCTCGCGCTTATTTCACCCCAGCCAATTTGAAGACCATCGGGGGCGGCCTCGAATTATGGAGAGGTTATTTTCAGTCGGTATTTTTGGCATATATGCTAGATGCCGATACTTAAACTTGGTAAACAGGAGTGTGCGGCCAACCCAAGGGAAGATGCTCGTCAACGTCGACGTATCGACGTCTGCAATGTATTTTTCCGTGTATTTTCGAGCCTCGAGTGGCTAATAAAATATACCACAGGATCAGATCGGGTCCTTTCATAGAGGTCGCCATGAATGTGCTAGGAATGCCCCAGGACAACGTGCGACGACTGACGTTGGAGCCTACGGACCCAGCTTTCCGAAAACTAAAGTCCTTCTTCAAAAACGTATTCATCATTCTCGGGCACATAAAGAATCGACGAGTTAAAAAGCAGATCCGAGGACTAGTTCCACGTGCTGGCCGAGCTCGGTTCGAGAGACAAATGCCCGACGGGCACGTCACTAATTCCACGGTTGCGGTATGTGAACGTATTTTATGGTCTACGACATCGCTTTCATAACACATCGACAGGAATACTATCAGCAAGTGTACAACTACACGGTTCAACATCCTGACATCATAGGAATCGAGGTCGGGAACAGGAACCGTTCTGTCATCATTCCTGCAGAGCTCTGCATTATTATAGAGGGCCAGATATTCAAGAGGAAAGTACCGCCTGAGTTAACGAAACAAGTCGTCGAGTTTTCGACCCAGAAACCTGATGTGCGGTTGGATATGATTAAATCGGGTGTAGGCCAGACGCGATCCCCGGTGAGTGCACCTACGAGTTTGTGATCTCACGTTAACTGACCACCGCCACCAGGTGCTTGAGTATAATAATTCCGACTTCATCAGGAATGCGCAGATGGCTATCTCGTCGACACCCGTGATGATTGATGGACGTGTACTCCCGACCCCGGACATGTCGTACGGAGGGGAGAACAAAGTGGTAAGTAATGCATTTATTCTTATTCAATATTGTTCCCCTTGCTCAGTTAGGCTTGATAGAAACCGCGAAACGGATCATGGAACGTGATGAACTGCCGCTTCCTCGCTCCAGCTTCACTAGCTGCGTGGGCCGTGGTAGACTATAGCCTTGACAAGTTCAACGCTGAAAGGAACACATCAGAGTTTGTGAACGCACTCACAAACTCCTTGACTGGTCTTGGTATGTCACCTGTCCATAATGTCACTTTAAAAACACTATAATCTATATATGATCCACGTTCTAGGAATGCGTATGTGTCACCTTACAAAACTCTATGGCTACAGCTAATATCGGTACGTGCAGGTGTCAAACCGGTAGGATATATCAAGTCTGGAGTAGGAGCTTCGTCCGTCAATAATGTAAGTATTCTCCATACTGAATCATCTTCGTCTGAATGTTTCTCACCAATCAACAGGATCTGATGGAAGCTGGGACGCAGGCGATGCGTAGTCCGTCTGTGTCTTCGCTACCGCTTGACCAGCGTCCCAAGGCCCCCCAGCTCATCATTGTTATTCTACCGTCTTCCGCTGCGGACATCCGAAGCGCTGTCAAACGATTCGGTGACATCGATAGAGGCGTGAGTCAACAACATTTCTGTTTCTTATTTTCTCGATCTCACGTCGCGAGTTTACTAGGTACCCACGCAGTGCATCGTAAGTATTACAACACTCTTTGTATTCACATTGTACGCTGAACCTTGATTTTTGTAGAGAGAAGACAAAATACGCAGAGTTAACAACCAATATTGTAACAATGTCGCGCTAAAGTATGGTCCCTGGTTTGAATTTTAGGATATGCTCATGACACCTCTGCAGAATCAACGTGAGGCTCAAGGGTGACAACTCCGTTCCCCGTTGCGCTGCTTTATCGACGCTCCAAAAGAGCCCTTTTATGGTGGTCGGTAAGTAGATGAACTGTTCTCTCTTTCTCTCTCGTCCTTGCTGACTATCTTTCGTAGGAGCGGACGTCGGACATCCTGGCGTTGGTATCCATAACCAACCTTCTGTCGCCAGCTTGGTTTGGTCGTACGATCAATTCGCAGTAAAGTACGTTGCTTTGTCTCGCGTCCAGAATCCCAGGCAAGAGGCCATTGAGGATCTGGAAGACATGATGCGCGTGCGTCGCCACCCACACCTGTTCCACATCTCCTTTCAGCGCTAACGTCACCTCCTTCTTTATTCCTTGTTTTCACAGGAAGCGTTGGACAAATTCGGAGCCATCAACCGGAGGGCTCCTGATCGCATTCTCTTTTACAGGGACGGGCTGTCTGAAGGTGAGTATGAAGTCGTCGGCAAGAAAGAGATTGGAGCTATAGAGAGTAAGGCTGTATCCTGTTTCCTCTGAGGCGTTGATGGGCTGACGTTTCAACGTCAGGCGCCATTGATGCCATCTGGCAAGCGAGAGGGGTTCAAACCCCAAAGCCCGCTATCACGTTCATCGTAGTAGGCAAAAGGTATAGATGTTTCGACTTTTTTTTGGTGATGAAATGTGGGTTCTTGACCTCGGACTTCGTCCAGGCATCACGTTCGCTTCTTCCCCGACAAGTGAGTGCTTTTTTTTCGAAAAGCGAGTTGATGACTTTTTTTGGACAGCGTGTTGATTGAACGATGATAGACAGCAGGCAGACAGGAGCGGTAACTGTCCTGCTGGATTCGTAGCCGACAGGGGCATCGGCAATCCTGTCGCACAAGACTTTTACCTGCTATCCCATGGCGGACTGTTGGGAAGTATGTACCACTTGTGTTGACCAACTCGCTCGTTCTCCCTGAGCTCATGCATTGGTGAAAAAACCCAAACAGCGAGCAGACCCAGTCATTACATTGTGTTGAGAGACGATATATACAAACAGAACATTGGAGAGTGGGTTAATTTTCCCGTGCCTTGTGGTTTATCAAACGTGTCTTGATGTTCACCTGTGCTCCGATCAAAAAGTCTCCAGGAACTGTCCTTCGCCCTGTGCCACGCATATGCCCGTGCGACGCGCTCAGTGTCGATCCCGGCGCCTGTGTATTGTGAGTCCACCCATGCACTCTTGGTTCTGACAAAGCCCATGGGCTCACCTCGTTGCGCCTTGCACAGATGCCGACGTGCGTTGCATTGCCGTCCGTTGGGGGGCACGCTATCGTTGCTAACCAGTCTCTCGTGTGTTTATTTATTTACAGATCGTCTGCGCGCGCGCAGCGTTTCACTTCGATTCCCGTCTTGATTACGACAACTCGATGACAGTATCGGACGAAGGGCTTTTCAATATTGATGAATGGAAGAGTGGCTACAGGCAACTTAATGGAGAAATTGCCAAGACGATGTATTTTATATGAAAAAAAAGGTTGGGACGGCGACGGAAGGAAGAAGGACTGCATCGTGAAACAGAAACAACAATGTACTTCTATGTTAGTGTGGCTTTTTGAAATGCAAAAGTGCTCCGAGTTGTATATTGTCCAAATGTCGACGCCAAACGTAATGTCGAGCCAGAGCGGGCTTCTCAAGAGTCTGGCTCATAACCGAGAAGGCGGTAAGAATTGCCGCTAGTGAAACTATCGACGAGCATTCCATGCAAAAACTGTATGTGAAAAGCGTGTTGATTCTGTTTACGTGGAGATGGCATGTCACCCTGAGACGGTGAATGGAGCTGCAGGGCCGAGAAATCCTTCATTCGTATGAATAATATAACTAAATGAGTCCGAAGAAATGTATATGGATGATGCCATGAAGAGAAGAAAAAAATACATTACAGCAAGGTGTACGCCGATAGGCTCGACGGGGGCATGAGAATTAGCAAGAGTGCTTTTGCAATATAGGACGTGTAGGAGTAGTACGGCGGCTATCAAGGGGGGTGCCCTGAATAAGGTATGCCAGCAGATGGCGATGTGATGGGGCTATAATGGTACAAATGCGACTCTCCTGAATGGAAGAAAGAAGGGGAGAGGAGTCAGGATATGGACAGTGGGGACTATAGAGCGGGAGCAGCTAAAGTAGGGCGTTCTTTGATATGAGTACGTGATGATAAGAGGGAGCTAGGGAAGGCTCACCTAATGCCCGAAGCGAGCGAGGTGCGACGGCGTACGAATATAGGAATATGATTTGCCACAGGATGATGTGCTCATCGCCGCCTTATTCTGTGGTGGGGGTGTATCGCGGAACGACGGGCTGCGGATGTATGGGAGATGAGAGGATGGAGCTGTGGATGTGATGGGGGCTTTGCAGCGTGTCGTTTAGCGGGTGGTGGATGGTCGTCTGTGGTGCGTTTGCGCTTGGATGGACGCTGAGTGTAGGGAGGGTGGGAGAGATCTTCGTCTGGATCTGGGAGATCAAAGTGGAGGAAGGTGGGGGAGTGGTAGGGGAGGGGACGGGGAGCGACGAGGGGGATGTCGCAGACGATGCGGACGGTGTGTGGAGAGGGGGAAGGTGATGTATCTGTGGAAAGGGAGGAACAGGTGTCTGAGGGAGAGGGAGGAACTGCGTGGGGCTATGGTTAGGGGGGAGGAGGGGGAAATGAAAGAGGGCTTACAGTCGAGATCTGGGGTGGGCTGGTAGCGGGGGAAATCAGCGAGTGGGAGTGGTCTGATGATGCGCGAGGATGATGGGAGATGGGGGTAGGGGTAGGGAGGGTAGGAATGCATGGGTGGTGGAGGGAGGGAGAGGGAGGGATGATGGGAAGTGGTGATTTAAGTACTGGCCGAGTCGGATAAGGGGACAGAGCAGGAACAGGACAGGTACGTAAGGGAATAGGCCGCATGGATATCTATATCCGCTCCACTTACCCGACCGATCACCACCCGCTTTTTTATTTTCCTTCCTCTCCCGCCTCCATCACAACATGTACAGGCATCTTGTCCCATTCCTCGGTCCCATTCGATCCACACCCTCCTACTCCCACCTCACACCCCAATCCTCTCCACCGCCTCGCCCCACCGTAAAGCTCTGCCACTATCCGTATTTCGTCAGGCGCAACTCCCGTGCCTCCCTTCCCGTATACACAGACATCCGTAACGGTGGCACGAGGCATCTCGTCCTCATACGCAACGTACACGGAAACATCAACGTCTGTCCATCCACATCTCTCCGTCCCTATCACTCATGGCCCCCTTCTTTTTTCACACAGTTCCTCGCAGACTCTCTCAGAAAATCCCTTTTCAAACCTGGCTCTCCCAGTGCTTCTCGTCTCAAAGTAGACGTCGTCGCACAGAGAAATATCGTTTTGACAGGAGGTCGATGGAAAAACGATGTCATGCACTGGCTCGTGGCAAAGGGCTTTTAGTTTACCCCTTCTTTACCATACCAACTTCCCCCCTACTCACGTTCTCACACCTTTTTCAATATTATCCTTTCTTCCCATTTCAAAAAAAGTCTTCTTCCTGCCTCGTAACACCCGGCGTCCCTACACCACCTCCTATGTGAACATGTCATCTCATATCTCAGTTCCTCAGTCCTATCAAATAATTATTTTTCTCCATTTCTTTTCACGGTCCATCTGAGACCGCATCTTTTGCACGAACATGCCCTGTTTGTATAACTACCGTCACTTCCACCGAAGTTCCCTCGGTGATCATCATTCCTGCCAGAGCCTTGTTTCTACATCTTTTGCCGAACACAAACGCGTCCGTACCCGTGTCCTCGCAACTTACTTCCATCCTGACGCCTCCTGTGTATTTTAACTCTTTTTATTCCACACCCTGTTCTTCTCTGCCCGACACTGGTTTTCCGCTCAATATGGGTTAAGCACCACGTTGCCGTACACACAGCGCGCTAACACCCTGCGCTTCACTTTTTCCAACTTACATCGAACACATCCATGATGCTGTTCCCAAACTATCAGCTGCGGAGCGCTATGACCTTGCGTAGGCTCAGATCCATCCTGGTCCGATGGTCGCTGAAACCCGCGTGCTTCCAAGCGTTTCTCCTTCTTTCATCCACTTTCAATGCTGTGTCAGTGCGGTCGTTACACTGCTCGAGCTTGATCGTAAAGTTCAATGGACATGAAAAGTATTCTAGAGGTAGGACCGGATAGTACCTGCGCAATGCCGCACTAGAGTTCTTGATTGCCCTGTGATATGCAGTGGGTATGCATTGGCTTTGACAAATGGAGGACTACCGGTGACTGGCCCGCCTCGTAAGTTATCATCCTATGTATAACAAATCACGGCGTGTTTTGATCTCGTATCTAACCGGGCAGCTTGGGGCAAAAGCATCTCTGTTGCCGTCAGGCATTGTGGGATGGCATGATGAATGGATTTGAATAAGTCACAGGAGTATCACAGGGTCAGCTCAGGAAAGGACCTCGCCGGACGTGTCTTTGAGCTCTATCGATAGCACGACAAGGCTAATCCCGGACCTTGTTCTAGGGTTAAGGCTTGGACGGATACGGACCTCCGACTCGAGCCCGAGTCATCGAGGAGGTCTTGTCCGATAACGATCTTTTGCCACTGCTCCGATTATTTAACCGCTCACAAAAACAGAAAATTCAACCAAAAAATTATATTCGCTTTATTGCGCGCCTTTTTCTTTCACAATGAGCACACCCGTCTCAACCACTCCATCTCAGCTTACGTCCAATGGCCCTCTTGGCGCTGCCGGAGGGGCCTCGTCTGCTGTGGCACCCGCTCGATCTGCTCCTCGTGAGGGCGGTAGCACAAGCCTAGGGACTTTTGGTGTATGTTTCTATTGGATACGTGCCACCAGCCATCACTGATACTTCACTTCGTTTTAGGTCAAGTCCGGTCTAGCGCAGATGCTCAAGGTAGGCTCATAATGTACCTGGTCTCCATCTCCTCTTTATAACATCTCATTTCCTTCAAAGGGGGGTGTGATCATGGACGTGGTCAATGCCGAACAGGTAAGCCTCTTATCTTATCACCTATCCTTGGAATCACCGCTCAATTCCTCTATCACGCCATTTAGGCACGGATTGCCGAGGAGGCAGGTGCGTGCGCTGTCATGGCCCTCGAAAGAGTCCCAGCGGATATTAGAAAGGAGGGAGGTGTGGCAAGAATGGTAATTAGTGTTGCTTCTATAGCATTCCAAGTGGTTCAATCTAACAATCTCAATCTCAACCTTGGTTTATGTCTTGTCATCTCAGAGCGACCCCGCCATGATCAAAGAAATCGTTGATGCGGTCACTATCCCTGTGATGGCCAAGGTCCGGATCGGACATTTCGTAGAAGCACAGGTAAGCAGTGCTTGCAATGTTTTTCTCGAACCGACCATGACGGTTGACATCATCCATCCCCGTGTACCCGGTAGATTCTTCAAGCCATCGGCATCGACTACATCGACGAGTCCGAGGTCTTGACCCCTGCAGACGAAGAGTACCACATCAACAAGCACAACTACAAGGTGCCTTTCGTATGCGGTGCCCGAAACCTCGGAGAGGCCTTGCGTCGTATATCAGAGGGTGCTGCGTTCATCCGCACCAAGGGCGAGGCTGGGACTGGAAACGTCGTAGAAGCCGTACGTCACCAGCGCTCCGTCATGAGCGAGATTCGAAAAGCCAGCGTTATGAGTGAAGAAGAGCTGTATGCCTATGCCAAGGAAATCCAGGCGCCATTCCATCTCCTGAAGGAGACGGCAAGATTGAAGCGACTTCCAGTGGTCAATTTTGCTGCGGGGGGTATTGCTACTCCAGGCAAGTTCCCTTTGTTTTGGTTTTGAAATTTATACGGCAAAATGAACTAAATGCACCGATACGATTGTGGTTGTGGTTCACACAGCCGATGCAGCATTAATGATGCAACTTGGCTGCGATGGAGGTAAGTGGGCTCATGTGATCTTGAGATTTGTCGTAATCATATGCTAATAATACCACTGGTATGGGTTAGTTTTCGTTGGATCGGGCATTTTCCACGTACGCCAGCTGTTGTTGCGGTGACTGGAGCCACCAATTGATCTCTCCTTTATCTTTCTTTGACAGTCTGGTGATCCCGCCAAGCGCGCAAGGGCCATTGTGCAATCTGTGAGTTTGCCGCCCACGCCGGTGTCTTGGGTTTGTTACTCATTCATTCCCAAAAGGTGACCCACTACAACAACCCAAAAATACTTGCAGAGGTTTGCGTTTTCCTTAAAATGATGTGTGGGAGGCGTATGCTCACATTAAGAGGATAGATATCTGACAACCTAGGTGCGGCCATGGTGGGTCTCACGATGTAAGTTTTTTTTTTTGTTCCCCTCCGAATGAAAACACGATCATGACTTGTTATGTGTCAGCGACTCTAACTTGAAGGGCGGAAGGATGGCGGGGCGAGGGTGGTGAAGAACGTTGGATGATCGAAGAAAATGAAACGGAAAAGGTCGTAGAACATCCTGTTAATCTCGAGTGATGCATGTCTTAATGTTTTCCCTAACAGGTTCAACCCGTTTGTAGATGGGTCTATCCCCATCTGCTTAGACAGTAATGTTATTATGTAGCACGAGAACAAGAACAGACAATGGCAAGGTATTATATTAGTTTTAGACGACAGCTTGCGATGCTGTGAAAATGTCTTGTCGCAATCACTCTAGCTCCACGCACGCACGGACACTCTAACCGCAAGAGAATGATGAGTCGACAATCGGATGAGTTCCTTCCCTTTGTGCTTTCAGACCAGAAGCGTTTTAGGCCTTGGTTCAATAAACTTTCAAGATCAAAAAACCCTGGCGCTTACGTCAGCGGCTCTACGTCACTCGCCGGCACAAGTCGTTTCGTCTTTGGGCGCAAGTGCATTCAGTTTTTCAGTTCCAACCATGTCGTCTGACCACAAAAAGGCGCAGGCGACGGTCGCATCATTCGTAGACGTGCGTTACTTCCTTTTGTTTTTTCCCCCTTGGTTGTGTTTCACAGATTGGGTTATTTGTGCTATAGAAGGCCCCAAACGCGCGTTATACGTTTGACAGTGAGCGCGGGGCACCACAGTCTGAGCTGTGCCGAGAAGGCGGAGAGAAAGGTCGGGAGTGCATTATGGTGAGATTCATATCATGGTTATGATGAAGGGGATCGGGTTTGTGAACGCCATCCTGTTAGGTTCAAATGTTATCGACAAAGTTGTTCGAAACGATGCAGGTGAGAACGCCCCATGTTGGAGTTTTTTTTTTGGATTCACACTCAAGCCATGTCATCAGGCGAATGGCTTCTTCTGTGCCCTTCCAATGGACCCATCGCGGACACATATGGAATGCAATAGAATACCAAAGTAACTATTCACCGTATACTCTTATACTACATTTATTCGAACCATCGAGATCATCGCGCATGATACATATGCATATGGCAATGGATAAAGGAAAGCTACGTTCTGCGGTGCGAACCATAACACTACACCGGGACGGCGACAAAATCAATACCGAGAGCACCGGCTTTCGCTTTATCTAGATGAATTTCTGCAAGCTTTCGACGATTCTCGGCTGCGCGGAGGTCGATGGCGGCTATTTCTAGCTCGTGTTGTGCCCTTCGAGTGGCTTTGGAGAGCTGCAAGTATTCTGCGTTCAGGTTGGCGCGACGAGCTTCAATTTTGGTAATCTTGAGAAGTGGATAGGTTTTCGTCAGTGTGCAAGAGACGAAAGCAGACAGTTCATAAGATAGTAGCGTACCTCGGCATCTTGTTCCGCAGTAATGCTGGGTTTCGGTTGATAACGTGGAATGTGAGGTAGTGTAAGGATGGGAGCCGGTTGATTGACTATAGGCTGGTAATCTGGTTCGGAGTGAGGGGGCAGGTTTGATGGTGGGGGTAATGCTGGAGTGAGAGGGGTTGTGGGTGTTTTGACATAATTTCGGGGACCTCGAGGTGGAGATCGACCTCGCGGCACATGGGTGCCTCGTAGACTATTCGAGGGGGATGGGGAGCGGTTGCGCCAGCTGAGACTATAGTCTGGAGGTTCTTCTTTCAATTTACCTTTCTCTAGATATCGAGAAGGCTCGTGTGGCACAGTATCTGAATCTTGATGTACCGCGGAGGGATGAAGAGTCTCGTCTTCACTTTCTGATTTAACTCCTGATTCGATTTTTGGCTTGAGTTCCATCTCGGTATCTCGAGTTTCATCAGACTCTCTTTTCAATGGGGCTTGTAATGCGGGAGAGGTTTCTCCTATACTGGCTTCTCCCTGGTCATAACCCGTCCTCTGGTATCCCGCATCCTGGTCTAAGAATGGTGGTGCATCGCGGGGACGGCTAATACTCCTGCTATAACGCTGTGGTTTTCCACTACCCTCGTGTTCGTGGTGACGAGTCCCCTCGTGACCTATGTGAGCCGGAGATCGTGATACCACAGATGTTGGATGAGAATACAGCTGTCCTCTGCTTCGAGGTGAAGTCGTGCGAGATGCACTTTTAGAGGTTTGAGAATGCGTACGTGACCGTTGTCGAATGTCACGTCGACGAGGAGATTGTGAACGAGTTGGCGACCTTGACCGACGATGGTCTGACCGTGGTGCATGAATTGAGGGTGCTGTCAATGTGTCAATAAGAATAATACAATTCGTTCGTCGAGTGAAAGCGAACCTCTACGACGGGGAGATACTGACGGGCTGCGATCTCGCCAGTTTCCAAAACGGTCGTCTCGTCGACGCCTGTCGTCCATTCGGGGTCTACCATAGTCCCCCCCTCCCCCCCTCCTACGGTCAAAGTTTCTGTCGTAACCACGTCGAGAATCTCCTCGCCACTCGTCGTGATGTCTAGGTCTCGAATCCCATGCCCTATTGGCTTCCCATTCTCTTGGTGGTTCCTGAGTCCAGGCTCTCCTCGCATGCTCATCCCTATGCCACTGTCCGTGGTAATCTTCGCCATACCTCGCACCGTCTCTGACATCGTATGGCGGTGCACCATACGAGTCTCTACCTACTCTAGCTCGTGGAGGTGACCTTGGGGGATAGTTAGACCGGTCCCCTCGCTCCCTGTGATCCCAGTCAGCATCTGGGCGGGGATATTGGGAGTAACGGTCGTGCGGGGCCATTCGCTCTGGACGGGCAACTGGGACGTAGCGCCTGTCATCTGGTGGTGGTGCGAATCTCCTGGGCTCATATACATTGACCTCTGGTTTGGGTGGAAGTCCTGCCATTGGAACCAATACTGAGAAATTTCAGTACGACCTCTACATGAAGACCCATATTTGCGGATGTTTGGCAAGAGCCTCTACTTGGTACGGCAAGTATCCCGAGCCCTTGTCCAATACCGCGACTATCTTTGCCAACCAACTATTTGTCATTTTCCGTCTTTGGCAGCGGAGAACTGTGCATGGAGCATATCTTGCTGGTCCCATTGGCTTCCCATTCACAGATCGAAAATACCCCTTCCAGAGAAGATGGAATGCCACACGGTCTCGAAGAAGATCTCAGGGCTTATGGCTGCAAAATGATTCATGAAGCAGGAATCCTTCTAAAACAGTGAGCCAGTACGAACAGCTTTCTCTCATTCGATCACTCATGGTTATGGGGTGGTAGAAAACAAGTCGCAGTTGCTACTGCGCAGATCATCTTTCAGCGTTTCTGGTTCGTAACGTCCATGAAACATTTCGGTATCGGGGTCAGCCCAAGTAACATATTGTGTCAGTATGTGTCATTGTACGTGACATTTTCTCGTTTTATGTAGGACATCGGCATGGGGGCTCTGTACCTCGCTTCAAAACTGGAAGAATGCGTGCTACGGATGCGCGACTTGATCAACATTTACGACGTTCTGCTGCAGCGCGAAACCCACAAGGTTAAATCCCACACTCACCCCCAAACAAAGAAATTCCATTATACACCGATGTCGTACTTTGGAAATACGTTCTATGATTTGAAAGATGCCATTGTGGTCTCTGAAATGCAGATCCTCAAGCGGCTGGGCTTCAATATGCATATCACTCTTCCGTATAATACTCTCGTCAATTACCTGCGCGTACTTGGGTTGACCGATCGAGACGATGTGTGTTCACGGGCATGGGGATATCTGAACGATGCGTAAGTGGTCTCGGCTACGATGATCACAGCTAGAACTTCATTCTGCCATCCCTTAGCCTTCAAACACCAGTCTATGCCATCTATTCCGTTCCGACGATTGTGACGGCCGCCATTGTGCTCACCACGCGACACCTGGGTATCTCCCTTCCCTCCACGCCGCCAGATTGCTGGTGGGAGCTGTTTGATGCTGACTGGGAAGATGTGTGGATCGTGTGTGGACACGTCATGCGGCTGTATCGGCAGCGCAGCGTGGAAGACTGCATCAGAGTTGCTGCATTGATAAATAAAAAGAGCGTGAGGGAGTGGTTAGAGAAGAACCCCACAACTGGAGATCAGGCGATGGCTGTCATACGCTCGTAGCTCTGGCCCTTTGTCACTATAATATACGGACAATTACCATGCATTGGAAGAGCCTCTGACAGCATTGTCTTCCAAAAAGTTTGATGGGCAAGTTCATAGATCAGGGGTGGATATTTTCTAAGAACTACCTGGTTTCAATTGGAGGCTAGAACCCTAGTTAAAGGTAGGTTCTCCTGGCGAAAAAAGAAATATTGAAAGTGTAGCTGCTTTCCAAAATCTGTTCGTCTATCAAGTGCCTTCAACAAATAAAAAAAATCTCTCTGGCGGGGAGTCGAACCCCGCTCTCCCGCGCACAGAAAGTACCGAAGTAACAGACTGACAGGCGGGTGTACTATCCGATATACTACCAGAGATGTCGTAATATGTAGATTTGATCATAATGACTGACCAAGAGTCGCTTACAGTTCCACTCTCCGCGACGGTTTGGCTATCCGGCAAGTTGCGCAGTAAAGCCTCCGGTCCTCCAGTATCGCATTTCCATATACACCGGTACTTCGCCTTTTGGGCTGTACCATAACCCACCCTTTCCTTACTCTCTGACAACCAAGAATACTGTAATATGTTGGATCTATGTTCAATTTCGCATAAAGGTACATTTACACTCATCAGTATGTCCATGCAATAACCAGAGGATGCCTTAGGCGGTATAGTTCTGTGGTCGCGGTCATTCACGCCCGACGCTTCGCAAATTGCTTCCTCTTCAGCTTCTCCTGTAAACTCTCTTATTCGTGAAGCACTCATTGAAGGTCGGACGGCAGAAGAAAAGTTTGAAAAGGATGGTTATGCGGTCAAGTGGACATTCGTCAATGACCTGGAACTGATTTTCGTCGTGAGTCTTTGCATCCCGCTGGATGGTACCCTGATTAGAAGTGACGTCGCATTCAGGTCGCATACCAGCGGATTCTTCAGCTTACCTATGTGGACGACCTTCTCGCTGCTTTGAAAACGCTCTTTATAAAACTGTTTGAACCGTTCCTGGCAACTTTCGTAGCTTCGCTCCATGCAATGAATAGTGGGAAAGTCGTGACTGCTCCTGCAGGAAACAATACCGCGTCATGGAATTTCGCGAAAGCATTTGAGGGTTGGGACAAGGTCTTTGATAAACTACTCAAGGGCTTGGAAGACAAAGCTGCTCAGGTAAGTAAAACGTTATCAAAGAAACGTTCTGATTTACATCTCCGTACGTAGGAAAGAAAGTCCCGATTCAGACCTACAGTCCATGCTCCCTTGGCCGATCCAAGTCCTCCTTCAGACGACCTTAGCACGAGTAAGCTATAAATAACTACTTCCACTCTGGTGCTCATGCAAACTAGTTCCGTCGGAATCCTCTGTCGTTGCGCAGGACGAACAACAGATAGCACGAAATGTCCAAGCTCTAAAAAACCGACTACGGGGTCGTGGTGGTCGACGTGGAGGGAGGGGGATCGCGCGTATCGACTCGGGGAGTGGAAGGGATAGCATGCCAAGTTCAGAGTGCGTATATGCGCACGTATCCTTTCTCTATGGTCATTTACCTTGAACTAGTACCGAAAGTGTAAAACGAAAGACAAATACGAAGACGCAGCGCAAATGGGGACATGAAGCACCCACAGAGTCTGATATGGCGTCTCTGGATTTCAGCTTTGATAAAGGTGATTCTGGGACGGACGCGCCACTTTCGCAGGACGCGCTGTCGTTGGTGGACAAGGCTTCGTTGGGTACGAGGACGCGTGATGGGATGTATGAAGTCAAGGATTGGGAGTTTGGTTCAGGGGATGGTGAGACAAATGACGTTATCTCGCGGGCACTACAGCCGAACGGAGGGGTAGCAAAACAAGCCTCCAGTTCATTGGGCGCTCTAAGCTCACTCTTCGCACGTCTGACTGGGTCAAAGGTATTGACCGAGCAGGATCTCAAACCTGTCTTGGAAGGCATGAAGCAGCATCTTATGAAGAAAAACGTCGCGATGGAAATCGCTGATAAGGTCTGTGAGGGTGTAGGTGAGAGTCTTGTTGGCAAGAAAGTTGGCGGCTTCCAAAGTAAGATTTTGACCTACAAAGGGTTTGGTTTATATTGAATTTACTGTCCTCTAGCAACCAATGCGGCTGTCCGATTGGCCCTTTCGTCTTCGTTGACGCGCATTCTTACTCCCAAAACTTCGACCGATCTTCTATTATCCATTAGAACCAAGTTATCTTCAGCTTTGACGTCATCGCAACAAAGGGTCCCGTACAGTATCACGTTCGTTGGGGTCAATGGTGTGGGCAAAAGCACCAACCTATCGAAGGTGTGCTTTTGGCTGATGCAAAACGGCCTAAGAGTATTGATCGCTGCCTGTGATACATTCAGGTGTGGGATACTCCAAAATATACTATGGACGAGTTGTTGATCATATATGTACAGGAGCGGAGCGGTAGAACAGCTTCGAGTGCACGTACGCAATTTAAGCAAAATTGCGGCTGAAAGTGCTACAGACAACGGGACTCGAGTTGAGCTTTACGAACGAGGCTATGGGAAAGATGCTGCGGGCATTGCGAAGCAGGCTATATCCTATGGTAACAAATATCGCATCATATCTAATCCACTAGTCTGATTTAATCTCTCGGATTTACAGCTCAAGAAAATAACTTTGATGTTGTTCTCATTGATACTGCCGGACGGATGCAGGACAATGAAGTGAGTGAGAGCACAATCAATCATCAGATCTATGCTAATGTTATCATAGCCACTGATGCGTGCCCTAGCTAAAGTGAGCTTTAATCTCTCACAAGGTACTCGAATGCTGATTAATATTCGTTAAGTTGGTAGGCGTCAATAATCCGGACAAAATTATCTTTGTGGGTGAAGCGCTGGTGGGCAATGAAGCAGTGGATCAGTTGACCAAGTTTGACCGTGCTCTGCGAGACTTTTCCTCTGCTTCAGCTGGGAAGAGCCGGGGCATTGATGGAATGCTGGTAACCAAATGGGATACCGTCGACGATAAGGTTTGTTGGGTTGCGCCATATATATGAACAGTCTTCTGATTCTGATGGGCATTGTTACTTGCGTGTTTGATAGGTGGGCGCTGCATTGTCGATGACATATGTTACAGGCCAGCCCATCATCTTCGTTGGATGTGGAGAGGTATGTTTATACTACTGGTATCCAATTGCGTCTGTTGGATTTAATGCTAATAGCTGTGTACGTCCAGACTTACACCGATCTGCGTCAGCTGAGGGTGGCAAATGTGGTGCGGGCTATCCTCAGTGAATGATGGACGTCTGTTCCGAAGGCGGTGTGATGATCGTAGACGCGTGTCCTGCTTTTGTTGAGCTTCAGAAGCAATAGAGATGTTTTTTATATTTTCTTTCTTTCTCAGTACCTGAGTCTAAGTTGGTGGGATTAGTAAGTACATGGTGCTCGGTCTTGTAATGTAGAATTTCAGGCTTGCAGGACTCTACGTCATGCAGTAATTCAGTAAGGTAAGTTAGTACATTTTCAGGGGGTAGATGTATACGCGAACTACAAAAAACGGACAACTGGGTGAGTAGAAGAAAAGTCCAGTTGGGGGGGGGGATAGATCAAGATAGTACATAAGCTTAAACCCCTAGCGCTCAAGAAGAGCAGGGGTTATGGGACATCAACGCTACGCCGCACTGGTATCAGCGCTATGCTTGAGTTATCCTTTGTATGGTGTCCAGACCCCGAGCTCGTGTGCGGCCTCATGTCTTCTGGGGGTGCAGTGGTATCCGCAACGTCCGGATTCATGTACGAGTCCTGCAAATACGGCTCATAATGCGAATCCTCCACACCTTGCCAAGCGCTGGGCACCCCAGACACTACCCCTTCTTCCGGCGCCTCGTACACAGAATGAAAGTGGTGATAGTCCGAAAACGGGGGACGTGAATCCTCCACACCTTGCCGAGCACTGGGCACCCCAGACACTACCCCTTCTTCCGGCGGCTCGTACACAGAATGAAAGTGGTGATAGTCATAGTCCGAAAACGGGGGACGCGGTGGGGGAGGTAACGACTTTCTCGCGCTGGAATCTGGCAAGGCCATCCCTGGAATTTTGTGGTCTTTGTACGGGTCCTGCATGAACGGAAAGGGGATGGGTGTCCCAGGGAGAGAGCCGACGTGGTCTGGCGTGGAGGCCGTGTATTCGGCGCCGGAACGCAGACGGAATATGGGGGGTGCGCCTTTATGGACGGAGTCCATAAACTCTGCGGAGGGCGCCATGCGACGTTTGCGGCGGAAGTAGAGTATACCGGCTACTATGACGCAAGCTAGGAAGACGGCGCCCCCGACGACACCACCAGCGATGGCGCCCGTGTTGGGGTTGGTGTGCGTAGCTGCTCTGTTATTGGGTGTAGGTGACGATGAAAGCGATGGGACAGCGGGGGACGAGGACGCTGTGGACACTGTGGTTGTGGATACAGTCGAAGTAGTTGAGTGAATGGTCGTTGAACTGGTACTATCTGGTGTCGCGGTGGTTGACCCGTCGCTAGTATCACTACCAGACCCCGTGGAAGGTGTACGTGTCGGGGAAGAGCCAGAAGTGCATGAGCTGGTGGTAGCTGTGGAAGGCGGGGAAGTCTGCGTACATGTCGAGGAAGAGCCAGAAGCGCATGAGCTGGTGCTAGTTGTGGAAGACGGGGGAGACGAAAGAGATTTATCCTGGCATAGAGGTTAAGGGATAGTATTGTGCAAGTGATATGCGACTTACAGGTAGGGACCTCGACCGCTGTTGTCTGAGAGCACCGGGCTGGGGGCTAGGGAGGGACATGAGCGGGATGGTGTTCTGAGGGGGAGGATGTTAAAGGAGAGGTAATGATGGACATGTGTGAGAGCGAGACGATAATCTGTTTGTTGCTATGTTTGAAAGCTGTGGAAAGAAAGATTAGATTAGTCACCTGACCTCCTTCCTATGTCTCTCCGTATCTTCACCCGCCCCTTCTCCCTCTCCCTATCCGCAACAATGAAGGTCGTCCCCGTCCCCGTCCGCGACGACAACTACGCCTACCTCCTCGTCGACGAACACACTAACAAAGCCGCTGCCGTCGACCCCTACGACGTTCCAAAGGTCCAGAAGGCAGCAGATGCCTTGGGCGTCAAGGTCATCGCGGGTATCACCACCCATCATCACTTTGATCACAGCGGAGGAAACGAGGTGTGTTACGAACTCTCCATCTGTCTGATGCACGCTCATTTTAGCATCTGGCGTGTAGAAATTCGTGAGTCTCGGATGTTATCACATTATCCACTGCCATGAACATTCCATCTCACATGATTCTGATACCCAGGCTTCAGCCTACCCCGGTGTTCCCATCTACGGCGGAAGCCAGAAAGTCCCTGCTCTCACTGAACTCGTCAAGGACAAGGACGAGTTCACTATTGGGGACAGCATCCACGTCAGGTAACTTTTTCTCTCGGTCATTAATTAGTCCCCATCTTCATCCGAATACTCGAAAGGTGTCTAGCCACCCCTTGCCACACCCAAGACTCTATATGTTATTACGTCACTGACACCTCAAACAAGTCTCAGCCTGGTGGGGTTTTCACAGGAGATACCCTCTTCCAAGGTATTTGCTTATCTGTTCACACACCTCATCGCTCGTTTCAACCCCATCGTGGCAGGTGGCTGTGGTCGTTTCTTCGAAGGCGTCGGCTCAGAGATGCATGCCGCTCTCTCCTACCTCGGCACCCTCCCCAACGAAACCGTAGTTTACAACGGCCACGAATACACAGGCGGAAGTGTCGCCTTCGCCAAATCCGTCGACCCAGACAACGAGGCCATCGCCAGACTCGTCACCCTCGCGAAAGAGAACAAGAGCACCACCGGTTTGACCACCATCGGCGATGAGAAGGAATGGAATGTGTTCATGCGTCTCGGAAGCGATGCTGTCAAGTAGGCGTTTCTTTCTTTCTATCCCTGCCGACACGCAGGTCTTAATTACGTTATCGCAGGAAAGCGACCGGTGCTTCATCCGAAAGCGCCATCATGGATGCGCTCCGCGAGCTGAAGAACAATTTCAGGGGGTAAGTAGGTGCGTCTCCTACTGACGTCCAACAGTCATAGCTCGGTTTGACCTTTCTATGTCACCCTAGACCTTCTCGATTATAGCTTGTCAGAGAAAACGGACGTTCGAGAGCGTAGTAAACATCTGTTGCTCGATTTCATCGCCGCATTTCCTTATGTATATCATTAAGCATATGTAAAAATCCAAATGTACTTCATGACACCCTCGTTGTCTCGTAATGGACCCAGTAAAAGCAGCAAATAGTGAACAAAGAAGTCGAACCGTGAACGCACGTACGAGACCCCCTAACTCATCCCTACAAGTTTCAATACGGCAGATCGAGCATACGGGACGTATGATAGCGAGTACCAGGTATAGGCGAGGTACTCGACAACTACGAATACTAGAGATAAAGGTAAACAGCGTTAGTTACCACAGTTGATGGGTGAAGCTGTGAAAGACAAACTGATGCAGAGAATCTGGGTAGGGTACGAGGTTAGATTGGGGGTATCGGTAGGTAATAAAGTATGAAAACGTACTTCGCTCCCGATCACGAATGCTCCAACAAATACAAGGCCTATAGAGGCTAGAAAGACGACTGTAGCTACCAACCGCACAGGTTTGAACATCTGAAAAAGGTCGATGAACCCTGTGACACAAGGAAGAACGTGTTCCGACGTACCATCTTGATTTGATTCGAAAACTAGTGGCATATAGTACCAACTAAATCAGATCCAAGAACAGGAGCAATATGTAACACTTACGCCGATCAAAAATCCTGTACCAACGAGAGAGATAACAATGCCCATAGTATATAACACTACAAGGTGGATATAATAAGTAAGGTAGGAACGAACGTGTGTTCAGGTGGACGTGACTTGCCTGCAAAGCTGGCTAGCTGGCCTAGGAATAGTAAGCAGCTACCGAGTATACTGAGAATAAAGCCAACGACGAGACTGAAAACGACAAGGAAATCGTGAGCAGGTTTGCCAGTTACGTCCATTGCGAAGTACGACAAGGAAGTACTGACCATCCAACAAAACCATAAAGCCTCTGCGTGCGCGTGAGTCCAAGAAACTTGAAAGCGGATTCGCCCTCAAAGAATTGCGTCTCAGGTATCATGCCCCCCGCCGACTCGAGGTTGAACCATCCTTTTGAGGCCATGTCTTTAGTATCGCTATGTGGAAGGGATATGTGTCGTGAAAGGGTTGGTTATCGTTAGGTTGTATATGTCGTTGCGGTATGTGTGAAGGGCGGGTGCTAGCGTAGTTTTTGCTGTACCAGCAGCCTGTGTGACGAGTGCTTTCCAAGCTGAAGCACTGCCACAGCGGCACGGCTGGAACCGAAGCTACTATGCGCCGAGTTTGGCTAACCATTTGCGACCCTTGTAAGAATTCTCCGAATTTTCATTGGAAGGTCTGATTAGAGGAGACTAGAATTTTCATGCATTTTATGTCTCGAAGCACTCAATGTCTGTTGCAAATATTATCGACCAAGATGAACAGCAAACCAAATATATAAATATAATTACAATGCGAGATGGAAACTACTACACAGCACACCATATAACCGAAGAGCATATTGATTAGTACCCTTCCCCTACTTCACAAAGAGTTTCTAGGAATAATTTCAGGTCTTCTTGATTAATCTCCAAAACGCTCGTATCAAAAGAACCGTGCCGCGTCCGTGCGTTGCATCTCTCCTTTGCATCCAGGAAGGCGAGACCGAACTCGCTGACGGGGGTGTTTACCATTTAGACGTCGCAAGATACGTAGCAAACAGTGACTTACTTTTTTCTCACATCTCCAAAATCAAGGGCTCCCATTACACCCACAACAATATATGTCCCCGCCTGTTCATCCAAACAGGCAACTACGAAAGGGAGGCTCTTTTTACCCCGACCTCCTCTCCCTGGCTTGGCAATAGCAGTTCCTGGCAGTCTATCTCTCAGTGCTTCCACAAGCCACATGGCGAGGCGCGAGAGAACGCCAGGATGTGCGAAGAGTGCAAGGTCGGGTCCCTGAGTGAGAACGACGACACGATGAGAGCGCATAGTACGGATATCCTGTTTGTCGATGATAGATGATCCCTGTCGGATGATTGCTCGATGGAGCGACATTGAAAGCGAGAGGGCTTCACGAAGCAGTGTAATACTATATAATAAAACGACCCATCCATTCAACACTGTGCATTGGTAATGTCGATAGTAAACGCACTCACTCCGAAAGAGCGTCGTACGCCGCCCAAAAATTCTTTACCCACCACTGGACTTCATTCTTCTCTGGGCCCTCTTTTCCTTCGTCGTTATCTTCTGCCTCTGCAGGACGTTTTGCATCTACTGCGTTGACCCCACGCATCATATTCTTCCTTTCCCGATCCTCTTCCGACCGACCTCCTCCCCACATTTTACCACCCCCAAACCACTCTCCGCCGTGTCTTGAACCTTCCACCTCAAGTTCCATCCGTACGCCACCTGCCACGTCTAAAAGCGCACCAGCAGCTTCTACTGCATCAGCCGCACTAAGTGGTGGCGCGCGATAACCGTAACAGCGAGCGAATGACGGATAGGCCAGTTCCACAAGACCGTACTCAGGAGCTATGGCATCCAATTTTGATCGAAGCTGATGCTTGAGATCGAGGTCCATATGAGTGTAAGGCTGCTGAGTCTGTGGTATTGAAAACCTTTGACGAGAGCAATCAGCATAACGCACGAGCCGATAGTCGAAAAGTCCACAGACCCCATCTTGGCCAATAGACCAGTGAGCCGTTTACGTCCGCGATCTTTCCATATTCCAAGTTTTCCAGCTACATAGCTTGAATGATACATAGCATCATATAGTGTCCAATGCCGAAAAAGCATGAACCTCAGCTCTTCTGTTGCACGCACTGATAGATCGTCTGGGCTAGAGGCGCTTATGTTATCTGGGTTTAGGTTGGCATCCGGTCGGGGATTCAGGCGAAAAACTTCGTCATAATAAACAGAGTGGAATTTATCGTAGTCCGTCCGTGACACACGGGATGTTGTGTACTGAAACGTCAGTCCGAGGATAGCTAACCTGGAATGGTTCGACGCATTTAGGTGGTTCCATGGCATGCAGGTAAAAAGGGAACTGACCACAGAAGATCATTATCCACGCGTTCTAATACTGTTGCGAGTATGTATATTGTCGCTGATGCGCTCTGGCCATATGATGTCCCCGATACATAGTGTTGTTCCAAACGCATGGAGTAAGCATCACGCTGGTCTCGTGACATTCGAGCTGGTTGCTGAAGCAAATAGACTTGATTTTCATATCACATATGAAGAATGGAGGAATACATACCTCGTCATTGAGCTTTCGTCTTTTCCCCTCACGGCCTCCATTATCCAACATCCTTCGTTTACCGGAAGGACTACTTCCAAGCTCCTCGTCGGATTCCTGCTCACCTTCTTTATCTTCCTCTGAGTCATCATCTGAGGCGTCCTCGTCGGAATCTGGCTCTGGTTCATACTGCCATGCCTTTACTGAGCACGTTCAGGTGGGAGATGATCAGAAACCTACCGCCAGTGCTTCCCAGGCCTTTCTTTCCTCTTGCATATTCTCTGCTCTTCCATCATCCCATACTATTATCCGATCACCGTTTTCTCCTCCACCAAACAAACTGGAAAGATTTTGTGGCCGAGTGGAATCAACAACGTGCACAGATAGCTTTGTGCTAAACTCCCCGAACCACTCCACAGATGGAAGGTCGAGAATCGCGCCCATGTTGATAAGCATGAGTGTATGAAGCTTATTCATCGTAAGAAATGGGTCGATGGTATTAAAGAAGCGGCATACCTCGGCATAAGACATCAGCTCGTCTCTCATGCGTTCCAACTCTGCTATACCTGAAACAGGTATGATCCTATGCATAACATCATCTTGTTGGAGCATATCCGCAAGCATCTTGGCTGCACAAAGAGCGTCTACATCTGGTGCGACAAGTAATATGACCGATGAAGCAGAAGTTTGTGGTGACCGACGATGTGAGACTAGGATATCGTTGTAAGCTTCTGCGTATGAAGGTCGCGATGCAGAAGCAAGATGAGGAGGAGGAATATAAACCATAGCTATAGAGATAGTACTCGTAGTACGGGCGTGCCCTTGACAAAAGTTCAGCCTCTTGCGTTTGGTAGTTGAGCGTGACGCGACGCGACGCGTTCAGTGGAGGTAACAAACACGTGCACGCATTTCAGCTAAGCAACCTCAGCGGCGTGTGGATTGCACCAATGTCCTAACAAGGGTCCAACAGATGTTTACATATTGTTTTAATAAGTCTATATTGTAGACTACCCCGACATCATGCATCTGCTTCAATCGCCTGATCCCCAAAACAAAGGAAAACCCATCCCATGTCTGCACATCATAATAGTATGATAAGATGGGGAAGGATAACGACTTTCAAAAAGTGCTCACCCAGGTCCAGAATGCCGCGAAAAATAGTCATAGTCGATGTTGACTGCGCCCGAACGACATGAGTATGGGCACACCTCACAATGTAATTACACTTACCAGCCATAGCCAGAACCAACTTTACAAAAAAGATATCGTGTTCAGAGTAACACAACGTATACATGGTAGTCAACTTACTGCTCTTTCATTCAATGTGAGATTACGAATGACAGTTGGTTTACGGGGCGCAGGATCCGAAGATCCCGACTCACCGATAGGAGCGGCGAAATTGACGGAATATTGACCTGCAGAGATAAAATGTCTAGTAGGGATAAATTCAATGTATCAATAGATCACTAACCTGTGTCAGTAAAAATCTGACAGCACAAGGTTCGCTAGTGTTGTTCCTCAGCACAAAACATCAGGCTTACCTCACGTCCAAACCCCCTAAACGTTCTATTGACGGTTGCAATTGGTGCACCACGAGCATCTAAAATATTAAAATGCCATGCCCAAAGACCCTCATCCACCCGAGCGAACTGAGTAAATGAATTGGGTTCTGGTTCTGGTTGAACTTCAGAGACTGTCGATAAAATGCGACGAGGTATATCCCTACATAGGCCACAGAAAAGTAAGCAGGCGACATCGCGTAAAAACAGATGACTCGCGAATATACCGAAGGAAGAGATCATAACGCCTTTTCCAAAGATGCCACTGCTGTTGCACCTCTGCGAAAGTATCAAGCACAGGCTCACCCTCCGACGTGTATCCTTGAAGATCATTCAGTCTCTGCACAAACATTCGGGAGTTGATCCAGGCAAACGGTCTACGGATCTGACGCCCCGAGATGATTCAGTCCATTTGTCAATTATGATGAAATATACATACCCATAAAATTGGAGAACCGTGGGTGTCCATAACAAGAGCACGGAATGGACGATGTGTACGAAATATCTGCCGAGAGAACATAGATAGAATCCCTCGAGGTTCTTCAGCAATATAACCAAGTGGCTCTCCCGTTTCACTGGCTATGAAGTATAGACTGATTATTCGGGGTCACTAAAGGGAGTACATATTGTTTACGAACTGATGGCATATCTATTAGATTGCTCGAAGCCCATGAATATGTTTAGCATTTCTAACTGTCTGTGAGACCTCAGCTGTATAAAAAGGAGACAACATAGATGCAAATGTACCTAGTGATCGTTAAAGTGTGGTTCTCCATTAACAGCCTCCTCAGACCTTCCTCAGGATTGCTGGCTGGCTGCCGTAGACTGGTCTCCCATAATTGAGAGTTCTGTGCAGAGGGTTCCTTCTCGTAGACAGTCCTAGCGTCTGGTCGTGGGTTTTTTTCACGAGAATTATGTTCACGAGGTCGACCCGAGGCCCTACCAGTTCCTATCCTACGGTCGGGGAATCGAGACAAGGCATATCCACGACGTAAGACACCAGATCTTGGAAAAGCTAAGGGTAATATTGACCGAGCAGCTGAGGAATAATATAGTCCAATCATGGTTTGCAAGCAAATCTTGATATGAAGACGGTTTTACAGCATTGTTGAAGAAAGGACAGTTGCCCTGCGTTGAGATACTTTGCTTTACATTTATAGGCGCCGAGCCACAGAATGTGCGTCTCGGCAAACCAAATTTTAATTCTTCGCCACTCTCCTTGAAACCAAGATACTCTGGAGTCCTGTCGTTTGACTGAGGATACAAAGTCAAGTGAGTATATTCTTTACTCTAGTGTTACACTTCACAGTTCTCATTGTTCTTGATGTCTTACAGCCAGGCGAGCTTTGCGGAGCCCGAGGTGTCCCGAGCCTCTATAGAGTCTGCAAGAATGCATAAACGCGAGGTTGTGTTGTCAGTTCTCAGATATTCTCAGAGAAGGTCGGTAGCAACTGCTACAAAGAGAAAAGTAAGAGAAGCAATCAATTGTTATCACCCTTCGTTTCCTTATCTCTTCTAAGCCTGCTCCTGAATCATGGGACACAGCAGAGCCAATCCTCCCCCCTGCTCCAGATTTCAGTAAGTGGACACGTCCGCATCCACAATCTAATATGCAACGCTCGAGAGGGTCTACTTCATCTTCTACCTTTCGGTCTGCATCTCCAACTAGTCGTGGCGCACACCCTAGCAATAATGGACCATCAAGTGTTATGCGAGACTCGAAGTGGGGACGGTTTGAGCCTCACTCGTCACACGGAGGCGCGCGACCTTTGAGATCCGTGGGCGGATCTTCTGGTAACGGGTTTCAGAGAGATTCCGCACCTCATGAAGGTCGGAAACCTTTCAAGAACGACATACCACTCGTCAGACATGTTTCCGAACGAGGCTCTCGACCTGTCAAATCTGAGTCACCTAGTACTAAAAATATTCCTAGGATACCGGATCGGTCATCTTCTCAGCACTTGGCGAGTGAAAACAGTAATTCTCCAGATGTACATGGTTCGCGGACGAATCGCAACACTCGGAACAATTTCAAAGATCGAGGTTCACTAGTACACAGCAGGCGTGATGACATTTCAATTCCAAGCCATCCTCGGGTGCACAATGATAAGGCTAAACCTGTTTCGAAGGAGAAGAAAGTCAAAGTCAAACACGCCCGAAAAGTTGCAGTCGACCTCTTCATCCCCAGTACCGTTTCTGTTGGTCAATTAGCAAGGTTGCTCAATGTACGACAAGGTCTGTCTTATCCCTGTCTACTCGTTCTTTTTTAACTCGTAGTTATAGCGACACTGGTTCGGAAGATGATAGAAGCTGGGATGGAAGCTGAGGCTTCTCATGACCATGGCGAGTTGTTGTTTATTTTCTCCGATTGCAATTGGCTTATAAGCATGGACCGCAGTCTTGACTTCTGACTATGCAGCTCTTCTTGCGGGAGAATTTGGTAGAAATCCTGTGATCAACGATGAGGCCGCATATGATATTTATCCACGGTTCGTCCGCAGTACATCTTCTTTACCCCAGTGGCCCACACAAGTATCGCAGATCTCCTCACCCCGATCCCTCGACGCTTCCAGCAAGACCGCCGATTATTACTATCATGGGACACGTAGATCACGGGAAGACCACACTATTAGATACCCTTCGATCCGCATCTGTTGCCAAAGGGGAAGCGGGCGGTATCACGCAACATATTGGTGCCTTCTCTGTCCCAGTTTCCTCGTCCACCAACCCTGGAAATGATTCGCGCATAATTACCTTTCTGGACACTCCTGGTCATGCAGCATTTTCGGCCATGCGTGCGCGTGGAGCAGGCGTTACCGACATCGTCGTCCTGGTTGTAGCGGCTGATGACGGCGTAATGCCTCAAACGAAAGAGGTTATTGACCTAATCAAGAAAGATAATGTATCTGTGGTAGTCGCCATCAACAAAGTGGATAAACCAGAAGCCGATGTGGTGAGTCGATGTGGACCTAAGCTTTGAAGACTTACTTAGATCACCCTCCAGAAAAAGGTCCAGCATGCCCTATTAGCAGAGGGTTTACAATTAGAAGCTTTCGGTGGCGACGTCCCTTGTGTCGAGGTCTCGGCACTCACCGGTCAAGGCCTCGATGATCTTGTGGAAATTTTGTCTACGATCGCTGAAGTACAAGATCTTCGTGCCGAGCGGGACGGTCAGGGTTATGGATGTGTTCTCGAGTCCAGGGTGCAGAAGGGTTTAGGGTACGTCATTTTCCTTTCTCTTCTTCTCATATGCTTTTATCTCTTCTTCCTTCAGCCCGGTAGCTACCGTTTTGGTCCTTCGAGGGTGTATAACCCCCGGTTCCCACCTCATAGCTGGGGCAGCAGGCGCCAAGGTTCGTGTAATGAATGACTCCACGGGATCCACCGTCAAGGTTGCGTATCCAGGCATGGCAGTAACTGTTTCTGGATGGAAAGATCTTCCGAGTGCAGGGGATGAAGTTTTACAGGGTACCGAAGCTGAAGTAAAGAAGGCACTGACGAATAGACTACGCAAGGCTGAGATCGAGTCTACACTGGTTGACCTAGAAGCCATCAACGCGCATAGAATGCAGGAGAGGATTCGAAAAACGGGAGAAGAAGATGAAGATAACGATGGTAATGGCAGCGCACAGAAGAGTGAAGAACAGGCCGCAATAGAGTTAAGGCTAGTTGTAAAGGGCGACGTGAGTGGGAGTGTTGAGGCACTAGTTGGAGCCTTAGAAGGAATTGGGAATAAACATGCACGCGTGAAGATTGTTGCTACTGGCGTTGGCGATGTTATGGAGTCTGACGTTATGATGGCGAAGGCTTCTGAAGGTATGTCACTTTTCTAGTGGCGTCGCTCAAATACTCATTATAAACTGGACATTCTCCTAGGAACAATTATAGCCTTTTCTGTCAATATTCCTCGATCTGTTGAAAGCATGGCAGCCCAGAATCACATTCCGTTGTATTCATCTAAAATAATCTACAGGGTAATGGATGAAGTTCGTAACCGCCTCACAGCGTTACTACCTTCTACAATCGAGAAGAAAGTTACTGGAGAGGCGACTGTGCTGCAACTATTCGACATTCATTTCAAAGGAAAGCAGAAAAAAACGATAGCTGGATGCCGAGTTGGCAATGGTTTAATAGAGGTGTCTAGATTGGCGAGGGTGGTAAGGAATGGTGAGGTACTTCACGAGGGTAAGTTTGACAGCCATAGTTAATGTCGTCGCACTCAGCAACATTAATAGGTCCTCTGGAAGCACTGAAACAGCAAAAGAAAGATGTCTTAGAAGTCAAGAAAGGTTCGGAGTGCGGCATAAGCTTGGAAACTTTTCAGGACTTGCGCGAGGCAGACTTAATCCAAACTTACGAGGAGCTAAAGATCCCGGGCGTACTTTAGTATAAGGCCATTCACTCTACTATAGATTTAGCTGGCAATCAGTATTTAATTCCGTTCATGCTACACTTTATTTCATGTTCGCTGCGTCTAAGTGAACAGTCTTTCCGCCAACTGTCCCCGTCCTCCCACTTACTCCGAAAGTGAGGCTTATGTTTCCCAAATTCTTGTCTGTTTTCTCCAGAAGCGTCCAACTTCTGTTGTCTGCTTTCTTGAGCGAAACTTCGACCTGATTCATATAGGCTGTCAGCATAGAGATTAATCAATCACATTGGCATTTACCTTTGTTCCGTAATATTTGTGAAGCGAAGCCTCTGGATCAACTTGACCAAAAAGATCAATTGTGCGCTGGAATCGCTTTGAAGCAGGTAGGTACAAATCAAAATGAACCTTCCTGTTAAATCAGTATGAGAACAAAGCCACTCAAATTCTCTAACCTTATTTTCTTCTATTCTAACTGTACTTCTTTCCTTATCAACCTGCTTCGCAAAAACAGACACATGAACCTCGCTTGGTGTTTGATAATGATCTACACGGCACTCGGTAAATTCTTCCGCCTGTTTATATCAGCCTTCAGTGTGAAACACGAGTGCGAAAAAATACCGACTTACCGCTTTATTACTAACTTTAGGAACAAATACATGACGCCCCCTCTTGCAACCCTCGATCTTGAGGAACTCCTCAAACTCAAGCACACGACGCTTACAACACAAATATCCCTTAACCATTTCACTGTTAGCACTCGCAAGATATATGACTCATTATGATAACAAACCTTGCTTCCTTCCCTGAAAATAGGCTGTGGGTCATTGACTGTTTAGTACGTATAGATACAATTGAGGGCAAATGGACAACACACGGAGGCAGGGTGATATGTACAGGTGGCTTCTTCACCGTTTCCGATGCGGTTTACTTCATCGCTTACAAAGGCGACTCCACAACCTGTATGTCGACATGGCGCACCAGTTTGCACTGGCACACTTAGATCGTCTTCTTCTTCCACAACTGGCGCTGGCTCTTTAGGAGCTGCAATGACTGCGGCAGGTTCCATTTTGCCAACCGTGGGTGAAACGAGGGTGTACTGCTCCTTCCCTGCCCCGTAGTCCATTACGGTGAGTGTATCGTTAGAATGTGGCTTTTGAGTTTCCACCTTGGGAATTTCATCGGTATGAGCTCCTAAGGCGCATCCCTAAGACATAATACAACAACCAGGTTGTCAAATTTGAGTAGGAGGCATGCATATACCCACTGGCATCTTCATAAACTCGTCAAAGTCTAAAACAGGCTTGTTCACGTCTGAACAGCATGACCAAGATTTGAGCCCTTCGTGAAAGACCTATGCAGAACGCATGTCGGATTCTAGCCTCATTCGGGTTGAGATTGTGTGAAAGGGACTCACCGGGCCCCCAGGATGATACGTGCAACTTTCTTCCGTATTTGCTGCCGAATCGTATTCTTTACTGCATCCTTTGCGTGTGCAACGGGGCATCGTGTATAGCTAGAGACAGATTTCAGGACGATGTCAGACACCTGAGACGCTGGCTATAGGCATGTTTAGGCTACATTTTGGCTTCAAAATAACTTTCGAGGGCGGACTAGTCAAGGATATCGTTAGTATCAGACGCGATCTAGTATGCGATATTGAGGACAAGGGGGCTGCTTTGTACATGTTTATGTGTGGCTGGTGGAAAGTCCTCGAACAGTCCATGTCACTATATCGGATTAGGTCAGCCAAAGGAGACTGCTTCCACTTGCTCTAATACGTACAGGTCATGTCCTGATGGTAATATGAGTTTGATAACTAATGTACATATCCGCACAAGCTCAGCTATGAATGTCTAGACGCCGTTAGACAGGTATGTTATAAAGCTGTTGATGGCATGAATTTATGTCCGGTAGTAAAGGTTCAGCAGAAGAGTGAGTGCTTTTCGAATATTCTCATAATATCATCAAACCAGACTGATTTCTGACATTGATCTGAGTTAGCGAACTCTCTCACCTCATATGTCTTCAGATATCGGTCGATGAAAATATCCTCATTGGAGCGAACCCTTTTCAAATGCTTCCATCCTTTGAAATGACTGTCTTTGTGACGTCGCTATCTTCAATTTCCATTCAACCATGTTCCATGTAAGCTGCTCCCTTTTCGAGTAATCTTTCCGATGACATGGTGATCGTGTAATTCGAAGCCTGCTGCGATTTTGGAATTCGTGATAATGTGTCTGGACTCGTGGCTACTGTGGTTTTATAGGCCGAATTTTTCCCTGTGCAAGTCTAGAACTAGAAGACACGACACGACCACCAGGACCTCGAGAAATGGTACTCTGATCTCACCCCAAATATGTCGCAAACTTCATACGAAAACACGAGGCTTATGGGGGAACAATTCGCGAGCCTCTTCAGCATTTGTTTTCCCGAATTTTCGGTAACTGCCATCAAAAGAATGCCATGTGGTACCGTATCTTGCATGGTAGAACCGCAGGATAATAGGACAGACGGTCCGCTTGATATTTTTACAGTCAACGAGGCCAGAGACCATTAACTCAGGGTAACTACCGGGAGGGAATACACGAAACGGTTGATACAAGCGCGGGAAGAATACAAGAAGGAGAAGAAGAAATGATGAATACAGTGTGTAATGTTCTTAGTCCGCAATATGTGTCTAGGTATGTATCCACTGATTCTGTGTATGGGAAATCGAATATATCCGCGATGGAGACTAGTTTACTTTTGAGACACTGGAAACTCTGTAAGGCAAAGGTAAGTATCTCGTCTGAAACTGAGAGTCACGATCACGTACGGCAGGCTAACATTGCCTTCTGCACGATCCAGTTGTATAACCACAATCTGTGTACCCTACAAAGCAGAGTGAGCCATGAACTCAGGGTAGAAACTTGACCAAAGCACTCACATCCCCCATACGGCTCGTGGAAAGCACTACACCGTACTTGATGTCACCATTGGAGCCCCAGAAGAAAACTCGTGTGCCGTTCTGCACAAAGGTTGGTGTCATGACAATGTCAAACGAGTATGACAAGGATTGACTCACCGGGAATGCGTTCATAGCCAAAATAGTAGGTAGGGTACAAAAAATCGGAATTGAGAAGCCGGACGACAGCTCAGCTACAAGTCTTCCAGACCTTAAATACTATGTCGAGCCTGAGGTGCAATTAACATGTCTTCCTTCGTCCGAGCACAGATTCGGAAATAAGGACTGTTATTTACTGATGCAGCACACCTACTCGAAGAGTTAGCCGATAACACATATGATTTAATTTGGGGTTCATACATATCACCCTCAGGCTGATTCGGCTTTCTAGAACGAGTGTCGAGAGTGAGAGAGAGATTTGAAGCAGATGCAGTACTCACCTCACCAGATTGAGGAAACATTATGCGCGTTAACGTAATATCGGAGCAAGTGTTAATTTTGAGGGTCTTGAGGGCACGTAGCGTCGTGTTGAAAGTCCATACCCTGCCTCTCTGATCCTCGGCTTAGTATTCTGTTCGCAGCAGTTTCCAATCGTGAAAGTGGAAATTATTCATATTTAGTCGTATGAGATACGGCAGACTCATCAAAGATTCCTGAATGAAAGAAAAGACAAGGCTTGTAAAGCTTTCTGGAATGACAGCGCTTTCATCTGAGTACTGTTCAAGTTCAAGACAACCAAGTCGTTCATGGATTACGTAGAAAAACGGAGCTCTAACTGAAGGGGATTTCCGGCCTAAGCCTTGTGACGGTCACACAACATAATATGTGGCCCGTGCCTTGTCCTCGAGATGATATGATACTATGTCTGTAATTCTCGTCACAGGATCTTACGACCATGAAATCAGGTTTTGGGAAGCTTGGAGTGGGATATGTTCCAGGACTATAGCACGCTCAGGAGAGTCGGGGGTGAGGATCATTCCCGCTCAGTTATGTACCGAACATGAAACTGATGAAGTTCCGCGGGATTGGACCTTGACAGCAAGTAAATCGTCTGGCGATATCTCCAGAGTAATGTCCCAAAGTATCTTCTCTTGACTAGGAGGTTGAGAATTTTCTTGTTAGTAAACGTCTTCTAGCTGCTGCCATCCATAAGAAAGTCAACATCTATGAGATTGCGAGTGCGTCTTCCACACCAGTACGTATTTCCCTACACGTTCTATTGACTTGTGCTGAACCGTACCAGCTCATCTCTCTGGAAGAGCATGAGATGAATGTGACCTCAGTATCCTTTCATAGTGAGGGAAAATGGCTAGTTACAGGGAGTGAAGACGGTACTATCAAAATATGGGACCTTCGGTGTGTCAGGTAGTCAGTTTCTCTCTACTCTTTGCTGAATTACCTTTACAGTAGTACTCAGGTACATAGAACATACGATAATGGGACGCCTGGTGAGTGAGATTCAATCCGTCGGCGATCTATGAAAAATTGACGTGTTCTCAATCGCAAGTCAACGATGTTTGCGTCCATCCGAATCAAGGGGAACTTATCTCCTGTGATCAAGCGGGGTGCATCAAGCAATGGGACTTGTCTGAGAATCTTTGTTCTCACGAACTTGTAAGCCTTAAGTCACTTCGTCTTCGAGATCAACAGTTATAACTCATTTCCAACCTAAGACTCCGGCAGGTGACGTCCCCATTCGTTCGGTCAGTCTAGCCTCAGATGGATCTTGCTTAGTTGCCGGAAATAACAAGGTATTATGGTATTCTTTTCCAAGCATCATTCCAAAGTAACATTTGATACCAGGGAAAATGCTATGTCTGGAAAATAAACGAAGAAAAATCTGAGCTTCCTCGCTACCAAGCAGTTACGAAATTCAGCGCCCATAAAAAGTACTTAACCCGAGTCCTCTTAAGTCCGGATGTGAAGTGGGTATTTCTATTTTTGCTTTTCAAGTAGGCATAACACCTATTTTCAGGTACTTAGCTACCTGCTCTGCGGACACTACCGTAAAGATATGGTCAATATCCCAGAACTATGAATTCAAGCCCGAAAAGGTACTCCAAGGTCACCAACGGTGGGTTTGGGACTGCGCTTTCAGTGCAGATTCCGCATACCTCGTTACAGGTGGGGACAGCTCTACTGCTTCAGATTAAAACCTTAGGGCCAATTATGTTCTCCGCAGCATCCTCGGATCACACAGCCCGTCTGTGGGAGATGGCCTCGGGGGAGACTGTACGACAGTACAATGGTCATCACAAAGGTCCATTTGATATTATCCTATTGTCTAATTCCAGTATTGACCTAGATTCCAGCGGCTGTATGTTGTGCCCTGCATGACGGAGCAGGCTAAAATGACTATGCCTTGCCCCAATCACGGTGTCCTTAACGATGATATTCTTCATATATATTGTTTGTGCTTGGCATGTTACATTGGTAGTGTGCCTTAACCCATTGAAAGTATTTCGTGCCTGCGATTGCAACGCACATTTACTGGTCCTATGGACTGATGTTATTACCTGTAGCTTTAAGTTCGCACTGTGGATTGTATGACGCTAAACTTAAAGTCGGTATACTTTCTGTTCACGATGGTCTTTCTGTGACCCGGGTAGAGTTTTCATAATATTGTACTGCCATGTTTGCAATGGAATAACAGTGTACACACTCGCTAAGTTAGATTGCGAGTGGACGATGTGGCGTAGTTCTATGAGTGAATTTCGTTTAGAGGCTTCCAAACATTCGTCGTTACTCCTATTTCAAGTTGTATTTGATATTTTCATACCTTGCTCTACTGATCAGAATAACATTGACTCGGATCATATTGATCCCTTGTGGCGAGTGGTGTATAAATATACTAGAAACACCGTGTCCTTGCTATATGGAAAACTGCATTGTGGTTGTTCGGTAAACTCGATGCAGAATCCGAGTCGAGTTTGGCTGCCTCCCAGGATTAAGTAGAGGGCACTCCTCTACTAAATCATGTCCATCATCTCCGCGGTGACAACTTGTACGGCCTCCGTAGTATGTTCTTTGGGCACGCATTTGAAGTAAGTGCGACCATAACAATTGGCAACTTCTTATCGCAGTTTACCTTCCTTAGGGGGGCCGACATAGCATCGGATTGATTATTCTTGACATTTCTATCTCTGGGTCGAAGTTGCTGTCGTTGTCATCTGTAACTATTGCCATCGCGTGGTGTCGTTGTTTCGTGACGACTTATCAAGATTCATTCCATGAATTTCCAGCATTCTTCATGTTATCTAGCGAACAGATATCTATAATCTCTTCTGCTTCATGCTGAATTGCACTTTTATATCATGTTTAACTCTGAGCTTATGCAGTTCAAGAATGCACCTTCCCTATCACAATATCACTGTTCAAGGGCTCAGCTCAAGGAGCTAAAGCACTGATGATTATTCTTAGGATTGTATTAATTTGTCAACGAGTCTACCCGATCGTAGGTATTCTTCGACATCACAGTGATTCCGAAACAGCATTGACTGCTGTCAGGTGCAGAATTATAGCAAGATCGTGATTGGAGGCTGTAAACCGGGAGTCGTTTGAAGTAAGGCTTCGGAGACTGGATCGATCAACGTGCAGCTCTCGTGAATCAACATCATCTTCAAGGATGAACCGGGTAACCCCGAGGCGTCAAGTATACAATGGCTGATTGTGGCATCAGTATCTTTATGGTAGTCCCAATGTCAACTCAAGGTGCTTCCCTGGACAATGCCGAAAGGTTCATTGTCACCGCTGTGCGTTTCTCGGATGCATCTATGCAATACGACACCAATAAGACACATGCACGCAGCCAGGTTTGGGGCGATCATGGTCATAGGCTGTCCCATCGATGAGGCTACCTCATAGCGTGGAATGCAGCTATTGGTGAGTGAGGTTCAGCGCTGTGCTCGCTAAGGTTGCGCTGGTGTGATGTTCTAGGCTTCCGTGATCAGTCCTAGGTCATAACCCTCAGTTCGCTCGGAGGACAGTTCGAGATAACGTTGACAAGGCCTTACCGAGTGGCACCTCGAAGCTTGCAAGCCCACAGTCTGGAACGTTGATGGAGTGATGGAGCAGGACAGCTTACATCAAGTAGCAGCAAGTAATGCTTCTCTGCACCGATGTCTCGGGGTATGTCCTCGCGCCCACCTCACCCATCGATTGTGATCTCTCAAACAACCGCGATCAAGGCCGCTTGGTTTCAAAAAAGTCGCGGACTCTGACCGATGGTCGGAGGACTCCGGGTCCGAGGCCATCGTGGTCGTCCTCCAGTGTCTTGCACTGAATCAACGCTACATCCAGAGACATGGCAAAGCCTTGTGTTACTACCTCCAGGTCGCTAAAGGATGATTGATGCAGAATGGGCAGTCCAGCTTCTGGAAGGGTGGATTTTCGCACTGCGGCCGGTCGGCGGGCCGCAGGCCGAGGGTCCCCATAAGCTAAATGTTATTCGCCTTTGAGTCGAGTCATCTTAAAGCTACAAGCCTACGGGTTGGATTTAAAGGCTTTCGTAAATGCGACGCAACAGAGGCAGCGGCGCCCGTCTCACCCATTTGTCTCTGCAGTTATGCGAGCCATGATGTACGACTGGGAACTGGGAGGTAGTGGGGGGCACATGTGTTTTGAAGATGGAGTAGTCGTCGGCTGGACACCTGACGACAGTATTGGATGGAGAGTGCGTAAATATCATGGTTGTGCAGAAGGGCGCAAAGGATGTGACGCAATGGAAGCAGACATGGCATGAGTCAGTGTCAGGGAGATCAGAGGTATCCCTGGCCCTCTAAACGCGATCACACTTCTTAGAGTGATGAGAGGATGCTGTAGCAGGGAGACAAAGCAAGTAAGTGATAGGACTCGCTCTAACAGCTGACCGGTTCGACCTAACCGCGCAGGGCATGGAATGATTCTAAGCGAGCGCGGATATCGGAACACAATACACGGGTCTTGGATGGTGGGCGTTGAGGAGGGAATGGGGAGGACGTGTGAGGATGCTCAGGTGGAGACAAAGGAAAGGACGAAGATGGAGAGTCTGTTACGGATGCCCGCCACAGCGATGGAGTACTTGGCGGGCTTCCGCGTTGTCCCTGCAGTGAGATCTGTGATGCGGTCTGGGGAAGAACAAGCATCTCCTTTGGCCGGCATCTGATTGGCTCGGATGGGCACACGGGGCTGTCGGTTGCCGGATATAGTAAGCTGAGATCATCGTAGATTGCATCGGTCCATCAGAACCGACTCGGAGATCTTCGGGTTCTTCGTGTGCCTCTCCCGAAAGAGATTATCTGTGACTTGTTATAACAATCCGTCACTGCTGCACACTCGAAAAAATTTGACTGCACTGTCAGATCTCGCCCCTCTCTCTCGTACCACCACCATCTCCATCCATCTCTCCATCCATCCCATCAAAATATCGTGCAGAAAATCGCCCCTTTCTCTCGCATCTCCTGTCTTATATCATCCTGTTATTCTATGGCCATCTCTGCCAGTCTCTCTCAAGACACTATACCACATGCTTTGCCTCTCCTGTCCCACTCAGACAATGGCTTTCATGCCGTCGAGCGCGATCCCACTTCGTGGTCAGGCGCTCTCCCCGCAAATCAGGGGCTTTACTTGAATGAAAATGAAAAAGATTCCTGTGGCGTTGGCTTCATCTGTCATATCAAGGGCGAGCAGAGTCACAAAATCGTTTCTGATGCTCGCCAACTCCTCTGTGCAATGACCCACAGAGGTGCTACTGGCGCTGACAGTCGTGATGGTGATGGTGCCGGCGTCATGACCGGCATTCCCCACTCCTTCTTCAAGCGCGAGGCCGAAAGAGACATTGGCTGTATCTTGCCCGATCCTGGAGAGTATGCTGTAGGAAACGTCTTCTTCAAGGCAAACGATCCCGTCCAGCTCCAGAACTACCAAGCTTCCTTCTCTAAAGTCGCCAGTGACCTCGGCATGCGAGTCCTAGGCTGGAGGGCAGTCCCCACGGATGGTACCATTCTTGGTCCCGCCGCTAGCAGCAAGGAGCCAGTCATCTATCAACCATTCGTCGTCCTTCGTACCCACTACGGTGATGGAACTGTAAGCCAGGGTGGCCCTTTCGATGCCAAGTACTTTGAGCGACAACTCTATGTCTTACGCAAGCATGCGACCCATATTATGTTTGTGGTTTCCCCATTGTTTATATATCGTAAACCACGCTCAACACCCTATTGTGAAATTTTCCCTGTATATAAAGTACGCTCGCGAAAGGATTCTACGTGTGTTCACTATCCTCCAAGAACATCGTGTACAAAGGACAGCTCTCTCCTCCACAAGTTTACAATTACTACCATGATCTCAACCATGTTCTGTATCGTTCACACTTTACTTTGGTGCATTCGCGATTCTCGACAAACACATTTCCTTCATGGGATCGAGCCCAGCCTATGAGATGGGCTGCGCACAATGGTTCGTGATTAGTTCTTGACAGATCGCAGGTAAGCCCTAACCCACTGTTTTAGGTGAGATAAACACCGTGCGAGGCAACAAGAATTGGATGCGTGCTCGAGAGGGTGTGTTATCGTCAACGCTTTTCGGAGATCAGCTCGACCTACTCTACCCTATTATTGAAACTGGTGGTTCAGATTCTGCGGCCTTCGACAATGTCCTCGAATTGCTTGTTGTCAATGGCGTCGTGACTTTGCCTGAGGCTGTTATGATGCTCATCCCTGAGGCATGGCAGGGCAATGAGCATATGGAAGCTGAGAAAAAGGCATTTTACAACTGGGCCGCGTGTCTTCAAGAACCGTGGGATGGACCGGCTTTGTTCACTTTCAGCGATGGCCGCTACTGCGGTGCCAATCTTGATCGGAATGGTCTTAGACCTTGTCGCTTCGTCGTTACCAACGAGGACATCATGGTATGTGCTTCTGAGGTTGGAGCCGTGTTCATTCCGCCCGAGAAGGTTGTACAGAAAGGCCGCCTCAAGCCTGGACGTATGCTCCTTGTTGACACTTTGGAGGGTAGGATCGTTGATGATAAGGAGTTGAAGCGGAACACAGCGACGAAGCAGAATTTCGCGTCTTGGGTAGAAACCCACGTTCTTCACGTACCCAATATCGTCAAACGTGTCATACGTAGCAATACTCCCATCGACCCTATCATTGATGATGCACCACTTAGCTGCGATCCAAAACTACTCGCATTCGGCTACACAGTTGAGCAACTAAGCTTGCTCATGTTGCCCATGGTATCCAGCGGCAAAGAAGCCCTAGGATCCATGGGCAACGACGCCCCTTTGGCGGCAATGGCCACGCAGCCTCGCCTAATTTACGACTATTTCCGACAGCTCTTTGCACAAGTTACGAACCCGCCAATAGATCCTATTCGCGAGAGCATAGTTATGTCACTTGAGGCATATGTCGGGCCTGAAGGAAATCTTCTGGAGATGAAGCCGGAACAGTGCCACCGCATCCTCCTTCCCTCGCCTCTCATCTCTATTCAAGAAATGAATGCCATGAAAAACCTCAAGCAGGCATACACTGGTTGGCCATCTGTCACAATTGACATTACCTTCCCGAAGGAAGAGGGCCTGCCCGGCTACCAGCTTGCTCTTCAACGTGTCTGCAGCGAGGCCACGCAAGCAATTGATGACGGCATGAAGGTTGTCGTGTTATCTGATCGCGCCACTGGTCCTTCCCGAGTTCCCTTGTCTGCATTGGTCGCTTGTGGAGGCGTCCACCATCATTTGGTATTACAAAAGAAGCGCGCCAAAGTGGCACTTATGGTGGAGACAGCAGAAGCACGAGAAGTACACCACTTGTGTGTTCTTGTGGGGTATGGTGCTGATGCGATATGTCCTTGGTTGATGTTGGAAACTATCCATAAAATTGGACGAGAGGGCCTGTAAGTAATTGGCTTCCTGTTCTACCAAAAAATATTCTTATATTTTTTTTAGTATAAAAGGCGACCAAACCATGCAAGGGTTAATGGAAAACTATCACCAATCTATCGACAATGGTATCTTGAAGGTCATGTCGAAGATGGGTATTTCCACCCTGCAGTCTTATAAAGGTGCACAGATTTTCGAGGCTCTTGGTCTTCACAGTGAAGTGGTAGAGCGATGCTTTATTGGCACTGCATCGCGAGTCCAGGGTGCTACATTCGACCTTCTCGCTATGGATGCTTTCGAACTTCACGAACGCGGGTGGCCATCTCGGGACACTATTGTACCCCCAGGCATGCCGGAATCTGGTGAATATCACTGGCGCGATGGAGGCGAGGCGCATATCAACGACCCTGCTGGTATCGCCAACTTACAGGATGCTGTGAGGGAAAAGAATCAGAAGGCATATGACGCATACGCTCAAAATGCTAACGATCAAACAAAGTCTGTTCATCTTCGTGGTTTGTTGGACTTCCGGTACGAAACTGCAACCCCGATCCCGATCGAGCAAGTGGAGCCTTGGAATGAAATAGTACGGCGATTTGTGACTGGAGCGATGTCCTATGGTTCTATATCGATGGAGGCACACTCAACTCTTGCCGTTGCTATGAATCGTCTTGGCGGCAAGTCCAATACCGGTGAGGGAGGTGAGGATGCGGAGCGTTCCCATGTCCTTCCCAACAAAGACACAATGAGGTCTGCTATCAAACAAGTTGCCTCAGGACGGTTTGGAGTCACCTCGAACTATCTCGCTGACGCCGATGAACTGCAAATTAAAATGGCGCAAGGTGCTAAGCCTGGTGAGGGTGGTGAACTTCCGGGTCATAAGGTTTCGGGATCGATCGCTCGTACGCGGCACTCAACCGCCGGTGTGGGCCTCATCTCGCCTCCTCCTCATCACGACATCTATTCCATTGAAGATCTAAAGCAGCTAATCTATGATCTGAAATGCTCCAACCCTCGTGCGCGGGTATCCGTCAAGCTCGTGTCAGAAGTGGGAGTTGGTATTGTGGCGAGCGGTGTCGCTAAAGCAAAGGCGGACCATATCTTGATATCCGGTCACGACGGTGGAACCGGTGCTTCTCGTTGGACTGGTATCAAATATGCCGGCCTTCCTTGGGAATTGGGTTTAGCAGAAACTCACCAAACGCTTGTTTTGAACGATCTTCGTGGTCGTGTCACGGTGCAAACTGATGGCCAAATAAGGACTGGTCGTGATATTGCAATTGCATGTTTGTTAGGGGCCGAAGAATGGGGCTTCGCCACCACACCTTTGATAGCCATGGGCTGTATTATGATGCGCAAGTGCCACTGTAAGTTCTTATTTGTAGTGTTTTCGGTTCTCTAACGGGTAGCTGGATATTCTTCGTTAGTGAACACCTGCCCAGTTGGCATCGCTACTCAAGATCCCCAACTCCGTGCGAAGTTCGCAGGTCAACCCGAGCAGGTCATAAACTTCTTCTACTATCTCGCCGAAGATCTTCGTGGCTACATGGCGAAATTAGGATTCCGGACTATCAATGAGATGGTTGGCCGCGCAGACGTTCTTAAGGTCAATGAAAAGCTTAGGACTATCAAGACTGCGCATCTGGACCTGTCTGCTGTTCTAAAGCCTGCATGGCAAATGCGACCTGGTGCAGCGACCTACCGTGTACGATCGCAGGATCATAAATTGTACATTCGCCTCGATAACAAATTCATTGATGAGTCTGAGCCTGCCCTCACGAAAGGTCTTCCTGTCCACGTTGAGTGCGACGTTACCAACACCGACCGCGCGCTAGGCACCTCATTGTCTTATCGCATATCAAAACTTTATGGAGAAGAGGGCCTTCCCAAAGACACTATCCATATCCGTATGAGAGGCTCCGCTGGGCAGTCATGCGGTGCTTTCCTTGCTCCTGGTATCACCATCGAGCTAGAGGGAGATTCTAACGACTATGTGGGCAAAGGCCTTTCTGGTGGTCGTTTGATTGTTTACCCCCCCAAGCAATCGCCATTCAAGGCCGAGGAAAATATAATTATAGGCAACGTTTGCTTATACGGGGCCACTTCTGGTGAAGCCTTTATTCGTGGTATCGCAGCCGAGCGGTTCGCTGTGCGCAACTCAGGGGCAAATGCTGTTGTTGAAGGCACTGGTGACCATGGTTGTGAATACATGACTGGTGGCCGCGTTGTTGTCCTAGGAGCGACTGGGCGTAATTTTGCAGCGGGAATGAGTGGTGGTATTGCTTATGTACTTGACACGGCTCATACATTTGCGTCCAAGGTCAACATGGAGATGGTCGAGCTTGGAAAAGTTACAGACCCTCGTGAGATCGCGGCATTACGAAGCCTCATCGAGGATCACAGGCATTATACGGGATCAGAAGTAGCGGATCGCGTACTTCATGACTTCCACCATCTTCTCCCTCTTTTCGTTCGCGTCATGCCTTTGGACTACAAACGTGTTCTCGAAGAACAGACTGCTAAAGAAAAGGATGAGAAATTGCGACTCAATGTTATTGACTTGGTCCCTTCTCGAACTGCGAGCCAAGTCGATCTTGCTTCTGAAGGTTTGGAAGACATCCTTCTACCCAAGGAGCCTCCCAGCTTGGTCCATCCCAAGCGCCATGAGCCCGCAGTTGTAGATTTGGAGGATTCAATGCTTGATGATTCCACAGCGAAGCAGCGCCTTCACAAACTTGACAAAACTCGCGGTTTTATGAAGTATCAGCGTCTCAACGAGTCTTATCGCCCGCCTCGTAAACGTGTCAAGGACTGGAAAGAAATCTCTAACCGCCTGACAGACAGCGAGCTCAAGTACCAGTCTGCTCGTTGCATGGACTGTGGTGTTCCATTCTGTCAGTCCGACACCGGATGTCCCATTTCAAACATTATTCCAAAATGGAACGATCTGGTGTTCAAGGGGCAGTGGCAGGACGCTCTCAACCGTCTTTTGATGACAAACAATTTCCCTGAATTCACTGGTCGAGTTTGCCCAGCCCCATGCGAGGGCGCATGTGTTTTGGGAATTAACGAGCAACCTGTAGGTATTAAGAGTATTGAGTGCGCTATCATCGATAAGGTAAATATGGTACTTATGAGATACTAAATCGTCTCTGATCACCATTTTACAGGGCTTTGAGATGGGTTGGATGGCACCGAACCCTCCATCCTTCCGAACCGGTAAAAGGGTTGCTATCATTGGCTCTGGACCTGCAGGTTTGGCGTGTGCCGACCAACTTAACAAAGCTGGACATCTGGTTACGGTTTACGACCGTAATGATCGTATGGGCGGCTTACTCATGTATGGAATTCCGAAGTAAGTCTATGCGCTTATGATTCTGGCATCTGGATCTGATATACTCCTGAATAAAGCATGAAGCTCGACAAGGCCATCGTGCAACGTCGGATAGATCTTATGGAGGCGGAGGGTGTGGTATGCATTTAATCCATACACGCTCTGATATATTACAGCTAATAATCATCATCATCAGACTTTTGTTAATAATGCCCACGTTGGCGTCAATGTTGATGCAGCTGCACTGCAAGACGAGAATGATGCTGTTGTTGTTTGTACCGGGGCCACCTGGCCCCGCGATTTGAAAATCCCAAATCGCCAGGTCGATGGCATTCACTTTGCCATGGAGTTTTTACAGGTTAATTTCTCGCTTTCGCTCACTTATCTGTCGTACTAATTTTGCACAAACACCAGCTGAACACCAAATCTCTTCTTGATTCGGAGTTGCAAGATGGGGGCTACATCAATGCCCGCGGCAAGGACGTCATTGTCATTGGTGGAGGTGACACGGGTAATGATTGTATCGGAACATCAATGCGACATGGCGCAAAATCTGTGACCAACTTCGAGTTGCTGCCAAAGCCACCTGCTTCGCGAGGAAGGGACAACCCTTGGCCTCAGTGGCCTCGGTGAGCCACATCGACACCATAATCGATTTATTATCTAATTTTCTTCGTTTGAAGAGTTTTCCGAACGGATTACGGACATACTGAAGTAGCTGCTCACTTTGGAAATGGTAAGATTTCAATTAATGATCGTTCGACATCAAATTGGCTGACAGGCTTTTCAGATCCCAGGGAGTACTGTATATCTACAAAAGAGTTTATAGTTGATGACGATGGAAAACTCAAAGGCTTGAATACAGGTAATCTTGTTCGTTTTGTTGATGAAATCGCATTGATATGACCCTTAATGTAGTGCGAGTTGAGTGGACGAAAGATAGCGGTGGCAGATGGAAGATGGAGGAAGTGCCTGGCTCACAGAAATTCTTCCCAGCGCAACTTGTTTTCCTTGCCCTTGGTTTCCTTGGTCCTCAAGCGGAAGTTGTTAACGCTTTCGGAGTGAAGCAGGATGCCAGGTCGAATATTCAAACAGCCCCTAAGGTTGGTGTCACCGAAGTTCTCCTTTTCTTGCTCTTACCTGTGATCCCAGAAATATTCCACCAATGTAGAGGGAATATTCGCAGCGGGTGATTGTCGCCGTGGGCAGTCATTGATTGTCTGGGGTATCAAGTATGTTTTTTGCTTCTGATCTCATCCTTAGATATTCATCCCCCTTTCAACAGCGAGGGTCGCGGTGCTGCTTCCGAGGTCGATGCCTGGTTGAGTGCAGGATCAACTAGATTGCCCGCTGCTGGAGGTATCAAGACAAGAGTGAGACACTTAACCTGTCTTCCTGACATACTTGCTGATCCTTTATCAGACCTTCGTCCCTCCTCCCAGCAAGATGCCACAGACTGTCAAAGTGGAAGCTTGAACCCTATCAATGGGATATCATGGAAATTCTTTCGAGTGTTGGATATTGCGTATGAATGTACAATTACGAACCTCACGCCTAAATGTTGGCTCAAAAAAATCTTGTATGTTTTTTATCTTTATCTCAATAGATTATTCGACAACGGGTCATGCGGATGCGGCCCGTGCTCTGTGAGAAGCCTGTAACACGTGCGATATTTGAAGGTCTCATCGATGCACTGATTAGTGAAGAACAGCTTCGTAGCCGGTTTAAGATTGTTCACAAGTATTTCGATTTGGACCATAAATATAGGACGTAATCTGACGAAGGTGCCACTGGAGATCACTACCATCAGATAATGGCCCATTGTTACAAATCCACTAAAGGACAGGCGTCTCGTCGATTTCGGGACGCTTTAGGGTTATCATCGTCTAAGGAGGACGAGAAAAAGTTCGCAGATATCAAGGCAAGGTTACTATTAACTCCTGTGCTGATTCCGAGGCTCATGGTCAGATCAAAGCTGGTACTTAGGCTGCTCGCTTATGAGCACTTTGAGATAGGTATCAAGCCGACGCACCAAGGGGAACAGAGGTGGGAGATGTTTTATCAGAGGGTTCGTAAGCTATCTTGTTGCCTGTTAAGTAGTCTTATCACATTGAATTTATGAGCAGGTTATGGAAGTACTACCCATCTTCAACTCATTGGCATCAAGACGGTTACCTCATATGCGCATTTATATACATAAGGTCCTCGCCCAAGCTGCATTTCATCAACGCAAACGAACGGCAGCTGAAGAAAGTACATGTACACCCGCTATCCTTGCTACCAGCAACGAGGATAACAAAGACCGTGACTCCTGCAGGATGAACTTGAAAACTACCCAGCCCGGGCCTCCACGAGTTACACAAACACGAGCGACGAACGTTCTACGGTCCTTGGAAGATCAGCGTCCACGTAGCACTACAGCGTTAGTGCTTGCATCTGGTGTAGGTTCTAGTCCTGTCCTCGTTTCAATCAAATTAAGCGAGCGATGTCAGTCTCTTTCGCAGACACAGCCAGCTCAGAGCTCATTCTCTCAGGAAACAACTCATACTACCAAGGGTGTCACATCACTCTCTCGCTTTCTCGCGAAAGCAAATCCCAACATGGAATATTTAATTCCTATTTTCTTATCAGTCGGGATAACCAATCAGGAATGTCTTGATGCACTTGTGACATGGCCTAAATTCGAACTTGTAGAATTTTTGCGTGGCCTTGTGAGCGATGGCAGGTTGACCAGATTTGAAGGGAAGGTTATTGAAATGCTCTTCCGTGAGGTGACTGAAAGCTCCTCAAGTTCCAAAATTTAGATATCGCCACGCTGAATATCTCATTTTACAAGGTTGTGTAATATTTTCGTGTACAGTGTTGGTGGGCTCCAAAAGGTTATATCTTGAAATCCAGATGATGATACATTTGTTCACGTGCCTATGTATATTCGTTTCCATTCACTCCTCATAAACTCTCACGTTGCCTTCGCCCCAAATTCGCATGATTGCGTACCCCGACTCAGTGGGCTGAGTAAACGCTACCTCACCCTTTCGAGGGTCAAGCGGGTAGCCGTGAATGAACGTCGCAGCAGCAGCAGATAGCAAATGACTCGCAATGCCCTGACGGCGGTAAGTTGAGGAGACGAAGAGACGCGGAATACCAAGAGAGGTCGGAAGAGGAGTAGGGTGGCAAAACAGCCCCGTGCTTGTATCGACAGCAATGAGCTGAGGCGCTTGAGTAAGGATCGGGGAGTCTTTTTCAGTAGAATTGATGAAATTGGGTGGGGTATTTCCTTTCGAGGCAACGGCCATCGCAGTAGAGATACGCTGTGCCACGACGCAGCCGACAATATCCTCGCGACGAGCCTTTGTTAGTGATGGAATGAGAAATAAATATATTTTCGATGCTTGAAGGGTAGGTGATGCAAGAGGAGGTGATGATAGTGTGAGGTTTATCGTTTCAAGCAAGTTTGATAGCTGACTTCACGGTAAGCACAATGAGCTAGAGAACGTGACAAATGAAAGACCTTCGATCTGATTTTGCCACCGACATCTCCTCTAAAGCATACAATACGACCTTTTCTGCCATCCTTAAGCTTCAATCCCGACTCGATTTCATCAACACAGGCGGTGTTATCTCTCTCTTCTTCGCGACCCCATTCCATTCCTCTTTGAACGCGAGCGCAGTGTAACCGGTGAAGCTCTTCGTCATCCGGAGCACCCTTAGTGTAGGATAGATCACATTGAGAACACGTTCGTAGTATAGAGGTTTCCAAGGAGAAATGTAACTGAGTCAAAGTCTTTCGTCTCGTTTTTACGTTGACGTTCGACGATGTCTTTAGCTTTGATATGACGCGTTTCTTGAATGGCAGTGAAGAAGACAGAGACGTGTCGGATGGCTGTTTTCTCTTCAGAGGTGCAATTGATAAGGTATCAACTTTGGTTCGCGATCCATATGTGTGTTGTTTCTGGACAGACATACTAACTTGATAACTGGTGGAGCAATGATAAGGAACGAAAAAGCGTGTCGATGCAATAAAGGTTGGTCGGCACACAGCGACACGCCTTGACGCGTATGTTTACCGTCACGTGCCGTATAGATCTCGCTTTAGTGACCGAATCGATTTTCGGGAAAATTCGGCCGTTCAAAGGCGGGCCGAGGAAACTCTAGTATTTTGCGGGGTGCCTCCATTCAGTAGTTTTAAGTAGCAATAAGTCAATACAGTACAATATAGCTCATTGCACATGCATCCTGATGCTACTACAGGAATAACTCTTAATACATGCTCACTAACCTATTGACTATTGCCAAGCTGTCATATCTGTGCCACAGGCTAAGGAACCTGTGTTGGAATTGTCAAGGTCAAAGCCTGGGCCTTGTTAGACAACATTGTGCAATTGAGTGTTGATATCCAAGGGCTGGTAGCTCAGTTGGTAGAGCACACCATATATAGGCAGGAGGTCCTAGGTTCAATCCCCGGCTGGTCCAATTTGCTTTTCTGTACTCTCTGAGTCTACTGTGGATTATTACAACCTGAACCTCTGAACAGTCAGAGACCCTCAAGTCTGAACTCCCAAATCTTTGGTACTCTCAGATACACCCCTTGTGCTCTCCTGCTCAGCATAGCCCTGTACCTGAATCCCATGCAATACTCCGGATGTGACAACACCAACAAGATACAATCTTGGGGCATTGGAGCACAACCTCAAAGACTACAACTTAAGAAATAATGGTACAATCTATCAAAAGAGGGAGATTGTTGTTACAATACACAATTTTTGGACATTTAAATTCTATTCTCCACTTCAATTTTTTTCTTAGTTTTCACACAGCTGCGCCATGTGGCACTTTTCCTTTTTGTTTTAAACTCCACTTGTATCTTTACTTTCTTGCGCTGCACTGCACTTCTTTACTTTTAGATACAAATCTCTCACACAGTGGAGCTGGTCACAAAGGGCTGCACCCTATGATATCATCAGCCACTGCTTTCATCAACTGTATAGTATATAAGTACAAACACCCTGTAGTAGTATATAAACCTCAATAGATCAAGGAGACTCCTCAGCAAGTCCTCCTGTTGTTTACCCACAACTAACTTGGTCCTATCTTAAGGGGTAACCACTCCCACTCACTTCACTACAGCTTGTCTAAGTTGTGCGCTAGAGTCTACAAACTCGTGGTTGTTACATTAGGACTTGCTCTCACTACTCTCTTGTACATTGTGCAAACCCAGACCACAGGGTTAAGTGAAGTCTTTTGAACAGTAAGACTTTCATGCCAGTCGGTGTTGAGCTTTTGGTTAGCTGTGGAAACAAAGTGTGTGCCCCAATCCTGCAGGTGAGCTCCTCAGGATGAGGTACTAGAGAGATCAGATCAAACGTTACATGGCCCCCAGTGTTAAGGGGAGTACTATAGCTCAGCAGTAGAGTGGAACTACTGTTGATTAGATCTACATACAAAATTTCTCTTTCTCTTTCCTCTGACCAGGCCAGGCACTTGCCTTCGCTGTTGATGATGAGAACTGTTGTTAGAAAAACCACACACAAAAACAAACTAACACACAATCCTCCCAGATTCCACGGAACTTGTTTATGGGCTTTGCCTCCTAGAACAGTGGAGTGGTCTGGTTGTTCGTGGGGTGGTACATATAACGACCCTTCAAAGTAAAACCCAGTGATGTATGGGTGTGGGTTTTGAGGAGGAGAGATAGTTGGAATATAGAAAGATAGGGGCTTTGTGGCGAGTATAGACGAGCACTACCTTGCTAATTGTAGCACAAGGTAGGTTTGAGAACGATGAGGATGAGGAGGTGATGAGGTTCCCAGTGATAGGAGGCTCCTGACGCACAAACTGTAGTGCTCAGAAGGACTCTAATTGAAAGGGATAACAATGACTTCAAAAGTGAGAAGTGACGATGACAGCAATTAACAGTGGTAGCAGTGGGAAGTGTTGTGACCACACTGGATCACAAGTAGCAGTAAGAAGTGGACTTAAGATTAGAGAAGAAGTCTGGAATCGAGTTTTTGTTGTTTTTACAAGATAAAATACAGGGGTTTATATAGTAAAAGAAAAGTAGGCTATGCACAGTATAGCTGTGCAAAAAGAATGAGAAAGAACATGAAGGAAGGAATGTACGCTGACAAATCCTGCATAGGTAATACAAGATAAGATTGTCAAAAAAAGGAAAAGAAAGGGATAGAACAATGAATGCTGTGAGTAATATCACAGGTTTGTACAGCCATAAAGTAAAGTCCAATAGCAAAAAGAGAGCAGGAAAATCATGATGTCATGGGAAGATGCAGTAAAAAAAAGGGCAAGGCAAAACACTATCAGTATCAACACAGTTCCTTTATTGTCAGTCAGGCATTCTAAAAAATATGTGTCCATAAAAATGATTTAAAATTCAAAAATAATCGCACTGTAAATGAATATTCTGCTGAAAAAAAAGAAACTGGAGCCACCGGTCCACCACCTAGTCCAAATCTGACAGTTCCATGGCCTTACTAATGGACTGGTTTTGTTGGACCACCTGGTCAAACGAGGGAGGGAGAGGAGTAGTCCCAATTTGGAACAAGTGAGTCCCAGGCAGCGTGTAGTAGGTGTAGCTGTAGCGAAGACGATGGAAAAAAGATAAGTGTACCCAAGTGAATGGGACAGCGATGAACATGGGCGACGCAAGGGGATGAACCTTCTCCAGCTCAAAAACTACCCACCCACGCTCCAACCAGGCAAGACGAGCGACCAATGTTTTGATAGTATATGATGGTAGATCGACATCATAAAAATGGACCTATTGCCCTATTTGAACCAGCCGCCGGGGCTTTGTTGATATCAGCAGCGGCATGTGGTAGTCAACGGATTGGCGACGGAAGCGGATAGGAAGTGGTGACATCAGAAATGGTGGAGGAGCAAAAAAGACGAGGAGGAGGAGGCTGGAGGTGATGAGGAGGTGAACTAAAATGGGGATCCAGAAACGACCGTTGGGTGAGAATAAAAACAAGAGTAAGGGACCCATGGTGGGGCTAGGCAAAGGAAGGGAAGTGAAGGAAACAACAAAAGCGAGGGCGCAATGCAATGTGTAGCCAGTGGCAACGCAAAAATTTGCCGAAATGCCGAAATGCCGAAAGTACCGGATGGAAAAGCAAAGGTGAGCGTGACTGGATTGCCTAATAGAGGTGGTGCTGATCAGCCACAAGTTCAAAAAGGGCAATATTAATTACTATTCCACGTGGCACTGTGCCTGTGTGGTGCAAAGGCGAGTCTTTTTGAATATTCGCTTCATTATTGACACCTGTCCATGCTACCAATCAACTTTGGTGCATGACAGCAGATCTGATACATAATATTTGGAATTGACGTGTCTTTGACATTTAGAAAGTTAAATTGTAGAATTCTATCCCCCTCTTTAAGGTTGACCTCAGGGCAATATGTTTCTAGATCTTCTTCTGGTTCAAAAAATCATACCATCATGTTGCATTCACTCGGACATCTGTTGAATTCTAGTTTTGACTTGTTCCAGTCTATTGTGGGATTGTGTCTTTTTAACCATTTATAGCCTAAGAACATCTGGCCAGTTCCAAGATTGGTAACGGCTAGCTGGAGTCTTTTGGCATGGCCGTTTATCTCCATGAATAGTTCTATAAATTCTTTAATGCTTCCGTCCTGGTTAAGGGTGCCATCGGCATTGTAAACTGGAATGGGTCTAGGGATTCTTTGCCTTTTGTATCCCTGTCCTTCAACAAATTTAGAGTCTATGCAACTCCCCGTGCAGCCGCTGCCTAATAACGGATTTATCGTTGTTGATTTGTGCGTTCCGAGGTTTGTGAGTCTACAGGTGACATTCATCTGGTTTCCTTGAGTGCCTCTTATGAACTGTTTAGGCTTTCTCAATTCTTCCAGCGCTAATACCATTTTGTAAATTGGTAAAGTGTTTAGTTCTTTTATCAGTTCTGTAGTTACTTCTAGTCCTCATTTTTTGTGGGTCCAGCTGTTTAGGATACCAATAGATCTTTCTTCCTTTTGGTCCCTGAGCCTTTCCGCTAGTCGGCTGTCATGGTACTTTCTTTCCTAGGTTTTTTATCAGAGGTGTGCCTGACCTCTTTGGAGCTGGTCGAAATATCAGTGTCATTGGTGCTTCCCAATTGAGTCACCACTTTCTGTGTTTCAGTTATCTCCTTTTGAACTACTGCACTTTTTGTGGTCCTATCCCCTTTAGGTACCTCACGCACCGCACTTTCCTTAGAGTGTGTCAAGGCATCAGTGTCAGAAGCGCTACCCAATTAAGTCGCTCCATTCTGTGCCTTAGTTATCTCTTTTTTTGGGAATCTTTTCAACCTGTTTCCCTTTCAGGTTCTCCTCTTTAGATTGTTTTTCCTTATGTCTCGAATCTTGTGCATCTTTAAATAATGCAATATCATTTTCATCGGTACTAATACAAGCATCAAGATCATCAACAGAAAGGGAGGCATATTTATTTACATCTGTAATGTCTTTAGGCTCGGTGTGACGAGGACTCACAGCCAGCCTCTTCAAAAACCCTTGAGCAATTCGTCCCGCTCTTCCTTCAACATCCCTTCAAGCATAGCTTTGAGGTTAAATTTTGGTTTCACAGCCGTGCTGCCCCCTTCTTTGTGGTCTTGGGCCCTATGCCCTTTTTCTCCACACTTGAAGCATCGGCCTTCTGCTCGATACTTTGCTTTGTCCACTTCTATTAGCATTCTGGGTTGTCCATAAACCGTGCCTGTGCTGTCTTCCTTTACCTCCACCATCTCGGCCTTCCTCTCTGAAGCGCCTCCTCCTTGGTAACAACCATTGGGTCCCCAGTTTCCAGAACTGGAGCTGCCGCCAATCATTCCTTTGAGCATCTGCTTGTTCTTCATCTGATCCCTCCACAATTGATCATTCATAATAATCCTCGTCTTCTATTCTATGTATGTCCTTGGAATGTTGCCGCTTTATCAGCAATCCGTTGATATTGTTCCTAATGAGCGTTATTAGGAACTGCTCATTCCTTCTGACATTGTAGCCTGCTCTCCTTCTGAGCTCCTTGAACTTTATGAAGAACTCCTGTGCTGTCTGGTTTTTTTCTTGCTTCTGGTACATTATCTTATGTTTTGCTCACTCCTCCTCATGCGAGTCTTTGAAGTGTTCTTTGAGGGTGTTTTTGAAGTACATCCAACTTTCCAACAGGGTCGTCTCCCCTATATCGGATCTCTCTTCTGCGGCCTTCCTCCTTTCTACCCATTTGGTCCTAGGAGCTGCCACCACTTCCAGGGTCATGTATGATAAGGCAAATATGATTTTGTTTTCGTCAGATCTGAAATATTGGGTGTTTGCTCCAAAATGAAGTTCTAACGACTCCATGAATCCGCAAAACTTTTTCTTATTGCCATCATAGTGTTCCGGCTTGGCTAGGGCCGTCTTTTCAAGTCTTACTTCTGGTTCAGGTTGCTGGCCCATTTGCCATTGCTGTTGCTGTTGCCGCCTTTCTGCTAAGGCGAGCTTTTGCCACAAGTCTGCTACTTTGGCGTTTTTTTGATTCCATCTTTGCTCCCATACCTCGTTGTTTTCTAGGAACTCTAGGTTCCTGCGCTGTCAGTCTAGTTCTGGCGATGGTTTTCTTGGCGGAGTAGGCGGTAGGGCCTCTGCTAATTTGTTCATGCCCATTCCGGGCGTCAATGGTGGTAGCATATCTGGGTTGGTCTCTCTCCATGCGTTGAGAGACATCGTTGTTGGAAGGGTGGGGATTGTCAAAGTATAGGATGATGGGTTCTGGGGTTTCTTGTTTCATCTCAAAAGGCATACAACTATGGTTCCCTAGATGATAAGTCTGGATCAACACATCATATTGTAAGTTTCTTTTGTCTATTTTTTTCTCTTGGTAAAGGGATCCTCTTCCGTTCCCTACTACCGTGTACATAAAAGTATTCTACAAAAAAGGCTAACTTAAAAAGTATAGTACTAAATCTGGGTCCAAACGGTTGTTCAGATGTACCCAGCTTTTTAGGCTCTCAGGTTTTCCCCGACTGGCAGACACAAGTGCGCGGCCTGGTAAGGGGTATATGGAAATAAAAGGTAGGTAAAAGATGTAACTAATAAAATCGCAGCAACTCCACGCCATCACAATCTCTAAGTACAGGGTTATGCAGATGGGTGATGGGAGATAGGGGAATGGTCTTGAAGGATGAGTTTGAGGGAGAGGTTTGGATGAAAGTGATGATTGTGGATGGGCAAGGGTTAGGGGATGTGATAGGAGGAATAGGTGTGGTGAGGTGAAAGTAAAGTTTGAGTAGTGCAAAGAATAGGAGTGTGATGATGGGAAATAGGATGATAATAATGGTAGCCTTTGTTTGGCTCATTCAACCAGGTGCTATACCAGCTTTTGATTATATAATGCAACCACCTATACCAAAGTAACAGAGTGGCTATGTTGAATCTTAGCAAGTAGTTAAAACAAGGTATATTGAGAGGAAATCAAAAGCTAGAGTATGTATAGTATCAAGTAGCTACTTATATATATATAGGAACATGTCAGCCTTGAGGCGCTGACTGAGAAACATGAGGAAAGAGCATGTATGCTGAGTAAGTAGTTAGGTGACTTAAGGTCACATGACGAGATAAGATAAATACTATGTATTGATTAGATAAGGTGAAATGAGTGTTTCTACATCAGAGTTAGATAGATAAGGAGATTGATTAGGGTTTGGAGTTTGAGATCGTGACACTCTGGCACATAGGTTTTGTTTTTGAAACATAAGATCCCATCTTTCCATAAATAATTTTCATTGCCGTTAAGGCACGCTCTCTCTTCTGATGAAATGTCTTTCTTAAAGACTTCTAGTAGATTGTGATCCTGCCCAATTTGAATATTGGCAACCCTGGATTGATCTATCAAGGTGACACCTTTGTTGTCATCTTTGATGTCATTGGCATGATATTCTCTTTTGGACAAAGTGTAACAACCAAGAGTTAGTTACTCTGGCGCACACAGGAACACACTATAAAGGTAGTGATAAGGAAGTGGTTACCCCTTAAGCTGCAGAGAGTTTGTTGGTATACAACAGGAGGACTCGCTGAGGAGTCTCCTTGATCTATTGGGGTTTATATACTGTTACAGGTTTGTTTGTACGTATGTACTATATAGTTGCTAAAGGCAGTGGCTGATGCTGTCATAGGGTGCAGCCCGTGTGACCAGCTCCACTGCGTGAGAGACTTGTAGCTAAAATAAGAAGAAAGCAGTGTCTAATACAGTGAGCTTACATGTCATGGTCATTTGATTGCCTTGGGTACCCCTAATGTACTTTTTAGGGGAGGCAATTTCTATGATCGCTAGTATGGCTTCTACTTTTGGTAACCGGTTGATTTTTTTATTGTTTCCCGGGTTACTTCTTTAGTTCTCTTTTTATGTGTTCAGGCACTTAGAATCCCAATGGATCTTTCTTCACTTTGGTCTCTAAGCCTGTCCACTACCCACTCTGGGGTTCAGACTTATTTTCTTTCTAGGTTTTGTTTTGGAGGGGTTTTTGACCTCCCTTCTACAGTCTCTGCTGTGTTTTTCTCTATAGAGCTTGCCGCATTGGGTGTAGGTTTTTTACCATCCGCCGTCATTGCTGCACTTTCTAGTAATTTGCCCACCGTCGAAACTGCGGGTGTCTCATCACTATGTGCCACTTCTGCTGCGGTTGTGCCTTTCTTTTTTGCATCTTTTCTTTCATTCCTTATTTCTTTCTTTGTGTGTGTGTCAATGATTCTATTTTCTGTGCTTTCTGGTAGATTACATGATTCCACAGTTAGAGAAGAAAATCGGTTTGAAATATTGTTCTTAGGTGCAGTCGGTTGATGCTGTTCCACTGGCCTCTTTAAAAACTCGCTAGGAGTTTTTCCCTTTCCTCTTTCGTCATTTTCTCCAAGAATTCTCAAACATTGAATTGAGGCTTCTTTGTTTGTGCGTTTTTGCATTCGAAGCTTCTATGCCCTTTCTCTCCGCACCGGTAACATTGTCCCTCAGTGCAGAATTTTTGCTTTGTCTACTTCCATTCTTTCTCCGCTTCCTGTATATGTGTATCCTGTTCTGTCCTTCTTCTTTTCTATTTTCTGTTCTGAATTTGGTTTCCTTCCAAATTCAGATCCCTTCTTTTCTTTTTCTCGTTCTCTCCAGATGTAGTCTATCCGGATGAGTTCTTGTTTCCATTCCTAGTAGTCTCTGGGAATATGCCCTCCATAAATTACCCGATCTATCAAGGGCTTATTCATGTTCCATCTCAGCAATGAGATCAGGAACTCTTCATTCATTCTATTGGTATATCCTGCCCACCTCTTCTATTCTTCAAACTTTTTGAAGTAGGCTTGAGCAGTTTTATTACCCTGTTTTAGGGTTAATATTTCATTCTTTGCAGTTTCTTTTTCAAAACTGTCTTTCAATCCCTCTTCCATCTTGTCGGCAAAAAACGGCCAACTTCCGTATGTGTTTGTTATGTCTAACCCTAGCTGTTGGGCATTGACTCTATTCTCTAGCCAATCGGTCCAAAAGGCTGCAGCTTCTCCTTTTTTCATAAAAGACAGCACAAAGCTTATCTTTTTCCTATCATCTTTGAAATAGGTGGTGTCGTCTTCAAAGTGTAGAAGTAGGGACTCTCTAAAAGCTCAATACTTCTTCTTATCTCCCAAGAAGTTTTCTGGCTTCTCAAGGGCCGTCCTAGTCCTTTCTACCCTTTCTGGGGGTGGTGCTGTTCTTTTTAGTCTTTTCTCTAAGACACTGACTTCTTCTCATGCCTCGTCTAGTTGGGACTGGTACAGAAGGTGGGTTTGTTGGATTGCTTTTTCGACTTCTTGTGTTATGTATGCCTCTAATGAGGCTTCTTGGGGTGGGGGAGTTTCTATTCTTGGTAATGATTCCATCATTTCCCGAGTAAAGTCGTTGCCCGTGCTGCTGGATGGCTCGGGCCGATCTCTGTATTCTAAATTGGACATTTTCGAATAGTAGTGCTTCTGGCGGGGGAGTTTCTTGTTTTATTATGGGGGAGAGGCTTCTGATGGGTGTGATAATGGGGAGTGGGAATTGTCCCATGAAAACGTAATCTTTTGTGTATATGTTTTGTTCGCCAATCCAAATGTAGAAATCTCTACTGAGCATAGAAGGAGTTCCCCAGTGATAAGCTGGATCAATACACCGCTTCTAAGACCTCAAGTAGTCTATCTGTTTCTCTTTAGTCAAGGTGATCCTCTTCCATTCACCACTGACTGTGTACGTACTGTGCTATTTTTGTATTTTTACGAATTTTATGTAAGAGGCTATAGTAGAAAAACTAGGTCCGGACAGTTATCTAGTTTTAACCGGCTTCTTAGGCTCTCAGTTCTTCTCCCGACTGGCGGACGCAAATGTGCGGCCTGGTCAGAGGAAAGAGAAGGTTGAAACTATGTAAAAATGAGAAAATTCCAGTGGTTCCACACCAAAGGAATTATGATGATATAATGGTAACTAAAAGGGGATGGTTTGGAAGGAGTCTTGGGAGGTTGTTGGTGAGACGTTGGCAGGGAAGAATGATGCGATGGTATTGGGGTGTGTAGGGATATGGGTGAGGGGGATGATAGGTTGGTTTGTTCGGGGACGATAGAAGATGTGGAGTGTGACGAATATGATGATGATGACGATGATGAGTGTGATGGTTATTGGGATAGTTGCTGTTACGTTCATAGACGGTACTCGTGCAGTTGTTGATTGTATTAGATCCCTACACCTTATGCCAAAAAAACGGAGGTGTGAGGCTCAAATCAAACAAGTAGCGTCAAGTATCAATGTATAAGAAGTAATCAACAACTGAGGAATGTATGTACATGAGTAGCAGTATATATATGTTTCTGAAGGTCAGCCATGAGGCGCTGACTGATGTACTACATCATAGTCTAGACTTGGTCAGGTGACAGTAAAATCACGTGACCAATATTATTAATTATTGCTTGCATAATGGGTCATGTGATAGTAAGATCACATGACGATAATGATAAGATGTTTCAAGATTAGATAAGTTTCTGTTCAAATCGTGACATACAGATTGTTTGTACATGTTGTATTATACAGTTGATAAAGCAGTGGCTGATGATGTCAGAGGGCGCAGCCCGTGTGACCAGCTCCACTGCGTGAGAGACTTGTAGCTAAACTAAGAATAAAGGCAGCCCCGCACGAGAAAGAGGAGTTTGAACAAAAGGAAAGTGCCGCATGGCACAGAGTGTGAAAACTATAGTAAAAAGGTTAAAGTGGAGAATGCAAATAAAAGGAAAGGTCCAAAAATGTGTCATCGTAACGCTCTCTCACTCACTCCTCTATGCTTGTTCCTCACTGTGTGCCAGAGTATAAAAACTTTGGTTGTAACAATAAAATGTTTACCTTTATTTATATTAACTATACAGTACCACATGGATTTTAGTATAGATGAGTCTACTAACTTAATTCTCTCTCATCACTTTTCCCTGAGTTCCCTGCTGTGTGCATCAGAGTATAACAACTTTAGGGTATTGTCGCATTGGAGGAGTAGAATTGGAGGTTGGAGTTAATGTCAGTTGGGCATTCAAAGTATCTGGAGAACATAATGAGATATTGTTCAGTACCAAGTCAATCAATGTATTATAGTGGGAAACCCAATTGTATCCCAGAACTGCAAAGCAGGACAGATCCAACAAGGTGACATAGAAAGTCATTGGTGTTACAATACACAATTTTTGGACCTTTAATTTTCATTCTCCTCTTTAACTTTATCCTGTAGTTTTCACACACTGTGCCATGCGGCACTTTCCATTTTGTTCAAACTCCACCTTCTCGCACTACACTGCCTTTATTCTTATTTTAGCTACAAGTCTCTTACACAGTGGAGCTGGTCACACGGGCTGCACCCTCTGACATCATCAGCCACTGAGTTTATCAACTGTACAGTACATAAGTACAAACATTATGTATTAGTATATATACCTTAATAGATCCAGGAGACTCCTCAGCAAGTCCTCCTGTTGTATACCCACAACTAACTCGATCCTACCTAAGGGGTAACCACTCCCTTATCACTACCTTTATAGCTTGTCTGAGTTGTGTTCCAGAGTAACTAACTCTTGGTTTACAATTGGAGTAACTTTCCCACAGGGGAAGCTGATGGGGAGGTCCACTGCCTTGGTAGTGATGGAGTTTGATGTGACATCAAATAAAAGGAGTCAAATTAGAGCAATGATATAGGGGAAAAGTTTACTAGTATTCATGAAAACAGTGTCTACAAAATAGTGTGACAAGCCAGAGTCTACTAGAACTGTGAAGGGAGTGCTCAGAAGAGATTTGGAGGTAAGGGATACATAGAGAGAATTGGTATCTGAAAAATCGGATCTCTGTCAGTTGTTATATCTGTACCGGTGTCGATGATGAGAACTGTTGTTAGAAAACCACACACAAAAACAAACTAACACACAATCCTCCCAGATTCCACGGAACTTGTTTATGGGCTTTGCCTCCTAGAACAGTGGAGTGGTCTGGTTGTTCGTGGGGTGGTACGTATAAAGATCCTTCAAAGTAAAACCCAGAGGTGTATGAGTGTGGGTTTTGAGGAGGATGTGAGGCAACGATAAACTATAACAAAAACTAAACCTATCTCCTTCTGCACTTGCAGGGAGTAAGGGTCCAATGAGCTTTGAGGTCGACAGACGCTAGAAATATAGTGAGTAGAGGACTTTGAGAGGTAAGCTTCAAAGGTTCTTGTTGAGGAGTAAAGCGGGTAAATTCAGTAATAGAAAGCTAAGGAGCTATACATGAATAGGTACGTCTTTATATAGAGAACTGTCCGTTCCTCAGACCGAAAGGAGAATATACGAAAAGTGGTCTGAGGAATTAATCAACCAATAGGAAAAAGGGAGAGTAACTATCGTACGACTTCTGACTTGATTAATCAGCAGGTGAGAGACTTGTACTAATAATAGAAGATTGTTACGCGTGGTCAGGAACCGTATCCTCATGATGAGGTACGATTCTAGATAAGGCGTTTATTAGTATTACCAGGCTTTACTGGGGCTTGGAGCTGGTTGGCGAGATGCCTACTACCAGTCCCTACCCAGTGTGCTGGCTAGCTGGGAGCGATGCCCAGTCTCTGATCTGTGATATAAAGTGGTAGCGATGGTTAAGAAAGCCTGTGAGGGCTATGAGAAGTAAGATGGCAAAGGATACCTCTAGCCCTAGAGCCAGAGGTGTAACGGGAAAAGTGTTCGAGAACCAAGACATAACAAAGATAAGAAAATAGTAAAACGGTCCTTACAGAGGAGGGATAGTTGAGTTTATAGAAGGATAGGGGCTTTGTGACGAGTATAGATGAGCACTACCTTGCTAATCGTAGCACAAGGTAGGTTTGAGAACAACGAGGATGACGAGGTGACGAGGTTCCCAGTGATAGCAGGCTCCTGACGCACAAACTGTAGTGCTCAGAAGGACTCTAATCGAAAGGGATGACAATGACTTCAAAAGTGGGAAGTGACGATGACAGCAGTTGACAGTGGTAAAAGTGGGAAGTGTTGTGACCACACTGGATCACAAGTAGCAGTAAGAAGTGGACTTAAGATTAGAGAAGAAGTCTGGAATCGAGTTCTTGTTGTTTTTACAAGGTAAAATACAGGGGTTTATATAGTAAAAGAAAAGTAGGCTATGCACAGTATAGCTGTGCAAAAAGAATGAGAAAGAATATGAAGGAAGGAATGTACGCTGACAAATCCTGCGTAGGTAGTACAGGATAAGATTGTCAAAAAAAGAAAAGAAAGGGATAGAACAATGAATGCTGTGAGTAATATCACAGGTTTGTACAGCCATAAAGTAAAGTCCAATAGCAAAAAGAGAGCAGGAAGATCATGATGTCATGGGAAGATGCAGTAAAAAAGGGCAAGGCAAAACACTATCAGTATCAACACAGTTCCTTTATTGTCAGTCAGGCATTCTAAAAAAATATGTGTCCATAAAAATGATTTAAAATTCAAAAATAATCGCACTGTAAATGAATGTTCTGCTGAAAAAAAAGAAACTGGAGCCACCGGTCCACCACCTAGTCCAAATCTGACAGTTCCATGGCCTTACCAATGGACTGGTTGTGTTGGACCACCTGATCAAACGAGGGAGGGAGAGGAGTAGTTCCAATTTGGAACAAGTGAGTCCCAGGCAGCGTGTGGTAGGTGTAGCTGTAGCGAAGACGATGGACAAATGATAAGTGTACCCAAGTGAATGGGACAGCGATGAACATGGGCGACGCAAGGGGATGAACCTTCTCCAGCTCAAAAACTACCCACCCACGCTCCAACCAGGCAAGACAAGCAACCGATGTTTTGATAGTATATGATGGCAGATCGACGTCATGAAGATGGACCTGTTGCCCTATTTGGACCGGCCGCCGGGGCTTTGCTGATATCAGCAGTGGCACGTGGTAGTCAACGGATCGGCGACGGAAGCGGATAGGAAGTGGTGACATCAGAAATGGTGGGGGTGCAAAGAAGATGAGGAGGAGGAGGGTGGAGGTGAACTAAAATGGGGACCCAGAAACGACCGTCGGGTGAGAATAAAAAGGAGAGGAAGGGGCCCATGGTGGGGCTAGGCAAAGGAAGGGGAGTAAGGGAAACGACAAAAGCGAGGGCGCAATGCAATGTGTAGCCAGTGGCAACGTGAAAATTTGCCGAAATGCCGAAATGCGGAAAGTACCGAATGGAAAAGCAAAGGTGAGCGTGACTGGATTGCCTAATAGAGGTGGTGCTGATCAGCCACAAGTTCAAAAAGGGCAATATTAATTACTATTCCACGTGGCACTGTGCCTGTGTGGCGCAAAGGCGAGTCTTTTTGAATATTCGCTTCGTTATTGACACCTGTCCATGCTACCAATCAACTTTGGTGCATGACACCGGAAGACAGAACTCTGGCATTTCCAAAGGAGTTATTCTCTGAGCCCAAAACCCCCGAAACATCGGTATACTTGGGATTACGTTCCTCATGGTCTGTCAGTCAGCATAACTCTACACTCCAATTCTACATGGTACTCCAGTTGTCTGCTCCAATACTCCTGCACCGGACTTCTAGTCTGCCATACATTTATCCTCACACATTCTAGTATTCCTCATAGACTCTATAGTTAGACCTTATGATACACTCCTCACACATGTGCTCTCCTCTTGCTAGATAATTGTCCGCATGGAACTCTGTACCTACATTACAAGTTACTCCTTACGAACTCCTGCTCCCCCAACAGTATATAAGCTGTAACTCCTATACTCTGTCTCTGCAGTTCGAATATCAACTAGATTCCCTCGCTTTTTTACCAGTCCTTTTCTAAAGTCCTTTCCAATCCTTCTCCAAAGGATCTTTACTCTGCTCCCTTTCATCCTCTACTTCTCCTCTGTCTACTTCCAACGAGTTAGGGACCAAGGTCTGTGGAAGGGTCTAGCACACAAGCTAAGCCAATTCCCCATCTTGTCCTCTGTATTCTGTTACTCCGTCCTTGTACTCTGCAGCTCCATTACTCCAAAGAGGCCACGGTTCTGACATCAGTGCACAGTCCTCAACCTGTGTGTAGCGTGAAGGACTGCTGACTATTTGTTTTGCCTCAGTGGTGTCTGGTGTGTTTTCAGGAATTGTTGCAGTGGCATAAACTTTTATGACACTGGAAGAAGACTTAGGGCACAATTTTGCATTGTGCCCTATTTGTCCACAGAACAGACAGAGATTATTGCCAAAACAGTGTTTGTATTCTCCCAGAGTAATTTTACCATCCTCGCCCAGCTTGCTAAACATATCTGGAATTTTCATAGCAGACAAGTGCAAGTGAGTATAATGGGAATGGAAATTAGACTAAATTAAATTGCCACAGAATGCAAGTCTTGCAGAGGATGATAAAAACTGCTTGGAGGAGGAGGACATAGTATTGGCATCCAACAAGGACTTGAGCTGGATGCCAGTTTTCCTTCTAAATCTGTGTTGTTTCCAATAGCATAAGTTAATGGTTTGGGCAAGGACCTGTAACTCTGCAAGGGAGTCTGGTTTTCCAACATGGGAAACCTTGATCTTTAAAGAAAGTCCTTTGTAGAACTGGTAATAGAGTGCACTTTGCCCCACCCTTGGAGTTGGGTGGTGAGATAATTAAACTTGACCATGTGCTTTTTTAGATATTAATTCTTACACATCTGGAGGTGTTCTTAAAAATTGGGACTCCGCATCTCTGATGAGGTCATGAGGCCCAAAATTGAAGAGGAGTGTAGAAAGAAACTCGGAGTAGTTGTCCATCCAGATAGAGATTGTGGCAAGATTGTCTGGGGTCAGGATGTCAGGCTCAAACCAATCTAGCACTATCCCTTTAAGGAAGGGGATTGTGTAATTGATCTTTGCCCAGTCAGTGTGGAACACACCTGAAAGCTTGTTAAAGTCTAGTTCACACTGTGTTACGATCCATTCTTCTATTATGATTGCAATTCAACTCTAATGTCATGCTACCATTGATTTTTCAAGGTTCTTGGTCTATAATTGCCTGATAGGGATTGGATTATGGATGGGGTAGTCCCATCAGATGATAGCAGGGAATTGAAGAGTAGATTCAACTTGTCCTATCCTACTGTTATATAGGGATTTATATACTAAGTAGGTAGTGAATCTAAGCTGAGCTCCAAACTGGGTTTTAAGTAAGAGCCAATAGTGTAAAGACCTCCCGGGCCAAGGGTGTGGAGAATATAGTCCAAAAAGAGTATCCTTGGAAGAACTATAGATTACAAGGTATAAGGCTAAGACTGTGGTGTCCAAGAAAAAGAAGAAGAAAGATAAGATAAAGATAAACATAGAATGAGATAAAGATTGAGAGATGAAAGTGTACATGTGGGGAAACTGAGATAGTGGTGGGTGATAACCACTAGGTAAAGGAAATGTAGTCCAATAAGTAACAACAAGGGGTGAAGGATAAAATGAGAGTAGATTTGAATCGTAACACACTGCACAATGAAGGAGCAAAGCTTCCTTGCATTGGAGCCTTTGAAGGTGTTAGGCTCCCATATTCTGGTGCATGCAGAACCACCATCAGGGTTGCATTGAGAGGATCTGGCAAGTAAGGTGATTGCTTGGGCTAGGGTAAGACCCTCGCTGTCCTTGTTCTCCTCCTTGCCCTAGGTAACTCAGTAGGAGCAAGCACCAGAGAGTCCAGAGCTGGCATTGGGGTATATGGAGAATCAGGAAATCTCAGAGACACCCTAGAGGTACAAGAAGAGATCAGATATTGTGGGGCCATGCAAATAAATAGCACCTCTAGGGGTTGACAAGTGGACAAACTGTGAAATCCATCACTGCCCTGGAATATATTACTCATGTGTTTGACCATGGAAGAGATATGGAGGGTCCAGGCAATGTCGGTTCAAATATCCTATCAGAATTATGACTTTCAGATTTGTCAGAGTTTGGAGGATAGAGATGTGCTGTGGGAGCAAAACAGGGAGTTGGCTTGTGACAACACCAACGAGACACAGTCTTGGGGCACTGGAGCACAACCACAGCAACACTTAATGGAGAATAACAAAGTGTATAACCTATCAAAGGACAGAACTTGTCATACTAATGTTGGTATACACTAGAAGAGGACTCACTGAGTCTCTCCCCCATGTATTGCTCCAGTATATATACTAAAACACATGAGGTACTGTGTCACGACTTGAACCAACAGAAGTCTTATCTAATCTATAAGTTCCAAATCTTATCTCATCATGTGACCTTACTATCACATGATTATTACAAATAGTAGTATTTATCTTATCTTGTCACGTGACACTACAGTCACCTGACAAAGCCTGGACTATGACGTAGCACATCAGTTAGCGCCTCATGGCTGACTTTCAGAAATGTATATATATCAGACACCCATGTATATATATTCCTTAGTTGTTAATTACCTCTTAACATTGATTATTTGACGCTATTTGATCTGAAACTTACACCTCTGTTAGTTCAGCAAAAGGTGTAGGGATCTAACACAATCAACAACTAGTAACAACTACTATCTATGAGTGTACTAGCAGCTATCATCATCATCACCATCATCATCATCATTATCACCATCTTCACACTACTCTGTATATTTTACCAACCACACACACAACCCATCATTCCATTAACTCACATCCCTACTCATCCAAACACCATCTTATCATTCTTCCCTGCCAATGTATCACCCTCCTCCTCCTGAACATCTTTCAAAACCATTCCCCTTTAAATACTACTACATACATATTCTTGACGGTGTGGAACCGTAAAGAATTTCTCATTTTTACATAGTTTCATCTTTGCATACTCCTTACCAGGCTGCTCACTTGAGTCTGCCAGTAGGGGAAGAGTTGAGAGCTTAACATGCCGACTACGTTCAGACAACCATTTGGACCTGAATTTTACACTATACATTTTACATAAAATTTGTAAATACAAAACTAGCACTTACATACATAGTCAGTGGTGGACAGAAGAGAAACACCTTGACTCAAAGAGAAAGATAGACTACTAGAGATCTTAAAAGCAGTGTATTGATCCAGCTTATCACTGGGGAACTCCTTTCATGCTCAGTAGAGAATTTTACATCTGGATAGGAGAACAGAACATGCATTACACAATTTTCAGACCTTTAATTTTTATTCTCCTCTTTGTCCTTTTTCTGTAGTTTTCACACACTGTGCCATGTGGCACTTTCCCCTTTGTTCAAACTCCTCTTTCTCGCACTACACTGCCTTTTCCTTATTTTTAGATATAACTCTCTCACGCAGTGGAGCTGATTACACGGGCTGTGCCCCTTGACATCATCAGCCACTGCCTCCATCAACTGTATGGTACACATGTACAAACAACCCTGTAGTAGTATATATACCCTAATAGATCAAGGAGACTCCTCAGCGAGTCCTCCTGTTGTATCCTCATAACTAACTTGTTGAAGCCTAAAGGGTAACCACTCCCTCATCATCCTCTCTATAGCTTGTCTGAGTTGTACGCCAGAGTAACAAACTCTTGGTTGTTACAGAATGTCTATACCAGAGATTACATTTTCAAAAACCACTTTCCACCCCCCATTATCACTCCAATCAGAACTTCCTCTCCTGAAATCAAACAAGAGACTCCACCACCACCACAACTCAAATTCACAAACAATGTTCAATTTAGAATACCGAAATCAGCCAGAGCCATCAAGCAGCACAGGCCACAAATTTACTCGGGAAATGATAAACTCATTACCCAGAATAGAAGCCCCTCCACCCAGAGAAGTCTCAATGGAGGCATATGTAAAAGCAGAGATAGAGAAAGCAGTTCGAGAAACCCGCCTCATCTATCAATCACAACTCGAAGAAGTGTCCGTATTAGAGAAAAGACTCAAAAAGGCGAACAGAGCACCACCACTCCCAGAAAGGGTGGAGCAAAGTAGAATGGCTCTTGAAAAGCCAGAGAACTTCTCAGGAGATAAGAAGAAATATAGAGCCTTCAGAGAGTCTCTGCTTCTTCACTTCAAAGAGATGACTTTGGATATTTTAAAGACAATAGGAAAAAGATCACCTCCGTGCTGTCTTTATGAAAGAAGGAGAAGCAGCGGCATTTAGGACCAACTGGCTTGAGAATAGGGTCAACGCCCAACAGCTGGGTTTAGACATTGATCATACATACAGAAGTTGGTTATACTTTGCGGACAAGATGGAGGAGAGATTCAAAGACAATTTCGAGAAAGAGAGCGCAAAGAATGAGATTCTGACCCTAAAGCAGGGAGCAGAAACAGCTCAAGTGTTCTTTGAAAAATTCAAAGAAAAATGACGATGGGCCGGATACACCACCAACTGGATGAACAAAGAATTCCTCAAACCGGAAAAAGACAACCGGAAAAAAGTCCAGAAACAAAGACGGAGAAAAAGAAGGACAGCACTGGCTACACATACACAGGTGGCGGTGAAAAGATGGAGGTCTATAAAGCATACACTGAGAGAAGATATTACTGGTGCGGAGAAAAAGGATATGGGAGTTTTGAGTGCAAAGATGCACAAACAAAGAAGCCCCAGTTTAATGTCATAGAATTCCTAGAGAAGATGATGAAAGAGGAAGGAGAAAATCTCCTGGCAGATTTTTAAAGAGGCCAGCGGTATCGCATCAACTGGCTGCGCCCAAAAAAGACAATTTGAATTGATTTCTCCCTTTAACTGTGGAAACATGTATTCTACCAGATAGCATTAAAAATGAATCTATTAAAAATACACAGACAAAGAAAGAAATTAGAAACAAAAAAGATGCAAACAAAAACAGAAGCACAACCGCAGCAGAAGCGGTGCATAGTGATGAGACATTCACAGTTCCGATGGTGGGCAAATCACTAGAAAGCACAGCACTGACGGCAAATGCTAAAATTCCTACACCCGATGTGGCGAGCTCTATGGAGACAGACGCAGCAGAGACTGTAGAAGGGAGGTCAGGAACCCCTCCAAATAAAAACCTAGAAAAGAAAGAAGTGTGGACCCCGGAATGGGTTGTAGACAGACTTAGAGACCAAAAGGAAGAAAGATTCATTGTAATCCTAAGTGCCTGGACACACAAAAAGAGAAACAGAGAAGTAACTAGAGAAACTATAAAAAAAGTTAATTGATTACAAGAGGAAGAAGCTGTACAAGCAATCATTGAAATAGCCTCCCCTAAAAAGTACATTACGGGCACCCAAGGCAATCAAATTAATGTAACATGTAAGCTCACTACCTTAGACACTCTGAAATCAAAAACGGTCAAAGCACTATTGGACAGTGAATGTACCAGGAGTTGCATTAACTTACAATTTGTGAAAGACCAAAATTACAAAACAAGAAAGATACCAATACCAGTCTACAATGCAGATAGTACTCTAAATAAAAATGGAGCTATCAAGGAATTTATAATACTACTTATGGAGATTGAAGACCATGTCAAAATGATCCACTTTGCAGTAACCAACCTTGGTACTGGAAAGATGTTCCTAGGACATGAATGGCTAAACAAACGCAATCCCATAATAGATTGAAAAGAGTCAAAAATATCATTTGAGAGATGCCCCAAAGAATGCAAACCACAGATCCAAATATCTGATCCAGAGGAAGATCCCGAAACATTCTTTGATGAATTAGACAGAGAAGCGGAGAAAAGATTGATCCAAATAAATCTCACAGATTTCAAAGACACTACCGTAGATAAACAATATTACCACATTCAAGCTCAAGGCACAATGGCACAACAGGTAGCCAAAGCTGTGGGTAAAAACAGAAAAGAAGGTGGATTCAAAAAAAAAGTGCCAAAACACCTACATCAATACAAAGACGTATTTGATAAAAAGGAGTTTGATGCACTACCAGAGAGAAGACAATGGGATCATGCGATATAACTAATACCAGGAGATCATTCTCTTGATTCTAAAATCTATCCGCTAGCAAGAGGAGAACAAGAAGAATTAAAAGCATTTCTAAAAGAAAATTTAGAATCAGGACAGATAAGACCATCCAAATCCCCGTTTGCATCACCATTCTTCTTTATAAAAACAAAAAGACGGGAAGTTGAGACCAGTACAAGACTACAGGAAGTTAAATAATATCACAATAAAGAATAGATATCCACTTCCGTTGATAGGCGAACTTGTAGATAAGCTTAGTGGAGCAAAATACTTCACAAAACTGGATATTAGGTGGGGATACAATAATATCTGTATGAGAGAAGGAGGCAAGCCAAAAGCAGTGTTTAGAACAATTTGGGGGCTGTTTGAACTATTAGTAATGTTCTTTGGACTTACTAACTCCCTGCCATGTTCCAAACAATGATGAACACTCTTTTCAAGGAGTTGATAGATGAAGGGCTTGTGATTATATATCTGGACAATATTATGGTCTTTACAAAGGATATAGAGATGCACAGAGCAACAACGCAACATGTACTTGAAATCTTTAGAAAATACCATCAATATCTAAAACCGGAGAAATGCGATTTTGAAGAAACATCAGTAGAATATCTGGGACTGATCATCTCAGAAAACAAAATCCACATGGATCCAGTAAAAGTAGAAGAAATTAGCAAATGGCCAGAATGCAAAAACAAAAAAGATATTCAAGCATTTCTTGGCTTTTTGTTAACTTCTACAAAAGGTTTATAGAAGGATTTGGAGAAGTGGCAAAACCATTGACCAAGTTAACAGGAAAAGAGGAATTTATTTGGGGAAATGAACAACGCGAAGCATTTGAAACCTTAAAAAAGTGTGTTGCTTCAGCCCCTGTGCTAGCCCTCCCAGTACCACATGGTCAATACAAAGTAGAAGCAGATAGTAGTGACTTTGCAATAGGAGCTGTCTTATTGCAAAGACAAAAAGATGACTGGAGACCAATTGCATACCTCTCTAAAGTGCTGAACTCCACAGAGCGTAATTATGAGATCTATGACAAAGAACTTTTTGCTATTATGACAGCACTTAGTGAATGGAGACATGACTCAATAGACGCAGAGGAAGAATTCAAAATATAGACAGATCATCAAAATCTGTTATATTTCAAGGAACCCAAAAAGTTGAACAGACAATGTCGATGATGAGAACTGCTGTTAGAAAACCACACACAAAAACAAACAAACACACAATCCTCCCAGATTCCACGGAACTTGTTTATGGGCTTTGCCTCCTAGAACAGTGGAGTGGTCTGGTTATTCGTGGGGTGGTACATATAAAGATCCTTCAAAGTAAAACCCAGAGGTGTATGAGTGTGGGTTTTGAGGAGGAGGGATAGTTGAATTTATAGAAGATAGGGGCTTAGTGACGAGTATAGACGAGCACTACCTTGCTAATTGTAGCACAAGGATGACGAGGTGACGAGGTTCCCAGTGATAGCAGGCTCCTGACACACAAACTGTAGTGCTCAGAAGGACTCTAATTGAAAGGGATAACAATGACTTCAAAAGTGGGAAGTGACGATGACAGCAATTAACAGTGGTAGCAGTGGGAAGTGTTGTGACCACACTGGATCACAAGTAGCAGTAAGAAGTGGACTTAAGATTAGAGAAGAAGTCTGGAATCGAGTTCTTGTTGTTTTTACAAGGTAAAATACAGGGGTTTATATAGTAAAAGAAAAGTAGGCTATGCACAGTATAGCTGTGCAAAAAGAATGAGAAAGAATATGAAGGAAGGAATGTACGCTGACAAATCCTGCATAGGTAATACAAGATAAGATTGTCAAAAAAAGGAAAAGAAAGGGATAGAACAATGAATGCTGTGAGTAATGTCACAGGTTTGTACAGCCATAAAGTAAAGTCCAATAGCAAAAAGAGAGCAGGAAAATCATGATGTCATGGGAAGATGCAGTAAAAAAAAGGGCAAGGCAAAACACTATCAGTATCAACACAGTTCCTTTATTGTCAGTCAGGCATTCTAAAAAATATGTGTCCATAAAAATGATTCAAAATTGAAAAATAATCACACTGTAAATGAATGTTTTGCTGAAGAAAAAGAAACTGGAGCCACCAGTCCACCACCTAGTCCAAATCCGACAGTTCCATGGCCTTACCAATGGACTGGTTGTGTTGGACCACCTGATCAAACGAGGGAGGGAGAGGAGTAGTTCCAATTTGGAACAAGTGAGTCCCAGGCAGCATGTGGTAGGTGTAGCTGTAGCGAAGACAATGGAAAAAAGATAAGTGTACCCAAGTGAATGGGACAGCAATGAACATGGGCGACGCAAGGGGATGAACCTTCTCCAGCTCAAAAACTACCCACCCACACTCCAACCAGGCAAGACAAGCAACCAATATTTTGATAGTATATGATGGCAGATCAACGTCATGAAGATGGACCTGTTGCCCTATTTGAACCGGCCGCTGGGGCTTTGCTGATATCAGCAGTTCCCAGGCATGTGGTAGTCAACGGATTGGCGACGGAAGCGGATAGGAAGTGGTGACATCAGAAATGGTGGGGGTGCAAATAAGATGAGGAGGAGGAGGGTGGAGGTGACGAAAAAGTGGATTAGAATGTGGATCCAGAAACGACCATCAGGTGAGAATAAAAAGGAAAGGAAGGGGCCCATGGTGGGGCTAGACAAAGGAAGGGGAGTAAGGGAAACAACAAAAGCGAGGGCGCAATGCAATGTGTAGCCAGTGGCAACGCGAAAATTTGCCGAAATGCCGAAATGCGGAAAGTACCGAATGGAAAAGCAAAGGTGAGCGTGACTGGATTGCCTAATAGAGGTGGTGCTGATCAGCCACAAGTTCGAAACAGGCAATATTAATTACTATTCCATGTGGCACTGTGCCTGTGTGGCGCAAAGGCGAGTCTTTTTGAATATTTGCTTCGTTATTGACACCTGTCCATGCTACCAATCAACTTTGGTGCATGACAACAACAGGCACGATGGATGACTGAATTAAGTCAATATCACTTCACGATACATCATATGCCTGGTAAAAACATATCAAAGCGGATCTGTTATTGAGAAGATCAGATCATAATAAAGGAGAAAACAATAATGAAGACGTGATACTATTAGATAGCAAATTCTTTGTACGCATGATGCTCTCCTCCGAACAAAGACAAAAAATAGTGGACAGCCAAGAGGAAGAGTTAATAGTAAACAAATAGATAAAAAAAAAGGAAAATGTGGATGACTTGATAAAGAAAATGAAAGAAAAAATAGAAAGGAGAGATGAGGACAAAGGCTACATAGTATTCAAAGGCAGAGTCTATGTACCAAAAGATGCCAAGTTGAGAGAAGAGATCATTAGACGTAATCATGACTCCACCATTACAGGACACCCAGGAAGATATAAAACCAAAGAGCTGATAACTTGAGAATACTGGTGGCCCTACATGGACAGAGATATCACGAGATATGTAGATGGATGCAAGACCTGTCAAAGAACAAAGACAGATCATAAAAAGAAGGCAGCACTGCTCCATCCAAATGAGATCCCATCAAAACCATGGCAAATCATATCGGTAGATCTGATTGGACCACTACCCGAATCCATTGGTTATAACATGATCATGGTAGTAGTAGACAGATTTACCAAAATGATCAAAATGATACCTACCCAGATGAAAATAACTTCTGAAGGTGTAGCAAGATTATTTAGAGATCATGTATTTAGAAACCATGGCATACCCGAAAAGACCATCTCAGATCGGGGACCGCAGTTCATTTCCAAATTCATGAAAGATCTTCACACACTACTCAAAATAGAAGGAAACCCATTGACAGCATGGCATCCACAAACAGACGGACAAACAGACAGGATCAATCAGGAGATAGAACAGTATCTCCGGATCTTTATTAACCACAAAAAAGACAATTGGGCAGAATGGCTTACCTTAGCAGAATTCTCATATAACAACAAACAACACTCCGCAACAGGTTACAGTACATTCTACCTCAATCAAGGTCATCACCCAAGAACACAGGAAGAGACAAAGATAAAAGTGAAAAATGAAAGCGCAGAGGAGTTTGTGAAAAGAATGACAGAAACAAGGAAGAGAGCGGAAGAATTGTTAAAGAAAGTGGCGGAACAAATGAAAAAACAATATGATAAAAAGAAAAGAGAAGTAGTGGAATACAAAGTAGGAAACAAAGTTTACATAGAGGCAACAAAGATCTCGACAGATCAACCAGCCAAGAAACTAGATGATAAACGGCACAGTCCCTTTGAGATTATTGAAAAATAGGCAAATCCGCCTACAAACTACTACTACCCCCCACATGGCAAAACATTTATCCGGTCTATAACGAGACAAAACTCACACCTTACCGAGAACCTCAATTCCCTTCTCAGGAAAAACCAAAACCGAGACTACCGGTGATAGTGGATGGACAAAAAAAGTATGAAGTCGAGGAAATTCTAGACTTACGTCTAAAAAGGGGCAAATTAGAGTATCTAGTCCATTGGAAAAACTATCCAAAAGAGGAATGCACATGGGAACTTGAACAACATTTATCCAATTCACCAAAAATGGTAGAATCATTCCATGCAATAAACCCTAGTGCACCTCGACAGATACAATATCAACTACAATTCCAACCCTTTGAGAACTTTACCACAACAAGAGTACGAAAACAACTGTTTGACTGGGAGTCTGGCAAACTCAACCCTCAATTTTGAGATGAAAGTCTTAAGGAGGGGGTAATGCAAAAAGTGAAGTGTAAGTAGGTGCTGGTATGTCAACTGTAACATGGCTTAGCTCATGTGCTAGACCATCCCGTGGACCTTAGTCCCTAACTTGACAGAGTGAACAAGGGGAGAGTAGAGGATGAAAGTGGGACAGGAGTAAAGGTCTTTTGGAGAAGGACCAGAAGAAAAGGACTTGGTAAAGAAGTGTGGGGAACTGATTAATATTTGAACTGCAGAGAGTATAGAAGTTATAGCTTATATACTAAGTGGAGTTTGTAAAGAGTAATTTATAATGTAGGTACAGAGTTTCATGTGAACAATTATTTAACAAGGAGAGATTATATGCCAATCTATTGCTGGGATATTCTGAACAAGTATTTTTTGTACACTATTTTAGCTAAGTACTGTACAGTTGTCCATCAAGCAGTGGCTGAGGATGTCAGTGGCCCAGTACTGTGGCTAAACTTTCACCATGAGTAATATCTGTGATAAGTACTGTGTGGCACAAAAGTCCAAACTTTGAATGATCTGAGAATAAAAATGTAACCAAAAATGTGTATCTTAACAGCCACTGGTGTTCAGGAACACCACATAGCTATTGCCCTAGAACAGAACTGCCTCCATTCACTAAAGTGTCTGTACTTGGGGAGGAAATTAATAAAACTAAGTGAAACTACAATAGATGTTAGTTTAAGGTGATCTCTAATAAATGTAATGTAACATACCTCAGCCGCTGCCCAAGAGGCTATAGAAACGACTGAGGTATTCCTATACTAAACCCCCTACTACTTATAGTTGGAGGTGCTACTCGCTACAGTATAATGACTCCTAGGAGAACAATGGTTACTCCATGGAGTGGTGGCTATGCTCCATGGAGAACAATGGCTGCTTTGGCAGAGACCGGGTTTATCCGGTTTTGTCAGAAATTCACCCTGGGTAGGATGGAGGTGATCTTCTATAAGACACAATAGACTAGAACATACAACTCAAGCAAGCCAGAGCTCTAGCGGCTAAGGGTCAGGGGCATGCCATATAAGGAAAGCCCTCTCCTACACACAAATGGGTGCTTGCCAATTCTAGAGCACCAAACTGTGCAAAAGACAATGGTGAGCCAAATTCCCCACAAGCAGCAAATGGACCTATAACGCTAACCCTCTATGCTGAATAAACGGTAAGAGCTAACACTGAATTGCAAGCAAGTGATTGAGCAAACCAAGAATTTAGAAGAAATCAAAAGCTGGAGTATGTATAACAAGTAGATGCTGTTGATATATGTGAAGACACATGTCAGCCTTGAGGTGCTGACTGATGAACATGAGGTTTTCATGAGGTGCTTTGTAAGTAGTCACATGACTAGATAAGATAAATATTGATACTACTTGATTAGGTATGGAGAGATAAGATTTTCTATGTCAAAGTTTGATAGATGAGATGTCGAAGGATAAGATGAGCCCAGGAGATTGCCAATCTCAGCAATAAACCGGAAGCAACAGAGGAAGCAAAGATACTTATCCCCACTCCTGATTTCACCTGAGGAGACACCATGGTACCAGTCCCAATCCCAGGGTGTCTGCATCCACCATGAACAGAGAATACCGAATTGGGATTATTGGGTGATCTTTCCCCTTTCACCAAGATAGGAAGTATATATAGATGAACAGGAGTATTTATTTTTGATTTATACAGGACATACAGGATGCACATGAGGTATATATACCTCAGCTATAGTGCTGCCTGTATTGTGGCTACATTAAGTCGAAACCCAGTATGCTTTATATTCGTGTCATCAATAAGGGCAGTTTCCTGGCCCTCTGTATCGCCCTCCTTGCCTTCGCCGCCGCCCTTTATTTATCTTTATCTTCGCGCTGCAAGTCTTCTAGAGACCCACCCCACTGCCATGAGTCGAAAATCCGTTCGATATGTTGCTCTTCGAACCCTTGTTCTGTCCTTTTCATTTTTAACATGACTTCCTTTTGCCGATGTACGGTTACTTGCTCTCCGTCTTCTCTCTCTCCGGGCTTCAAGCCCCATTCTGTCCAATGACTTTTCCACGAACCATGAAGATCTGGCCTATCAGATTTGATGGTGTATTCTTTGCGTTCGACAGGCATTTCGGTTACGATATCCCATGCCTTTGGCACGTAATTCTTGAAAATATTGGGCCGATCAGCGTCGTTTGAATGTACACGCCTTCGTTTACTCCCAACCGCACTCGCAAGTCCATTGGCCAACATCTTCCGGCTGCTGCACCCCATGTCTTCCTCATCACTCGAATATCCGCAGGCCACGCGCACTCGCCAGCGTAATTCTCGAGCCAATGCTGCAGCATCTTTGATTCGGTCACTCGGCACCTGCTCCTTGGCGTCTCGCTTTGCCTGCTCGCTTCCTCTTTCCATACTACGCACTTCCAAAACGAGATACTTAGCAAGAGCAGCTAGAGACTCGAGTACACGAGTGGAGAATTCTTCTTTCGCCTTGAGATCACGGAGATACTTATCTCCGACATACCAACAGAGCCTTTAATAATTGCTGTTGGCAAGGGAAGTCAACCCAATGGTGGACAAGGACCTACCTAGTGAACAACGGAAATCTGAATTTTTTTGGGACGTGAGTGGATGTTTCAATCTCAACCACTTTGAGCTCTACAAATCATCAACTTCGAGTCAGTCGCGCGTATAACTGGAACCATGAAAGTGCTTACGTATGGGAACGTTATACGAATGTAAGAAATTGCCTCCAAATACCAGAGAGTCAACTGGGGTGTACTAGGGCGCCATGAGTAACGTGGATCAGTGCTATTGTCATGTCAGAAATTTTTACCACTGCATGTATCCATCCAGTTGGTATAATCATCGTGTTTCCTTGATATAATGTGACCTTAATGACTTCATCCACTAGGTCACCTAGCCAGACATGGTTTTGTAGTTCGGTTCCGGACCACCTTTCATACGCGGCAAGGTTTGCGGTCGTGGGCCGTATAAAATAAAATACCTAGTGACAAGGTTGAGCATAGCATTGGTGCTTGTAGCATAGCGTACCTTAGAGCCGCGTAGAACATGATAATATACTGATGAGCCCGCGAAATCGATGTGCCAGTCCTAAATTCAGACCTATAGGTCAACGTTCGCTTCAAACCTCTTCGAGACGACTCACTGTCCAAGCAGAAGCGACACCCATCAAACAGTATAGTTGGACTTTAGGGTATACGTGCCCTTTTCCTTGTTTTACAGTAGGCCAAAACTTTTCCACCCAGTCTAGCTCCCTCACAAGACGTGGCGGTAAAATCTGATCAGCCAGCTTCGTTCCGGATATTTCCAGAGAGATTACATTGCGTATCTTATCTCGACTTGACTGTTCCGTGCAATAATACTGCACCCACTTTCCTAGTGTCCAACCAGGAGAATTAGACTGTGTAGCAACGTCTACAGTTCACGTCAATAAAGTCAATCAACCGAATGTAGATGCATACCAATGACTTCCACAGGTGTATCCTCGCCTACTATTTCTTTGACATCGATGACGGTGAATTCTGGATCTGGCATTTTCATCCCAAGACCTTCAGGGTTCTCTATGACTATGGGTTCGCGCATTGAGTTCTCGTCACTTTCCAACCATTCTAGTCCAACTTCGCTGCCTTGCATCCTCCTGAATTGATCGCTTTTTATATCTTTTCCTTCCATAACATGTAACCAGCGATTAGGATCCGAGTCTAAACCACCGTCGAGATTGGAATAATCTCTTTGGGTTCGTTTGCGCAAGGACTTGCGAGCGGGGGGTTTGAATGTAATGGAGCGGATAGGACTCTCTTTCACACAACTATCACAGAACCTGAGGCGGATGTGGTTACTAAGATCTTCAATATAACATGGAGTTGATTTACCATCTATCTATGGTTTCCAACTCTCCGCCATTGCCCACACAGAGCCAATGAAACCATGTTTTACATGCGTCGCATCTAACCCAGCTTTGTTTCGTGAAAATGGAGAGGCTTGACTCTGAGCCTTCGTCACTCTTACACGCCGGACAGCTGTCCGTTGGCAAGCGCAAAGAATTTCTTGCACCTGCCTCTTCTGTTCGAGACACAGACTCGGAGTGGATGTCAGGACCGGGAGATTGCTGCGGAGACTGTCGAGCATTGGAGCGCGTTACACGACGACGACCTCGAGTCATGATTGTTAAAATAGAGATGCCTAAAAAGCAAAGACAGCCAGTACAGGAGATGCGAAATGCTCACCAGGATGTGATGCGAACAGGGGCCACCATATGTTTTCGTGGGCCATAATAAGAGCAAATAAATGCCCTACCAGAAAGGAAGTCAGCCAAATACTCTACAATCGCATGCACTTACGGGTCAGAGTCAGTCGCTGAAGCTACAGCACTTGCATGTCCTGTTCTCCAACTCTCTGATCCTTGATCTATATTTCTCTTTATTACTGCAAGGTCGTAATGGAATCGCTGTTTGGGAGGAAGAAGTCGAGACTTCGGCAGTCTTCGGTTTCCACCCAGGAGCTCAATGAACGTTCAGTACCGTATGACAGGCTAGGGCCACCTCCTCGTTCGCCATTGAACGTAGCAACCGTATCACAAGGCTTTCGAGGCAACCCTTCGACAGCCGTTATATCCGCCCCCATCACCAATCCTACACTAACCTCACTGGGCACCGACATCAACCTGCATACAGCACAGCGTAACAGAGCTGAAAGAGACAGAGTCTACACACTAGCAAACGGTGTATCCCGTCCAGATTCACCAAATGCATCTGTAAGTACAGCGGACTCTTCGACCTTATACAACGAGTCGCTGTCGTCTCTCCCCACTGCCAGGCCCAAGACTCCCACTTCTCGTCATATCAGAAGAAGTGAAGCATCAACCTCCTCCGGCAGACTCAGTCCCAGTGTCATGGATTTCGCTAGTGTACCCACCCCCATTTCACCCATTCTCCCCAAGTCGACCGTGCGCCCTTCTTCCGGCGTGACTACCCATACTGAGGGGCACCGTGGTTCTCGCTATGCATCATCCGTTCTAACAGACTCGCCCCATCTTTCTCAATATTTTCATCGTCACCGGGATGGAAATCAAGATGGTTTCGACTTTCCTCGCCCAGAGAAGGACGAAGAGGTAGAAGCTCTCTTTGAGCACGTCAAGATGTCGCGGGGGCTTCCAGATATGCAGAATCTGAATCTTGACCAGAAGTGGACAATTGTGTATAGTGATGAACATCTCCGCTGGAAGGAAGAAAGGTCCAGGGAAGAGCTGGCTCGTAAGCAAAGCGAAAATGGCCAACCCGCCCAAATCGGCGAGGGTACACCTGAATGGTATATTAAAAGGTTCCTCGACAACACTATCACAGCCAAGCAGGCATCGAGTTTGTCGGTCTCTATGCGAGGAAACGAAATGAGGTATGGCATCTCTCGTCATGGAGCACGTTTCATCTTGATATGATGTACCTAGCTGGTTTCACCACTTTCTTTCGATTCATGGGACGTCCGTATTAGCGCAGGCGTTAATGCACATTAGTAGAAAGGGACCGAACCGGTGAGATGAACGTCCATGGCTCAGTGTCATAATCTGATCGTGGAGCGTAGACGGGATGCCGACATTCAGCTAGAGTATGAAATTGTCAAATGCATGAAGCACATTTTCAACAGCCCTGTTAGTTATTCACTTATCTATGCCTAATTTCAGGAGCTGATGGCATTGTAGGCTGGAGCCAGCGAAGCTATCTCCCACACGATGATCGTAACTCAGTTGACGTCTTCATTAAACACACCACATCTACCTACTCGAAAGATTATTCTCGAGCTCTTATTAGCGGTCGTTTATATGGATCGGGGGTTTCCGCAACTGCTTATCAATGCTTTGGAGGCTCTTAGTTCAGCGAACAATGAGACAGGATGCTATGAATACTGGTTCAAGTCTATGGAAATTGCGCTCAAGGGCCGGGGGAAAATGGGCAGCCTGGTTGGGGCCAGCGAAGACGTGAAGAAAAATGGTGGCATAGAGAGCTCGCTTAATGAATACGCAGTATGTTTGACCAAAGACTCCTAAATCCGTTTGCCTCATTGCTTAAATTCTTAGCTGTGCAATATGTTGTTGATCAATGGTATGATCGAAGTTATAGAAGACTTGGACCTTCGACTACATCATCGTGCGCAAATGGAGTCTGCTGGCCTTCACCGCATCGTAGATCTATGTCGCGCCTTTCAGGTTCCGTTTATTGATTTACAGCTTGGGATTCTACAAGATGCTCTCGAAGAGGACGAAAGGAGGCTACGGGAACGCCTGGATCAAGAGATACTTCGCGATTTATCCAATGCACAGGATGTATACAATGCCATTCGTGCTAAAACGCAAGGTTCTCGTGCCGAGGATTATTTTTTGTCCATGATGCAACATCTCCTACTCATCCGCGAAGAAGGTCCAGCTATGGTGCATTATTACCAGCTGCTCAATGCTATAGTCACAGACGTTGTGCTTGATAAGAAGCTCTCAGGGGCCGAACAAAGACTTGGGCATTCTGTGGAACACATCATTGCGCATTTCAACGAAGCTGAACGGCTACAAGTAGCTGAAGATGAAGCAGCCCAAATACGGGCCGAGATGCTCCAGCTCAAACTTGATAATCAGGTATTGGAAGAGGAAGTTGCCCAAGGTCATGGTGGTCTTGTTGGTCAGCTCAAAGAGAAGGTCTTGCACCTGGAAAAGAAACTAGATCTTGGGCGAGATACCATAACCAAACTCAGAAGCCAGTTGGAAACGCAGAAAGCAGGATACGAAGAGCAAATAGCACAACTGGAAGCGCAAATTATGGAACTTTTCAGGATGCTGAAAGAAGTCAACAAGGGTGTCGACAAAATCCTTGAATCCAATTCAGGCTCTATGGATCGGAAGATGCTCTTAGATGAACTTAATAAGCATATGCAGCGGACCAAAACTATCAGTATATTGGAGGGTCGCGATTCCAGTAAAAAAAAAAAAAGGTCTTACGTTGACGGGAACGAAGAGGAAATATTGGACAAACCACCCAGCTCAAAATCAGGAGGCAAGCAAACCACAGGCTCTAATACTGCAAAATCCATCTCTGCTAATATGCCGGACGCTCAAAATGGTCGCACGTCCCAATTCATGGATGCAGACGAAGCCGACGTCCAAGAACAGATTCAACAGCAACTAGCAGAAGGTATCAAAGCCGTGGGAGTATATTTATGAGCCTTACACTGTTACCACGCTAATGTTTCTATTAGTTCTCGCCGAAAGATGGTTTTATGTCGAGTCCCCGAAGTATCAGAGGGTCGCCTCGACACACAGAGCGCACGTTACTCCATACCCACAGCTCCTCAGCTATAGGGTCTTCAAGCCCATATCAGCCCGAGATCTACGGAGCATCTTCACCCACTGATGAGGGCAGGGAGGGTTCAGGTGATGAGCGAGGAATTCATGCTTCAAGCAATCATATTGCACCGCGCGATAATCCTCGCCATATGAGCATTGCTACAGGTGGTGCACGTGTTTCAGGGCAAAATGCGAAGCAGGCGCTAATTTTGGCATCTGCAAGCGAAACGAGCCTCGTTACACTGGCTACTCTTCCAGAAGAGCCTGATTGTGCCGATGTCACCCCTCCTCCTCCTCCTCCTCCTCCTCCACCACCTCCAACCTGCTTTGCTTTGAAGTCTTCTTCCATCTCCATCCAGATGGCATCTGATGACAATTTCTGCAAGATTTCGCTTTCTTCTTGTGTTTCATCTTGATTCCACAGCGTTTTGGCGACTTGCTGCTGTGGGAGTTTGTCCCACTGAAGTTGTTTCATCTTAGTGCTAGGAGTGACAGGGAAGATCCTTGCGGGCCGATAAAAGGTTTGCAAGGTTTGCTCCAAGGTGCATGGAAGCACGCGTGGTATTTAGGCAGAACTAGGCGTATATGCACCACTCCTGAGTACTGCTGGTGATGGCGGGGGTGGTGGCGAAGGAATCCC